GAAGAAAATGAATAATAAAAATCTCAAAATGCAGAGGTAGTCCATGTCACACATCCAACAAAACCTTACGAACACACGATGTTAAAAGAAGCAAAAAATTCTTTATTGGCCGATCATCAATAATATAATTAAAACAGAGATCTATTCTTTATTACAGTGAAATCCCTTAAATAAACTAACTAGGGAGTGTAGTTCTAAAGTTGAGTTAATGGAGGATATACAATCTCAATGTGAATTGGGGCACCCGGATAAGATGATAAATTTATGCTTTTAGAGAATAGTTGAGTGATGAGTGATTAGATGTATATATAGAAAAGTAACTTAAGATCTTATATTGTTGTGAAAGTGAGGGGGATAGATGTGATGTGATAAAGTATTTATATATATAGTCGTTCTTTGAACAAGTAGAGAACTATCTCGAAACTGCCCGAGACGTTTTGATTATCTTAGAATTGGGTGAGTTTGATGGGTGGATGTTGGAGGCTATATATTTGTTTCAAATGGTGATGATATTTAGCTAGATATCAAGATATATCCAATACTAGATTGGTATATAAAATGAACACAATATCTCGACAAATCTCCTCTCAATTCCAAAACTAAATGCCGCTTAATCTTACCTCATTCCTTCATCCTTAAATTATGTATCCATAATGCATAATTACTAGATATCCCTCAAGCTACAATCACTAGATGCAACTACAGAACCCCCTCGAGCTCCACCTACCTAATATTCCCCATCTCATCCATTCTATTTCATCAACTCTACAGTAAGAAACCTAACCACCAACCCACAAGACTAAACCACGAACCTTAACCTTAACATCCCCAAACCCAAACCCAAACCCAACTCCTCCACAGCAAAGTAACCAACCTTAACAAGCGGGAATACACACTACTCCACATACACATCCACTCCACACTAATCCCACACAATCCCACCTGGTGACCCAAACCAAACCAAACCTCTACTACGTATAGCTAAGGTTAGTAAACCACAAAAATAAGACTTCCATCAATATCACGACCAAAACCAAGATCGACCAAAACCAAAACCAAAACCAAGGTTCAGACAAAGGAGGATAAAATGTAATAATGTGAGGAAATGACCAGCTGATATAAGTCTCACAGCGTAATCGATGCGCTGTCCGCGTGCGCCACGTGCGTATGTATGTATGTATGTATGTGCGTAGGGGCACAAGGTACTAAATAAGACAATGAGTGGAATATATTGGGAATTAGATGGGCTGTGGTTAGTATTAATTGAATTGGGTTGATTAGAATGGGGGGAAAGTTATATATGCGGAGTAGAAGTATAAGCATGAAGTTTATGGGGTAGTGTTGTATACTCTGTGCAGGGTAACCTTAATTAGGAACTTTAATTTAGCCAAGAATGTTAGATATTTATTTTTGCGGAGAGGGGTATTTTAAAGGTTTGTCGAGATGTAAGATTAGTTACATTACGGAGTAATTGATTTTGGATTTTATAGTTTGAAATTTATGAGATGCGTTATTGGTAGGGTTTTAATGTTGTATATTAAATGATGTAGTTGGTTAGAGGAATGGATGAATGGATGTGTCGGTACATCATGTGATTACCGTACAGAAAAAAGGCCGTACAACAAGCGGGCTCTAGCCCTTACCTCTTCAATATATAAAAAATGCGAGCAGCGAGAGGAGTGTTATCAATTGGGAATTGAAGTGTTGAAATAACCTTACCTATTGTAGTAGACGAGATGAAAAGGTACCTGTGAGAACTGTTCTTTCAGAGCATTTCCTCACCCAAATTGACTTCCTTCTTGCTTCTCGCGGATTTGTAGATGAAATGACTTTACGATTAGATCGAGATGTGATGTAATGTGATTTAGTTATTGTTTTTATAGGAGGGATAGAAGGATGTATATATTTATATCTCTTACATATATAATAAAGATTGGTTGGGTGAGAACTTTTTATAAAATAAAAGAGACATCTAGATTTTACAAGTCTAATCTAATGACAGGTTTAAATCCTTGGTTTTTTCTCCCTTCTTCAATTATATTTTTGATATGAATCAAGATTCAGACTAATTGTAATTTTCCTAAAGAGGAAATATGATCACATATGAAAGATACATATACCATAGAAGGAATAGCACCGAAAACCCCAATAGATTTAAAACGCAGAGCTTATAATCAGCTCAATGGATACATGGTGCACTTATCCCCGGGAATGGGTACTCTGCGCAGTAATACACAATATGGTAAGCATACAGAGTAAGGTAAGCCGACCCGACAGAAGGATCCAAATCCCAATTGAACCTGAGTACATATCACCAGCTCCATCCCAGCTCCGTCCCAGCTCCAGCTCCAGCTCTTCAGTACAATGTACATACATATCCAAATACCTATCTAAGCTATCTTACATCAGAAGAAACCCAAGCGACCCGACAAGAAACGGTCCAAGTTTCCAAAGCAAGAAGAATACCTAAGAAGAAATAAGCTCACAGGACAAGAAAAGAACTTGTCTGCCTGCCCCGTTTCACACAGAGTAGAGTAATCTTTACATAAACCGGATTTTTCAGCTTCTAGACCTTTTATTTTAATGCATCAAAAGCTTACTTTACATACCCTATATTTCTATAGCTCTCGAATAGAATAGGATTGGATTGGATTGGATTGGATCTATCAAATGATATCTGATTTGATAGGATTACTGCATACATACCTAGCTACCTACATAAAGTACTTTGTATTTCTTCTTAGCGATGGGCGATGAACGATAGACGATCGATTCATGGTAATGTGACACATGTGATATTAGTAGGTAATATACTGACTGTACTTGTGCTGTATTGTAAACCTGTAAACACCGGACCAATTTCATAGGATAGGTAGGCTACTAAAAGCTACTTCCAAGTACTATACTAGTAGGTATGTATGTATGTATATCAGATAGAAGAGAACCTATACCTCGGTACCACGCCACATTTTGTAAGGATCTTTTTATGATGCATGCATTTTTTATCCTGATTATGATTAATGATAAGCTTATGATGCGATCGATGTGTTTTCCTCATCCGCCTTTTTTGATTGATTCGTCTCTCTCAGTTGTACCTGCCTACTGAGGAGGAGGCGTCTCTCCAGAGGAAGATAGAAATGTGCCGTTTTCTTCATCATCGTCGTCATTTCATCATTTCGTCACTCACTACTAATTTGGAAGGACAAGGGTTTCTGAAGTCTTGGGATGTTTTGATAGGAAGGTTCGGTGTTTGGATAAATGGATGTTTTTGGGTGTGGGATTTGGGATTGGGGATTGGAGATTGGGATCTTTCGTATATGCAGCCTTGTTGTTGGATTTTATTTAAGGATGGATGGGATGGGGTGGTGAGTGTAGAGAGAGCATCGAGATGGAATGGTTTCTTTATCATATTTATTTACCGTTTATTCCGATGGAAATTGAGATTGAGATTGAGATTGAGCGGATGGATGGATGGATGGATGGATGAATGGATGTTGAAGTATCCAGGATGTGATATCTACTACCTACCTACCTACCTAGCCTCAGGTACAATCGTGATGGATGAATATTACGAAGAATAACGGACGAAAACTTATGAAAGGTGGGATGAATGGGATTCATAATTGAGGTTCCTAGTTATGCATAATAAAGGTTTTGTACGCACCTTAGTAATCGGGGAGTGAGGGAAAGTAAAGTTCATTCTAGAACATCCATCTCCCATCTCTCGTGCTACGTACGCTACGGTGCGACGGGAAGAAAAAGATTAAAGTGGGGGCCAACAGTAACAGGGCAAAATTTGGTCACCAAAAATGTCATCTACCGATCGTCCGGAATACCCGTAATCACGATCTTGAGAGACAGACAGATAGATAGATAGATAGATAGATAGATACACAGATACACTTGATACGAGAGGGATGGCTTGATATATGAAAGATGATTAATATAATAAGGTGGTGAGGTTCTCGAGATGAAGATATTCAATTGATATGAAATGAAATGAAATGAAATGAAATGATATGATATCTATGAATGACATAAAGTTGGAGGGGAAACATACAAGACTTACGGACTGATGAGTGATTAACAATTAATTGAGAGTGAAAATCATCTACCATTTCGATGACTGGTTGGAATTTAAACATTAAACATTAAACATTCACATGGTTCACAGCAGACCAACATCTAGAATCCCGGAATTTATTACTCGACCTCCGATTGTTTGCGTTTTTCTTCATGTGTTATTCCTTTTGAGGTTAGTAAATGGAGTATGCCTTAGACTTTACGTTAGAGCAACCTCTTTTCTTTCCCCTGTGTGCCGCTCAATGCTCAATTGAACGGTTCGTTTGAATCCACCCACATTATTTGGTCATCAGTGGAAAATTCAGTTAGCAAACGTTGGAACTTGGATGATGGATCCGAGTTTGGTAGATAGCGGAGTAAAAGGCTAGAGAGAAGAGAGGAAAGGAAGAGAGCGGAGTGAGATGGGGTCAGTCAGCTTTGATAAAATTCCTCATGCAGAAGGAAGAAGAGAAAGAGCATAATTCTTTCATAGAGAGAGGAGAGAGAGGGAGGGAGAGAGGGGGAGAGAGAGACCGACCGACCGACCGACAGATAGAGAGAACATTCTTTTCTTTCTAATCTTGTACAAACAGACAGAGAGAACATTCTTTTCTTTCTAACCCTGTCCTAATTAGACAATACTTCTTCGACAACTTTATTATTATTTACTGTTCTGTCTGGTACTACATTACACGAGACAATAATCAATTCGAATCACTACCCAAAACTTTACCATCTGCACTCCCAATCCCCAATCCCCAATCCCCAATCCCCAATCCCCAATCTCCAATCTCCAATCTCCAATCTCCAATCTCCAATCCCCAATCCCCAGTCCACATCTTGTTATTCGTTCCTAGATGCCTTGAACATTGCGACAACACAACAAACACAACAAACACAACAAACACACCACCACCCTCCCTTCCCCCTCTTTACCTCTACCACCAAAAAAGGAATCGGAGAGAGCTTCTTATCTTCCCACGATTCAAAAACCTCTTCGATGGATGGATGACATGATCTTTTTCAGGTTCATCATCTTACTCGTTAAACTCCTTTGACCTTTGATAGGGATTAATTACGACCTACCTACTTCCCTACCTAGTCACGATCCAACTCACACTTCTGCATAAAGTTTTGCTGGCAAAATAAAAAGGTTTCCTTCGGTCGGGTACATCCCCATTCGCTACTAGTACCCTCTGAAAGCCTCTAAGCCCTCTAAAGCAAACGCACTACCACACACTACCACACACTACCCATACACTACTTTCTCACTTGTCGTACCTACCCTACCTAAAAAGTTACCACTTTTAACTTTTCGTTACGTTGGTTGTACTTGTAACTTGTACTCTGCTTCCAAAAATTCAAGAAGTAAGTGACAATGGACGACAAACCATACATACAGAGATCCGCAGAGATGCGAGAGACGCCTTCACCATCACCATTAGATACAAACATTCCATCACCAACGTCGGATCCAAAATCATCAACAACAGCATCTAGAAGGACTTACGATACATCATCTAGACCTACCGTGAGGAGATTACAAACAAATCGAACATCTTCTGCAACAAATAGTCCAATAGGATCACGAGAATCTTCACCAGTCCGACCTCAACTAAGGAACACTACCTCCGCCGCTCGCTCAGGTACCCCCTCCAGATCAAGGAAGAATAGCCAAGACATTAGTCCTTCACGATCAACCAGTAACCAGTATCCACCATCCGCAGCTGCTTTACAACGAGTATTATCGGCTCAGAAGACTCCTCATTTCAATCACGTTGCATCCGAAGCTTCCATTAGAACACCAATCCCTCAGAAGCCCCTGGTGACGAGTGAAGTAAGAGATGGTGCACGTTGGCCTGTATCCCCGAGAATAAGATCCCCTCCTCCTCCAAGACAGAATAGCTTGTTATCACCACGAAGGACCGAACCAGACTTTCCCGCGATCAATGTGCAAAGAACCTCTCCCACCGCAGAACCAAGAGTGGAAGGGAAATCTGCCGCAGATAGTGAACCAGAAGAGAATCTGTTAACACCAGGGATGAGAACACCTGCGAGAGGTGTTAGTGGTGGTAGTTCAACGTTAGAAACTGTTCAAGAGATCAGTCAACCCAATACTCCATCATTCGAACTCGATGGCGCAATCGATGGAGGTCCTAATGGGAACCCAACTCTACCAACAGGACAAGACCTCATGGATGGCGCATCGGTGGACGTACTCAAGAAGCCGGTGATTATAACAACAAATGAGAGTGGGAGTGAGAGTGGTGGGAAGGGAGACAACAAGATGAAGAATATTACTCCTACGACAAGTCGACCTGGCCCACCCAAATCATTTAGTGGACCGTCAGCAGGGCGAGGGAAACCATCTGGGGAAGGTTCTGCCAAAAATATGACCGTGGAGACGGAGACGGTTAGCTCCATTCCACAAATTGCTCTTGCTACCGGCGCGGGAGGATTAGGAGCCAATGGAAGCTTGCGAGCCAAACAAAGTACCGAGACCATTCGACCTCGGAAGGAAAAGAAGAAAAGTCGCAAGGCCCCCTCGGTAGCTTCTGGAACGGGTGAGCAATCAATTTCAAGATCCAGACTGTTACATCATCATTCTACACGATCAATCTCAAGTGCATATTCCGCTCGGTCTCCAGACAAGGCGTGCGGACAAGGACCCTCGCCACGTAAAGGAAGTATGGACTCGACGAGTCCCGAGCGGGCGGTATCAGAGAGATCTTCTCGTAGACCCAGTTTAAATTTGTATAGTGCTTCTCTTTTGCTAACCAGACAACGTCCAGCCTCTTCCAAAGCAGATATCTTCGAAGCCAAAGTCGCGAGCGCCGTTGACGAAGCGAATTCCTCCGATTCCGAAGAAACCTTTGTTTACGAATCGAATCCACCAGAACAAGAGAGACCTCGTCGATTTCATTCTCGAACCCCAAGTGCTACTTCCATGGCCAGTCAAATAGATGCAAGAAATGGATTGCGCTCCATGATGGATAATGGTAGTCATAGCGTGGCGATGAAGAAGAGTATGAAATTCGCAAACTCTTCATACAACAGTGCACCTCAAGAGATGTCAACGGAAGACGATGGAAAGGGTACATCACGGAGTAATCTGGGCCGAGGGACGGCACATCATCATTTCAGTCGTTGGGGCCGGAATGGAGGCAACGGTCATGCATCTCTTTTCGATAACGAATCACCTTTTCCTAATGCCGCGAAATCGAAGTTTTCAGCACTCCCCAACCGACAAGGCTCGAGACCTACAAGTCCTAGAGTGGTGAACTCGGCGAGAATGTCGAACGCGAACGGCAAGAGGACCTCACCCATCAGTTCGGGATATGATCTTGATGATGCAGCGGACGATGAAAGAACACCACTTATTCCGTCCACGATCCGTTCGGCCCGCTCAAGTCGCATACGTCGTGGGAACGCCTCATCATCAAGACACATCGAGCATCAAAGACAAAACCGCTCATTCTTCGCTCGGTTCGCCGGATGCATGTTTCTATCCTTATTAATTCTGCTTGTTGTGGCAGGTGCTGTTGTGTTCTTGTTTGCGACAACTCAACCACTGGCGAATGTGAAAGTATTGGCTTTGAAAAATATACTCGCCAGCGAGCAAGATGTGATTATAGATTTACAAGTTATTGCCCAGAATCCAAATCTGGTGGCCGTCACTATCGACTCCATGGATATGGTTATCTTTGCAAAGTCCAAATACGCCGGAACAGATTCTGAATGGTGGACACAGCCATCTGGGAGGATATCAATGAGACGTGGAACCAAACAAAAACGAGATGATCCAATTGATGATCCACCGCTGGACGATGATCCAAATACCAATCCGAACTTGGAAATTGGACACATTTACGATTTCGAGAGTCCACTGATATTTGAGGGGTCACCATTCCAACGTATATCATCTGTAGCTGTTGGAGAGATGCGAATACTAAAACCTGGCAACCAGACGGAGCCACGTGGATCGGAACGTTGGGGACGAGTTCTTCAACATGAGTTTGAACTCATCGTCCGAGGTACATTGAAATACACACTTCCACTTAGCTCGAAAGCTAGAAGTGTAGGAGTGGAGGGTCGGGTCACAGTTAAACCAAATGCAGCTGATCAAGATCCTGACAATATTCATATCATTGACGGGACTCATCACTTGTTCGATTAGAGGAGTAAATTTACTCCACCTTGCAGCACGGGTGGTGCATCAACCACCAAAACATTTCTTTTTTTTTTTCTCTCCTTTGCTTCTGTAAATTGAGCGGTGCGTCAGTCACATCATAAAAACTCAAGGCGAAGGCGCTTTTCATGGGGCTCATGGCAGGCAAAGGCGATGAATAAAAAATTTTTTTTTTTTCATGTAACACACAAGATGGGCATTTCTCATCTCTTTCTTTCGTTGGATTATACAAAACAGAATCACCTGAACTTAGCGCTCTGAATTGATTTCGGGATCATGAACATTCCCGATATACTGCGATTAAAAGTATTAATCAACGAGTTTCCTTTGTCGAGTACAATACGACAATTTTTCCTGCTCATCACACATGAGAAGATATACCTTGCAACTGGCGAAAATATCATGTCGACATTTTTTCATCTTTTACTATTTGATATGGGAGGGTATGGGGTAGGATTGGCATGGGGGTTTCTTTTGGGAGTAGGTGATGGGAAGGTTGCATTTGTCTTCTTCTTTTAATTGGGATGGGCGAAAATGAAATGATCATAGATGTTTGTTTGTTCTGTCATTGTGACAAGAAATTCATATAGATGGGATTGGGCTTGGCTTGGCCTTTCTTGCAGAAGAAATGGATGAAAGAAATAACGGCTCTTATGATTGCTCTGGAAGAATTCGTGATGGATGTAAAGGGGTGGGGGAAAGGAAGTGGGGAAGAAATGGTGTTGAAGAGTTGAAAGGGATTGAATGGTGGAGTGATGAGAGAAGGATAGATGAAGGAATTTGTACAAAGGATATGCATGAAAATGCTTGGTAGCTAGTAACTGGTAACTGGAAGGAAAAGGAAGCTTTTCGATTATTGAAAGTTTACCAACCTTAGTCAGACCATATGAATTTGGCAGGATGGATGGGAAGTGGGAGAGTGGGGGAGAGTGGAGGAGGGAGTGGGGGAGGGAGTGCGCGATGAAGGCGTGTGTACTGTATAGTACGTAGCGGAATGAAAAAGAAACCAAAACAAAACAAAACAAAACAAAAATGAAGAAAGTCTTGAATCGGGTAGGTTTGGTTAGGGTGGGTTGAGTAGATGTTTGATTGTTTAAACTTGTGTATGTGTAGTTGTGTGCATGTATGTATTTTCATACTCGCAACCCAGATCTCGAAAAACAACTACAGAGCAATCTTACATTAAACAGCAGCGCTAGCTAGTATAGCAGCAACTAATAATTCATCTCTTGAGTTTTAAGTCTATATTCTGTCAATCCGGAGGTCAGTCAGTCAGGAAGGGAGGAGGTTTTTCGAAGCTAGAAGTTTCTTTCGAGGAAGTTTTATACAATGAAAATTATAAAGTGAATGATTTTTATTTTATGTATGTATGTATGTATATAGATGGAGTATAGAGAAAAGAGAGGTGCTTTATTGGCCTGTGCTTGTGCTTGTGCTTGTGCTTGTACTTGTACTTGTGCTTGTACTTGTGCTTGTGATTGTGCTCGAGCGAGCTCGGTGGGCTGGCTGGCTGGCTGGCTCGCTGGTTGATATGAAATATCAAGGGGTGTTTGTGGTTTGGGCTTTTGTTTTGGTTTATTGCTTTTGTTTTTGGTTCGTGGTTGGTGGTCATTATTTTGGTTTTTTATCCCCTTGATATGATAGATGATAGATGATAGAATAGACTGGAATGGAATGATCTGAGATTGTAATGGGGCTCTTGAGTGGTCTTTTTTGGTTGGGGAGGGGGTCTTTGGAGAGCGGTGTTTGGAATGACTTGGATGCGGGATTATGATATTGATGTTGTTGACCATGTTGATGAAGAAGAAGAGTCTTTGTGAATAATGGATAGGTTTTTTTGGGATGTGTTTGTTATATCAATGAACCTGAGTAGGAACGAGATCCATTGGGGAAAGTAAAAATAGTACAAGCACCACTCTTTGATCCCGAACTGCGAGGAATACCTTGAGGGATGAAGGAAATGTGTATGCTTATCTGTATTGTACGAGAAGCTTCGGTGTTCTCAAAGCTGGGGATTGATTTCAATGTAATATTTGCATTGGATGGAAGCCATGGGCTGGGTTTTCTTAGGGAGGTTTATCTTTGTATGAGGTTAATGGGATGGTTTGGTGGTTGGGATGATGGCTATATATTGGTCTACATCTCATGGTTTGAGATGTGCATTTTCGTTGCAAGTTTTTTCATCAGTTGGTCATTCGTGGAGACCTCATTTACTTCATCAGCGTTACTCAATTCAAAGTTAAGAAAACATGTCTTCTCATGACGAAACGGTGGATACCGATGATGATGATTCTACCTCGATGATTGCTCCTGGGCACCTAGGAAATAAAGATACCATGCTAAAACTCGCCTTCATTGATTATTTAAAGAAGTTGGGTATTAATGAGCTTGTCAATCTTCCTCAGGTACGCTCGCTTATCATTGCCACATACCCCTATGCATACATCAAACTCTCTACAGCGTTAAACTAATGTAAAAACAGCTTGTCGTCATTGGTGATCAAAGCTCTGGTAAGAGTTCCGTTCTTCAAGCTATCACACAACTTCTATTTCCCGTAGACGACGGTCTCTGTACTCGTTTCCCAACCGAGGTTTCCCTACAACGAGCATCCGAACACTCCCTCGAGATTAGTATCGCGAAACAAGTTCGTGCTTTCGATGTGCTCAATCAAACTCTTTCGAACAAAAAGTGGTTGGACAAACAGTCTGCGCGTATCGATGACTTTAACGGGAAATGGGAGGGACAAAATGCACAGCCTGTGGATTTTGGTGATATAATTACACAGGTATTGTCTCCGTTCTCATTGACCTTTGCAAAAGTTATGATTGAGCATGAATACTAATCTGTTGCTAGGCAAGAGTAGCAATCATGGGAGATCCCAATGAATCAAGTAAAGCTATCAAGGCACAGAACAAGAAGAACGTACTCAGTGATGCGACTCTGAAAATTGTGAAGAAGGGGCCCGGAGAAATCAATATTACAATTATTGATATACCTGGTTTGGTTTCATGTAAGTCTTTGCCATTTGTTCATGGTTGCTCGAATTTCTGACACTTATCAGCAAATCATGCCGGTAATAAAATAGCTAAATCATTGGTGGAACATTACATAAATAATCCCAGAAGTATTGTTCTGTAAGTCAACCAGAAAGGAAGTTATAGATTTTGACTGACATTCTCAAGAGCTGTTGCACATCCTGCAAATGTGGAAACTCAGGATATTTTCCAACTTATTGCGAAGATTGATGGGTGGAAAGATCGAGTCATTGGTGTTATTACCAAGTGTGATAAGATAGAAGTAGATGGGGATGATTGGGTTCGTATTTTCGATGACTGTTACTTCTATCATGAATGTATACTGATAAATAGCAATGACAGGTTTACAAAGCCATCAAGAACGAAGAGACAGATCTTATTTTCAACAGGTGTCTCAAATACGGCTGGTTTGCATTGCGAAATCTTTCTCCCGCAGAAAGAAAAGCCAAGCTCAGTAGCAATGACCGAGATAATAAGGAAGCAGCATTATTCCGTCAAAAAGCCTGGACAGATCTCAAATGTCCCCAAAAACTCGGAATCAAGAATCTCAAAAATGCTTTGACAACAATGCATAATGAACATGTCACTCGGAGTATTCCACAACTCATTCCCGAAATTGAAAAACGTCTCGAAGCTGCTGAGGCGAAGATTCAAGGATTGGGTCAACCGCGAACCACACCGGAGAGTCAGATGAATTGTCTCGTCAATCTTGCGACGAAATATTCTCTTCATGCAGCTGATGCTATCGATGGACATAATGATCGTTTACCGGTCAGTTGTGCAGAAGTTAAAATTCGAAAAATCGTCCGCGATGCTCTCGATGAATTTAGAGATCGGATGACGGCGGTATATGAAGAGCGGTTCAATTTCAATCGTCCTGCTTTTTCCTTAGAATCAGAGGAAGAACGAACATGGGAAAGATCAATACTTAGAAACAAGTACTTTACTGAAATCAGCAAATGCATCAACGATAATCGTGGCATGGAAATGGCAGATGAAGTCAATACAGCCGTGTTACGCAGTCTCTGGTGTGGAATAACACCAGATTGGAGAGAACAAACGCAAAAACTCATCGAGCATCTAATCAAAGCAATAGGCAAATCAGTAGAATGTCTACTCCACGCGATCTGTGACGAACAATCTCTCCGTCTCAACATCCAAAACCTACTCGAAGAAGACAAAAAGATAATCCAAAGCGACGCCATGCGCGAACTCGAGCACCTTCTCAACGACGAAAAATCAGGTCTAATCGTCACGCTTAACAAATGGAACGTACGACGACTCCAAGAATTACGCTGCGGACGAATTAATTTCATGGTGTCGCAATTGGATGCGCTCAAGCCTCGTGATAAGGCGTTTGTGCGTACACAGGTACAGAATTGGTTTGGACATCATGCGAAGATTGAGGCGATTTTTACGACCCATGATAAGTTGGCTAGTTATTATGAGATTGGGATGGTGAGGTTTGTGGATAATGTTTGTCATCAGGTTTGTGAGAGGCATCTTTTGGGGGGGAAGAGTCCGTTGAGGACTTTTGCGCCGGATTTGATCACGATGAGGTTTCAGGGGGTGAGTTTTTTTTTAGTTTTTTTCATTCTCTCGCCCCTCTATCCCAATCCCCTCATATACATCCCCTCATATACATCATCCCATTCCATCTCCCACATCCAAACCTCACTTCTCCCCCCATCAAAAAATCACAATCAACAATCCCAAACCCCTCAAATAAAGCCACTAAATACAAAAACAACTCGAATACTAACTAACTAATATAACCAAAACCCTACAGAACGAAGAGGCACTAAAAAAAATCGCTGGAGAAACTAAAAAACAATTAGCTGATCGCAATGCATTGAGACGGGATAAGGAATTGTTGCGTCAGGCTATGGGTAAGGCGAAGGAGTATAAGGTTAATTTGGGGGTGCAGGGGATGGGGTTGTGAGAGAGTGGGAAGGGATGGGGTTGGGGAGTTTCTGATTTGGGATTGTGGTGGGAGAATGCGTGGATGATGGATAGATGGATGGATGGGGTTTTTAAAGATGAGAGGATAGGTTGTGGATGTAGGAATGCGATGGTATGAGAATGTGAATGTGAATGTGAATGAGAATGACCATAAAATAAGGGGGTAATCTTAACCTTAAGCGAAGTTAAAGTATTCTTACAAGTTAGCCAGTGACCTCAATTAATAAACCAATGAATAAAAGATAAAAAAAGATGAAAGAAAGTAAGAATTTAAGAATTAAAAATTAAATCTAGTATTTTATTTTCAATACTCTCTCTTTGAATTATTTTTTATTTTTATAATTAATTTTATTAAAATCAAAACTTATAAATTAAAACTTTTAAAAATATTAAATAAATTTTTAATAAATAATTAGAATTAAATTATTAATATTTTTCAAGTTTTTATATAATGATAAATTAAATAAATTAATTTACATTAAAAATAATAATTAAATTTTTTTCTTCAAAATAAAATAATTTTTTTGATATATTATAATATTATAAATTAAATATTTAGATAAAATTTATAATTTTTATTGAAACTTTGTTTTAGATTTTATAAAAATTAAAAATTTTATTTTTAATATCTGAATTAATCAAATTATAAAAATTATTTAAAAAGATTTTATTATTAAAAAATTATAATTTTAATATGAAAATAATTTAAAAAATTATTTTAAAATAAATAAAAATCTTGAATTTATAATCTTATATAATATAATTTTATATAATATAATATTTTTTTTTTTTATATTTATATAAATATTTTAATCACTTTTATAACTATATTTATAAATTATAAATAAACTTAATAGAAAACTTTTTAAAACTTTCAATTACAAAAAGTAAAAATAATTTTTAAATATTATATATAGCCTCAAACAATTCAAAGTATTAATAATATTATAATATAAAAATATTTATTTATTTATTATACTTTCATTTTTTTTATATTTATCTTTTTAATCACTACTTAATAAAATCAATATTAAATAAATAAATAATAAATATTAAGATTTTATATATATTTTTAATATTTTATATATAAAGTATAATATTTTCATTTATTTTAAAATCAGAGATTGAAATAAAATATATAATATTTATTAATTAAAATATTATTTTATTTTATTAATATCATATACTATATTCAAAATTATAATTAATAAATAAAATAAAATAAAAACAAAAGAAAGAAATCTCTTTAGTATTTTAAAATTTACTTTGTATTTTAAAAGAAAAAGAAAAAGAAAAAAAGTCTTAAATATATTTGTAATCTTATTTATTGATATTTAATGATATTGAAACATTAATCTTAATATTCAAAACAATTTTATAATTCAGTATTAAAATCCATCTGTTAGATTTTGTATCACTAGTTTTATTGCAATATCTCATTTTACTATCCTATTTACGGCGTACCTACCTACCTACCTATCGATAGCGAACAATTTCCACCTCCACCTCTTATCAGTCGATCGGTACTCATCCGAATAATCTGAGACAAGACAAGACAGGAGCAAAGCAAGCAAGCAATCTGAAGATGATGCGCGCCGATAAGATTAAGATATAGTTTACTTTTTATCTTCCTATCGATTGTAGATTGCGATTATCGACGACACGATATGATATGATGTGATGTGATGTGGGGGATGGATAAAAAGATTTGCATATGGGTTAGATGAGATGAGATGAGATGAGATGAGATGAGATGAGGAGCCGAAATGAAAATCTAGTAGTCTTTGCACGGATTTTAACACTAAGAATATGAAATGATGACTAGGAAAGTGTGTCAGGGATTGATATGGATAGATAGATAGATAGATAGATAGATAGATAGCATAGTATAGCTTCGTAAATTGAAATTGGGATCAAGATGAATTCATGCGCCTCGATCATATTATTATACATATATACATACATACATACATACATACATACATACATACATGAACCGACTACTTTTCCGGTTCATATAATTACTGAGTATTGATAACTAAGGTATCCATCCATCCATTCATTCATTGATAAATTGATACTTACTCACTTGAGTAATGATAAACTAACTAATTCACTCTTACCAACCTCCTCATTCATAACTCAGTCCAACCCCAACCCCTCCTATGAATATCTCCTCTCTCCTCTCTCCTCTCTCCTCAATCCCATCTCGGTAAAGCGGGATAATTCGACTCTCTTTTTATCCTACATAGAGTGTGATTTTGGTGTTTTGACAAGGTAATCGTAATCGTAATGTTATTTTCCATTCTGGAATTTAAATTCGAGCTTTGATATTGTTTATATAGATATGTGTAATGTTTATTTGTTTGTTTATTTGTTTGTTTTGATGTAAATATTAATTAAACACGTCGAACGAATTGGGAATTAAAGTAAACAAAGACTTTTCATATGAGTTTTTGGTTGTCAAGTCTATGAAGTTGAGAAAAGTGCTGGCTCAATGTACTTATTATCTTCAAAAAGTCTCTTTCTCCTCTTCCGTTCAGCATCTATGACGGACATAGCATGGCATGAAATGGCATGAAATGGATCCTTGGGAAAAGTACAATGATGCTCGTGATACATGTCCAAAATATACGTGGCACAAGAAGAAACGCGTAAGGTAGATTGAAGTTCTTTCTTTACAACGTCTATGCATGGAGGGGAAGAAGAGTTTGATTGTTGTCAGCATCGCGAATGCCATCTTTATTCTTGGCTGTGTTGGAACAGATGGGGTTTATTCTTAGGATTATAGCGGGAAAATTGGAGTTTCAAAAGTTCTACTGGATCCAAATTTGGTCGGTGCTGTCCAGCTGTCCAGTGAATGTGCATATTGATCGAGGGCTGCTTGGGTCGAAGGACTGTACGAACTTCGACGTAGTCATAAGATTGGTCCAAGGGAATGGGTAGCAGCAAGGCAGTCGTGAAATGCCCAGGTGGATGAACCAACAAGGTATGATAAGATCTTACTACCTAAGGGAGGGGGCTAGAAGAACAATGAGAATACAGAATATGGAATTTGACTGGGGAAGATTCAATCAATTTTGTATCTACTGGCCGCTTTAAATATTTAATATATTTTCATGACACGTGCTTTACGCGTTTTATTGGTCTAAATGGGTTGATAGTGGATAAGCAAAATAAACAAAGTCCAAATCGGGATTAGGAATCATACAGCCCCGGATATGTAGTATTGTATGTATGTATCTAGGTAGATGTGTATATGAAAGGACGAATCCTATTTTGAAACTGGCTGCAGGCTGTGTACAGAAAAGTTGAAACGATACAAAACTTGAAAGGCTAAGAAGAATGTTACCTTTGTAAGCAAAGCTAAGAGAAATGGGAGAGTGTGTACCTCCTTACCTCCCTTTTTGGATACAAGTTGCAACGGTCGAGATGTTGTAGAACCTCATAATCAACCTCATAAGCTTTATCGGTTTCGGTACCTGGGTGTACGACGGAAAGGAATGGATAGATTGGATGAAGACGATGAAAAATCATAGGTGGCCAGGATCCCGATGGTCAAAGTGTGGCTAATATTTATCTATTGATTTTTGATCACTTTTCTCTTTTTGGCTGGTCTCAAACGCGTCAAGGTTGAACGAAAAACGGGCAAAAAGAACGAAAAAGACGCGTTCTTGGATAAACAACTTTTCTTTCCCGTTTCCCTCTCCCCAATAGAATAATAGAGCTAAACTTTGATCCCCCATCACAAACTACCCAGTACATACCGACACTGTACTATACTATCCTACACTATACTAGAAATCCATCATCATAACATACACTACTACACTCATACGCTCATACGCTCACATACATTCTAAAGTCCAAAGCAACAGATTCTTTCCACATATTCCACTGCAACATTTCAATCATTTACTTTACCTAGGTACCTGCCTCGTTAGCATAACCTTACGAAAACGACCATAAAAATAAACGACATCTAATCCCTCCATTTCCAATAATACCGACAACCTACCTCCTCCTTACGCTTACACTTACACATTCCAACCACGAATATTGGCAATACGAAACTGGTTTTCTATCCAAGGAGGCGTTGTTGAGAGAAGAAAGAACAAGAAACATTCCAGGGTCGCCATTCAAATAGGCATCTACCCTACCTACCTACCTACCTACCTACCTACCTACCATCCACCTACTAGTATTTTGCGACAAGTCACTACGCGCCCATTGGTCTTTCCATTTAGAGTACATCCCAACCCAACCCCAAATCTCAAAGCAAACGGGAGCCGCCAAAACTCAAAGTCAGGTCCGATTAAAGTCAAGTGCGCACGATACGGCATCTCTGCTGTACATTCGAATGCGAATTCTTTTGGAAAGAGGAAAGAACCCATACGAAACTATACCAAGTATGACGTGAAGACTTTCCTTTCTCTACTTCAATTAACAGAATATACTCATCATCGCAATTGCCTTCTATAATTTACACCGTACCATTCTCGAACCACCAATCTCCCACCGACAACCGAATCCGACTCATAACTCTCTTCCCTCTTTCTTACGCCACTATCCTCCTCTTCCGACATTCCTCGAATTGTTTCTTTACCTGTACAGTCTACATTCCGGTCGATTTCCAATAAAATACCCATTTTGGACAATACTTGTTGATTATTTCTTTCTCAAGTTATAGTCTATTCAATCGAGCATTCAAAAACAACCTGCGACATAAAGGAACTCTGTATTAGCTGGTCGGTCCCATTTCATCCACAACCTTTTCTCTCTATAGAACCGAGGACTGCGACAAGAACGACGACGCGACAAATTTCGAAATAGAATAAAAGAGAAAAGTTATTCATTTTCTGTAACGACTACATTTCTTCATGTCGCAAGACGAATAATTTCCGACATCAGCGCCAAAAAAAATAAGAGATCACTCCTCATCTTAAATTGTCAAGCCGCGACATTCCAACAAACATCATGTCGTACTCCAATAGTGGCGGGGGCACCCTTACTATGCCATCACCTACACACGTTCACCATGTTGATGTTACCTCAGCAGTGAGATCGCTAAGACGTTCTATATCGCGTTCGCCATCCAAGTATCGACTGGTCACTAAATCTCCTAGCCCATCACCAAAATCCCCGCTGTCACCATCTCCATTGTCACCATCTAAGCGCGCATCCTCATATCCTGCCTTGTTCGCAGGAACAAACACACCTCACACACCATCACCACTTGCTGTACCATTTCCTCCAAGCTCAAGATTGGCAGTTCGATCTTCGTCGCGAGCCAAGACTGCCCCTCCTCGACAAGGCACCCGTCTGCGAACATCACCTAGAAGTCCTATGAAGCGGGCATTGAGCCAAACAATTGATACTGGTAACGCGACTCCAACACCGCTCGGTTTTATGGGTGGACAAGAAAATTTTGGTGGTAGCAGTCCTGTCGACGGAAAGGGCCTGGAGAAGCTTCCGAGAATGCAACTTAATTTAGATTCGATTGCGCCGGCCAACCAGAAATTGTCGCGACTAGGTGGCGATGGAGCCAGTGATTGCAATACATCCAGCTCAAGTCCACTGAAGCGCAGCGATACAATCATGAACTTTGATCAAGCAAGCCTCGGAAGTCCAGTCGCAAAGCGTAGAAGTCTTCACGGTTCTGCCAACTTTGGCCAGGACTTCAACGCCTTTGATCCGCCACAGACAGCAGCCTCTCCATCGCAATTTGATATTCATAGTGATTTGAATCACGAATATGAATTATCCGCCACAGTTCTTACTTCTGAAAATACTGCATCTCCTTTCACCTCGACACCTCGACGTTCCTCTTCTTTGCGTAAATCCACATTACTTCAAAGAAATGGCGAGAAGACTTCTTGGGGTCGAAGACATGCAGCTCAAATTTTAGCTGCGCAACAATCCGCACAACAACAACCTTTTGCGATTGCGAACCAGGAAATTGTTAGCCCAAGTAAGCAAAAGAATCGTCCAAGATTGTCTTTGGATCAGTTCGTTGCACCCCCAAATCGCGATAGCCCGTTTAGTCCCCAGGGTAACCTTCCAAATGCATCTATGCACGCGGTCAATCAATCACAACAACCCACACATCAACCACATCCACTTTCACGTACCATGACAAATTCCTCCTCTAGCTCGAGCATCGCTGAGGATTCACCTGTTCAACAAGTTCCTGTTAAGTTTGCTGGTAACCAAAAGTCCAAGATCGATTTTTCAAAATCTTTACCTGCTGGAGCTCTAAGGCCGTTCAATTTGGATGCTCCTAATGACTTCTCAACTCCCAAGAATTTTAAAGCTGTTAAGCCATTACCTGCTGCGTTCATGTCGACGGGTCTCATCTCAAAGGTCAACAGAAGACCGGAAGAAGTTCAAATGCTTCGTGGAAACACCAAGTCAAATGTTCCAGACACGCCATGTAAGAAGCAGAACAACATTTTCGGTACTTACCCAGCCGCAGTTCCAACTAGCGCCATTGCGAAAGCTAGGCAAATCCGGCATTCATTCGGTACCCCATCAACACCCTTCAATCCCCACGGAGCACCAGCTATCGGTACCTTTGGAAAGGGCAGTGGCGTCTTTGGAAGTAGCTTTGGTCAACCGCGAGGTCTAACTCGACGAGGTAGCTTTCTTAGCATCGATGGGGACGACATTGGATCGCCGGATTTCAAGACCGACAGTCAAATTAGTGATTTTGATCTACCGCCAACTCCAACGAAGCAAGCCCCGAGCTTTTCTCATTTTCAAAACGGTAGTCCTACGAGTCATCGATCGATTCCGGCCTCAATGTCTGCTGTGGGTGGCTATAGCTTAGGAAAGATACCAAGATCAAGCAGTAAGTTGAACCTCTCTACGAGTCCAGGCGAGCAGGAAGAGGAAGACAGTGATACTTCCATCGATATGAGCGACTCTCCTACACCGGCCGCTGCCGGGCTTCCCTTCAGTACTTCTATTTCTGTACCCTCCTTTTCTAGATCCCGAGCTTTGCGGGGCATGCAATCTCCTTCGCCGCTGATGGCTAAATCTCTTACTACATCTTTTTTGAGTCCCTCAAGACATCCTTCAAGAAAGCCCGGTTTTGCTAAAATTAGTCACGTGGCTCCAGCCAGTCCATTGGAGCGTGTAGATTTCATCGAGAGACTGTCACCTTGTACACCTCAAGACAGCATGTTACCGCCCGATCCAAGTGGGCTCTCCATCTCTAATCATAAGGATGGGCAAGCTCAACTAGGTGCTAATAGTGCTCCTGTTGCTCCACCTCCAGCCACACCAACCACTGGTCGAGATTTTTTCGGTAAAACCAGCACCACCCCGATTGGAAGCTTCCCACCTCGAGATGTGGATGAGTCCCTCGTATCACGATTCGACCAGGTAGAGATGATTGGAACTGGAGAATTTTCCCAGGTGTACCGAGTTACCCAGAGCTCTCAAAAGGCATCAGCATTCCTCTTTGGCGATACAGTCGACTCCCCAATGAGTGGTAGAACACCACCAACACCCCAGCCACCACGTATCTATGCCGTCAAGAAGTCTAAACAACCATATCAAGGCTACAAGGATAGATCCCGGAAGCTCAAAGAAGTTGAGGTTATCAAGGCACTTGGTCAGGCTGACAATGTGGTTCACTATGTTGACTCTTGGGAAGAGAAGAACTACTTGTACATTCAAACCGAGTTTTGTGAAGAAGGTAGTCTTGATATCTTCCTCTATCAAGTTGGTCGGAAGGGAAGAGTAGATGATTTCAGGATCTGGAAGATTTTACTAGAGATTGGACAGGCAAGTTAAACCCTCTATGATTATCACACTTGACTAACATTTGACAGGGCCTTAAACATATCCATGATTCTGGCTTCATTCATCTTGATATTAAACCCGCCAATATCATGATTACTTTTGAGGGTGTCTTGAAAATTGGAGATTTTGGTATGGCAACTTCATGGCCTGCTTCCGATGCAATTGAAGGTGAAGGAGACCGTGAATACATTGGACCAGAGATTCTCCTTGGACAATATGACAAACCAGCAGATGTTTTCGCCCTTGGTATGGTCATATTCGAAATCGCCACCAACGTATACCTTCCCGACAACGGAGTCTCTTGGCAACGACTAAGATCCGGAGACATGAGCGAAGCCCCAAGTCTTACTTGGAGTGAAGCAAGTAGCATGCTCCGTGATGCTAACGGCATACCCATCGTACCAAGCGATGATTCCCTGACAAGCGATGATGAATTCGATGCCGACTTTGGTTCACCAATTGCTGCTAGCCGAAAACGATTTACCTCATCTTCCAAGTCATTTGCTCATGACGCAAGCAACCTATTCGGTTCTTCTCGGCGTGGTGAACTTGACCAAGCTCCAGAATTCATGAGAGACCCTAGTCATGAATGTACACTCGATAAGCTTGTTCGATGGATGATCTCACCACGTCCTCAAGATCGACCCTTGATTCATGAGGTACTTGAAGCAGAAGGTCTTCAATGGGTTAGCAATAGAAGACGTGCTGGAGCCACTGTTTTTGAAGGAAACTGGGGACCAGCGGATGAAGTCTTAGATGATGCTGAGATGATGGATGTTTAAAATCTTTCAGGATTTTGCTGCGAGCATCGCTGTTAACATTATCGCCAAGTACTCGCTCGATCCTGGATAGGACTTGAGGAGATTTGGATTCACATCAATTTGAATTTTATCATGTGTTTACGGCGTTGGCAGGATATCAACGGCGTTACCAAATGATATCTACCTCTACTTTACGACCCACTACCCCTACGATTCACGATTTGCCTTCTCAGCCTAACGACCTTACTTTCTTGTATATATTATTCTTCGAACATGAGTTCCTCGCTCATTTTACGCATTCACGAGACCCACAGCATCTAAAGCATACAAAATCAACATAAAAAAGACGAGAGAAAGATAATATTTGGTGGGGATCACTGATCAAGTTATTGAACGATTATCATGTCAAGATTATTATGAAAGAAAAGAGGAAGCGACTTTTTACCTTTTATTTGTGTCTTGTTTTTGCGAGTTGATAGGCAGGTATATGGATTTGATTACAAAGAAAGATAGTATCTATCCATGCTTGCTATGAGCTTAACCAGATTTTGATTGCTTTGTATTAGCTACGTTTCTTTTTTCGAAAGCTTTTAGTTTCTTTTGTTCTCTACATACCCTTTTGTTCTCCAGAAACCGACGTGCTCAAATACGAAGCACATAAGGTTAGAAATGTTTTGTTTTTAATAGGGGAGTTGTGAAACGACAAATTCCTAATCATAAGGGAGGATGGGATGGATTGATTGATTGATGGATGGGGAATATATGAGGTGTTTTGTGTTTGTCTTTGTTGAGGCATGGGAATGGGATGGAGTGGAATGGATTGATTTGATGGAGTTTCCATTTGTTGAATTTCGTTTGTTAAGGGTGAGGATGAATATGCGTGCGGGAGAGATGGGTGGGTGTGAAGAAGATTGAGTGGGTGATGAATGATGATGGGTGGTAGTGGTGAATGATTGTAGATATAGAGATCCTTGAATTGTGGATGGATGGGCACTTGCTTATTTGCTTGTTTTGCTAGATAGTCTAGAGAGACTCGGAGATACAATACTCTTGCTTGTAGCTAGCTGGCTGATATAGCTAAGATTCTGGACTGATTCAAGAGAATGAATAAGAATAAGAATAAATGATGTTGACAATCACATTCTTCAATATTTGAAGGACCAAACCAATGATCTTTAGAGTGCAGCTCAATTTCTTATTATTGTAATTTTAAGGAGGTTAGTAGTATGAGATTAAATGATGATGATTCTTATCTTTCAAGAGAACGAAGCAGAGTTATTGTTTAAGTCCGAGTTTATGATTCAGATTTTATTTAATTATATCGATTTATTATAAAATTATTAATAAATAAAAATAATAATTTCTGATATAAAAAACAGTTCAAATAATGAGGTGATTTAGAATAAAATATTTAAATTTATAAATTAAAAATTCAAAGTTCAATTTTTAATATCTTGATTAATAAATTTTTTAAAAGAATTCAAAATTTAAATTTTATTATAATATAAATAATAAATCTTTGTTTGTAATTTCAGAAAATTATACTTGTAAATCAAAAAGTTATTAAAAGATAAAAATTGTTATTTTTGATATAAAGAGATGATTTAAAAAAGAGATGGTCTGAAAGTGAGATATTAGATTTAACAGATATTTCTATCTTTCTACTTAGGAATACACAATGGAAATACTGAGTTAGTACTGGTATCTTTTATATCTTGGTTGATAATGGGGAAGTACTTGATGAAAATGATAGTGGAAATGATTGAGCCCTATTAGGGCTATTAATAGGTTGCCCGAAATAATAGATTACTGATATCGATATCTATATATTGTAAAAGTGGTAGGTCGAGATACATGCGTCCCGATAGTACGCTGTGAGGGGGAATTGGAAGAGAAAAGTTGAGAAAAGTTGGTTAGATCATATTGTAATATGTTATTTATGAAGAAAACGGAATTCACAATGGTTTTGGGGTTGAGGTTATATAGGTTTAAATATATATATAGAAGATTGATTACTTCGAAAAGAGGTAAAAGCTTTTCTTTTATATGTAATTACAAAAGGTTATGTGATTGATTAGTTAAAAACCTTTATGTATCTGGCTTATCATTCCAATTTTCTTACAATATGTATTCGATCGATTTATGTGGAGGGGCAAGTTTTAATAAGGGTAGCATAGATGCCGGAGTTCTGATCTGATGCAAATACTGGAGTGAGGAAATAGATTACTTAATTATGATATCTTAAATAGTATACAAATCTTAAAGTTATGTTTTTGTAATAAATAGAAACCTCTGATTTGATCAGATATTGAAGCTGTTCAGACGCTTGCCGATGTTCCGGCACCAAAATAATGCATGCCAATGCGTTTTCATGCTTCACTTCTAAGTAGGAAGAGATTTGTTGTTCAAGGTCTCTATGAAAGACTACAAGCATATATAAATAATTAAGGAAGGATTGAAGCCCTGATACGTTGTGGATGAAAACACAGCGGGATGTTGTCTCGCAAAATGAAACTTCACATCTCCTATGCACATACTTTACGCGGGGACTATCATACTTACCGAGTATGTTTTTATAAACTCCGATTTGACAACCATGAATACATTTCAATTTATGCGGAGAATATGCCTTCTGACATCAAATTTGGGCTGACCCATCAAGTAATTTACCTCTCACTAATCGGTCAAAATACCATGACGGAAGATGTCTCTGAGCTGGCCTGTCAGAGTGAATCTAAAGCGGCGCTTTCGATTTCAACAAAATCAAAAGAACCCATCAGACATCGGGAACTCAAAATGAAGCCTTGTGTGGATTTAGGTATATTTCAACCTTTTGGAGAGATGAGAAACTCCGTTCTGATGGACTCCTCCAAGAAATATAGCGGATGAAGACCCCGAAAGTATTAGCCTAAACCATGTATATATTTGTCATAGAAAATATTATCTAAAGTCCCTTTCGCTTTTGATCTGCTGGTCTGCTCGGCGCACTATTTGATACTTATAGGGTTGAGAAAGTGGAAATGATGCAAGAAATTTTCAATGCGACGATCGACCGGTTGCCAGTTTTATGTTTGAGAGACTCGGAGACAAAGTAGATTCAGGTGGTTTGTTAAGAGCGTGCCTTTGTATGAGATTCTCAGCCACCACGTGCACGGGAGGACTGACATTGAAGTTCTGCATCATAAATTGAGATTCGACGGAATGAAATCGGAACTCCGTTTATTAAATGGTATTAATGTAGTGGACAGTAACCAGAAATACAACGCGAACCCGGGGAATATTGGTATTAACATGATGGTCTATTGTATGAATTTTTCTAATTAGACAGACACATGTGGATAAAACAGATTGTATGGAATAATGACAACATTACACTAGAAAGATTGGTACAGCTCGCGAAGAAACTTGGCCAAAATCCACATGAAATTGCACGTAATGCTTGCCACGATACCAAAGAATCTTATGAAGGATGCAGGAGTTAGACCTTCGGTCCCAAGGCTGATCTAGAACACAATGTCTTCTACCCATCCAGCAGCTGTAGATACGTATACAAAACGCTTCGTCTTCTAGCTCTGATTTGAATTAGTAAAATAAGAGATGGAGAAAGTGTATAAAACTCGAGGAATACAAGAAACTTAGCAGAATTCTCATACGAGATCATGATTGGAATCTATAGAGTGGTTTCTATGAATTAGATGAACCCTTCTTGCATTATATTTGCTTGAGTTACCACATCTAAGAAATGAAAATTTTGCTTGAGATATATGGAAATGAGATCTAATTTCAAGATGTCGGGGGGATAAATGCGATATTTTGCCTACCTACCTTAAGTTATATGTCTTAGCTTAATTTGTCTACCACCAATGACTAAGTTCAGCGCCGCTTTGATGCTGAATATAATCATTCATATAGAGATTGAATCTATAAACTGCACATATTCATAGGATAGTAGTGTACCTGATCATATATTAAGCTGCTTTCTGACAACGGAGAAATTAGTAATTACTCCATTCTCATTTTGGAGGAGCGTAAAAGTAATATACAAATATCTGACATTACATGATGAACTCTCTTTATGATTGACTCAGGCGACTTAACACGCTTGACTGCACTTGCAATCTAGACTCTATAAATTCTGATACACGAAAGTCTATTGAACTTCGCAACTTGGGGAGCAGGAGGAACCTTTCTTCCATTTTATAAAGGTCTTTTGGTCCATACACTTATGTCTAATCCAGGGCAGATATATGCCTGACTTTGGAACAAAGTATCCAGTTGCGACTTCTGCGAAGTTTGTGGGTATACTATACTGTATGGTAAACCACAAGGTAATTAAACAAAGACTTCTTCTTTTACTTCCAAATCTTGTGAAAATGATTAAATTTACCAGACACAACATCATAATAATTCAACAAGCCAAGCAGTGGCAACAATTAAAACAATATGACTATATAAAGAAATCCGAAACCCATCCATCCATCTTCCAGTCTCAAACAGCAAACATATCCAAACCAAATCATCAAAACCCCAGCAAAACCCATAGATCCTCACACACATACAAAAGCCGAAAATTCCAAATCATTCCCCGAACCACAAAACAGAAATTCCAAAAGAACTGGACAAAAAATCCCTCGAGAAGGATTCACATCCCTTCAAAGTTCACATCCTAGAAATCTGCCAAGTCCGGCAACTTCCGCTTTCTTACTTTAAAGGCTCGCGGATCGAATGCCATAAGCACACCAACTTGCAGATAAATGTGCAACACTAGCCGCCGGTTTTCACTTCCGCGTTTCCATCCAATGGTATTGGATTGCTAGAGTCGGATTGCAGGAAGGTATTGATCCTTGTTGTTTATCTCTGGATTGAAAAATTTCTTGCTACTCTGGTTTGTACGAACGGTTCCATTGCTAGATATTGATGCCATTTTTTGTGTTTTTTTCTAGTTTCAAGGCTTTCAAAGTCCAGTCTATCAGTAACAGCAGTCGAGATTTTATAGCCGTTAAATTATAGGCCAGATTGGTGACTGCAACGACTCGACTTCCAATTTTCCTAGCAAACACTTCTAGAGCGCCCTAAAGGAATAAACCACAGCCGAAGTCGCAGCCATAGCCAGACCCCGAGCCGTGCTCTCGGGTAATATTCATTCTAAAAGAAAAGTCCATCCAGCATCTCAATTCCTTCCCCGTATCACGTGCCTCGCTTACACACTGGCGGCTGGGGTGCAGCGGCAAACCCGCATCAATTCACCATCCCAAGACTCAATCCAACATCAGCACTTAAACTTAAACCAAACTCTATCCTGACAACAACCCACAATAGCCGAGCTCATTATGAAAAAAAGCCTTGTCTTGCCACGCTTAAATCATCCTGCGTCCATAAATCTTTTATTCCCCGCTCGAGTTTTAAATCCTTATTTCCGTTGGTGTGGAATCTCGTCTGTGAAGTGATTACTAGATAGGTCTCGCTATACCTCTTTTGATCCTGTAGATGCGGGGTCCTTGGTCTTCTTTCTTTCTATTCCCTAATCTGATGTTCCTGAAACATGTGGGAAACGTTGCAGTACACGTACATGGAACCGGGGTCTCCTTTTGTAATGACCAGGGCCAGCGGTTACCCGGTTGGCTTATTCAACTCATTATCTCACTCTAGTCTTGATTATACTCCGCTTGTAATTGCAATTCTTCCGTTGCCAAATTCGTCTGTTCTTCTGCAGCACTGTTCATTGCGATGTTTTTTTTGGGGGGATTTCAGCCGGTGGATCCAAATACGCTTGTTATATTAGTATTTTCCCGCGTCTATGATCTGATTTCATTTGACAGAATCGGTAATGATTTCTTTAGAACGTGGATTTCTTGAATTTAGGTCAAACGCGCAATACCAAGGCTTGTTTGGAGGATTGCGGGCAAGACGGCGGAGTAAATCAAGTGGTAATCTGAGACCGCGGATCTCTTCCTTCCAGCTCATTCTTTACGAAATCATAAGCCAACCATATCCTTACTTCAAAAGACGATTGTGGCGTGTTAAATCATGGTGTAGATGAAGCAAGGCTTTCAGGGTTGGCAGGCGCATTCTGTACTTACTGAGTGATTTTGTGCCTATGGATCGACCTTGGTATTGGGAATATCCCAGCGAGATATTGGCTCGAAAAAGGTCTGGACTGTAATTTTAACCCATTAACGGTTGGTAGTGATAACAAGTTTGGACATGATCGGTATAAGTACATGTTATGAAAAAATTCGAGTGGAAAGATTCAATCAGCAATCAGGCAGATCTAGGGGTTCGGACAATTAGTTACGTGCCAAGATTGAGGTATATGCGGACATAAAAAGCTTATCATTTAAAACGAAATAGAAACTCGGAGTCCGGCTCTGTCTTACAGGCAACCATTTCTCCGATAGGGCTCCTCTCCAGATAGGCAACAGCAAAACTTTTCTTGGTGGATTACTTACACAACATGTCGACAACTAGAAATATATCCTACGTTCAAAGGAACAGCAGCTTCCAGGAACATCATAATAAGTATCCTCGTGAAAACGATTGTTGGAGCTCAAGCAGTAAGCCCGACTTTAATTCACAAACTTACAATTTACGAACGCGTGGCCTTTCCCATTGTACATCGCCAATATGTACTTCGCCCACAGATACGAATTCCACCGACATCTCTTTCGACATCCATGATGATGCTATTAGCACATGTATGGAAGAGAGTCGCAATGCCTGTAGTAGTCAATACCATGCCGGTGTCTCTCAAAGTGACATTGCCACCTCCTCGGACTATAATGACTACCTGTGGCAAGATACGTCATACCAGACCTTTACCTGCGATTCAGAATTGATTTATGATGCGAATATTGACCCGAGCCTTTGGAACTGCGGTGCTATGAGCACTGGACCTACTGTTCCACGCCCAGCCGCTACAGAAGCCCAAAGCATCCTCGACGAGCCAGATTTTAATAGGTGCTGGGATATCCCATCAATGGAAGGAGCATCCATGCCTATAAGTGAACATAGCGGAGGAGTTTTCCCATCTTGCATGGTTGACGAGCCTAATATCGCGAGAACGCCTAGTGTCAATTCATTCCGATCGGCCGTTTCGGATTACATAATGGAAAGGCAGCCTGCTTCCTATTTCTTCGATACGACCGAGTTTATGATGATGAGATCGCAATCCATTGGCGAGGAATCATACCGATCCGAATCAACTTTAGGATCACCTCCACCAGGTGTAATGGGAAAATCATCATCTTGCTCCAAAAGGAAACGAAGAATCCCAGATAGTGATGACCCGAACCACATAAATCGACGGGGAGATACTGGGAGAAGGAAGTTGGATCGATATTTTTGTACTCGTTGCAATGCATTTCCCAAAGGTTGGAAGCTACCCGAGGACTTACGAAAGCATAATCAAGCATACCATACTGAGACGGGATTTTACTGCGCATCGGGGGTGGCTGAAAATTGTGCCTATTGGAGTTCTCAAGAGTCCAGATATGTTGACCATTTGAAGGCAGAGCATGCTCATTTATGCATCTCACAAGAGACCATCCGGAAGTATAATACCATAAATGGTATCACAGTCGACGGGAACTATATGTGCCGGATACCAGGTTGTAAGAAGGTATATAAAAGGGCAGAGAGAGGCAGGCGTGATAAACATGAAGAAAGGAAGGCAGCACATAGTAGCAGCTAGGCAGCCGGAAAGGCGTGGATCGATTTCATCTGTACTCAACTTACTGAGAGATGAACGAAAAAGGATGGCTTGTGTGGATGAGAACAGAAAAAATTGATATGAACAACGCGAATCCCCCTTGCGAATTAGACAATGAAAATGGAGGTCCAGTCATGGCGTTCGAATAAGCTGATATGAGGCCAATACCGTGGGGGTTGGCATCCATTGCAATTTGAAAGCAAAGATATTATGGCTCAGTGGACAGTCCTCAGATAATTAGATTTAAGAGAAAAAGAAAGATTCAATGATAAATAAATCAAAACATAGCTGCCTGGAATGGATATGAAACGGCGCCTAACACTACCCATATGTTGTGCATCCAGGGCCTAATCCGACAGCCTTTCTGCGCTGCCTGGAGTACTCTAAATACCGCCATGAATTAGGGTAGCGCGTCCATTGGACAATTTTCCGATTACTGCCTCAAACTTCCAGCTTCATGAGATATTTATTTTGTGCATTACGAATTTTTTAAGCGGGATTGGGTGCTCAGTTCTTAATCAACATCAAATATCAACATCCTTGACTTGGGTGCAGGCTATTTTATACTAACATTCATTGATAAAAGAAAGTACAGCATACTGCATCGCATTTCTTGAACTGAAGTTCAATTCCAGCAACATCGAAAAAATGCCAGCACCAGGTTCTCACGTAAGCAGAGCTGAGACGGCTTCACGCACCGGATCAGGTAATGATGGCCGCAGGTCTTCTGATAGAACTGTCTTTTCAAAAATCAATCGCACAGAATCAGTCCGTCCTGAGTCAGTTCGTGCAGAGATAGTTCGCACAGGATTGGCCTGTGGAGAACAAGATCATGGATCAAGAACGCGGAACCTCAACATCGTCATATCAGCTAGCACTATCTCCAGAGACTGTGTCCTACTCCTCCGAACCACGAGGGAACAAGATTCCAAAATCCGAGACTATTAGCCGCGAGACTGAACTAAAAGCAAACTCGATGGCAGCTTTAATAACAATGATAGTGTATGCAAAGCAGAACCAGAAGAAGAAAAAGAGACGACGAAGGAGATTCTTGAAAGGTCGCAAAGAAGACATCATCATCATTATCGTTGTTTCTAGAGCGATGAGATAGATTCTGGTGGAAGACTTCGATCCCGATCATTAAAAAAATTCAAAAATAATGACTACCACTGAAGCTAAGCTTGGTCCCTTATGCGTACGAGGATGAAAAAAAGTACCATAAAGCTCCCAGTCGATAAGCTCAAGAACATATCCTGTAGCCTAAAAAAAAGTTGACTGGCAGTGAATAACAACACTAAGGCGAGCCAGGCTTGGATTGAGGAACAAAAGTTTTGGAGATATGGTCTGGAATGCTAGGGTCAAAGAAATGGTAAAGGGGGGGGGGATAGAACGTCATTTTAGGCGGTTTAGCAGCACTTAGATTCCAGTATATCGTTATTTATTTAACTCTTTAAGATTGCTAGTTTCCAACCTGTTGCTTGCAGTCTAGTAACAAAATTTTACTTCCATATTTACCAATCCATGCACTCGTTAGCCCGCTTCGAAATATCACAATCAAAGACAGCGAACAAAGCTGTGATTTTTATGCTTGACTGGTAACGGGTTGTGGAGGTTGAATCGAGAAAGTAGAATGCTGATTCTGGTGCATAGCTAAAGAAAAGGCGAGTACAAGGTTTTGTACTCGGTCATCACTCGGGAAAGAAATTGATGTGGTAATCAAGCATTGTCTAGGTATACTAACTGTTCAAGCAGACCACGCAGATTACCTTTATCGGTGACCACGAACTCGGCCGGTGAGTACTACTACTTGCCCACTTGAAGCGTGTTCCTGCCCGGTGAAATATCACTTTCTAGTCACCGTTGCCTAAATTTTAAAGCATTATCAAAAGACTCCTAAAACTGCTCATTCCTGGAGAAACCTAGGTTATATTAAACATACGCCATACTCGAATTTCGAGACTATGAGCATTGATACACTTCTCATGCATGTATTCATGCCAACCGAAATAATAATCAAACCCATCTTGGTGTATTGCCTTTGCTTCTGTTAACTTCTTAGCATGTAACATACTCTCAAAGTAATAGGCTGATTTTAAATTGCGCATTTTTTTTGACTAGCTTGCAGCCGAAGGAATAGGCTAACCGTATATCGAAATTTATTCTGGTGAAGATTTTCTCGTCTGCGGCTGGTCTAGTAACCAATCGATGATCAAGTCCGCTTCATGTATTAGATGAGGAAGAGAGGAGGAATTGATGACAAGTATAGGCAAAATTGGAGACTCTCTTCAAACAATGGCAAGTATAACGTGGAGATCATAAATATATCCAATCTTTGAAAGACTTGCTGCAATTATGACTATTGCTATGAACGAATAACCATGATAATGAGTCCCAAGGGTCACTTGAACCAAGGCACTAAAACGATAGCATTCTCTAGTCCCGATGGATAGCTATTGGGGACCCTAAAATCGAATATATGGTGTGAACACATGAAATTCGCGGTATAAAGTGAGAATGCAAAAGAAGTGGTGGTAGTGTGTTCTGAAATTGCAATCCCATCTGGAAATTTTTGACATCTTCCTACATTATACGAAATGCTCATTCTGAAAACGAGTTTCCGTATTTTATACACGCATAAGCAACATAGTGTAGTCTTTCCAGACTCATACCACCCTGCGCTTTCTTGCCAATCCCTCGATATTCCTTCCACAAATAGTTGACCAAAGGTATCGTTCCAAAGCATCCGCGCCTCCTCATACTCCTCATTCATCCCTCTTTGCCAACTCAATCCTCCTTTGCCTGTTCTCGCGGGCTGCTGTTCTCGTCGGTCCCCATCTAGCCTTCACAGCTTCCAACTTCTCTTTCTCCAAATCTCTCTTCTCCGCTGATGCTTCGGTAATCATACCAATAAATATCGACGAGCAATTGAACTTCTTAGCCAATTGTAACCTTGTCCATTTCTCTGGTTCCTCGCCCCTTAATCTTCTGATCTCTGCCACATCCTTTTCACTCAAATGATGTCTCTCATACTTCAGTTGTTTCGGGTTGACTAGAGGTGGTAATCGATGTGAGAAAGCATTAAGTCGTTCTTGGGTGATCGCTAGAAGCTTCCTTCTCTTATCCTCCTTGGGAAGGAATTTCAGAGGGGTGTGGAACACGGATGGAGATGAAGATGGCGGATTGAATATGATGTGATCTTGTAATGCTCCATCTGTTGGCACAAAATTTGGATCTGGTTTGACATTTAAACGTTGCTTGGTACGTCTGTAAGTGGATTCATGTCGGCGGGCAGAGGCGTTTAAAGACAGTAGACATTGAGGTTTTGCGGATAAAACATCGACGACAGGTCTTCGCAATATCCTGAGATCCATGACTTGCACACGGCGTGAAAATTGAAGGAGTTGTGGCTTGATTAATGGCAAAACTCAATAAAGCTCTTCCAATTCACAATTTCATCGTCTCGGGCCCAAAAAGACGAATTGAAAATGTTTGCTGACTAATCACACTACACATATCACATCCGGGGCTTGCGATAAGGTTGATGCGATAAGGCTTTCGTCCCAAGTCCCAAATCATTCGTTTTTTTTTTTCGTATCATGGTTTCCAACTTTTTGATTGTCATGGGACTTCGTTTCTCGTTTTAAGGAAATTAAAATCAATGCTTATTTATGTTGGTGACCTGTGATGATGTGAGTGATTGACCAATTTTTCATTCACCGTTATTAACAAGGAATATCCAAAGTAGAATGCATTGAAGCATTGAAGCATCGAAGCATCGAAGCACTGAAACCAAAACCCTTTCGCCTCTCCCTAAGGGAAATCTCACAAGAAATCACCCCTCGCTCTCTTTCTCCTGACTCTTTCTGCTGCTTTCTGAGCCAGCCAATTTTACCCCAAAAAAGAAGCAAAAGGTAGGTGAAATCATCTTATAATGAATGTGATCACGATCACGATCACGATCACGATCACGATTACAGTTACAATTAACAATTGTGTCTACATTATGCCTCCTCTGAATTCAATTGTTCTTCTATACAGGAATTTGTAATTCTTTTTCTCTAACTGCTCAATATTTCATTGGAACTGGATTTTGAATTGAATTGAATGGAATCTTCTTTCTTTGTTGTCATCATTCACGTTTCTCTCTTCGAACAATTTTATTTTTCATTGTCCGAAAACAAGCTGATGATTCCCAAAAGATAAATAACCTACCTACCTACCTGCACGCGTAAGTCTGCAACCCTTCAAGGTATTTATTGGTTTGATTAAGGCGCATACGCCAGCGTCCATACGATGTGATGTGATCAAATTGTTAATTTTAACAGCGCATATTTATAACCGTACATGTTCATCTAACACTTCCCTAATAGTTACAAGAGATTCGATCCATTTTACTTTCCTCGATATCCTAGAAACACATCAGGTCTTTTCTACTAAATTGTCATCATGAGCGCGTCAGAATCAAGTACTTTACATGCGAAGACTCCTGTCCCCACAGGCCAGCAATCCATAACCACGTCAAGGGCCCCTCTATTAGCTGAGGGATTCACAGTACCAACGAACCAAACGTCATCGAAATCCGCTGAAAGTAATGATGTTGATGTGGATGCAGGTGATGCTGCGAGCGGAACCGCAAAGTCGGGAAAGAGAAGACTATTTGGATTTGGGAGAAAGAAGAACGATGAGAAGGTAAAGGGTAAAAGCAAGGATGAGGGAACGCTTGCTGGCAATGCACCATTGATTCGACCTCTCCAGCAGGCGCATGCAACAAATTCTCCTCCACGATCAGGTTATCCATACCAACATCCATCGTCACCGCCAAGTCGAAAACTCTTCTCATCTTCACCGCGTGTAGTGTCACCTGCAGGATCACAAATTTTCGAGCGCGATGTGCAAGAAAGTGCCATTCAACCAAATTCTCCCGCAATTCCGTCACATATACAAACAGAGGATCACATTCCGCCGGTCTTGGATGCCTCGTCCGAAGCTATTACCAACAATGACATTGACCCGGATACGGTGGAAATTGTTATGCACTCTTCTCATCAGCCGGCAGCAATGTCAATGACTGGTATTAGCAGCAGCGAACCTGCATCAATGTGGGCAGATGAGTTGGTGGCCCACCCTGACAGGGACGACGCGGCATCCAACTACGGTGCTCTCGACAGTACAGATATCCGGAGATTAAGCTTCATCTCATTTGCAGATGTAGTACAATCAGAACATGCGGAACATGCTGGCAACAGAGACTCAATCTATATTGCGGGACTTAGTGCGTTGTCATCACCAGGTATATCACCTGGTGTGAACCGCTCACCTTCTCCCGTGCGGTCACCAGTATCATCATTCGGCTTCGGAACATCACCTCCGACAAGTAAATCTGCTTCGGTGAAAGGTGTTGAGCTATCACCAGGTCGAAAACAAACCGCTCTTGCTAGTCCAACATCGCTTCACTCACCTACGAATGGTGGGGAATTAACTATAGAGACGATGGCACAGGCCGTTAGGAAGACGGCGAGCGGTGATCTTAGCGGCGGCCTTCGCAGTTTACCACTAAGCCCAGTGAGCTCTGATGGTCCTGACACGCCATTCAAGTAAGCTAGTGAGGATCGGGGCTGGATTGTTTGTTAGATGGGTGTCTATTATTCTATGTCAGCTGTATATCCGGGATTTGTTTTAAGGGTTGGGACCACTGCTGATGGGGACAAGGGAAGGGGCACGGATTGTTGCGTACATGAGATATGAGATACTCGATTGAGCGAACGGCACCGGCGTTCCGGATCAGGATTTGTCTTAGTTCTTTTTTAAGCTTCTTCATCATGGTAAATCGATATCTCTACAGCTTGTGTGAGTGATTGAAATTGGTATTCGTGATATATTTATATGATGATGTGCTATAGTAGTTTTGAGGCCCACTCAGTACTTAGTAGTGTTAGGCTTGCTACACAGGATATGATGAAGATGAATATATTTGGGATGTTACAACATGCAGTCTATGTACTATGTAGCCACTCTTTAGTCATTTGTGTGAGGATTGATAATATGTTATGAAGCCATTCAATTATAGATATAGATATAGATATAGATATAGATATAGATATAGATATAGATATAGATATAGATATAGATATAGATATAGATATAGATATAAATACAAACATTAATATCTATTCATGAAGATCTTAGTAGTGTTCAAATATATAAATACCTATATAAATATATTGATAGAGTAATTGATAGACTAATAATTGATAAAAACAGAGCTTTTGTTTCAGGTACGGACCGAGTAGGCAGGTTAGGAATTGGGGGGATCTGGGTATTGGGAGGATCTGGGAGTTGGGAGAATCTGGGAATTATTTAAGGTTAAGGTTTATTGGTGGAATGAAATTTAGAATTTGAAGGGGAGGGCGCTTTTGATTGATTGATGGATGGAGAGAGATGGAGATGGCAGCGCTGCGGGCCGGTTGCTGGGAAGGGTTTTAGACTTTTAGTGATTTTTGAATTTTGAATTTTGCGGCGGGTGTGTGTGTGTGTGTGTGTGTGTGTGTGCTTTGATATTCTTTTTAGAGATTTTGAGGGACGTGATGAGATGAATAAGATCAGGAGGTAAGATTACGATGAGAGTTTGTCGAATATAACTATCTAACAATAAATCAATATTTAATTATCTATTTTTATATATAAAGATAGATATATTATCTATCTAGTCATCTAGTCATCTAGCCATCTAGAAGTTATAATAATATCTAGATCCTACCAAACTTTCCTGTCTTCTGTACAGAATACCGATAAGCATCCTAAATCAACCGTTGTAATCCTCGGGACATGATTGGTACCCAACTATCACTCCCTTGTTTCCAGAACTTCCCCCATATACTACTTTTCCATTATTCCTTCCCTCACCACCGGATTGAGCAAGGATTCTGTGTAGTGTACTTCGTACCAGAGTCTGATACAACCGAAAATAAATAAGTCGGTCATCTAGGTCGGGTGCTCATCGCATCTCAAGTAATCTATCTTCTCCAACACATCATCCCAATCGTCTCATCTAAAAGAAGCAAAACATACGAGAAAACTGCACAACTCATACTTGTTAAGTAGCCTCATAACTAAAAGCTCATAGCTTCTTCATCATAACCTGCCACCTACAATCATAGCTCAACACGTTCCTCTTCACTCTTCTCTACTTCCCTACTTCTCCCTTTAATTTCCTCTCCTTTCTATTCATAATCTCCAATCCAGTCCCCATTCTTCAAATTCTCTACACCTACCCATTATAGCTGCCCAGTCAATCATCTCCCAACCTTAATCTTCACATACAAGGTGGCGGCGACAGGCCCGTTACATCACATCAATTCTCCTCCACTTAAGGCTCCGGACCACCTTATTACACTTTTTTATTACTACCTGAAGCCTGGTTCCTGATCTTGGTCTTGAATAGAACATTCCCCCAACTATACTAGTCAGCTGTCGGCGAACCAGCAACCCTTGAAAGCCCCGGCCTCTATACTCCAAAAGGGAAAATCGACCCGCTAAAGTAGATTCGACGGATACTTGGTTAAACTTGACATATATGGTATATGGCTAGTTATCATGAAGAACTGTCGAAACTCGCGATTGGTATTGGGAAACCATAAGGTGCATTCGAAGCGGAATCAATTCTATCGGTAAAAGGAAAACAAAAGCTTTGTCATTTATTAATCCAAAAGATTTACGCTACTTTGCGCGGTACAAAGACTGGCAGAAGCTTCAACAATTGCGCACATCTTAGACTTCCCCACGTACGCCACAGCTTGTCTCGAAGATCTTCAACCCAAATTGTTCGATACGACACCCATGCCACCTTCGACAACTCTGCTTGCATGCTTCCGCACATACGAAGACTCGAATACACGAGCTTATCAAATACTTTAACATTGCCGATGCCGCCATTTTTTGAGGCTTAGATGGTTGGGCATGGTTTTTTAAAACTTCCATGGGAAGGAATCGTGGGATGAGCATCTTATCGCCAGGTATGGATGCAAGAGAATATAATGGGATGTCTGGAAGGGAAAACACGGTGCGAGACTGGGGCGAAAATGCGGCGGAGACATTGGCACGAAGATTCTCTCCGAGTGAGCCACGACGACCACGGGGTTCTGGCCTGGATAGTACCATTCGCACAGTTACACCCGAACCTATCGAGGTAACAGACGACAACCTAAGCATATTGGAGACTCCGCCTAGGCTCTTTCCATCTGTGCCGACCTCGCCGCGATCGATACCCGGCGGAGAAAAGCCTAAAGAACGGCGTCAAGGCCTTGTTTTCCATGATTCGTGCAGCAGTGATTCTGTTGACAGGCCCGTTCAAAGTACCATGAGCCTTCGATCTCGACCTCGAACTTATACTGTAGATGCTACCACGCGAAAGAGGTCAGGCTCAGGAGGGGCTCCAAGAAATAGGCAGCGGATTGGTTCAATACATTCTACAAACTCATCATCATTCCATGACCTTGAGCCGCGATCCGATGGTAGCATTGCGGTTGGATATTTAACTACTTCTAATAGAATTGCATTGACTAAATCAGACTCTCTCAAACAGGAACAGGGTAATGGTAGACGATTACCCAAAAAACATTCACGGCCGACCTCGCCATTTCAGGCATATGTGGAAATACCTTCCATCGATTGTCTTCCAGATCCTGTGTCTACTGGAGATGCAAAGAAAATATTGCACCTTATGAAAAGTTTACGCGGTCGTATGAGGGGTGAAGTCGAGTATCAAACGGTAGAGCGGGGCCAGTGGTATAAGGGTATGTGCTATATTGACAATGTGAAAGGCTCTTTAATGTACGAGGATGATGATAAGGGACCTTTCCATATCGATGTAGCAACCGACCTCCGAGGGTGCAGGGTCAAGCCGATTATGTACTCATTGGAAAGACAAGTAAGGTGCCTGGAAATATTGAATCCTAATCTTGGCTTGGATCTTCGTCTTCTACCAAAGGATCCTGCTGAGTTCGATCCCTGGTTAGCGGCAATACTACCGTGGCAACAAATCAGACTGGCGCCTTTTTCTCCAGGCCCGCTGAAATCGCCAGTAGGAGCGCATCATGATGACAGGCGGCCAGGCGTGGATCGGCGCGGTTCCGCGTATAGTAACAAAGACTCAAATATCATCAAAGTAGCCAAGCTACTTTTGTGGGATAAGGGGCCCCCACTATCTCCTGAATCTATCATAACTCGCCGTTCCACACGACATCTGCGTAACTCTGGACAGCAGTGGCGTAGGATATCCTGTATCCTCCAGGACAATGGCGATCTCAAAATTTTGACAGAGAATGATGCTTTATTGCTTTCAGTCGTTCAGCTTCCACAACTGTCTCGAAGCGCAATACAGAAGCTTGACAAGTCCGTACTAGGAGAAGAATACTGTGTTGCCATTTTCCCACAGTACACATCTACATCTACAGACTTGTCCGTATTTAGACCTATTTATCTAGCATTAGAATCACGCTTGGTGTTCGAAGTGTGGCTATGTCTTTTGCGAGCTTTCACAATCCCGGAAATATACGGGCATGATACTCCGCAGCTAATAGAAGAGCACGAAAAAGATGAGAAATCTTGTGGACCATATGCTTCTTCGGCTAATGACATGTTTCGAATAGAGAAGTCTCTTAGCATGCGGATTGTGGAAGCTAAGTTCCGGAAACCTGGCATAAAGACAGAGGTACCTCTGTACGGCAGACACTCTGTAAGGCCAGAGCCAGATGGGGTTCTCGGTGATTATTTTGCAGAGGTCATGCTTGACGGTGAGGTTCGCGCCCGCACGATGACAAAATTGGAAACCAGGAATCCATTTTGGCGAGAAGAATGCGAATTCACAGATCTTCCTCCATATTTACCCAAGCTTTCGATAGTTTTAAAACGCATGGAGATGTCGCAACTAACTGTACAAGGATTTTTGTCAAGCTCAAGCACCCCAGTGGCGGACCAGCAGGTGGAGATCATTTGTGGGGTTATTGAGATACCTGTTGACAAGCTAGAGCGAGGCAAGGACAATGAGGCATGGTGGCCAATTTTGGATCAAAATCAGGAGCAGGTTGGAGAGATGCTAATGAAAGTGCGACATGATGAAGTCGTAGTACTCCTTGCCAAAGATTATCAACCTATCTCTGGGCTTTTACATAATTTCAATAGCGGGTTGACACTACAGATATCTCAAGTCATTCCCAATAATCTCAGGCAATTATCGGGGATGCTGGTGGATATATTTCAGGTCTCTGGGGGCGGATCCGAATGGCTAAAGGCCTTGGTTGAGGATGAAATTGACGGTATTGGAAAAGAAGCTCCAACCAAACGACTCAGATACAGCAGAAGGATTGGCTCCAATGAAGTATCCTTCACATCATTTGATCGAGAACAATCCGTTCGAGATATGGGCAAAAGTCTCAATACCGAAGCGAACCTCTTGTTTCGAGGAAACTCTTTACTAACCCAGGCCCTCGACTTTCACATGAGACGAGTCGGGAAGGAATATTTGTCTGAAATTCTTGGAAACCAAATTCGCACTATCAACAATATTAATCCTGATTGCGAAGTCGACCCATCTAGACTTGATAATGATGGCGCATTCGATAAAAACTGGGAGTCACTAATCGCTTTGACCACTGACGTCTGGAGGTCAATCGCGGATTCTGCAACGCGGTGTCCACCAGAACTGCGACAAATCTTCAAATACATCCGCGCTGTTGCTGAGGATAGATATGGAGACTTTCTTCGTACTGTCGCCTACACTAGTGTCTCCGGGTTCATATTTTTACGTTTCTTTTGTCCAGCAATTCTCAACCCAAAATTGTTTGGTCTACTCCCGGATCATCCTCAACAGAAAGCTCAACGAACATTCACTTTAATAGCGAAGAGCTTACAGGCCTTAGCAAACATATCAAGCTTTGGTCAAAAAGAGTCGTGGATGGAACCGATGAACAAATTCCTCAATCAGCATCGTCAAGGTGTCAAAGATTTCCTAGATGCCATTTGTGCTATAGCCCCTGATCGCACAAATTTTGCAGTTCCTGCGTCGTATTCTACGCCCATCACCATCCTCGCAAGACTACCGCCCACTTCCAGGGAAGGGTTTCCCTCTTTACCATATTTAATCGATCATGCAAGAAGCTTTGCTGACTTAGTCAAATTATGGTTAGAAGGGACTGCACAGTCTACGGGCCAAAGCTTCGAAGGGGATCTTGCCGAGTTCAACGATCTCTGCATAGCACTCAAGAAGCGCACCGACGAATGCATACTTAAAGCCGAAGAATACGGTGAGCGTGTTGCTGATCAAGTTTCTCTTCAATTCGAAGACATCGTTGAAGGTCTCCAATCAACACACTTTCAAGAATCTCCTCAAATTCGCCCACTCCCTCCCATACAGTCTCACCTCCAACCAGAACCAGAATCCGAACATCCTGTCCTCACTCCCCCTTGGCAGGATTACTCCATGAATAACAACATTGCCACTAGTATAAATAACACCGTTCAAACACCTCTCCGCGCTCCCGGCTCTGCTGGCAGCGGCAGTGAAAAAACCGGCCCCATTTCTAGTAGCAAGGAAAAGGAAAAGAAAGAGAAACAGAATTTCTGGGAAGCGACGTTTGGGAAGGAATCAAAAAATCAAAGACCTTTTGTGCCACCATTGGATAATAGCGTGCAACAGTTGGGCATGCAAGCCACGAGTCCTCCTGGTGATAAAAAGGTATTAGCGGGATTTGGACTTAATAGACAGGAAAAACAAAGTCGGAGTTTTCTGGGGGGATTAAGGAGGAAGGGGAAGCCTGAACCGAAGAGTCAGGGGAGTGGAAGTAGTAATGACGGGGGTTATATAATGGCGCCGACGATTTCAGGAGGACAGGGGATGGGCATTAGTCTTGATACGGGAGGTGGATATGCGAGAGGACCAGGGGGAGATGGTTTAAGAGATGAAATTGTTTCGCCCACGACCGGGGGTTGGGGACATATGCAAAGGGAAAATCGGGGAGACAGCGGAATGTTTTAGGATGGGAGCGATAGGATGAAGGGGACGTGAATGAGATGATCAAGAAGCGAGCGGTAAGAGGCAAAACTAAAGAATGGAATAAGAGGTATCGTAGGAGAAGATGAAGAAAGAAGCAAGAGTGCTTTTTTATTTTTATGATTCCATATATATATGGGTTTATATATCGCATTTATATACATGTATGTTACCTATATACTATCTATACCTTTTTATATTTCTGAATATCTATCTGTATAATTTATTTTTACTTTTATATCTACTCGAGTATATCGACATCTATAAACTGATGAAACTTGGCATAATCATGTATTTGTATTCGAGTATATCTAAGATCTTATGTATTGGCCTAATCAAGTATGAATGATAGATACTCTTTTTAGATTTTGATAACTTCTTTCATTCATTCATCGTTCATTTCTTAATCGACGAGCTATCGAGGAGCTAATCAAATAAAGAGCTAAAGTGATATCTACCTAGAAGCAAACGCTAGACGCTAATTCTAGAAGCGCGAAAAATTTGAGTCGAGATGATGTGTATCATGAAAATTAAAGAGTTCCCTAAGCTGAACTAACGCCGTCCATCATTCACGATAATCATCGCATTTTTTTTATAACTTTCCCTTTCCATCCTTGCCCAATCGTTCCATTCATTCCCTTATTTGCTACCAGACTAAGCAAAAAACTTGCTATAAGCAGCCTTTTCCTTCTTGGCCCTCTCAGCCATACTCTTCTTCAAAGCCGATAGTTCCTTAACCACAGCCGCATCTCCAGGAACCAATTTATTAGCCTCTTCCAGATCCTTTAATGCCTCATCTTCATTCTTGAGTCCTATGTACGCGACAGCGCGGCGATACAGAGCTTTAGCCCTATCGGTATTCGTAGTACCAGAAACAGCGACAGCAGCGCTAGCGGTACGTTCGGCGTCGGCGAAGTTCTTGAGTTTGTTATGAAGGAGAGCGGAGTTGCTGTTGAGGGTGAAGCGGATGGCAGAGAGAGAGGAGGAGGTTTCGGGGGGAGAATCGGTCAAGTCCGGGTCTTCGTTGAGGTAGCGGAGACCTTTTTCGTATTTATCAAGGGCGAGAGGTAGTTGGTTGGCCTTGAAGGCGGTGTTTCCGTATGTCTTGAGGTCGGTTGCGATTTTGACGATTTCGGAGGCGGTTGGAGGGGTAGTCATATCTTCCGGAAAATCTTTTTCATGGGAAAATTCTAGGTTAACCAATACTCCAAATGATCAAACAACAATACGAAATATATAAAGACGGAAGGAAAGTCTGAAACAAAAGCTGGATATATCGAAAGAAAAACTGTAACATGAGACGGGAAAGGAAGAACAGAATATTCAGAAGCTATGTCGCATATATATATATATGTTGACTAGCATCTAAAACAGTTGAAGAAAGATGATTTAGAAATCGAAGTACCTTCATAAGTGTCGCCAGTCGAATCGGCTATCTTTGCATCGGCAGATTCGGCTTCGTCGCCGGTAAGCTCTCCACAGTCTGTGATGGTAACTTCCTTGTTTGGTTTGTCACCAGCTTGGGTAGGCATATTCTCGACCTTGCGGACGATTGATTTACCGCTGAGGACTTGACCAAAAACAACGTGCTTGCTATCAAGATGGGGAGTTGCTACAGTTGTGATGAAGAATTGACTTCCGTTGGTCCCTGCGGAATGAATTGTTAGTCTCATGACGTACTGCTTTAATCGAAGAGCTCAAGAAAGGTATGGAATGTACATACCTGGACCAGCATTTGCCATTGAGAGCAAGAAGGGTCTATCGTGCTTCTCAATGAAGTTCTCGTCGTCGAATTTGACACCATAGATACTCTCTCCGCCAGTTCCATTGCCAGCTGTGAAATCACCACCTTGAATCATGAATTGCTTGATCACACGATGGAAACCGGAACCTTTATAAGAAAGAGGTTTGCCTGTTTTGCCAACACCCTTCTCACCAGTGCAAAGGGCTCGAAAGTTTTCTGCGGTTTTGGGAGTAATATCATTGTACAATTCAAAGGTGATTCGTCCTTGAGGAACTGCTCCAATGGATATGTCGAAGAAAACCCGACTGCGGGGTTTGGAATCTGCGGCAGACATCTTGTTGCTGAGAATACTTTTTGGTGATTGTGAAGTAAGGTTTAGGGAGGATTGAATGGAAAGTATAATTATAGATTGTACGCAAAACGAAGGAAGCTTTACAAGTTATAAAAATTGGTTGTTTGATTGCTTTTTTCAAATTATTTCAGCCTTCTTATGAGTAGAAGCTTCGAGATGGAGAGTTGGAATGTGGGGGTCGGTGTTTGTAGCTTCCGACATGGAGCTTTACCTAAAATGGAAAACGAGGCTATTCACGTGAGGAATTCACCTCGTTGGAACGGTGGAAGGAAGCCTGGGACGTTCTGTCATAGTATCTATCTACTGAGTAGGTACCTGTACTATGGTCTATAGAATATCTTTGTCAAGGTTGTAATATTGGATATTTGCGAAAGTGGTACTGGACCATCTCGCTGGCCTTGCGCTTGGGGCTTCATAGTAGAGACCAGAAAGAGAAATGAATGGTCCGCGATACGCCGAATTGTTCATTTCATGCCTTCTTCTCATTTGACCTGGTTGACATTTCCAGTGTTACCTTGCAACAATATGTTAGCATAGAAACATACACTCAAACACAGGGTCAAAGAGGACATACTGGGCCATCATTCACCAGAGCCACTTCCTATCAATCAAACATTTTATTAGCAGATGACCCAAAAAAAGAAGATACTAAACTGTGGTGTGACCTACCATCATTGCCTGGAACACACCATCTTTGACTCTTTCTGACTGATAACCCTGTTGAACCTTTTCCACGAACAGTTGATACAATTGCTTAGCCTCTTCCCCTCCCATAGCTCCGTGAAAGTCTGGCTTTGAACCTTTCTTCGTTGAAGCAAGCAATGTAAATTGTGAGACTGATACCATCGAGGCAGTTGTCAGTTTGTGAGACTTCCGTGTACAATGGTGGGATTCAATTGATTGTCTTCACGTACCACAAAGAACTTCTCCTTGGATATCTTGTACACTTTGTTTCCACTATGGAGGATATTAGGACTGTTGTAAAATGAAAACATGAATTGAGCAGCAAGGTGCTGGCGACTCAATGTCTAATATACATTGACAGAGAAAGATTCTTCAAGATGCAGTAACTAAAGAGACTCCTCTTTCATACCCTACCGCCATTTTCATCATCCCATAATCTCATCTTCAAGACCTTTGCTGCCAATGATTCTGCATCTTTCTCTGTATCACCAGGAGCCACAGCAGCGAATACTAATATGCCTTTCCCAATTGAAGATATCAGCTGCTTGTCTACCGTTACAGAGGCGGATAGGACACGTTGAAGTATAGCTAAAATGAATCCGGTAAGTATAGACTTCGGAATAGGAAAAGAAGAGAGGGGTAAAACTAGGAGTGATACCCTTCATGATTACTACCTAGTCGGCAGATGACTTGGACTTGGACAGAACCTTTTGATATCTTAAGCAGTGTAAAAGTCTACTTTTTCCCGAACAGTGTTATGTAGATCGAAGTCGAACACTGGTCTGAACGTCCATAGAAGCTGAATCTTCAAGGTTTATGATGTTTTTTTTAGATGTGAGAAAAAGGTCAATGTTCCTAGGTAGGAGGAGGTTATATGATGCAATCCCCACTTGGGCATTTCATCAACATAAACAATATCAACAACAATATGATCCTATTGCAAGATATGATTCAGGAGACGTGGAGATATTTTCAATTCGTTGTGAATCATTATGAATCGCTATCAATATAATACATCATATCGTATCATATCACATCAAGATCAGAACATAGTATGATCGAGAATCAATTTTCAAAATAACAATACATACAACTTGAGAATTTGCATGGCATTCTTTATTTGGAACTTTATCCTCCCTCTCGTAAACATTTCCCCCACGTTCTTCTAAGGCTGCAGGTAAGGTGCAAGCAAGCGAGGCTTCTTCCCGCAATCTCAATCTCACCCAAGCACCATAAGTCGCAACTTGGAATCCCCAATCCAAAATTCAGCGACAACTTCACAAATTTCCCACCCACCATATATTCAACCAAAATAAGTCTTCACTTGGTATCAAGGTGATCTGTAGATTCCTTGTATTACCACCTTTTTCACAAAAGGCTCAAACCAGACATCTATATTACGCATGGGGTCGAATATTTGTCAAACAAAGCTAGCCCCTTGTACACAACAGCAATCACCAAACACCAGCCCATCGATACATTTCTCCGTACCCCTCATAATTACACGATGGCGGCACGAAAACTTCAACAGGAAGTCGACAAGTGCTTCAAAAAGGTCACTGAAGGAGTGGCAGAATTCGAATCAATCTATGACAAGATAGAACAGTGCACAAATGCTGCGCAGAAGGAGAAGCTGGAGGACAACCTCAAACGAGAGATCAAAAAGCTGCAGAGGCTCCGTGATCAGATTAAGACATGGGCGGCAAGTAATGACATAAAGGATAAGGGTCCTCTGTTAGATCATCGGAAATTGATTGAAACGGTAGGGCATCTATTTACTTTGACTGTGGGGTGAGCTAAACTGTTGCAGCAAATGGAGAAGTTCAAAGCAGTAGAGAAAGCCATGAAGACAAAGGCATATTCGAAAGAAGGGTTATCGGCGGCTGCCAAACTAGATCCTAAGGAGCGCGCGAAAATGGAAACGGGAGAATTCCTGGGCAATATGGTGGAGGAGCTTGAGCGCCAGATCGAGACAATGGAAGCCGAACGCGAGTCGATATCAGCAACAATGAAGAAGGGGAAAACCCAAAGTGCAAAGGCTGACAGGATAGCGGAGCTAGATAATCTGACTGAACGGCATAAATTTCATCAAAATAAGCTGGAACTCATTAAACGCTGTCTGGAGAATGGTAATGTCGAGGTTGACCAAGTTAAAGATCTTGAGGAATCCATCAAGTATTATGTGACGGACAACATGAACGATGACTTCATGGAGGACGAGGAGATGTACGATGAGCTTAACCTTGATGAGGAAGAAGATAACTACGGCATGAATAATGATAATGATCGGGTGTCATCACAAGACACGCAATCGATACAGGAAGACATTCCAGATACAGATCAACGATCGAATAGTTTACCCGGGAAGTCAAAGACGGGTCCCGAACCACCTTTGGCTGCTGCACGGAGACCTTCCACGCAACTGAAAAGCCCTCTTCCTTCATTGGCCACTCTACATACTCCATTATCGACGCTATCAACAAATGGAAGTTCAAGTAACCTTATGAAACCAGCTGCGGTACCTACACGTGCCCCTGGGGAAACTTTGAAATATGCATCGGCAGCCGCCGCAGCTGCTGCTAGTGATAAGAACGGTATTGCGCCTTTGCCACCTCCACCTGAAGCCCTTCCACCCCCCTCAACGTCAGCCAGCCACCCACCATTATCTGGAAATGCCGGACGAAGACCGAGTGTAACGGCATCTCCCACGACTATACATTCTCAAACCGCCAGTGTCAACCAGACACCCGTGACAAGATCTAGTGTCCCAACTACGGATACACCATCAAGTGCCCACACGAAATCTCCAGCTTTGAGCCAATCAAGTGCGGCGCCTAGTGGAGCAAGTGTCTCCCATTCAGTTGAGAAAACAGAGACTTCTAAACCAAATGCGTCCTCGACTTCGTCAGGAAAGGCCCCAGCCTTATCTAAGACAGCGGAAGGCAAGAGAGGTTCGTCAAATGCTATCCCATGTAACTCAAGTGCTAACAGTTCTATGCAAGCTGTTCCACCACAGTCAAATGGGGTGTCGAATGGGCTTAAGCCAAGTACACCAGAGAACACAGAATCAGTATATCATCTGCCGTCAGGGTTCCAAGACATGCTTCAATCTTTCGAGGTAATTCAAAAGAGTGCTCCAGACGCTTTATCCACTGCATCTCAGAGAATGCTGGCATCATCTCAAGCTAGTGGGCCAGGCATGCAAGACATATCATCTCCTCGAAGCTACAAACCAGAGACCCCTTTCAACACACCATCATATTACCCTCAAGATGTCCCTTCGGTGCTTGACGACCCACGGTTGTATAATCGTATAGATGGAGAAACTTTATTCTATGTCTTCTACTACAAGCAAGCCACATATCAACAGTATCTTGCAGCTAAATCCCTAAAGGAACAAAGCTGGCGATTCCATAAGCAATATCAGACTTGGTTTCAAAGACACGAAGAGCCAAAGGAGATTACTGAGCTGTATGAGCAAGGGACCTATCGTTTCTTTGACTACGAAAGCACATGGTTAGTTTCACTACAATATGTTCATTTCCCCAACATCGACTAATCGACTACATATAGGATGAACCGAAGAAAAGCGGACTTTAAGTTTACCTATAAATTCCTAGAGGACGATGTATGAATAATGCTCTGGCGCCTATGGTATCTTTTGGTCGGAGGATAGGTTGGCGCAGTGGGAATTGCTCAACCAGTATCTGGCTAAGCGGAATGACCTTAGTCGGCTTAATAGCAAAACTTTGCTCATCTGATTTCATTCGGATGAAGTTCCTTAACTTAAGTGAAGATGTTTTTCCGATAAAAATGTTTGATAATTTTAGTGTGACCGTTGCGAAATTGCAACCCTTCTGGCTCACTGACTACTAGATATCTTTTGTGTTGTATTAATGGATAGGAACACAAGGAGATTGACATTTATGCCAATTGATAAGTTGCATTCTTCGAGGCGAGCCAAAGGAGGAGACTTCCATATATCGGAAAATTCGAACCGCCCTCTTATCTAATTATTTCAGCGAATCAGTTTTCATAGTATCTAAACATGAATAACCCTGATTGGTGGATCTGTACAATGGTCCTTGACAAAATGACCTGCAGACATCATGTACGAAAATGACAACAACTTTTTGGGCAGCAGGACTTTTAATGTTTGATACCCAATCTTTTAGATCTTGATTCTAATTATAAGAAGCTGTAAGCTCTTCTCATATTTCAATTTTGAAGGATTCATGATTTTCTTGCATATTCATGTTTTGCCTTGTCTATCCATACCCAAGTACAACGAGTTTTGGACCCCAAAGAAGGTTCGCGGAAGCAACCGAGAAGGAATCATTCGTTACACTACTTCTAGAAATGCGAGTGAACGGCGAACCACAAATGCCAGACACAAGATTGATTGGATACCAAGACTACAATACGCTTGGTGACGCTCTTCCTCCCGAAGCGCCAACTTCTGTCAGTGTCATCTCTACATCTTGATTGTTTCACTACGATAATACTAACACTGAGCAGGTCTACATCCAAGTCATTTGTCTTAGGTTCAGAGATACATCATCTCGTAAGAATGGGGCTTGTATGGGATTCAAATCCCTGACAAAAATGCTCCTCCCTCCTTTTCCGCAGAACATGGCACAGCCTTCTCTTCACATGCAACAAGTTCATTGAATGTGGCAGTTCAAGAAAAACACAGAGAAAGCGTTACATCGGCGTCTGTCAGTTATCGTTACACAAGCAAATGAAAACTGTACAGCTAAGGTAAGGCAAAAGGAGGCGGACGCTCAACCCATTGTTTTCGCTCTTGCTGCCTAATGTTACAGTTCCGTCTATCTGAAGCCTCAAAATCAAAAATTTGGTCCATTGAAAGGGGGAAATTCGTGTAAACACGAATCCCCCACGCTTCGAGATGCATTTCACTGGAAATGGCGGTCAGAATTTGGATGATGATATAGGAACAAGTTGCCCTGATCAGGTTTGAAAATAGATTTGTTTCTCTCCGACCATTTTGCGATACCCAAAACTCATCGTTACGGTGCCCAATGGTCGACATGGTCAACCAAATATCAACAATTATTATTTCAAATGGTTTCGAATCTACTAAGCCAGATGCCGCATTTCGGATCGAGCCTTCGTTCGTCAACAGTTTGTGTTATATGCCTTGCTGCGCACATAGGGCATCACCGGTCGCTGAAAGCCCAAATGTCTCTTCAGATACCTTCTCGGCTAGCGGAACAACAATCCTGGTATTATTATCGTCCGCCTCACTGAGGCTTGAGTTTCCCAAAAAAGCAAATACCCTTTTCGAACGTTCGCCCGCTGTGCTGTTTAGCAGTAATGCTCGAAGTTATCTGGGAACCTAGCTACATTTCGATGTACATAAGTCCAAAAAAAATGCTGACATATTTTGCTGGCGAGTCAAAACTCGAGTAGCTTTTGACTCTCGGTGAGTTCATTAAGTTAGACCCCGCCAACTAAGTGTAAGAGGCTTTCTATTATGTATTCAATCAAACAAAACTCTGGAGCCAGTCAAAGTTTTGTGGGGCAAGCTTTTAACATAGACACCGCAAGGCTATAAGACCTCATTGGTAAATAGTAAGCTATGTTGATATTAACCTTCATTTGATTTAACGGGTTAGAGGCGATGCATGTGAGTACTTTAGGACCTGCTAAGTATGAAGAAACCACTACCAAATATTGAGGATTGAGCCGCCGAAAGCTATATTCTTAAGAAGCGATATTCTATCCTGAATATTTCGAAACGTCGAGTCAGGATATTTATATCAGTAATTTCAAGCATAACCTTGCCTTCCATACTTCTCTTATATCACGGTTTCTTTCGTCATTCACTCAACTATATCAATACTTGGTAAGTAAACTTTATCATTCACTGTCGATCTGCTATTTGTAAAGCTTGATGGAGGTGATGTTGAACAGAAGATAATACCTTTCAAGTGAGGTCTAAACTAATGTCATGGAAAAGGGTACACAGAACCATTTCCAGAACAAACTTCAGTCTACCATGTATTCCCCCTTCTTCAAACAAGACTTAAGGCCGAGAAAACACCTTGGCCAGGATATAATTTGGTCCCATCCAACTCCACCGCCAGCCATAGAAGGGTTGGCGATGAGTCGAAATTATTCTAACCAAAGCTCGATCAGCACACAATCTAGATCTTCTGAGGACTTTTACTTGCCGATTTCCAGCAGTTCATCTATGTCTTTCGACTGGAACGTCTCCGATTCATCACAGCATCATGACGATGGTTATAATCAAGGCTATAACAACTATACAACAGCATCACACAGTCTTGAAAGAAGCTTGTCAAGCCATAGCAATTTTATGAAAGCGACACCATCTAGTCTTGGCTGGGCCCCCGAAAGTGAACTCCTAAGACTCTATAAATTCATCGTACCTAAAGGGAAAGAGCCACATCTAGAATTACGTCAGGGATATCAAATTTGTTTTAATGTGCCACAGCGGGTGTATCTTGATCCACCCAGGTATGTTGAAATACATTGAAAGATTTGCTAATGCTAATACGCACATAGTAATCCTCAAAGAGGAATTTATCCCTGTCAATTCCCAACCGGCTGTCCAGGAAAACAATTCCGTAGACCTGCAGATCTAGAACGTCATTACAGACACGTACACGCTGATGCAGATCAAAAGGGGAGTTTCCCATGCGATTACAAACCATGTACTCGATCCAAGGGTCCCTTCACACGAAAAGATCATTACAGAGACCACCTCAAAGATTTCCACAAAGAAGACATCGGGACGGCTAAACAACCCAAACATGCAAAAGATCTCAAGACAATACAAGCTCTTCGGCAAGCCTGGCTCCAGGAACGTCAAATTGATCCTAGATGGTGGAGATGTAGACGTTGTCTTCAGAGAGTATATGTGGATACTCATGGTTATAAATGTATAACATGTAATGAAGAATGCACTGAAGAAAGAATCAAAGCTCGTGAACAAAAGAAACATGAGATGGAAAAGGAAAAGACGCAATATCCTGAACAGGATTTGTCTATGACTCATGGGGGGCAGTGTACGAGTTGTAATGGGAGTATGTGGATTACGGATAGTGTTTTTGCAGAGGGAAATTCGGTGCCCTGTCCGATTTGTTTGCCGAGTGGAGAAATTGTTTATGAGGAGGCGGAGTGGGATGGGGATGATATTAATAGGTTTGATACGAGTTATGCAGCTGCGTATTAGCCGTTTTCTTAGGAGTTGTGGGATATTTTTCGATGATTCGATGGGTTATGGGTTATGGGGAGAGAGTAGTTACTCTCGAAAACAAAAGATATCGCTTTTTTCGGGTATATAAGGCGTTGGAGTCGGCGGGCGACCAAACTGGTGGCGTTAAGTTCAATACAGAAGATTGGTTTAGGATTTGGCTTGGGATGGTTTTCATGATATATCCTTTTTAATATTTGATTTCTGCATCATCCTCTATTCATTTTCTCTCTTTGTTTCGCTACTTGATGACAGTTTCATTTGGACGTGGGTTTCCATTTTTTGAGTTTTCAACTTTTGGGAATGCAGATCGGATTGTAATCATATATAACGACAGAACTGTTTTTGTTTTGAATACTTGATCCTTTTTTTTTTCTTTTTTTTCCATCTCTCATCTTTCCTCTTTTGTTTTCTCTTTCATTTTCTTTATTAATCTTTTATTCTTTAATAATTGTTTTATTATTATTATTATAATATTCCCGCGCTCTTTAATTTTTCCCCTTCTCATTTCTCTTCTCTCTATCATCTTCACTATTCTGTTCTTCCGATTACAGTATTGGCAGTATTCCTCATTCTCAGTATTAACTCAGGCAACGGAATAAGAGTCTAAGACAAGCAGGAGCGGAAGCGGAAGCAGAAGTAATCCTAATCCATTATAGAGTTTGTATTCATAATTTATTTGCTTGTGATTCTGGCTCTAATTCTGGATTTGGCTTTCGGTTAGGTTGGGGTTCGGGTTAGAGCTGGAGTTGGATTATCTTTAAGATTTGTATTATTAAATATATATATATGAGAATAATATATATAGAAAGAAGAAGATTTTCTAATAGATAATGATATCGATGTTTTTCTCCGATATTGGAATTTGGACTGAAAGGGATTTGGGATGGGGTGTAGTGATATTTAATTATTAATTTTACAAAATTCAATTTAAAAAATTAAAAGAAATTAAAAAAATTAAAGAATCAAAATATATCAAATTCACACCCTCCTCATCCCTATCCCTATAGTTACAATGCCAACCCCAAACTCAAAATTTAAATATGAACCTTAAACTACACATCTCAAGCTCCAAAACTACCTCTTCCCTCTTTTCTTTTTTTCTAACCCTCTTTGAAAATCAAAAGGCTTCTCTAGAACTCCTCTATATCTTATTATTATCTTCTTTTTTATAACCCCTCTTTATTCTTCTGCTCCCTTCAACATTCAGAAATGATAGATTATTAGTGTGCTTGTTATACACATAATAGTTCCTCTGACTATGATTATGACTCTGTCATATACTCAGATTGAGAGATGTAAGTTACTAAAAATAAACTTAAAGTTAAAGTGAGGTAGAATGATTAGTTATTCAAACAGGATTTCATCTGTAGAAAGTAGATAGACCAAAGAGGGAAAATAAAAAGAGATAGATTAGATAGATTAGATAGATTAGATAGATTAGATAGATTAGATAGATTAGATAGATTAGATAGATTAGATAGATTCATTTGTATTATATCAAAAACCCAAAGAAAAAAACTTCAATCACCTCGACCCCCCTCACCTTCTTCCACCCCTTCACCAAAAAAAGGAAACATCCTTCATCATCCGGGCTATATAATGTATCCGAATCCCCTTACATTTTCATCATTATCTACACATTACAATCTGATCTTCCATCGCCAGTACATCTACTTTTAACAAGGCCTATAAAAAAAACTTAAAAGTATATATAATCAAACCATCTCCCATGCTCTCCTTTCCTATAGATTAAATAGAGAATTTCCCAATATTTTAAGATCTTACCCCAAAGAATTTCACATCAAGAGAAGAGCAGATTTTCAAAGCTTGTGTAGATAAGAAAGATGATCTTATTTTATATTTGGGAGGTATGTAATCAAGATATCTACATCTACATCACAAGTTTGCAATTTAGGGATGTATATAAGATCTTACTATCGTAGAAAGAATCGATGGCTAAGCTACAAGCATTGTTAACTCAATCGCTATAATCTATTCGAAGAGGCTTTTAGTACTGTGTTATATTGAAGTGATGTTGATCTTGAATCAATATCCCATATGAATGGCTTTGAATTGCGAGGGTGGGTCAAACCAAACTTTTTACCCCTGGCGCTCGTGAACTTGGTTTTCGGTTGAGAATAGACAAAACAGTTTATTTATCACCTTTGAGAACACTAGAACATAAGTATTTTCACCCCAAAGAACATGTATGTTAGTTTATGTGATAGGTTCAATTATTGAGACTTTCAAATGTAGAATGGACAAGGAAGCTTTTCCCGACATTTCCGGTATTTTTCCTACCAACGCCAACGCTATGCAAGAAGAGGCAATTCCTCATTAGACTTCTCATTTTACCCCAGCCACAAGCAAATCTAGCATACCCTTGACCTGCATTGCCTTTTGTGACCTTTCCACTTCCGCTCTTACACGTCGATGTAAAAATCTGATCTGATGTTCCATATCTGGCGAATCAGAGGTATACTCTGCGTATATGTCTAAGAGCAACATAGCAGCATCAGTACATATAGGAACGTATCGAGGATCAGTGATATGTTTTGAAACCCATTTGAAAATCGGTTGTATCGTAGTCTCATCACGCTTCTCGAATGCTGCTCGCATGGCACTTCTGTGTCGTAGAGCTGTGAGAAGTGTAAGAACAGTGACTGCAGGTAAGCCCTTCTGAAGCACACAGTCTAGTGCTTGATGATATCTCCCTTGTTGGAGTTCACGTTCCCATTCTGGAACTTTCCGCTTTGTTGAACGAGTATTACCCTCAATTACCACATCTGCACCCTCACCCATGAAATCCATGCCTCTAAGCCTCTTTTCTACCCCGCTAGTGTGCTTCCTTTTCTTATTCTTCTTGTCATATTCTTCTAATGTGCCATCGAGTAATGCTTGCATCTCCTTCGCCCTTTCTCTCTCCTTCACTTTTTGCTGACCTGATAGACGAGTTTTGATTGACAAGACCCCAGATTGCATACCTACAACCAAATGTTTATCCTCCCGATTAGCACCAGAACTAACAACGTTGACTGACAAAACAGGAGCCGAATATTTTAATCCAGTAACAACATTCCATCCGGTGGTCTCGAAAACCTTCACATGCCCGTCCAAACCACCACTAACCAATCTCGTGGCGTTCGATGCAAGGCACAACGATGTGACCGTCTTCTGATGGTTCTTGATAATGTGCAATGGCTTTCCTGCGACCAAATCAAGGACTGAGATTTGATTATCCGCTGCAGCAAGAACCGTTGTGCCTGAAGGCATAGGAAGCACAGTTTCGACTGGCGCAGCATGCTTAAAGGTCATAGCTGCTCTAGTTGGAACTCTAGGATCCCAAAGTCTAACAGTCTCATCATAACTACCAGTCAAGATCATATTTGACATCGATCCAGGCATAAAAGCACCACTTCTAACATAATCTGTATGTCCAGTGAAGGTTGTTGTACTTTCTTGACTTGGCAGATCCCAAAGCTTAACAGTCCGGTCATCACTAGCACTCATGAGAGTTGTCAATTCTGTTGGTGAAAATTTTGTCGTCCAGACAGGCTGCTTATGCTCCTCCCATGTTTTTAAAATAGCTCTTGAATTCACATCAAAGACTTGTATCTTTCCAGTTTCGTCACCTGCCACCATAACACGTCCATCTCGTCGAATCTCTCCACTATGCGCAACATCTGAAAATCGAGTAATAGTCTTCACTAATTTTCGTGTGCGAATCGAGTAAATCTGAAGTCGGGTACCGGTGGTCACACAGAAATAGTCATTGCTGGAGGGTAGTAAAGCGTTTGTCGGCGGAGGAGGGAATGATATATGCGTAATAGGATAATTCGTTGGTGATGGAATGAGTTGCTGTGAGCGAAATCCTTTCCAATATCGTTGTTCAGGTGTAATTGGCGAAGGGGCAGTAGGAAGTTTCACTGCCGGCAGACTTGTCACTGGTGCGGCCATAGTGAAATCTTATGAAAAGAATTTTAGATTGAGATGTCGCAAAACGAATGATATTTCACTTCGATGAAGCTTGCGATGCGATTCGCAAAAAAAAAAGGTCAAGGACGGGATCTGGAGGTTATTTTTCCCGATGAGCTAGACTATAACAAGTTAGTCAACACTGCACAGGTCCATGCATTTACTACACCCACTCCACTTAGTGGCCTTGATCTGCAGTTTTCATTGTTGAAGGTCTACTCAACTTATTGATGCCGTACACGTCTCAATGGCAGCGACGTTTTCATCCAAGATTTGCTTCATATGCTCTTCCTCAGTCCATAGATTGACGGTGCCTCACAGCAGTGTTTATACCTGCGTTGTGATAGGACCGTAGTTATGTACTCTGTTTGACCTGACAAGACGTTGACTTCGTTCATGTTGGTTGATGTATCTAAGGGTTTTTTCATCCTATCTGCTCTTCTGATGGACTTTCAGCAGCTGTAGACAACAGGCGTTTGTTATAAGTGCGACACGTTTCTGGTATTCATATACCCGACGAGGCACAGGTCGGTAGTCCTGTGACTTTGCTCTCAGAAATTGCTGGCCAAGTCCGAAGCGCGACTGCCTCATTCGCAAATATCTTTTCGGAGCGCACTTTCGCGTCCCCTTCATTCTTCGATCAAACATCCTTGATGAGCAAATTACAACCAAGTGGAATAACAACCGAAGGCAGCTTGTCTTTTCCTTTCTCCAGATAAACCCTGCCCCTTCATCTGTCCTGGTAACAGGATGAATGCCCATTGTCACTTAAGCTGTTCAATCTGGTCATATTCTCCGTCGCAGAATTATTCACAACCGTTCGAAACGAGCAAGGCATGGTATAGTCTTAGTAGTACTTTGCACATGGGCTATCTGGCTAGCCATGCTCAATACAACGGCTGACATGACAGCATGTCATTGCCAAAGCCCAAATGCGAGCTCGTATGCAGAACAGGTGGTTCCGAGAAATTGCGCGTATTCCAACCCTCGTATCGCAGTGAGGGAATCTTCTATTCGAGAGATTGCAAGTACCTTTGCTCAAAATTCTCTGGTCATACACAAAATATATGCCGGTTAGAAGCAAATTTGCCTTTTTCTTCTGGCTAGGCTTTGACGCTGCTATGATAACAAAACGTCCTTGTGAATGTATCTGGGCCCTGGACTCTGGACACTAAGCTGTGTATTGTGATTTGAGAAGATTTCCATTTTTGACTTGTGGTACAGCTAAAATTTATGACCATGCTCCTTCACAAAGGCTTAACAAGATTAAAGGTCTCATTCTCCTTTGCTTCATACAAGAAATGGAATGAGGCTTTTCGATAACGAAGAGTGGCTTAATTTCCGATTAAAGCCTCTCTGAACTTTTCCACGAAGACCGGACTCTTAAGCCTGTAATAAAACCAGTACACCAAACCCCATTTCCGCTAAATTAAAACGCCAAAAACAAGCAGGAAATCACATAGACGACAACTAGAAATTAATGATGCAATGATCGACTGCAGAAAGTCCGGGTTCGAAATATGCTTGCGCTGACTATGAATGTCCAAAATCTTCCGGCTATAGTGGCAGTTGTTTGAAGATCGTGACGACCATTTAGTTCCGGTTGCATGGAATGCTTCGACGGAAAGAGTCGTCAGAGGAATAACTGATCAACCGGCTCTCGAGTTTTGATGCCCCTCGTGACTGCGAGTGTTTGTATTCCTGTGGAACTATATCCTACACCGTTGATTAGTATCACACTCAGTACCTGCGGCTACTAGAAGTCGCACCAAATCTGCCAGAACTGAGCACCCCATACGTTCTTACACCGCTATTGATGGTCCATCTTTCTGCCTTGATATGTTGATCAAAGAAAAAACTCCAATCATGACTAAAATAAGTGCGATGATACACAATACACCAACGTCGTTCATTCTGATGATGTGTTGATGCGGGGATGATTCTAGGTAAAGTTGTGGCAGCAGGAGTACTGTTAAAGGTCGAGTGAACTAGTGACAATCAGAGGTGGGCGTGGATGAGGATTGTAATAAAGACCTACAACAATAGTTGATAGTATTTGAATATCCTTTGCGATGCTGGTGAAGGAAAAGAACGTGGAAATGGTGGAGAGAAGAAATTCATGAAATGTTTTCGAGGGCGAGTCGAGTACATATACGGACTCCTCCACATTTGCTACATGTCCTTTATCATCTGCGCTCCCATCAATAATCAGCCTTGATTAGCAATGGTTCATTCATACCTGCATTGCATATTACAACTCTATTATTGGGGTTTTCCGCTTCTCACTACAAGTGATTAAACCTTTATTGTTAAGTCAACCAGGTATTCATACAGTATTCGTACCAATTTAGCGCAATTTGATCTTTATGTCAAAGTTTGGGAGATATAAGGCCCACTTGTCTTATGGTATTCTACTAATATTGGCAAGAAAGGCTGCCTGAATAGAGACTGGATTCTTAGGGTTAACACCTAGTTTCCCGGACTTCGAGAAAGAGATTCATTACAACCATAATTCAGTGCTCTATAGGCATGGTCATCATTCGATCAATATCGAAATCATTAGATGCGCAACTAAGTCTCCATATGTTAGCTAGGGTTGCAAATGAAGCAAATTTCATTGACAGACCGTCTTTGCATCCGGATCTTAAACATAGTACTCCTTCGTAGTTCCGACATAATGGTATTCGGGGTTCAACTAACTGTCAACTGGTCGGTAGCTTCTACTCAGGGGTAACTTGGCTCGAGCCAAGTTAATCTCCTAACTTCATTCAGGCGAACCAAATCATTTTATATTGTGTACGATCCACGATCCACGATCCACTACCGCAAAATGGAATGCATGGGTGGAACTGACCACCAATTGGTATTTTCTTAGTATGTACCTACAAACGTATCACCCTGATTTAGTTGAGCGACTGGGTATCTGACTGGTATGAACACCCGCGATTTAACCTCGATTGCGCTGTCTATCATTTGTCCTATTAAACTAATCGATATACCTGTAACTTGTGTGGCGGAGTGAATGAATAACACCTTACAATTTTACGAAAATTGCTATTCATACCTATTTGAGGGCTGTTGCCCCTTTATTTAGGGGAACATATTTTGAAGTTCTCCACCATTTGAACTGGTTTGTAAGGACCTGGTCGTCGTATGGAACCTGCATGCCGAAAGAAACTTGCCTTCTTAACCCTGTTGTTGTTTTTTTATAGCGATACCGCATCTCCTTGAGAGATTTAGGCACTACTAGTGGATGCCTCTTTTACTGCCTCTAGGAAGGCTTATTATGTACGATATTGCGTTTTGATGACCAAATCTAGATCAATAATTTTAAACCACCTTTCCTTTTCCTTCCAGAAGGCTTGCATGATAGCCTACTTCAAGCTTCTCTTTTGCTATCATCATCATACCCTCAAGCGATGTGGTAGCAACAAGAAGCTTCTCTGGCACTACACTATCAGATTTCTACAAGCCCCCAACCTATTGCTGTCACGGCGAAGTGTACGAGACAAGAGATTCCCCAAAAAGACGCATGCTTTGATGCAGCATTTCTTTATTGTCTTACTGCTAGAAGTCTGCAGGAGCCATTTTTTTTCTCTTGCCATTCTCTAAATTGTGGACTGGTCACTTAGATATCCTTGATGTTGAGTATGGTGTCGATGGTCTTTACTCATGTACAATGTATATAATGATTATCTACGAGCAAGGAAGAGGTTGAGATGGAAAAGAACTATATCAATCTCCCTCTCCGTCCTATTATTCTCGAACCCTTCCTTCAAACACTATCATGGAATATAATTGATTGAATAGCTTCTGCGTGAGCTACTTGGGCTAATGGCTAAATTTTGAGATTGATTATCATAGGCTGCGCAACGGGGCTCCGCGGGGCGGATTATTGCCTATAGTGGGTAACCCGCGGATAATCCATTTGCGGGGCGGGTAATTGGAGAATCTGAATGGGTAATCCGCAAATATCCATCAATTCGCGGATAATCCATGGATCCGCGGGTAGGTGGATTATCTGCAGATTATTTGCGGATTATCTGTAAATTATCAGCAAATTATGCATCAAAGTGGATATTCGCTTAAATTTTGAAGCTATTCCCACATTTTTTGTACTAGTTTTTATACTAATCTTCATAAATTATACAAATTATACCTATTTATGAATCAGCGGATTATTTTAAAATTCTAATGGATAATCTGCGGGGCGGATTGTAGGCCTAATGGGTAACCCGCGGGGCGGATAACCCATGGATATCCGCAACCCGCGGGTTATTTTTGCGCAGCCTAGATTGATATAATCTACTTGCCATATATATAAAAGTCTATATCTTCAATAAACAAAGAATTCATGATCCTCGTATCTAACTCTATTGCATTTCACACTCCGGAATCTAGATGTAGTATCACCATCCAAATATTTCCAGCTAGGTGTCTTTGTTTGTTATAGTTCATTTCCCTACCTACTATTACAATAGTCCACTGCTACAATATTACATTATCTAAAAAAAAATATCTCATCACAAATACACATCTTTTAATTTCTCACTCACTGTCGAATAGACATATATAAGACTTATATAAACAACTACTTCTTTTTTGTAATCTGAATAATTTAATTAATACCTCAATGATTATATTGACCTATTGCTTCGTTAGCATCAATTAATAATTAACATCTCTAAGTTATAATTATAATACAATAATCTATAAAAGAATTCTATAAATATCATAAATAGTTCTTTTTTCTTATGAAAGTATTTTATTCATCGTCGGATATATATCTACTTGTGTTTTCATTTCCTAATTTCTATGCATTTTATACTAACCTATCACCATGCCTACCTAGACCTGCATTCTCAGTATTGGTATCCTCATTTCCATTTATTTTCCCTTCACCACACAGACTCCTCAAATTACTCGCTAAACCCACTAAATAACATCATCACCTCCCTTAACAACCCTATGACACCAACCACACCAACTCCTCGCCCTTCCTTCCATCTCCCTAACCAAATATCTCCCCTCCGCCTTCTCATCCCCAAATTCCGGCACACAAGCCCCGACCTTCACCATCTTCACCCTCTTCTTCTTAACGACGCCTCCTATCCCTTCAATTTCATGCCTAGCATATCCAGGACCTAGACTTAAATTCCTCTCACTAGTATTAGGGCTCGCACCTCCAAATATACTATTTCCAGGACTAGAAGCCGGACTCCCGGCTCGACTGTTTTCTTCAAATTCTCGGGCATCTTCGGCGTCACAGTCGGTTTCTTGTTCTACTTCTATGGCGGCTAGACAGGAGCTACCGCGACCGCAAGGGACACCGCGGTTTCCTTCTCCGATGCCGACGCCGAGACCTCCAAGAGAAGGTAGATAGCGTGTGCGCCATTTCCAGATACCTTCGTATTCTTGGTCGGTAGAGCGCAGAGAGCGACCACAGGGTTGACAGAGCCAGACTGCCGTTGGACAACTACATAGAGATTCTTTGATTGTTTCTGGTAATAATGCAGGCGTATGATCATGAGTAATTGAGGAAGAAGGCGACGAACAAGGCGATGAAGAGGTAGCGACTAGAGAGGCAAGAGGAGCCTTCGAGCACATTTTGCATATGCGCCGATGACGATGCCGTAGGAGAACAGGACCAGGTGGTTTGATAGTGCAATTCTGTTTTCATAGAATCAGCCTCTATACAACTCACTAAGTGATAACAAAACCAATCAATATCCAACATATGAAAATACACATCCAAAATCTCTTCGGGAAGAACGCATACCCTACAAACCACCCTTCCGCATTTCCTGCACTCTCCTACCAAATCTCTGGCGCAATCTCCCACTTTTCCACTCCCGTGTGCATCCCGTCCGCTTTCAACAAAATAATAATCTGCGGCTCGTGCCCGATAGCGAAATGTATGTTCAGGGTCGAGTTCTAACTCCTCATTTTCGCAGTGGAGTGTAGATGTAAGAAGTTTTGAGCGGAATTGTAGGAGATTGACGCGGATTTGACGACATGTGCGGGAGAGTGCATCGAGGGTGTTGAGATCGATATGAGATCCTATTGCTGATATGATACTATGAAAACGGGATTAGCCTGTGCCCTGGTTGTGCCCTGGTTGTGCGAGACGAGAATAAATATAACTATTAGGTAGTTATAATATAGATGCAACTTACGGATAACAACCCAATGCTTCTGCAATTGCATTTTTATTCGGATTCTCCCTACCATCCTCCAACATTAATCCGCGTATATTTGCCCCCTTGTTCGTGTCCCCAAAACCGCCCCAAACTGGTTTCTGAAATCCGTTTGTTCCATTCTGTAAATGATGCAATCCAGTTACATTTTGCTCTGGAGGTTCCGAATCATCTTCATAATCGACAAAGACTACCATTTTCGTATTTAAGAGATGTTGTGGGGGCTGAGTAGAATATACTAGGTAGGTGTTGATGTGCTAGATGTTAGGAATGATGATGATGATGACGACGATAAGGATAAGGAAATCGATATCAACGAGCTTGATTGTCTACCATTGAAACCACGAGCTTGATTGTCTACCATTGAAACCACGCACAACCTAGCTTCAAACAAGATTCCAGTCTTAGACAATCGAATTGTTCCTTCTCATTTTTCTTTCTTCCTTTATTTGGAAATTAAAAACAAGTAAAGACCCGAGTAAATAGTAAAGAAAAACCTAATAAGTGACAAGAAGAAGCCGATAAGTCTTTGCTTGTCCGTCCTCGGTCTCTAGCGTCTTAGGTAACTCCCCGCCCTTTATCAGATTCAATGAATCAGATTAGAAAGTTCTAGGTATACAAATAGTTGAAAAGGGGAATCGGAAGAAATTTTAGGATGGGAAGGTGATTGATTGTAAATGGGTGGAAGATTGGTGAGAATAATGTTATATTCACGAGCTGATACTTGAGATGAAAGTATTCTTATTGTTCTAGACTACATCGCAACATTATAGACATTGGGATGAATTGAAGCCATTTCCATTTCCATTTCCATTTCCCCCATAATCGTGACACTAGAACTCTCATTGTTGAGTTTCATAAAGTATGTATCACAAAATGTATTTCAAGCCAGCTGCTTTCCTTCAAAATAGCTAATGTCGTAGGGCAAAACACTCTTCAATATGATGGCATAAGAAGATCAGGATGTAAAACCTTGGCGTTAGCATCATCATCAATCCAATATCAAATCTATCAAAACTCCTGTGGCTATGCCAATTCGTTTACACCAGAACACCAAATGCTAATCCAGACACAGACAATCCGGTCTATCCCAATGACAAGTTCCTAATCGAACGACCCTTTCCCAAATAAACCTCCAACAGCCTTACGCCTACTCTCTACGCCCTTGAATTTCTTCTGTTCTCTTCTCTTCTCCTTCTTCTCCATCATAGCCTTTCGCTCGCTTTCCCTGACGAAAGAGTTCACTCCACTATGCTTTCCCCCTCCCCTCCTAATACTGGATCCCTCATCCTTCCCACCCGCCATTCGCTCCGTTGCCGACATTCCAGTACTGACACCCGTGCTTGATGTTCCAGACAAGATACTGCTATTTGTCGTGGCTTTTCTCAGTAGAGGTACTACCCTGTGACCTGGTTGTGATGAAGGCGCAGCGAATGCAAGACGCTCCTTATTGGCAGCAACATTGCTTGAAGATTCACGCTTAAGTTGTATTCTATCAATGATAGAAGTGCCTGTTCTGCGCAAGGCAAAAGGATCACGATTTTTTTGGCTTCCTTGTTCTGGACCTCCTTCAATTTCCAGATCATCATCTGAATCAGACTCAAAATTCGTTGAAGTGACCATAGCATGAGGATCTTCAATGAGACTTGACAATGATTCTCGAACCTCCGAGAGATTTGATGGCTTCTTTCCTGTGCGTCGCAAATGTGGTGGCGGTCGAACATAACCTGCACCATCAGAATGCTTACGCTTCAGGGGAGGGCCCATGACTTCTCCAGTCTGATTCTCTGGCGCCTGCTGAGATTCGTCGTTTTGAGTTTGAGACTGTGAGTCAGAAGTGTCATCTTTTTCTTGAAAATCATCCAGAAAACCCATCTCATCGTCACTTCCTTGATCCTCGATAGCACGAAGAAAAGCCTCTTTTTTAGGATTCTGTGCAATCTTCCCGATTTTTTCGTCTGCAAGTAAAGCCTTGCGCAGCTTGGCCTCCGCTGCACGTTTTCGACGTTTACGTGCCTCTCCACCATCGTCTGAATCCGAAAGGTCGTAATCAGCACCACGTTTGCGGCGAAGCATGCCCTTGGAGATATCATTGTAAAGCTTTTCTATTTGCTTCTCGTCATTTGCTCTTTCGCGGTCACTAACGTGGATTAGCAAAAATAAACGTGACGAGGTGTTGAAAATTCTTACGCATAAAATTTGGCAAGTTCGCTCTCGTCAATATCCTTCTTTTCGTCATCTATCATTTCCTTGACAAAAGCATCCTCTTCGCCACCACTTTCATCGTCGCTTGCACCACCTAATCCAGCATACTCGTCTTCTGATTCCTCGGCTTGTTCATTGACCATGTTCTTAGCATCGCTTTTCTTCTTATCGAAGTTATCTGGGACCTTCGGCTTCCTTTTGGCGGCTTTTCGCATGACATCAAAAGCGTTGGCGCTAATTTCGAAATTGTCATTTTGATTTTCATCAACTTTGACGGCGTCCAATGATTCATCGTCTTCGGAAACAGAATTAACTTGAGCTCTTCGGCGGAGCTTTCCTTTCCTTTTCACGAGAGGTGTTTCTTGAATATCGTCGACAGGAATTTGAGTAAACTGGGACTCCATCCTGAGCGTGTCTGCTGTTGAAGGTGGATCCATAAATCGGGATTTGATTGGCGTGATCATGGAAAATCCTTCGTCCTGAGTATTTGGGAAGTCGGATACTTGAGTCGACAATGGATTCTCAACCAAGCTGTCAAAATCATGTATTTGTGACTGAGAGAATGAAATCTGAATTCCTTGAGTCTCACTATCGGCTGGTTGCGATGCTGCTATTTGAGTTTGGCTGTCCATCACTATGTCTTGTGACTCTTCGTCATTCATAGTGGGGACAAAATCAGGCAGCTCTGGCAAAGCTCGTCGGCGAAGGAAATCCATGGAGGTTCCCCTTTTACCAAACGTTTGTGACTCTGGATTTGATGCTCCAAAAACGTCCTGGCTGTCATCCATTGTGCCTTGGAATATTTGTGTAAGACCGAGTCCAGCCGGGCCCGTTACGGTTAAACCAGGTATGAATGTTTTGGTTGCTGAGCGAAGAACTGAAGTTGGGGCTACTGGTGAATCGGTCTGTGGCTGTGTCAAAGATAGAGTCCGAGGAGCTTTTGGCGTCTTTGTAAGGATATATTCTTCTTCCTCGTCATCGGAGATAATGTTCGATCTTCTGGACTTTCGGTGAACAGGGAGAGTTATTTCTTCTTCTTCAGCATCCATAGGGTCAACTGAGTCTTCTGGAATAGAAAGGTCAATTTCGGATTTTCCATCTTCCTCTGCCTCATTGTCGAAAAAGGGGCTGGGTGCTGCACTATGAGCTGTCTCTTCCCTTTCCTCCATCTCTTCATCTTCGCCTTCACCACTTTCTTCGTTTTCGGAGTTTTCGTGCTCATTATCTTCTGAGCCGGAAGCTTCTTCCTCTTCTGGTACTTCATTTGTTTCTGACCAATCCTCATCGTCACTGCTATCGTCCAATGGGTCTACTTCACCATTGGCCTTTCGCTCCTTTTTAGCAGCTGCCTTTTCTCTCGCCTGGATCTCTTCTCCTTCTCGGCGAGCTTTGGCGAGCAAATCATAAACCTCGGCCATTTCTTTTTCACGTTCCTCAGAAGTCTGCACGATAATTCCTCTATCTCTCAGAGCTTGGAGTCGCTCCTCCCGTTCTCGATGGGCTTGTTGCCTTGCCATTAACTGTAGGCTATTCTGTAGGTCTTGAGCTGTCATCGAAGATTTCTGATTTCTTCCTGTGTTTTGCTTTCCAGGCGATCTAAGATGTGCAAGCATTCGTAAGGCCACCATTGAATGAGGCTCTCGGGCTTGTTTCTCTGGAATGCGATTAAATATTGCATCTAGCTTTGCATTGCGAACAGATTTCTTTACTTTCACAATCTCAAGATCACTATCTGAATCAAGCTCCAAGTCACCTGTATCGACCTTCGCTGGTCGTACCCGAATTGGCCGTTGCTTGAAGACAGAATTCTTATCCGTTGAGATTTCAGGCAGCTCCGAGTGGACAGCTTTTCCTTTACCCTTTTCTTTCCGACAAGGTGGCGACGACTTTAAAACTTCTTCGAGAGTTGGTAAATCTTCTTCTTCGTCTGCCATATCCATAGTTATGCTTACCACCTGAGGAGGTTCCGCGGATTTTTGCTTTTCTTTAATGTTCATATCATCTGGTGGAGATGTGGGTGGCGTATCCTGCATATCAACATCAGATTGTGGTGCGGGTGGAGGACTTGATCTCGTTGGTCTAACAGGATCCAAAGAAGCAACATTAGGCTCTCCAGCTTGTTTATAGCCGAATTTAGCAAACAAACTCTGTTTCGTGATTTTTTTCTTGGTTATAGGGTTGTGAGCTAATTGCATGTTCCGGCTCATCCGTTGGGTTTCTTTGTTCATCTCCTCAATGGCCCTCTTGCTTGCCTTGCGGGTAGGGCGATTCTGTTGCGTAAGTCGCTGCCCTCCCTCATCTTCGGTGCTATCTTGATCATCTTCCTCGATTGATGCGGCCTGTCGTTTTCTTTCTGCTACTTTAGTGGCCTTCTTATTTTTCTCTCCTACCTCTTTCACGCGTAGTTCTTGTCGCTTCTTTTCAACCAGAGCTCGGAGTTTGTTTGATACCGATGTTGAGTTCATTGAAACACCCTCTAATCCTTGGGGGTCAGCTTGTGGTGTGGCTGATCTGCCAGCATTGGGTGTAACAAAAAGTCCCGGCGAGGTAGATTCTTGTTGAGGAGTTGATTGAACGGGTGTCTGGGGAAGCGAATCTCCTATACTGCGCTTCCGTGAAATGACTGGCGTGCCAGTTTCATCAGTCTGACTGTCTTCATCTGCAGCCTTCGGTGGCTCGGGCCTTGGTTTCTTCTTCAATAATCTCTTGACTCTTTCCCTCGGATTATTCGCAACAAGCTGATCGTCGTCTGACCCGTCTAATGCAGCTCGCATACGTGCAGCCATTCGGCCCCTTGGCCTTGATACATCCTCATCGTCTGAAGAACTCTGGCTTTCGACCTCAATCGATCCTTCTTTCCTGCTGGGTAAGGTTAATTGCGAATTGGCATTAGATGTATCCGGTTTTGAGCTGTTTGGCTTTGGTTTTCGCGAGGCTAATCTTTTTCTCGCGTTTCCGGACACACTCTCTTCATCAGAACTACCCAATCCTGCGGCTGCAAGGTCTGCTCTTATTTTGGATTTGGGTGTTAACTCCATTGGTGAAGTAGATGTCGCGGGCGAAGATTCTCGGGATGAAGCCATTGTAAGTAAATCTAATATAATTATGATTGACAAAATCAATGCAATCGTATTTAAAGTTGAACTTAATCATATAAATAGAATCATCAAATCATTGCATGCGTTTTTGTATAATAGATAATGGTAAAAAGTAAAGAGTATTGGGTTTTATGCTGTGCTATAGAAATCGCGTTCACGAAAGATGTGGTACGCGACAAGCAAGGGTAAAGTTTAAGTGCGTGGCGGTGTGGCTGGAAAAGCACGAATCATTTTGATAATCGCACCTCTCCCCACCTTTTGGACGACCCGACATGTCATTTGCATTTCCGGTCTGGTCCTGATGACTGTGTAGAAATTCACAAAGCACGAGATATATAGTGAAATTGTGAAGTTTTTCATTTCTTATATCTTGTTGTTAACTCTCCTGTCTCATCTTCGAGGATTCCTGTTTATATCTCAGCTCATACATAGATATATTTCCAGATGACATCTTAAAATAAACTCAAAAATAAAGGCGTCAGGAAGCCATTTACCCTATCATTGCAATTCATCATTTTACTTTAGACAGTATGACAACTGCTTTCCTTCAGCGTTTGAAAGCTAGGTGTAAGAATAATGTAGCCGCGATGAGAGATTCCCCTTTGGCGGAAATTTCAGGCGCTTTTGGTGATCTAGGAACACTTTTACCTTTGATGATTGCTCTTGCCGTCAATAATTCGATATCCCTTTCAACAACTCTGGTTTTCTCGGGCTTGTGGAATATATTGACTGGTATTGCTTTTGGTATACCGCTACCAGTACAACCTATGAAGGTAGTTCTCGCATGGCTGGCGTTATTCTTGACTGACCATACTTTAGGCTATCGCCGCTGTAGCTATATCAAGGAAGTTCTCGATTGAAGAAACAGTTTCCGCTGGTTACACCGTGGCTGGTGTGGTGCTGATCTTGAGCGGTACGGGGCTTCTTCGATGGTTCACATGTATGATACCTACACCCGTCGTCAAAGGTAAACTACTTCCTGAGACCTTTTTTATTTCAATGAATCTTCTTCTATCTATACTGACTGTATGTCTCCAGGTATTCAAGTTGGAGCCGGCTTGTCTTTGGTTCTTTCTGCTGGTTCGAGCCTTCTTCAGCCCTTAGGCTTCACGACCCCGAATGCTGCTGATAACTTAATCTGGGCACTTTTCGCCTTTATCGCTCTCCTGCTCACGCAGAGATTTCAAAGGTTCCCATATGCTCTAGCTATCTTCTTACTCGGGCTTGTATTGTCATTATACATCACGGGCCTAAGCTCTTTACCTTCTTTCAAACTGTGGCATCCTCAAATCTATATTCCGTCCGGGATCTCGTTCAAAGTCGGCGCTCTCGACGCAGGTCTTGGACAAATTCCCCTGACTACCTTGAACTCTATTATCGCAGTCAATTTTCTTGCGGCTGATCTCTTGCCAAACATCCCGGCTCCAGGAGTTACTTCGATCGGACTCAGTGTCGCATTCATGAATCTGATTGGCGGCTGGTTCGGTGCTATGCCCGTCTGCCATGGCTCAGGAGGACTAGCTGCTCAGTATCGATTCGGAGCTAGAAGTGGTGCAAGTATAATCATGCTTGGCACATTTAAGATGATATTAGGATTCTTCTTCGGCGATACACTTGTAGGACTCCTAAAACATTATCCAAAAAGTTTACTTGGAATCATGGTTGTAGCAGCTGGCCTTGAATTGGCAAAAGTGGGAGAAAGTCTTAATTACGGAGCCCGGGATCTGTGGGAAATATCAGAATCGAGTGTTGGATCAGACTCAACTCAACCGCAAATGATAAAGCGCCATCGACAGCTTTCTGACGAGGAAAGAAAGGAAAGATGGACAGTGATGTTCATTACCATTGGGTTTCTGCTAGCATTTAAGAATGACGGAGTAGGGTTCCTGGCTGGTATGTTGTGTCATGGTTTCAATCAATCTTCAAGGTTGCAGAATACATGGGAAGGTTGGAGAACTAGGTATGGCGAGAGAAAGACCAAGAATGCTACGTCGAGTCTCAGAGATGAAGAAGAACAATTGCTCTCCGGCGCTTAGGCATAGAGCCGAGTAAAGGATTTAACGATATAATGAGCATATGAAAGAATCGAGCAGTCTTGCTGCGCAATTGTGTGTTAATTTAACGGTGCTACCACCAAAACATTTCATCACAACTCGTCTTCATATTGATCATTTGATAACATCGCCAAATGATCTTTGATAATCTTGTAATATACAGGCCAAAGTGATTTATACATCAACATTACCATGAATAGTACTGCCTTTGGGCAGTCACAGGTCTATTCGGCAATTGGACCCAGACCTTTTTGTTCTTTAACTTCTCCTCCCGTTCCTCATGAAGTCTAATGCGAGTTTTCTCCTCTTTCAGGACAAGCGAAATACCTAATTATGTTAGCCTGAAAATACCCTTACAGGAGATACAAGACTTACTCGTTGTTCTGTTCTTCATAATGTTAACATTTCCTCTTGCTCTGAAATCGTAACTTTTGCCCCAATCTCCTTTTCCACACCAAGCCTCGTCAACATACAATGCAGTTGGATCTTCCACCTTAACCCTCTTTCCATCCTTAGTCACAATATATCGCGTCTTGAAATTCTCAGTAGACTTCCTTTCAAGCTTCCCTAATCCCATACCCCTCTTCACAATGGCCTCGTTCCTTGCATGCTCCAAATGCTCCTTGACGTCCTTTGCAACCTTCTTCTTCGAGAATCTCATCTGAATAATCGCGTCCTCTACGGTCTTGCCCGCAATCTGTTTAGCCAAAGGAACCAATTTCTTCACCGAAGTCTTGAAATCATGACTCTTTGATAATAGCACCCTTTCCGTTCTCTTCAATGTTTGTTCCTTCGTCAAACGCCCTCGTTTCTTGACCTCCTGTATTACCATCTTCCTTTTCCATCGAAGTGTGGCATTAGGGTATGGGTCGAGTGCTCTGGCCATTATTTCGGGATTCCTAGGTGGACCTTTGGTCTTCTCATCTCGTTTGCTCCCCGAATCTTCATCTTCAAAGATGGACGATTTTGAGAGATTCCCTCGCTCGGGGTTTTGCCGCTGCGCGTCCTTTTTCTTCATTAGAAATTCTTCTGTCAAAGGATCGCTGGGGGCTTTATTTGGTGAGAACATCCTCCTTGCACTGTCGAGACGCTTTGAAAAGTTGTCCCATAGTGATCTTCGCTGGCTTGTGTATAATGGGATGAGGAAGGTGATGGGCGGACGTGACGTCGTAAGAGGTGCAGCTGCGAGCTAATCAGCAGTGATGATATTCATAATTTGCCCTGTACTTACCTGACCTTAGTAGGCGTCGCGAAGGAAGATTCAAACTCATTTTATGGATTGGGTTGTCCTACTCGTCAATGCCCATGCATCATATCAAAATAATTAAAGTTCTTAGCTCGCCAATTTTATAAGGCTGCTTTAAGATTCATGTTATGAAGTGAGGATTCAAAACTGCATATTCTCATTCAAGCTTATACATAACGTCTATCATTGGTACATCCTGCCTATTTACATTTCATAATTTCTTTCTACAATTAGATCTTTCAGGTAATTGAAATGTAATTCATTTAATCATGAAAGAATTCATGCAGTATTTTCTGGAAAAATGGATTGGAACGGGACGGGGTAACATGTTCCCGCGGTCGTATGCCGAAAGTACTAAGCGGCGGCAAAGGTTCGGTGCGATTAAATGTTCGAGATCTATCGTATTTCATGGCGTCAATGCCTGTCTTTGTTGCCAAGATACAACACACTTAGCATTCACATTTCATCAATAAAGTCTCAAGAAGTTCCTCGAAATGCTTCTTGGGCTTCCTCCCGGTATCGATACGAGATCTACAAAGTGAAGTAGTCGGAGAAAGCTTTGTTTACAAGATGGGTGAACCTGTTTGCGAAGAAGATTGGTTGGCGCTCGTAGATGAGGCCAGCAGAAACGCGAGAGATCTGGAGCAGCGCATCGAAGTTGTCGAATTATATAAACGCGCCATTGCCGCAGAGCCTTGGAGCAACACACTTTGGTTGGCAAGATGTGACTGGGTCTTGTCATTGTACACAGATTGCCGGGATCCAGATGCAGGATGGCCAGAGGAAGAGCAAGAGCTTGGACAGGAATTATTCTCATTACAGACCGTACAGGATCTTTGGCAGGAAGCTGCTGCAGCTACCCAATTCCGGTTGAATGATAGCCATGAGCTATGGAACAGGTGGATAACCATTGAATTGGAAGAGCTTGCAAAATCACCCAGTCGCGAATATGTAGAGCGCATCCGCAAAATATTTTTCGATCGTCTACAAACTCCACACGCTAAATGGGATGAGACTTCGCAGATGTTCTCGACATTTCTCACGAAATATGACGAACCTTCTTATGAATCGACGATGGTGCAAATAACACAGATGGGTAGCGGTGCAAGATATCTGTATGCACAGCGCGAAGAGCACGAATTGAGGCTTCAGCATGCTATTGCAACTGGCGATAAGGAACGTGTAGCATCTGTAATGAAAGAATACTTGGACTGGGAGACTTTACAGACATTGATGAAGCCTAAAAAGGGGTTGCCTCAAAGCCCTCCAATTCTCGCAGCTGCCCTCTACGAACGCGCGTTGGCATCGACTATTCTGGGCCGAGATTCTGGAACCTGGGAAGATTACATTGCTTTTGTTCAACAAAGCTATACCGTAAATCCAGAAGCTCAGTTAGGCAATCCCCTCTACATTGTGCAGCGAGCCACTGCACATTGCCCTTGGTCTGGAAGCCTATGGGCGCGATACATACTTCTCGCAGAAACAGAGAACTTGGATTTCTCCTCGATTGAAGACATAAAGCATGCCGCAACCAGCACTGGCGTATTGGATCGTGAAGGGAAAATGGATGAGGTAATTGAGGTCTATACAGCTTGGTGCGGATACCTCAGACGTCGAACACTCAATCGTGCAGCAGAGGTACGTTACATGAAATTTTCTTTGATTTCTACTCTATCAATCATTCACTTTATAACATGGATGGGTGCTGCTACTGGCCTCGTAATCCTTTTTTATACGAGGAGCTACATGACCATATCGCCATGGCTGGAGGGGCTCATGGCGACCCTGATCTTTCCATCGAGGAGCTTGAAGTCGTGGTTGTCGAGGTTGAGAAGAGGATGAACAAGCGTGATTTAGCCTGTAAAGTATATAATAAGGACAAGGTCCGAAAATTAAAGCACAAGGGTTATACCAAGGCCACGGATCAGCAGAGGTTCTTTTGTGGTCCCTGCAATTATACTTTTCCAAATCTCTCCAACTCAATAAGCCCGCTGGACACCTGAAGAAGGTTGCGGGTGCAGAGCTTGCCTCAGGGTCGGCTTAGATGCTGGTCCAAAGAATTTTCTGGAATCTTTCCTACGTCAATTTTAAAATTATACCATTCTACTTTCGATTTCTCTCTATACAACATTATCAATGGGACTCCCACTAACCAACCCTCATTAGGACGAAGCATTTGATGTGGCTGACGCTGGTCTGCCTGGTTCACTTGAGGCAGTTCAGGATTGGGGTCGAAGGCTTCACAAAAGGGAGTACACTGATCCTTTATTCAGAATTGAGAGGATAATGATACAATACCTCACTCAAAAGGGGTCAATCGATGAAGCTCGTGAGTTTTGGAAAAGACTTGTGAACGCTCATCAGAAAAGCTATGTGTTCTGGCAACAGTATTACTTTTGGGAAATGGCGGTGCGAAACTCGAACCCATCCTCCAACTTACCATCTATGGTTTTGTCCCGAGCTATACGTACGAAAGATTTAGACTGGCCGGAAGCGATCATGGAACTATATATTGCACATTGCAACAATTATGAAGACGCACATGCTTTGCTAGCAGCTAAAGACTTGGTTCGCAGACAGTTCCAATTAGTCACCAAGCGCAGAGAAAAGTTGGCCGTGGAGCAAGCGGAATTGTATGCTCAACAACAACCACATGTTGTCACCCCAGATCCAACGGACGAGGAATCTCCGGGAAATTCGAAGAGGAAACGTGAGCCGACCTCAGAAGATGCCAATGGTAACACCCACAAGAAGATCAAAAATGAGCAACCTGTAGCTGATCCAGAGGCCTTGCGGCAACAGCATTTGACAAGGGACCGAGAGAATACCACCGTAATAGTCACCAATCTGCCCCCCGAGGTTACCCAGACCAAAGTCAGACAGTATTTCAAAGAGTATGGTCACATCAATAGCTTGACCCTCAAGACCGAACCCGACAAACTTTCCTCTACTTGTTTGATCGAATTTCGTTCGAATGATGACGTCCAGTCGGCTTTTCTACGTGATGGAAAATTTTTCGGTGAGAATCAGATCAAAGTCGAGCCCGGTACTGGTTTGACTCTCTATGTAACAAATTACCCACCTACTGCTGATGAGAATTACATGCGTAACCTTTTCAAGGATTGTGGTGAAATATTCAGTATCCGATGGCCAAGTCTTAAATTCAACACGCATCGTCGATTTTGCTACATTACCTTCCGTAATGCTGAAGCTGCTTCGGCTGCCACCCAGCTTGATGGAAAGTTACTCGAGAATAAATTTAAACTTGTAGCAAAATATTCCGATCCAGCCAGAAAGAAGCAACGAGAAGGTGCCACGGCGGAAGGTCGAGAGCTTCACATAACCAGCCTCGATTTGAGTTTAAATGAGGACGATTTGAAGGAAGTGTTTGCAAAGTATGGTCAGGTTGAATCTGTCAGAATTTTAAGAACATATAAGGGGGAAAGTAAGGGTGCAGGTTTTGTCGTCTTCGAGAAAAAGGACGAAGCAAATTCAGCACTTGAATTGGATAAAACCAAGTTAAAATCCTCAATTCTTCATGTTGAATTGACGCAGTCGAGAAACTACAAACCTATCGCAACCAGTATAGAGAAGGGAACTTCAGCATCTCCAGCCCCGGACGCTGATGGAGATTCTGCCATGTCTCTAACTTCTACTGCGGATCATCCCAACAACAATCAACATGCTTTACACCAACCATCAGAAAGTTCCAATCGAACTATTACTCTACTCAATGTCCCTGATACAATCAATGATGCAAGAATCCGTGCAATTGCAGAACCATTCGGTACCGTCATAAAAGTCGTACTCCGTCCAGATCACCAAGGTGCCATCATCGAGTACGAAGATATCAATTCAGCAGGCAAAGCATCTCTTGGTCTCGAAAATTACGAGATCGCTCCAGGTCGCAAAGTGAGAACAGGAGGGATGAAAGATTTATTTGCCCAATCAAGTGAAGTTAAATTAGACCGTATTGTCATTGGACGAAATGCAAAAAAGGAAAAGGAAAAGGAGAAAGCGGGTAATAGTACGACTGCAACTATGAGCACGAGTAATCTCATGCAGCAAAGTGCATCGATTAGAAGACCAGGTGGACGGGGTGGCTTGGGTCAAAAGAAAGGATTGGGATTCTCGGGGGCAAAAAAGTCAGAGCTAGATTCGGATGCCACTTCTAAACCGAAAAGTAATGCGGATTTCAAAAAGATGTTTTTAAGTGGTGGGAAGGAATAAAGGATATGCTTATTATTTTATGAATACAGTGTATATCGATTGCTAGCTATATACGTGCTAAGGATCGCCTAGAATCATTGCTAGCTAGGATCGTTACAAAGTAGATACACACACACATACACAAACAGATAGTGAAATCAAAAGCTAATAGTTTTTTTCCTTGCTTTTTTATTCATCTACGATTATTTTGATGGGATTTTTCTTACGGAGAAATCATCAAAATTTGTATATACATAATTATAATAATATAAAGAAAGTATAACACCGAGAAGAAACAAAAATAGAAATTAATAAATAAATGAGTAGATATACTCACCGCTGTACTATACTAATGATATCTAGATATGATAGCCCTCGGTTTATTTATTTATTAATTATATAATCTTATATTTAGGTAAGCTTGGGTATGTATATCCGCGGAGTAGTTAAAGTTAAATTGTATTTACTTTAATAATATTTATTTACTCACTGATTAATCTCCCCCCACCTCCTTCTTGCCGGATTGAAAGTTATGTTTTGTTTGGCCGTTTGCGGATGGGTAATGTGTTGATTATTATGAATGGGATTGGGATACCGTTGCCAGTAATGAAATATATAAACATTGAAAGATATCTTATTTTCCTAAAACGAATAATCCTACTCGTATCTCATACCTAACCCAACTACCAATCCCAATCTAAAATCACAATATAAACTTTACCATTTCTTTCCGTCTCCCCTCCCCAGCATCTCCCTTACATCCTACACATCCCTAATGAAATTGATCCTCCGTAACACCCTTGCCCATCGCACTCGTACTACTCACACCTCCAGTAACCATCTTCAATAACTCATCCGCGTAATTTGCTCCGGACCATTTCTGATGCTTGACCACATCAACCCCAAAATCCATTTCCGGTTCTTGAACCAATTCTCCATAGGCTCTCATACCCATCGTACTGTATTTCTCCGCAAATTGATGAGAGATAAGTGCCGTGGTGTGAAGACCCGCTAATGTAATAAATTGCCAACAGTATCCTAATTTAGATAGACGTTGAATATAGGTTTCTTGTTCTGAGCGTGGCATGGCTGCTTTCCAGTTGAAGGATGGTGAGAGGTTGTAGGCGAGTTTTAGTTCTGGGTAAACTGCGTGGACACCCGCTGCGAATTCGGCGGCTTGGTTGTAGTCTGGCAATTTGGATTCCATCCATACTGCGTCAGTGTAGGGGGCGTAAGCGATGGCGCGGTTGATGGCACAGCCACATCCACCTTTTAATCTGTAATATCCTTCTCTTGTACGAGGAGCATCCCAATCCCAATGAATCTCTACACCAGCGATTGATTTTGCGAGTTTTCTTGCTTCAGAATTACTCTTTCCCTTTACCTCATTTAGGAATTTGGAAACGAGATCATCGGCTTGTGTATTGCTAGGATTGGATTTTATGGAGGAGACGACGGCATCGTTATAAAGTTTGAGACCGGCTTGTGCTGTCCATTCATCCTCGATGGCTTGGAGTTGGGCACCAGTTTTGCCGGCTCGCTCACCAGCTAGCATTTGATCGTTGAGCGGTTCGAGATTGGGGTTTGTGGAGCCGAGGATATAGGGATGGTCGCGGGGGTCGATGGTGGTTGTTATTAAGGTTGCAGCTTCGGCATCTGTACGGGCAATAGAGATAAGGTCGGAGCCTATTGGAGTGTGTTGTTAGTCCTCATTATCTCATGAAGTAGGGAGAGATTTTGGCATACCCATAATATCAGCCTGAGCACGAATAGCAACCAATCGATTAATGTGCTCGCTGATAGGTACAAGGACCTTTCCAGCCATATGTCCACATTTCTTAGTACCAGGGGCTTGATCCTCAATGTGAATACCTGCAGCTCCCTTCTCCACAAACAATTTTGTCAATTTCATAACGGCAGTAAGACCACCATGACCAGTATCTCCATCTGCGATGATGGGACGGAGATAATCGACGTTTTGAAGCTTGGCACGGTCGGCTTTCGAGGCGGTCATTACGCGCTCTTCTCGTTGTTTGCGGTCATGGAAGAGTTGCGCCATGAAGAGATGGGCTACCTTGTTGGGAACTGTAGTCTTTGGGAGTGTGAGTAGGTTGGAGTGAAAAGAGGGGAAATGAATTGAACTTACGTATGGGTAATCTGCGAGATCTGGACCAGGTTCATCGGAGGAAGATGCAGTAGATGATGATTGCCATCCAGAGACATAAACTGTGTCGAGGAATTTTGCCATTTGAGTTAACATGGTAGGCTCCAAGCAACCATAAGTAAAAGAAGCATCCTTATTCTGTTTTCAAACGCATTAGTATCAATCTGCCAATTGTTACGAGGAATATGAGGAATGCATACCTTGAATCTCTCCTCCAAGATACCCCAAAGCTTTTTCGAAAGTGCATTGCTTGGGTATTCAATCTTTAGATTTCCCCTCTTTGCCACAATCTGCTCAGCAGTAAATGGTCTCTTGGTATATCTCCATCTCTCATCTTCCCACCATTTCTTAACAGCAGCAACTTCTTCCAAAAAGATTCTCTCTTCTTGCTCTGGATCCACCGAGGTACCGGCCATTCTATTGATAGCAGCCATCTTGAGTGTAAATATGTAAGAGTGTAGAGTGTATAAAACAACAAGAAATGAGACTCTTTTGTGAGGTTTCCTTTCAAGCTCTAGAAGAGTGACGTTGAGATAGAATGTATGAAGTACGGATTCCTATTTCTCTCCAGGAATGTAAAAAGCCAAACTAGTAATTCTTCAATCAAGACTGTGAACAAATATAAAATCTATATCCCAAATGTAAAGAGGAGGAAGTCCAAGGGGTGTAGCTATATAGCTGTATAATCATCCTGAGCAAAGAATCCATCCGGCCCAAGAAACCCGAGCTAGTTCCCTATATCGCAAGAGGTGACAAGACTCACAAGCGTCTTGTATCCTCGGACCATCGAGGTGATTTCCTTTAGCATCAGCGAAACCATTTGGTTGGTTGTTCGGGTCAAAGGGAGAGCATTAGGAATGTCATGATTGGATACATTCCCGGAAACTGGGGAAACTGCTTACTGCCCATTTGCTTAGCATTGCCATTTTAGTAAATAGAGTTGTCTGGATAAGCTTGGCTCTCCAAGATCTGATACGTTTTAGTGCAACGATTGCGGCTAACTTTAATTATGACGAATGCGGAGATATGGATGAAGATTTGGAGTTGTGAATGTTTTTGGAGGTTTTTATTTGTCTGGATGCCAATTGTTGGTCGCGTGCCATATTATTACATACCATCCATCATACCGTGCCTACCATCAATCAATTGCATCCATCAAAATCCCAACCAATCTCTCATCATCAATACTCTCAATAAATCTTCCAAGTTCCCTCAGACCGGTCCAAGTCCAAGTGCCCAGCCGTAAGACATTCTCTTGGAAAGGTTACATCCCCGTTACCTTACCTATCACCTACACCTAGCACATGTTTTCATATGCATGCGATGCGCACTAGACGTTATAATTTCATACATATCTTACAAACTTACATTAGCATGTGAAGATTGAGCTCCAAAATAGATGATGAAAACCCTCCCGAGTCCCTGCAGGCAAACAAGGGTTAACGACTCTCGAGTCTCTACCGAGGGGCGCCCAGCAAAACGCGGAGGAGGGGATTAATTTTCTGCACTGCAAGCGCTTATCTGATGCCTCGGCTTAAAAAACCGCTCAGAAAAACCACTCAGAAACCCTTTCATCCTTAAGTCCGATCCGATATCCGCTGTTTTGCTTTTCCGAAATATCAGAATCTTCCGGTCATGCTTTTGATTGTCCGATTTTAGGATGCGGTTTCAGGAAGTGAAGGCATTCATGTACTTGTTGGCTCAAATAAATATAATGTGCATCAATAATAAACCCATATTGAATCACTGATGAGGAGCCATGTGTAAAAAAAGTAGAAAAGCCAAGAACATTCATGTCATTCAATTCATGGGTAAAGGATGCATGATGTTACCAGCAATTTTGCCGGTATATTAATTTTTGGCTACGACGCAGACTGTTACTTTTCAACATAACTCTATACATATCTTCATTAAGTCTCCAACCCCCAAAGCAAAAAAACCACCGCAAATCATCACCAAACAGCCCTCATCAATAAGCTTTTGCAATCCAGCAAAAGGTTCTATCGGCTTTTGGGTCCCCCCCTATCATCGCACCACATCATCATCGTTTCAATCGTTAACAACGGAAATTTTTGGAATATCGTTAAGGCTTGCATGGGGTATAGAGCAAATGCAAAGGTCGTTAAAGCATCAAATGTTTTGTTATCCTCTATCTTCGTATACTAAAGGTTCATGGCCTTATTGTACTGTTCCCAAGGAGTAAGTGCTCCTAGGGTTCGTCGCATATGTGCATTGATAATTTGGAGTCCGTAAACGTAACTGGCATTAACCCATCCGAATCTAACACCATTAGAACTTTGGAATCGGTCAAACTTCTTGAATAACTTACCCTTCCTTAGCAACTCCCTTGAAATCCGACCCTTGGTTGCCATACTCTGCATCAACCTTGTGAGGATCGATAACTCTGGTCACGTCGTATTTTTCTACTACCACGCCATTGAAATCGACAAACGCTGTTGTAATCATGAACAGCCATTTGTAGGCAAGTCGTTCGGCCTCTTCCTGGTAATTGTATCGTAGTAAGCCCGTCCAAGCCAGCATTTGTTGCGGAGCCCAGCCATATGGATAATCCCATTGACGATTTGGTCGGTCTAATCCAACTGCACCACGAGACTCTTCCGTTCCAGAAAGTAGCCCTCCAGCGGCTTCAAACTTAGGAAGTGCATTTTTAACCAGACTGGCAGCTTGCTGTGGCGAAGCAACACCTGCCCACATAGCCCAGAAGGTGGTGGCAGTCTCATATATACACTGCTCTTGCTTCAGGGTATTATAATCAAAGTACATGCCCTTCTTCTCATTCCAGAGGTATTTGTCGATGGCCAACTTGCGACCTCTGGCTCTTCGATCCCACATTGATGACGTTTGCAGCTGACCAGGCTTCATGTCGCCCACGCAAAATTCGGCTGGAATTTCAAGCTTATCGTTGAAAAAGGTACGAATGGCGTATGCAATATCTTTTTCATACTTATAAAGAAGAGAATTGAGATCAATTGTTGCAAGATCGGCGCAAACTCTTTCCAAACGGTAGGATGTGTCGTGTCCTGATTCACGTACTGCTCTGTCGTGTAAGAAGTAATCATCCAGCTCTGGTTCCACGACTTTTCCATTATTGTAAGCTTCGACAAATTCTTTGAAAGTCATATTGTACTTCTTAGCATAAGGCTCCAACAGATGCTCGAAATGCGATGCTTCAGTCTCTGGGGGTACACCCAGGCCTTCAGGGCGATATCTCGATAAGCCGGTGACAGGGTCATATCTTGGCTCGGCCGTCCAAACGCTGTGATACTCCTTAATGGCAGCCAAGATAGAAGTCTTCAAAAAGTCTAATGATCCTGGTTCATGCTTGATTTTGTCAAAAACCCGGAGTGCCATATCTGTCAAGAAAGGTGGTTGAGAACGACATAAATAGTATGACCTGGTGGCATTGAGAATCTTTCCATAATGCTCGATGCAAAAACAAAAGTTTTGCACCATTGACTTCGCCAAATGTACCTTGTCATTGACGATCAATCCTAGTGATTCCATATAGCTGTCCCACCCATAAAGCTCGTTGAATCTACCACCTGGTACAACGAAAGGTAATCCTCTGAGAGTTTTAGCACCAGTTGATGGATCCACAACTTCCTCCATGGCAACAGCTAAGAGACCGGGCTTAGAGTTCATATCACGAACAACTTCTGGAGTGATCTTCTCTGGTAGCCAGCAAACATCCAAGCGGACTTCGGGTCTATCACTGGCCACTTTGGTGTAGTATGCATGTTGTTCGGGTGCACCTCGAGGAATATAAATTCGTGGGCGAGGATCATCCGTCCAATCCTTAGGATCACGGCCAGCAATTTCAATTACCGATCCATCGATTCTCCGAGTCAACCTGTCCCAGAATGAGCCTTGTATCAATCGTGCGAGCCGGCTAACGGGGTTCTCGTTGAGGCGAGATTCGTCCAAGATAATTTGCTCTCTGCCGTTTTCTTTTGCCAAAGTCAATTCCTGCAAAAGGTTTGATAACATATAAGTCCCACGAATATCATATCTCTTAAATCCGTTCGAGGTGGCGGTTCCGAGAGGAAGTGTCTGTTTCAAAATGCGTCAGTTAGGAAACTGCAGGAACAAAATGCCTAGAAATCCGTCCTACCTTTGGCCCCAAATCTTCAATTGTAATCTGGTGATTGTCATCTGTGTCTTCCTGCTTCCGAAGGGCTTCCAGAGTTGAGTCAACCTGTATTAAGAATTTACGCCCATAATCTCCGATATCGTCTGCACAAAGGTATGTTAGTCAAGGGGAATTTGGATTTCGCAGGAGTAGAAACTAACCATGGCTTCCCCTTCTCATCGGCTTCTTCAGACCTAGGATTGGTGTGGAGAGAGTGCTCTGATTCTGCGAGCAAGATCAGATGAGTGTATGTTGGGTGTTATTTAGATATGCCATGCTTACCGAAGAGTATGTACGGGTGCGGAATTGTTTGAATGATTTTTGATTTGTGTCATGGCTGTAGTATACATGTGCGGCAGCAAACGGATCAATTTCACTGGAAACGCTGGAAGTACGCTGTTTTGGCAATGGCGAGGTCATTCTATAGTTTCGAAGTAGTTTGAAAGTGTTTGCAATATCTCCTGTCAAGATACAGAGCAGTGACGTCGAAATGAGTTGTGAATGTCAGGATTGAAAGGTGGGGGGAAAGCAGATAAGTCTTGACTTTTGAAAAGAAATAGAAATGTGAATGTGAAGTTCGACTTGAAATTGAATTTGTCAGATTTTAAGATTGCAATCGAAAATACTGTACTGGTATGTTCTCCACAGAAAGACGGTAGACATGAATCAGTCCGTGTGTTGCGTGTTTGTTGTATGTTGTATGTTGTATGTGGTATGTGGTATGTGGGATGTGGTATGTTGTTGGTATGTAGGAAGAAGTTTCAAACATGGGCAGAAGTGGTTTATTATACCGTCCGGGCTGTCTGGCTTCTGGCTTGTGCTGTTAGGTTAGCTGACTACAACTATCGTGGGTTTGGTGGTTGCGGGTTGTAGGTTGTAGGTTGTAGGTTGTAGGTTGTAGGTTGTAGATTGCTCTATCGTCTACCGCAACTTAAGATAATCACAACATTCACAACATACAACTTACAACATCCATCATCCATCCCATCCCATCCCATCCTACGATCCTGCAACCTTCATCAACCCAACCAAATTCAATACTTTTGATTTAGTCCATTACCCAGAAATTGACTGATGCTTCCTCTTTCCATTTGAATAACTTGATTTCATTAATAAATTGCTTGATAATTTTATCTTCTTCAATACAGAACATATTCAATACTTCCTTCTGTTCCTTTTTTTATTTATTTTAATTTTTTTGATCTTCGATGTCATTCTTCACCGCCTCAAATCGTACCAAATAGTAGACACCGCATGGGAAGTTTATGGAAATTTATCATCTAAGATGCATGGGTGACGCAGTGCGACGAGACTTGTAACACTTCAGCCAATCATAGTATCTTATTGGGAGAATTAGTGGAGACTGTGGCTGTCATTCATCCCACCATCACCATTTACACTCTAGTCCACATGTTGTCATTGGAAAGTTCACAGCCCCAGGTTTTTCAGGGTTCGTTCTTCGTGGGGGTTCCGGCCACCGGCATCGGTTTGGCATCCGCTCCATTTCTCGACACTTGGTACTTCTATACATGCAACACGACATTGACGTCTCAACCTCAACAAAGTAGAATGCGACGTCAATATGTCAGGGTGAATTGCACTTTGAACATGCTGCTGATTCGTTGCTATGCGGTAGGATCTTTGACGGATAATTCATCCAATTTTGAGGCACTGCATATCTCAACTATAAGATCTCGCCAGCTCCTGAACGCAAATGTATAGATTTTCAATCAAACTCTTGCCAAGAGTCAAGGAAAGCCCTTGGTGCTACGAGTTATCGGCACATATCAGTCATCCCGAATAAGCAAACGTTTTACGGAGTCTGGTCAGGCCTGCAGTTCTTTATTTGGTTGTATCTCACACGACACATCACACGTCGCGACAGAGAGATGGGATGAGCTAACAAATTAAAACACGTACCGAATAATCCGGGTGTCATGTCGAGGGGAACCCTACCACCGAACCGATGTTACATCTCACATTGCCAACGCCATGTGCAAATACAGTGGTACAGATGCACCAAGGAAAGTTGACAAGCAGCCATGTCAGCTGATTAAGGTTTCTAGCTCACGTAAGTCTGATTACAATGATAATCGTGTGTTGCCAGTGTTGGACTCTGTGCTTTGTATAGCTATCCAAGCCCGTGCCAGTCTCTGACAGTTATATATGACTGTTGGTATGTATGGCTCATGATCAAAGCATAATATTTTAGATACGCCTTGGTTCACTGGAAAAATGCAGTCCTTTTCGTTTCGCATTTTCTAGAAACCAACATATTCGATAAACCTTGGACGGAAAGCAGAGCATTGCTGTCGCTGTCTACGCGACGCACTTGTCTCCAAATAATTCTTGCCACGAGTCCTAGACCCATCCTATCTTTGAATTTACCATATTTCGAAAGGCTCTGAAAAGCCGCGAGGGAGCCGTATCTTTTCAAACCGTTGCTATACTATGATTCACCATCAGTTGAACAGAAATCGAGACGGTCAATGAGTCCAATCTGATTCCGCTGCCGGTAGAAAGGAAACGACTACATAACTATTAAAATCTCAACGTGAACACATTGACTGCTAGGTCGCTTATGGCTACGGGATGTGGTGAGTCCTCCATTGCGCTCATCATAGAGCTGAATGACTAGTCTCGATTTTGACAGTGGGAAGTAAAGTTGTCTATTCGCTAGTTTCACTTGGCACTGGAGCGCTTAATTGGCAACTGTGGGATTGCTGTACCTTTGATCGACGACCGATCGGGTTAGGTGTAGAGCATCTAAGTGTAACGAAGTGGCTAGGAGTATTGTGTAATAGTGGCTTTTGGCTACTAGAATTCCAAGACGACCCTAATGAAACGAGAGGAAACGAGATGAGACGACGTACTTATGGAAGTCTATATCGATCCAGCCGCTAGTGTAGCGTGGACGTGGGCAGAATTTGTAGTTCCACGTCCACGTCCAACTTCTGGATCTTTGAGTGACAAGCAAGTCATGCTTGCCAGGCCAGCCTTGTGAGAAATAGCAGACGCATGACCCTTTGGACAGCAATCGGTCGTGAAGGTCAACGAGAGCCGTTATTATGCATCGAAGTAATAACTCTCGTTGGTATGTCTACCAAGGGTTATGAGAGACAATCCCCCTTGTTGACCGACCAGCCCAACTTTCAAATCTTTGGTTATTCATTTTTTATATAATAGCAGCGCGAAAAGCCTGTGACAATTCCATATTACTAGTGGTGGAAACAATCACTTAACCTCTTTTCGAACTCATGGATGGTAGTTAAGGAGGACAGCAAATCCATGGCGTTGAAGCTCTCAGCTTAAAGTCGAACTATGGTTTACTATTCTCTCCTTTGAACAGCCTACTCGCTAGCCACGATGACCATCTAAATTTTCAAACTTTTAAAACCTAGTTCAGGGGTTCGTCGGTATTAATTTCGTCGTTTAAAAGTTACCCCCCCGGTGATTTCACATCATGTATTTTTTAGGTGGTTGGTTGTGCCGATTGCCGTTTCGAACACGACGGTATCGGGGCTTTTGTATGGTGATCACCTTCCACACACTACTTTTGAATCACAAGTATCTCGATAACAGATTATCTCCAGCTTAACTTCTCGACAATTTACGCACGGAACTACCAGTGGGTGATAGGTTGAAATATTACCCTGTCGTTTCAAACAGAGCCACCTAGGATGGAATTTGAAGATCCTCAGACTTCACTTTGTCCCGCATCAAAGAGTCGGTTGCGTTAGTGTTTACACGCGCAGTGCACATACATATAAGGTGGCGTTGTTGTAACCCTTAAATTAGATGGCTGGCAATTCAAGACGCTAAAATTTACAAAGGTGCGCACAGGCGAAAATCTCAAGAGATTTCTCGAACCAGGGAGACAGACTATGCGGCTTATGCCACGCACAATATTCCCGCAGATAAGATAACAGTTCGCTCAGCCTTTCTCAGGGCCCAAGATGATCGAGGCTTGATGATGGCTGCATTTTTGAGCGCCTTGGACAACGACTTGAAGATAAAGCATTCGAAAGGGGAATAAGAGCCGCCCTTCAGGAATTACTTCATACACTATCTGGATTCCATAGGTGAAGAACGGACCAACACCGTGGCAGGGCCCACTTCAACTTTTCAACATTGATGCTAGCACACGGAGCTGATTTTCTCAGAAGTTTACCGAGATACAAACGGAGAAAAAACTGACCAGGGTCGGCGTATCAAGAGGGGAGTCACGCCGAGTGGGAACTCAGCTCGATTATTTCATATTTAGGAAATACATTTAAAATCTAATCCCACTCGACTCACCTGTGGTATGTGTCACCTCAAAAATCGAGATTTCCTCCAGACTCTCCAAACCTTCTTTTCAACGTTTGGGGCGCTGAGACAGGTTATTGGATAACATCATTCAAGTCCCACAAATTGCATTTTCTTCCAAGGGCGGCGGATGGATGGTTCTAAAATAAGACCCACCTGAAAAGAGCTCGGGCGCGATACTAAGCTCTAGCTGCAAAATCTACGAGATTGACTCGCCCATGCACTCACTCACTGCACTCTGACTAAAAAATATGCCGTCTCCATTTTCATGGTAGCAAAAGTATCGTATCATGAAAAAGCAAGCATTAAACGGAGCTTAGTGAGGAAAACCAGAGTACGGCCACATCCAGCTGGAAATGTAACTTTCTTGTTTTCGTTCGTTCATTTATTCCTTTCTAGTCGCACAAGCACAATTACTAAGTACCAAGTACCCAAGTGCTAAGAACTAAATACAGTACTAGGTACGATAATTAGGAAATCTCGTCATGTAATGATGTGCCGGCGGTCAACTTCGTCGTGTCTTTTTCCGCCCATTTAAAGATGCCCACCGAACAATGTCTTGTTCACTCCGTCAATCAATCAACCAGTTGTTGGATGATGAAAGTTTGATCATCCCTATTCTTATCGGAAGAATCTTCCATTACATTCAAACGGTTTTATGATAATATAATTAACCTTTTGGAACGGTGTAAATACAATTCAGAAACACAAATAACCCTAAGACGGAAGATCACTTGCAAAGAAGTTGGTTTTCGCCATTTTGCGTCTTGATCTTGGATCGTAATGTTGGGAAAAACCATGTAATTGATGTGCAGAGAATCAGGAAGCTAATACACTAGGAGAATAAAGCTCGTTTTTGAACTGTTTCTTTACCCGCTTCTGAGTTTGGTCTAAGCACGAATTCGGTTATGATGAGCAGGCAAAGAGAAGATTATCGACCATGCCATGGATCCAATTTAGCCAATTCTGCTATCTACACAGCAAAATATAGATCTTGAAATGCAACATCTGGATCCTCGATGCTGTTAGCTTGCGAGCGGTGTAAGTTCAGCTGATCTTTTTTGGAATGTGGCAAGAACTCCTTATCTTAACTTATTGTAGCATTGCAGCAATCCCAGTATTGGTTCTCTGGTACATCTATCAACAATAGCTAGAAGAAAATCATTATCTGCAAGAGCCCGCAAATGTCAATGTCTCATTGAATCATTGTACGTTTTGCATCAATCCACCTCTCCATCCATTATAGTGTCGGTGGTACTGGCATGGGATTTCATTTTTACTTTTGAGCCGCTATGCAATTTCCTCGACGTCCCTTCAATCCGGTTCAAAGGTGCTAACTACTGCAGCCATCCCGGGCCAAGTTTCTACTTTACATCGCTCGGTCGAACGACTAAGGTAGGTACGCGCAAAGTATAATTCGGGCTAATTACAAGTGAAGATTTACGAGCGGTATATGAGAAGATTGCAACATACACACGGTCACAATGTAACCACGACCATGAACTGCTTCAAAAATTCCAATAAAGGATCGACCCCTTGATATTTCGTGCTTACAGGTAAAGCTGTACAATATACATATTTAAAACAAAAATCTGCAAGTATGTTTTTTCTATATCCCTGGCAAATCTCCGGGGAGGCCGGTGAAAATCATTCCTTGTGGATCTTCCGAGTAACGCTAAAACCCCTGAACTGCCATGAGAGCGTGCGTCTTGATTAGCCTGAAGACTTATCTGCAAATGGGAATGGCTGTTCGTCTATTTTTGAAGTGCTATTCCAAATTAGCTTGAATTGCTACATGAATTTCAATAGATCATTACCGGATTGAACCTGCTCGCTTTTGTTTACCTCAACAGCGTTGTTCGATTGTCAGGGCTGTGTCGGGAACGCACAGCATCAACAATACTTTCGTCTGAATCTTTTCCAAACTTGGAAAGTACCCAGCCAGCGCTGAACTGCATTTTGTTTAGCTTGGCCTTGGCGTTTGATATCTTTCTGCCATGTTGGCCTAAGAGCCAGGAGTGTTTGGAGGGGTGGTTCGCTGCCATAGCTTATCCGAGCTTGTGGTCGTATTCGATCCACCTACTTGATATGGCAGCGGCAAGCTAGATATATGGTCTTCTTTGTTACTCGCTCAGGCCCGGTCGAGCCACAAATTTGGCGGTTCGCGGTCGCTGAAAGCTCCAGAATCTGCAACTTGGGTAGACTTTTCTCAGCTCCTCGTTTGCCTCCGAAATATTATTGCAGGCTCAATGAATGGGTTCGTCCTTTGAGTTATTGCTAGCTTCAACAGCGTTTTTGGCAATATCTAGAGACGCTAGTGCGAATGGCTTTTTCTTCACATACTCTACTTTGTACATATTGCCCTTCACCCCGCTGAGCGCGAAGTGTTTTATCACGACTTTTTCTTCTTCATCGACAGCAAAGCCCTCATTCATTTTGGGTTGCTGATCATAGTAATCACTTACTTTTGTTTGAATATTCACTGCATATATCTTTCACGTTCGTTTATTAGTGTTTTATAATTAATCATATACTGATTGTTACGTTTACCTGCATTTCAATCATATCATAACCCAAGATGAACGCCATCAAGGGATACCTCGCGCCGGGGAAGAAGGCCGAGAAAGATGCAAAAGGGAAAGACTGAAGCATCGACAGCGACACCAGCACCACCAGCACCACCACAATTGGAAATGCGTACAACACCTCCATTGGGCTCGCCAATGGCAGGATCTTTCGTTGGCAATTCAAGGCCGTCCTCTCTATATCCGGAAGGTGATTTTCGAAATGGTCCTAGGGAAAGCGTTATGAGTGTCAAGGCCGATGTAGTAGTTAGTTGGTTACATCAACAACAGATGGAAAAGTTATGGGCTGTTGGTGCTCCAGGAGAAGGTGTTGTTTTGAAGAAGGCGAAGGATGATTTTACTTGTTGTCCACCTTCTTTGAGAACCGAGCCATCGGGAATCTTTGACTACATTGTAGCAATGAATGTCAGAGTACGTACATCGCATGCGCTTAGGATAAATATTTGCTAACCTTCTATATAGGCTGCCATGACCGTTAACACTCGCGTTATCAAAATTTTCCTCGCCCGTCAGCACGCTGATTACGTTCCTCTTTCCAATGGTCTCCGTCTTCAAGTCCTTCCTAGCGTCGAGTTTTTACCTCGATGCCAGAAGCATCATTTTGGTGCATTCATCCAAGATCAGCAAATTCTCGTTGTTTGGGATGATGAATCAAAGCACTTGTTGAAGCGAGCCGAATTTATCGAGAGATCTCTGTTGGAGATGATCTGGGCCGATGATGACGCCGATATGGATGAGAAGAAGCCTGGAGCACAAGTTTCTACTGCCGATTTAGGAAATGGTGATGTTGAAGATGGTTATGGAACGGAAGAAAAGAGACCAACGTTACTCATCAATCCTATCATGGTTGCTGCAACCTTGTGTCTCCTCATTGCTGCTCTTGGACTTGGTTGGAAAAATCTTGCGCTTGAAGTTACCGTCGATGGGAATTTCACCCGATTGGCTTTACTTGTAGTCACTCCTTGCCAAGTCTTCGTCTCCCTTTTCTTCATGCAAGTCATTGTCGTCAATCTCACCCAATGTTTCGGACCGATCAATAACTTAAACTGCAACTCTAAGTTCTATTCCGGCAAGGCTCCTCAACGTCTCAATCGAAACAATAGAGAACTTCCTCACGTCACCATTCAAATGCCTGTTTACAAGGAAGGTCTCGTTGCTGTCATTCAACCCACTATTATCTCGCTCAAGGCTGCTATCTCCACCTACGAACTCCAGGGTGGAACTGCCAATATCTTTATCAATGATGATGGTATGCAATTACTTCCTGAAGAAGAAGCTCAAGCTCGTCGTGATTTCTACGATGAACATACCATCGGATGGGTCGCACGTCCCGGACATAAACCAAACCCAGAGAATGGCGAAAAGGCATTCCTTCGCCGTGGAAAATTCAAGAAGGCTTCCAACATGAACTACGCTCTTATGGTTAGCAACAAAGTTGAAGAAAGACTCCTCACCATTGCTCGTCATGACGGTTGGTCTCAAGCTGAGGAATACATCGCTTATGATCAATGCTTGGCTCAAGTCTTAGAAGAGGAAGAAGGCCGTGCTTGGGCTGGTGGTAACATTCGTGTCGGTGATTACATCTTGCTTATTGATTCCGATACTCGTGTTCCATCCGATTGTCTCTTGGATGCTGCTAGTGAGATGGAACAATCTCCTCAAGTTGGAATCTTGCAGTTTAACTCTGGTGTCATGCAAGTTACTGATAGTTTCTTCGAGAACGGGTATGTATTCATCATTCTTATCACGCCATAAGTTGAATAAAACTGACCAATGCTCCAGAATCACCTTCTTCACCAATCTAATCTATACCGCCATCCGATTCGCCGTAGCCATGGGTGATGTTTCCCCCTTCGTAGGCCACAACGCCATGCTCCGCTGGTCCGCCGTCCAACAAGTTTCCTACCACGACGAAGACGGCTACGAGAAATTCTGGTCTGAATCGCACGTCTCGGAAGATTTCGACATGTCTCTCCGTCTCCAAGTCAACGAATATATCATTCGCTACGCCGCCTACACCGGCGATGGATTCAAAGAAGGAGTCTCCCTCACCGTCTACGACGAACTTGCACGATGGGAAAAATACGCTTATGGATGTAACGAGCTTCTTTTCAACCCATTACGTTTCTGGTTCACGCGCGGTCCTTTCACAAAATTGTTTAGAGAGTTTTTGTTTTCGAATATGAGACTTACCTCTAAGATTACCATGATGGCTTATATTGGTACCTACTATGCTATCGGCGCATCGTGGATTCTTACCGTGGCCAATTATTTCATCATGGGTTGGGACAATGGGTTTTATGACAAATACTACTTAGATTCCTTCCAAGTATATTTCTCTCTCATTATCGTCTTCAGCGCGTTAGGAAATGTTTCCCTAGCTGTTCTCCGCTACCGATTATCCGAACGCTCTTTCTTTTCTTCTCGTAAGTATTTCCCTTTCCTCTCCATCAAATTTCCTTACTAACAAAATAACTCAACAGTCCTCGAAAACTTCAAATGGCTCCTCCTCATGACCGTCTTTCTCGGCGGTCTCTCCATGCACGTCTCTCAATCCCTCCTCTGCCATTTCTTCGAAATCGACATGACTTGGGGCGCCACCGCCAAAGAAGTCGAAAACGTAACCTTCTTTGAAGAAATCCCGCGTCTACTCAAACGCTTCAAATATACTTTTATCTTCTGTATATTGATGACGGCGGGTATGATCGTGTGTGCGCTCTTCGTGCCTTGGAATTGGAGAATCGATACTTTTGTCGCTATTTATCCTCTGTGTACCGTGGTTGTTAGTCATTTTTTGATGCCGGTTGCCTTGAATCCGGCGTTGATGATGTTTACTTGGTAGATGTGGGTTTGGTTAGGATGGCTTGGGATTGGGTTGGTTGGATGGTTGGATGTATATGAGGAGACTTAATTTGATGATTGTTATGTCTAAGTTAATATGGGAATGGCGTTACATGAAATCCGTATATATGGTCCAGAAAGGCATTTTTGACATTTTATTATTTGTCATAATCTTTCTTTTATACGCAGAGATGGCAGGAAATAAATATATAAATGGTTGGATGGATGGATGAATAGATCAGATATAGATATATAGATAAATATTTTAATTTTACATTCTTTTGATTCCTTATTTATATCTATTATTTATATCTATTCTTCTTGTTGCAATTTCTGTAGATGGGATAGGTGGAGGAAAGTTGGTGTATATGTATGTATATATACTCGAGTATATGTAGATATATAAAAAGACATAGTATTTAATAGTCAATCGAGTTGTAGAAGCTAAATAAATTATCCAATATAAGAACATGAATAAATCGATTAACCAATTACCCCGCCCGATATAAGATCACAACTAAATTTCTTCCTTCTACAGGTACCTCGAATTACCCCCCTAAAACTCCTAGCGTAGGAACTAAAATCCATTACACTTTCTCTTCTTAACCTTTTCCTATCCTTCGCTACTCATCTATTAATCATCTCTCCTCTCTCCTCTCTTTCATCTCCCTCCTCCCCGTTTCTTCCCTCCCTCCCTCACAACCACCACGAGGCCCCCTCCTCATAATAACATGACTCGTACTTCCCATCCCTCTCCCCTTCATACAAATCCAATCGTATATCCATGGAATAAACTTCTTGAAATCCGTGTTTTCGATAGAGACCGATGCCCCAGGGACTAGCTCCTAGGATTACTTGGATAGGCGGTTTAGGTTGTGGGTGTGGGTGAGTTTGGATATTGGATGGAGAGGTTTGAGAGGAGATGGAAAGAGGGAAGGGTTCGCCTGAGTCGGCGAGTTGTAGTCCTTGGGTGAGGAGACGTGTGCCGATTCCTTGGCGTTGGTAGTGCGGGTGGATTATGAGGATGTTGAGTTCTGGGTGAGTGGGAGGGAGGTGTTAGTGGTGGGGTGTGGTGTGAAGTGGGGGTGGTGATGATGTGGAGGATGGGGAATGGTATAAGAATTGGAATAGGTACAGATATATAAACAACGGGAAGAAAAGGAGGAGGGGAAGAAGGAAAGGAAGAAGAAGAAATATACATACTCAACCACCTTTCCTTCCCACAAGCCTTAAACATATATTCATCCCCCCTAACGAACACATCCTCACACAATTTAAAATTACTCCTTTCCCCATATCTCTTCTAATTCCTCTTTTGTTTTACTTTAGGAATGTCAGATATTTCAGGTACTTCCTCCCTTTCCCTTTCCCCTCTCCTCCTGCTTCCCATCCTCATTCCCACAACCCTCATTCCTCTCCCCTCCCTTCTCCCCACCCCGCTCATCCACCCCAGAACCCCACAATCTCACCTCACCCTCCTTCCCTCCCCTTCCCTCCCTCTTCCCCATCACCATCCCCAAAACCGCCTTAACAAACCAACAATCCTCTCCAAAACTTTCCCAACTGTTCCTCCTCAACCGTAAGCCAGATGTTCCAGGAGGGATAGACGGGGAGATCGGATTTGGTGAGGGGATGGAGGGTTATTTGTGGGGGTTGTTTGGGAGGGGAGGAGGGTTTTGTTTGGTTGGTTGTTGGGGGGCTGGATGGATGGGTTATGGCCATTTTTCTGGGTTGTGGTTTTTGGTTTTTGGGTTTGAGAGATGGGATGAGTGTTATATTGCAGAGGTGATTATTGTGAGTGTATAAAGCGGTATTAAAGTAGAAATAGGTAGGTACACCAATATTAAGGTATAAGGATAATAAAACGAAAAAATAAATAAACAAACAAACAAACAAATAAATGAGTAAATAATTATAGATAAAACCCGTCTGATATGTATAAAAGTAGATAGATAAGTATGATACAATAAAAACAAACGGGAGGAACAAGAATATAAACCACGTCTAGAATCAGGTTACATGTAGATACCTACCTACAGTAGGTAACCTTACTTCTAATTTTACCAACAAGCATAAGACATAATTCTCCAACCCTAACATCCTATCACATACCAGAATACATACATACATACATATCTACATCCATTCATATTCATCATATATACGAACTCTCCAATCGATATGATGCGATACGTTACAGTACGATATCATACATACATACATACAACTCAGCCGCCTTACAATATACAATCATACATCATACACCATCCACCTTCCACCCAATAACACCCTGCAAATAAACTAAGATCTTACCACACTCCATCCGTATCCACCATACATACCATACCATACATGCATGCACACCGCAAATCTCACATCTCACATCTCACATCCATCTCACATCTACCGCGTATAGTATGTGACGTCTAGTATCTAGTCCAACCTTAATTACTCCGTACATTCTCACGCGTTCCTGCATGACTACCTAGTATGTACTCCGTACACCAGCATGACCGAGAGAGAGATCCTTGACCATCGGAACTTTTGCTTCTTGCTCAGCTAAACATATCATTTTGCTCAGCATGCTTGCCTGCTTGCCTGCTTGCTCGAAAGAAATACTTTTTTCTCCGTACTGATGATACGGTCTGTGGGTCTGACACTTACTCCGTGTTATACATGCCTACATACATACACACCTAACCACCAAACCCAAAATCCCTTCTCTCAAACTCTCCTCCTCATCCACATCCAATACTACCTACCTACCTACCTACGCACCATCTACCTACTCAGCCCTAAACATACAAACATACATACATACATACATTGAACACAGCACAGCACAGCACAGCACCGGGGTCTCGGGAAAAACACGCGCCTCATCCTAACTCGGTGAGTCGGTCGGTCACTGAGTCAACCGGTAAGCTACATATACGGATTTTTTTGCTTGTACATACGATTACGATTATGAGTATAGGTAGTTATCGGATGGAGGGATTCGAAACCCGGGAATTTATTGGTTATTTATATATAGATGAATCAATATAAATTAGTCTCAGTGAGTTTTGAATTGAGATTTTAATGAAATATATAATATATATATTATTTGTATACTTGAATAATATAATATAAAAGAAATTTAATAAATAATCTTTCAGAATTATATTTATTATTTATTATTTATACAAATATACTTTTAAATTGTATATCTACGTCTACCTGTATCTGCATCTGCATTGGAACAATCCGGATATATTAAATATAAGATTGACAAGATCGATGGTGTCTTAATTATATATTCGTAGAATAGAGTTTTAATGTAACCTTTTCTAGTTGTAATAATACCGCTATTTGGCCACCAAGCAAGCAAGCAAGCAAGCAAGTGATCTCCAAACTGAGAAGAGCAGGCAACCAGGTTTTACCTGAAAATTCTACCGATTTCACACTACATTCATTCCAGATATCATATCCCACTTCACACCTCACACTTCACACATCATCATAAAACCTTCCAATCAACCCCAACACCCCATTTCACCCCTCAACAACAATCTCCCAAACTGGTCCTTTAATCCCCACGATTTCTCCAACCTGGACTTCCTTTCCCCTCTGTAACCCTATCCCCGTTCCTTCCCCAGCCAACAAAACCCTCACATCCTCCAAACCATCCAGTATCTCCTCTCCATCCAAATCACGCGCCTGTCTTCCCCTCACTAAACACATTTCCCTCCCACCTGCACTAATTTCCTCCACTTCAATCTTCACAATCCATTCTCTATCTTTATTTTTCGTTCCTTTTGTATTAGGTTTATGTGAAGAGGAAGAAAAAGAGGAAGAGAAGGAAGAATCAATATTAATCAACCAATCCCTAACTTCTGCTGCTAATCCACCATTCACATATTGTCGTCCCTTTCTATGGGGAGAAAATTGTTCGGGTAATGGATCGATACTCCGATGTGTTTCAGCAGGATCAGGAGGACGAAAACGAGGGGGTTTGAGAAAAGTGGTTGCAGTGGTAGATTGAGGTGTTGATGGAAGTAGTGGAGTTGAGAGGAGAAATTTGGGTTTGCTGGTGGTAGATGTAATTGGATTCTGTCGATGGGAAATTGGTGAAGAAACTATAGGGAGAGAGGAGGATAGTAAATCATCCGTTTCTTCTGAGATGATATCTCCTGGAGAAAGTGAAATTCGTCGACGTTTAGACGAACGTGGATTTATTTCATAATCATCTTCTGTGCCTTCGGCTGGAAATCCTATTTCCGTACCAAATTCATCTTGTGTTTCGATCGAATCGTGAAGAGGAAGATGCGCTGGGTATTCATCTGATGGATCATCGATAATCTCTTTTGGTTTTGGTGTTTGGCGAGCTGGTGTTAAGTATCGTCCCACAGGTATAGATGATGATACATTCTGTGTGCCAGGAGGTTTTGGTGTAGAAGAAAATGTAAATCGAGGAGTAGTGTTAAATTGTTGGATGTTTGCTGGACGAGGAGTTGATTCTTCTGCGAGTTGAGATCGTGGTGGTGGAGGTTGTTTCTTGATCACAAATCGATGGGGTGATGGTGTCTATCTAGTTATTAATATTGGAATTGCCAATCAAAAGAGTATAGAACTTACTATTGGCGGAGGCATCTTTCATGCTTCATACATTCATTGCTTGTTCTCGTGGCTTTGAAGGCGGTGGAGATATTGAAGGCAGAATATCTGGAAGTAGGAAATTGAAAATCAGATTCAATTAATCATTTCAATCAGAAACATCAATTCCATCCTTATCAATCATCTGGAATCATCCGGAATGTCGACATCCCATCATACTTTAACTTGTGAGATATATGACTTAAATGTTGCCGACAAAACAAATGATTTCCCAAGGTTATCTCAAGCAATGCCTCCCGCAGCAAACATTGATGACATAATACAGTAGATTAAGAAGTGAAATGGGATTGGTAGATGCTACTTTGTAAATACCATCGACAACTTACCTAATTATGAAATCTTATCCATATCCACATGCACACCTGATTCACTTCCACATCCGATTCACGTCTACACACATCCAATAGACATCCAAGTACACATCTACTATCCCAAAAATCTGCTGATTCATTCATCTACACACTACGCTATACCCACTATGCTGACCAGGATTCTGAGAATCCCAAGTTTATCATCTGTCTCTAGTTATTTTTCTAGTATTCATTTCCTCATTCATCCTCCTCTCATCTTCTATTTATCTTTCCATCCCCCCCTCTCCCTCTCAATCAGTCAATACCTTTATCACTCCGATCCTCATCCCAACATTTCCTAAATCCAAAATAACCAATCAAAGCAACTCATGCTAGTGAAGAAAAAACACAGATTAACTAATCCTTCAAGTTTCTCATATCTGTAAATTCCATCCCATTTCTCCATTCATAATGCCCATCTGCACCAATTCGTACCATTCGTCTTGCCCTTAAAAATTCCTTATTGTTCCCACTATGTAAATACAATTGATTGCGCGCTGGCTGTAGTTTCTCGCTGAAGAAATGGGGATGAATGGTTGATAGATGCCTGTGGAGCAATATACTGCATGCCATTTCGGTCCACTTCATCACATGTCCGTGTCCATCTCTCTCTAAATCCCATTCCTTCACTCCAAAACGACCATCCTTTACAACTCCAAATCATCACTAATACCAATATCGATACTAGCAATAATATCATCATCCATCAAAGGTCTTCTGAATCCAGGAACTCCACCCTTCATGGTCGTTTGCAGCTTACTGAAATTCGGTACCGGTAGAGCATCTTTCTTAGCCGCAAGTTTAGGGGTATTATTGGTGGAGGTACCACTGACTGGAGTAGCAGTTGCACTATCTTTACCTCCAGTATGATCATGTTTGAAAGTAGCACGAGTTTTGACACGTCTCGAGTGATCTTCATCAACTATTTCTCCACGAGCAATCGCCGCTTCAGCCTGTCGAGCTGCACGACGTTCATTAATTTGTGCTTGCCGTACTTCCTCGATATTTTTGCGACGATTTAATCGATTTAATTCGGCCAGTCGGTCTTGTTGAGAGTGAACCATCTTCTTTGGCGTTGATTTGAGGGTAGTTCCATAAGCCAGTTTGGAATTCTCGAGTGCTTCAAGTTCTGAACGATACTTCTCTTCCGTTTCGGTATTGCCAAGGGCTTTCTGTTCCTTGATAGCGTTGGTAAGACGCACACGTTCGGTTGCATTCCATTTTTCGGTCAAAACCCCCGATTTCTTCAACTTCTCTTGTAGCTCGGCTTCAGTCCAAGGTCTGTTGACAAGAGCATTAATCTCCGCACACTTTTGCATCAACTTTGGCTTTGTTGGAACAGGTATACCATCAGCGATACAGTTTTGCTTATATCTTTGCCATTCAGCCTCTGTAAATCGAGAATCTGAGCAGGCGATAAATGGCCATGATCTCTCAGATTTACCATGTGCAGCAATCACATATTGTGTAGTCGAAAATTGCTTCCCGTTACTAGACATCATAGCATATGGTTTATCTTCTTTGAAGCCTGAGATAGAGTTAGCGTAATTATCATAAGAATAATTGATATATTAACCTTTAACAAGGCCCATGCGATAAAGGTTTTGATTAGTCTCCTTATCAACACCAATATTTACTCGAACGAAGCATCCAGTAATAGCTTCATCAAACCTAGGATAAAAGCAGACCATGGCAAATCTACTTCTACCAACTCGAACTCGTTCAAGATCGTATAGAACTGCTGGTTCTGCATCTCGATAATCTGGAGATGCAGACCTTTTCTTTGACTTTGATGCTGTCCATTCAACCTCACTATCTTCTTCGCCATCATCATCTGAATAATCATCGCGGGTATCTCTTCGACCATCATCCCCACGGCGCTCCTTGTCTTGATCGCGGCGACGTTGTCGATCGTTTTTCTCAGCTCTTGCACGCTTAAGACTGTCAATTCCAGTGCTAGATTCTCCAACCTTCCCACCACCAAGCTTGGTACGTTGGCGAGACGTTTTGCGCTGGTTTTCGTCCAAATCCGCAGTACCTGCCTTGCGCTTTTTGTCCGCCTTTTTATTCTCTGCATCACGGGCATTTAACAGTTGACGAAGTGCTCTGTTCTGTCGATCCCTTTCAATCTCTTGTGCACGATCAGCCAAGACCTGCTCACGTTGAATTTCAGGCATAGACATAATGCTTGCTTTGTCGGCTGCATTCATAAAACGACCTTCGAGAGGATATCGATCAGCATCATCGCGAAAACTAGGGCCATCGGAATCGGAATCAGATTCATCCATTGGGGCTGATCGTTCCGAACGAACGGATTCATCACCAGAAGAACTGTTCCATAATATTAGCACAATACCTAGCTGCGTATGAATATTGTAGAAGAATCTCGCATGATCAATCTCCGCGCATCTCTGACAAGATGGAATATGGCATCAGATGATCGTCGTGGTAGAAGAAAACTTACGCTTCACCTTCTTCCTCGGAATCATCATTTCGTCTACCTCCCTTCTTTCCACCTTTCTTAGCTGCACTCTTTACCGCCCCATTACGATCAGGCGATGAAGAACTGTGTCTTCCCCCATCATTTGTTGCGACCTGTTCTTCTCCAGAAGAATCATCTCCTGCAAGAGCGAGAAGTTCATCATCAATATCCGCCATTGTATTATCCCGTTCGTAAAAAGTTCCGATGTATGTAGATTCTTCGTTTGGGGGTCAAAAGACTTCGAATTGGCTATCGTAGAAGAAATTGATGGAAATGAACACGAGCGAAGTAGACGAAAGCGCGCAATTTGGGGATTATCCAAAGTTCTGATGTGAAGGGATATTTACTTATTGAATTGAAAATATAGGCCGTGTGGAAGAGCTTTAGAGGAAAAGAAAATCTAATGTCTCTTCCGAAATATATTTAAATGATTGAGTGTATGGTTGAAATATACAAAATACATCAATTCACAATTCACCGAACATGACAATTAGAGACAATTCAGCCGCCTCTCCTTTGATAGAACATTAGCGTGAAATCTAGCGCGATGTCGCTTAGGTCAGATTGGCGATAACGTAATGATAAGGAACATTCTTGCACTAAATGAACCTTAGGCGTCATGGAAGTGAGGTATGGAATTATTTCGTCGTTATTTTGTAAAGATTATGATTAGTACATATTTTCCAACATATTGTAATTTTATATTAGACTTATAAACAACTTTCTTAGCATCCCACCACCAAAATGAATACATATAGACTTTCCCCTCGTTCTGCTTCTGCTCGATCTCTTTTAAGAACTCAATCGCCCCTCTACGATTTCCTAATTCCAAGCTTCACCAATTTCCCCAGATCACCACGCACAATTCGCCATCTCTCCACAACCCCTCGATCATTCTCCGCCTCTCCCAGTACCCCTCAACCCAACCCTCACACTCCAAATGAACACCACACCACCAATCCATCCCACCCTACTCCCCGCACAGGCGCAGAAGCAATCACCGACGCCACCCCCTCAAAAAACCCCCTAACCCAAGCGCAAAAAGATTTCCTCACCAGCGCCCTGCGCGTTAACCAAGCCGGCGAGCTCGCCGCCACCCTCATCTACACCGCACAAACCCCTCCTATAACAAACGCACACCCGCATTTACGTCCCCTTATGGCCCACATGTATGATCAAGAAGCCGGACATTTCAAAACATTCAACCATCTGCTCGCAAAACATCGAATTCGCCCCACTGCGTTAACTCCTATTTGGTCACTGGCTGCTTCGGCTCTAGGCTGGGGTACTGGTCTGATGGGTCGCGAAGCAGCGATGGCTTGTACGGAAGCTGTGGAAACGGAGATTGGGACACATTATAATGAGCAAGTTCAAGTATTGCTGGAGATGCAGGCGCAGATGAAGGCTCGGGGCGAGGAGTTGGGAGAAGAGTTAACGGAGTTATTGGAAACAATTAGAAGGATACGAGATGAAGAATTAGAGCATTTGGATCATGCAGTGGAGCATGATGCAAAGAAAGCCGTGCCTCATGAACTATTAACTGGCGTTATTAGAGCAGGTTGTAGAGGGGCTATTTGGGTCAGTGAGAGGGTATGATGTGATGTTAGATAACTGTAAGAATATTGGGTCTACACTGTTGCACGGAGTGACAGGGTTAACGTGTGGCAGAGTGATGAAGAAACTGTTACGATTAATTTAAAGTATAGTACATGTAGTACCTTCTTTTTCCGACCAAATAGACCACTGAAATGAAAGAACTCCAATCTCCATTACTTTCTTCTTATGCTAGAAATCCGTTCGGAAACGCCATCCCATGTGAATGCTCCTCTTTGTTATGTTATAAGCTGTACACAAATGAAACGAAATATACAAAGCGCTCTCTGGCGTTGCCATTAAATACTAGTTACTATTTCATGTGTTAGCGAATGGAGGTAGTGATCGTTAAAAGACCATCGACTTACTAAATTGATAAAGGAGCAACCTGATCGACCTGGTAAAGCCAATGGGAGTTGAGTTCTTCTCTAACAAGCCAATCATAAGGGAACGCAACAATATGACCTTGAATCATTGCCAATAGATCCTCAACATCCTCTTTAGGAAGTAGATCATCACTCCCCGAGAATCCTTTGCGGCTACCCCTCGTGGTACCACGACGTCTCTTCCTGACTGACCCAGATTGATTCATAGCACTGCTATTCTCCCTTCTATCACCGCTGGGTGTTGGCGTCGCAGAGAAGGTAGTTTTGCGAGTACTAGCCTGGGAGGTTATCCCATTAGCAGGAGGAACACCCAAAGCCGTAGCATCAAGAGCAGGGAATGCTTCGTTGCCTGCTGGATCAGAGGCTCCTTCATTCCGAGCAGCGGCTTTCTCATCAATACCATCATATTGACCCAAACGATTCTCGTCAGATGTATTAATAGCTCGAGCATCATGTTCGGCATTGGCGCTAGCAACCCATTCAGATACGGTTCCAAGAGGATGACCGGCTTGACTATTAGGTTTAACCTTCTCCGAGAGGGGGTTTCCTGGAACAGCAGAGCTTGAGCCAGGAGGCCCAGGGCGTTCTTGATTCTCACGCTCATTAGTTTTTCCACCTCCTTGTGCCTGTATGAATCTTTCCGCGTAGGCAACAAAGTCTCTATACTCATGCCAGTTGGTAACTTCGCTATCTGGATTACACCTGAAAACTCTTCGATAAATCTTAGTATTGTTATCGGCGATTTGTTGCCAAATCTCATCCGCAAAAGCATCATTTAATGGATCACGCATACAGTCCTTGTGTACTGGAGCCATCTTAATATCAGCCGTCAATGGATTGAAAGGTTTGGGTGCAGGATTTCCGGAAGCATCTATTATTATAGGCGGGCCACCAATATCGGTATCATCCTCGATTGGTAATGCCGGTAATTGGGAAAGCTGAGGAAGACCAAGCTGCTCTGTCGTTCTTCTTGGAAAAGGAGGCGCAGGTGGTAAGCCACTGTAGCCATCTCCACTATCAGAGTTGTTCCCTCGTTGTTGATGTACTGATCGTGAATGTGGTCTTTTAGGATGATCCAGCGTGCCCTTGCCTTCCGGAGCAATAGCAGTGACCAACACCTCACGACCTTCCACAAGAACAGAATCTCTACCCTTCGTTTGTCCTATTTGCGATAGAGATTTCAATTTGTCGACACCATCACCATCCACATCTGCTGCATGAGCTGCGTTGTCTGTAACTCTCTTATCCGTGGTAAGTGGCTTTAGCCTATCAGGCTGTATGTTAGGATTGCCTGCTTGCTCCCAATCAACATCGTGATTGAAGCTGCGTAAATTCTCATTCAAGGCAACGCGTGTAGAGAATTCATTAGGGACCCCTTTAGCCGGCGACGGGCTATTATCGCTACCTTCTTCTTCTTCATCTTCGTCATCATATATGCCATCCATCTGTGCTTTGAACTCTTCCTCTTCACGATCCATTTCATGATTCTTTTCCTCTTCCATTATCTCATCCACGTCCAATCCCAGATGTTCTCTCATAAGGCGCATGCGTAATTCATGGGCAAACCTTCCAACAAGATATGGTCTTCCATCCATTGTTGACCATATCATATCAGTATCTCGAACAACTGCTGCGGTTTCCGAGTCTCTGTTACCCAACATAGATCTCTCGTTGATGTTAGCAGAGCCAATGAGAGCAATTCTGTCATCAACAATGATAACCTTGGCGTGAATGTACAATTGCTCTGTGACGATTATCTTCTTTGGTCCAATACGACCCCATGTCCTCAAACTGTAGAATTGTACATACTCTTCCGGGTCAATACCTTGACTCTTTAATCTACCAAAGATAGATCCATCGCCACGACAAATACTTCGGAATTGACATTGCATAATTAAGCGTACACTTGTTCCCTCAGGTTCATCCACCGTATTCTGGAATCCAGGCATGAGTGGTATGAGGATCATACATCTCCAACTCTCATTATTTCGATAGGCGCGTATGGCACGCTCTACAATTGCATCACCAATCTTGTTGACAATCTTGACATTCATCGTCTCACAGCTTGTGACGAAAAATTGATTCTCCATGTAGACGAAATGATCAGACTCTTCAATCATCTTACAATAAGCATTCATGATGCTATGCTCGGTATGCATAAGACCTGAAGACCAATCGCAAGCCGAACGCAAGATCTGCACCTCACAAGTTCCGGTCAGACCAAGATCTTCCAACTCGGCCTGATTGTAATCAGGAGGCGGGAGGAGGAAAGGAGTTGGTCTTGTAGGTGTGCGACCCCGGAGCACATAGTTCCATCTTTGCACGAAGTGTCTAGTCAGATCTCTAGCAGGTTGACCGGCGACTTGCATAGCAACATCGTGCCAAGGCATCCGAGGAGTCTTTGATCGATCATACATTTCTGCATAAGGTTCATTGAGTTTGTAGAAATCTTGAACACGAGGGTTGGAGTAATCTTTTCCAGGCCACAGCTGGCAATGATCCGCGTCTTTGGGCAAATCGGAATGCTCAAAACCTGTAGGTTTATCATCCACCAGGGTGTGCTGGGGCGTATCCCAACGACCAAAGCAAAGATCAATACCTCCTACAAAGGCAACAATATGATCAACGATGCAGATCTTTTCGTGATGAGCAAAGAAGAATTGATTTTTCTTGAACTGATTAGGTGATCTTTGCACAAATATGTTTGGATGTAAATCCAACATGGAGAATTTTGTGAACTCAGAATCAATAGGGATGGCAGCTTCAACGTTTCTGTAAACAATGATAAAAACCTTGACTCCTTCCCTAGCTTTCCTCTGCAGCAAACGATCAAGTCGCCATTTCTGACTGATAGCAGCAGGTCTTCGCATGTATAATTGAGGACTGAGCCACCAATCATGAATATATATCACATCCTTGGCTTCATTGATTGCTCGAGAAACATTCCACATATAATCACGACCATCCACTAGCCATTGTGCCGTAACTCCAGTCCTCACTGGCGCAAAACTGCCAAATCTATGTTCCTTTGCCCATAATGTGTTATCCGCCATGAATCTTAACGATTCCTCGAATTGTCTGAGTTGACGTTCGTTCTTGGCCAGTAACTTTATCTTGCGCTCGGAATTCTGAATTTTAAGAGTGTGATGCTGAGGGTGCTTAGCAGATCTACCTGCTTGTGAAACTTCATCCTTCGCTTTCTCTTTCCCCTTGCCCATATCAGTTATCATTCTCCTCTTCTTCTGTATTGCGAACTTTGCATCCACCAAATACACATCATAGATGTGCATATTTTCTGGCGACTCCACGCACACAAGATAACTGTGCCTGACCAAAAACCATTTTGGAGAATGACGTTGAAAAAAGTTATTAGGGGTGAGTATTTTCCTCATATCCAAACCCTTTGCCGTCTGAATAGCGAGGTAACCCTCCTTTCCATGATAGCTACCCTCAGCAGCCAAGCGGACTCCCATCGAAGATAACTCCAAAAACCTGCAAAGACGATTACTGTCCGCTCTGAATATGAGCCATCGAATCATCTCTTGAAGGTATTGTTCTATTCTCTTTCGTTGGCGTTCATTGAATATTCTCTTTTGCTTTTCGGTATTGAGAGCATTTCCGCTAGTATCCAATATGGCACGGGTACTTTTCCGGGCCGCGCTAATGGATGGACGCCTCTTGACCTTCCGTTTTGGTTCCGCTTCACTTTGTGTTGCCTCGCCATGGGTTGCCTCTGCCGCAGTCTCGTCCACACGCACGTTGTCGGCTTCATCTTCATCACTCTCCCCTAGACCTCGAACACCTCTGAAATAAGGGAACGCAGACTTTGGGAATCTCGGTTGCTTTGGTCGTGCATGGGCTTCATTCCCTATGTACTTATCACTGCTTCCTTGAAGCTTATAGCGTAAATGTAAGTTAGCAAAGTCCTTGAGAGAACGATGAATTACCCATTTCATTCGGTTTGGACCACTTCCATATTCCAGCTCAATTCGGAAAACAAGATGTCTTTCTGTGTCGTCGGCATCCTCATCGGTGGGCTTGCTATCTGTGATTTCAATCTTGAGCTGCTCAAGAAGAACTGGGATTCGTTTGTTTCCATGTTCATCACGTTGCATCATGCTGGCAATCATCAGTACGGCTGGAGTTACAGCTCTTAATTCCGCCATGAGTTCAGCAGATTTAAGATAATCGATCTTGTCTTCCTTTTTCCCTTTGCCGGCGAAGAATTTCATGCTATGCTTTAACATTCGCCATTTTTGAGTTCCAAAAGTGCTAGCTCTTTCCGCACCAAAATACGGTCTTCTAGGTGTCTGCGCTTCACCCTCACTTTGACCCCCAAGTCCTGTCATTCTTCTCAACTGACTTGGTCGTTTTGATCTTGCACCATCGTTTGCAAAATCTTGTGCCTGTGGTGAATTATCAGCAACTAACCCTCGACCTGGCATCCATGAACCTCGTCGCCATGCACTTTGCCTCGCAAAACGATCACGCCCTTCACCTTCCGACAGATGACCCCGTTGTTCGAAAGACCCATCCGTGGTACGTCTACCCAGAAAAAATGACCTACTCCCACTCGGGGAATCTGAAAGGCCCGGGCCACGAATCATTGGTGTGTTGGGTACACTCTCTTCTTCTTGTGGTCGTCTAGTCCGGCGTTTCTTTCGTATACGCGCTGGTTGATTGAATGGTCCCTCATCGGCCGTTTCTTCTGCATCAGCATCACTACTTTCCTCATGTAATGTTTGTGGGATATTCGTAGGAATTGGTATTGTTCCGAGTCCTTCATCGAAATAGTTCGTGGGGGTGCTTTGACTTCTGCCATGTCCCTGCATTCCAATCGGGGTAGCTAAAGCCTTCAATTTTGACATTAAAGATGCACCTCTCCTATCCTTTGCTGGTGTATCAACATCTTCTACACCCCATGAATCTTGTCGTGCAGAATTGGAAGGCTCGACAGTAGCCATATCTCTTGCGAACGATACACTGCGTCTGCCGGGTGGAGTTGATATACCGTTTATTGCGGAGTGGTTCTCGTGAGGAAATGAAGATGGGGGAGGAACAGGGGAAAAACCCGTGGCTGCATTGTTGGCAGATATTCCAGGAGAGGTAGCATCAGATGTAGAGGCTATGTGTGTGTGATGCGGGATACCGCCATTCATATAATCAACCGCCTCATCAGATACACTGCTCGTAATTCCATTTGAGGTCGATGTAGGTATAGCTAGGTTGAGTGAAGTCCCAAACCTCTCAGAGCTCTGAGCGCGTACACCGGATGGTCGAACAGCTGGTGGTCCATTTCTATAAGTATTTGCGGGCGATTGCGAGCGGGGAGTTCGTGTAGATGGTGAAATCGAGCCTGTTGTGCTTTGTGCCATTGTGAACTCTTGGTTCCAGTGATGAGACTCTTTTCGGAAGCGATCTCAATTTCCGATAAGACGAGTCCTGTTAGGACAATATCGTGATGTTAAAATTATATCGCAAAGTTCATTGTGAGCAATCAACGATGTGGTAAGATGTAAAGCTTAATCGATCCCTCAATGCAACGTTGAAAGTATCAAGGGTGTCCGAGTTGGTGATATGGAGGAACCGAGGATGTTAGGTCAGGAATTATTAGTTGTTTCGCTGCAATTATTATTATTAATTGACTTATCTCTAAGATAACACAGGTAAGTGAGTGGTCAACAGAGAAATAAAGTTGTTACTATATCAGTTTAAAGAATGCAAGAGATTTGAAAATTGAAAATGTTTTTCAAGGTAGGTAGGTAGCACATAAAGTGTATAGTTGCAATTCGTCTAGGGTGTCTTTTTAGAGTATCGAGACTTATATTGTAGGAATTTCAAAAAATAGGGATCCCCAATTCCAAATGTCCCAGGGGTTGTTAACCTAAACACATAGGAAATGACGTTTGGCTAGGGGGCACCGTAGATCGGTCCCCTTTATTCTTATCATTTACCCATGCCTGCCAACGCTTTTTTCCGTTTCCTCGGTTTCTAGAAAGAAAGAAATGTATCGATGGAGATATTCTCTGCATCCTTGTATTATTTCCTTTCTTGATGATATGCATTTTGAATAGGTTCTGGGGAAGAGATACCTAGTATTCCTATTCCCTATATCCTCAAACTACCTACCTATCATATACATACTGGATACTGGATACTGGATACTGGATACTGATATTGAGCAGAGCCCCTGCAATGAGTGGAGTGAAGATGTTACATTGCATTCACAACCCCACCTTTGTACAGAGTAACCTTAGCACTTAGCAATCCCATGCAAGCTTCAATATCAATATCACTGATGTATCAATACAACAATACTCAAGTCGAGTATTCGCCTCCAAATCCCACCAAAATGACCACCCCCAATCCCCTAGAAAACACCCCTCCCTCCGCATCTATCTCAGAAAAAACCTATCACGTCGCCGGTATCCTCACGACCGTTTATGGACTCGAAGAAATATCCCCCTCATGTACATCAATATCATGTCTATGGCTCCTCCATCCACGACTCCAAACCAAGAAGATAATGGAACCTATAGCCTCAAGATGCATACAGACATGGAATCAACAATCGGGATCTAGTCGAACGGTTGGTCTCATTGCTGTTGCGTTTGATCAGAGAAATCATGGAAGTAGGGAAGTGAATGCTTTAGCGAATGGATCTTGGAGGGATGGTAATGAAACTCATGCTCAAGATATGTTCAGGTTAGAAATCATGATTTTGTTTATAGATTGAAAATAGCTTATAGTTTTTAGCATTTTTCATGGAACGGCAATGGATACAAGTCTTCTGATAGATCATCTGCCTTCTTATATCTTCAATACTGAAGACTCGCCTCTCATTGAGCAACATCTTGTCTTGGGTATCTCCCTTGGAGGTCATTCAGCATGGCAGGTACTATTCTCTGATCCTCGAGTTACGGCTGGTATTGTGATTATTGGATGTCCTGATTACCTCCGTGAGTCTCCAAGAATTTTGAAATCCAAAAATGGCAGATCACATGTTAGGAGAGCAAACATATGATTGTATACTTTTAGCTTGAGCCTATGCTTAGCCGATTCAGTGTCCAGGGTCAAACTGAGCAAAGTTCTCCAATCATATACATGAGTCAACAATCCTCAACAAACACAAACTAACAACCCCAGGTATGATGATCGACCGAGCCCGCCTCTCCAAACTCCAAACCTACACCAGCTCCACAACCCCCGGCACCACCTTCCCAGGCAGCAAAGACTTTCCCCCCGCCCTCATAAACAGCCTCAAAAAATACGACCCCGTCGGTCTCCTCTTCGGCACCTCCCCTATCCCCTCCACTTCCACATCCCCCACCAAACAAATCCTCCCCCAGCACCTCCAAAACAAGCGAATCCTCAGCTGCTCCGGCGCCGACGACAAACTAGTCCCATACCACTGTTCATCACCCTTCCTGCAATTTTTAAAAAATGCCACTGCAGTCGGTGGATACTATGAAGAGGGGAATGTATATGTAGAAGATAAAGTGTATGCGGGCGTAGGACATGCGTTTAGCGAGGAGATGTTTAGAGATACGGTGAGGTTTGTGAATGAGACTTTAGTGGCTAAGGAGGGAGAAGTGGTTGGTTTGTCGAAGATGTAGCGTGGTTTGTATGGTACGGTGTAATGGAAAATTTCTACTCGTACAGCGAAATCATATGCGTTTTTCATACCGATACTGGTGTACTAATCTCTCTATCTACTAGCACTCTTTGTTATCGTCTGCACTCGTATCTTCATTCATATCATTATATCGCCCTTACTTTTGTATTGAAAGAAAGGAAAAAAAAAAAACAAATCTCAATCTCAATCTAAATCACACCCACCACCCCAATCTACACATGTACAACCAGCAAATCAAACCAAACCAATCTAAGAATCTAATATTCTACCATAATCCTACTTAAGCAAAACCGGCTCCTCCTGAGACGGATACTGCACCCACAACCTCACATCACTCTCGACCCACTCATCCGGCACCCCCCTCATACACCCCTCCACAATCCCCCTATTAACCCTCTCATTAAACCCCTGACCTAGTCCCACCCTGCCCGGCTTCCCCGTAAAAGTAACCACATCAGCTTCTGTCCCTATTTCCCTCAATCTCCTCTTCAAACCCCAGCCCATCCCAAACGCAAACGCTGGTCCAAATCCCTTTTCGCATTCTAACCTCATGACATCTACTCTCGCCATACCGAGTTGCGCGTCTTCTTCCGTTTTATCCATACTCAGGAGTTTGAACAGTGTGTTCTCGTGTACTTCCCATAGGATTCCGTAGATGACTTTTCCACGCGTGTTGTATCCAGGTTCGGGTTCTGAATCTGGGGGCTGCGTGTCGAGTGGTAGGATGTTTTGATAACAACATACATCTTCCACGTCAGCATCTACACAATACATCCAATTGTCCAATCTGGCTATTCCTAGAAGGTTCGCATCGGGACATATTTTCAGCATGTAATAGTCGCACATATCAGCTCCGACAGCAAAAAACTTGATGAGTGGACTAGGATCGGGTGTAGCTTCATAATTGGCATCTTGCATATCTCTTTTTATGCGCGCCTCTGCAACAGCCATGATATTTTCGCGGGTATTTGGAATGGGATTTCCTTCTTCGTCGAGGAGGTGAAATTCTTCAGATTCGGTTGTGGATCCTGAGTCATTCCCCTCCTCCTCCTCTTCCTCTTCTTCCTCGGTAGAAGCTATGTCGACTACTTCTTGCGTTTCCTCAATATTCATCTCTACTTCTATAACCTCATCCTGATATTCATCCTCATCCATATTATCGACCTCGGAACCCTCATCTCCATCTCCATCTCCATTTTCGATATCATTCTCAGAACCCTCATCATCATCATCATCATCCCCATTCGTACTCCCATCACCAGAATCCCTTTCCGGAAGTACTATCCGATGATATCCAGGATTACGACGCCCACCATGCCCATTCCCATAACCATGATAACCATTCATAAAAACCGGCTCGTCGTCGGGCGACGGAGAAAGTGAAGGGGAATCTGAGACTGCGGAATTCGAGTCAGATACGGAAGGAGGAATAGAAGCGGAACGCGAAAGAGATTGTGGAGGAGATATGCTTTCTTCTTTTATACTAGGCATTGTGCTGGATTTCGTGGGCTGGGTGTTTGTAGATGATTTGTTAGTTTGCTTTATGACGATTGATTGTCTGGATGGAAAGAAGGCTTGTGTTTGTGGATGGGTGTCTGTTGGTTTGATGAAGGTTGTAGAGGTGCTGGAGATGAAAGGTTATAGTGGAGATTGAGTCTCGAGCTTAAGATCAAGGTCAAAATGGAGGTTTAGGAAAGAGGTCTTGTACGGATCTTTGAAAGTACTAGGTACGCTTGTTCTCCTCCTCCTGAGGTGAGAACTGAAAGTGAAAGTGGATCTCGCCGGGCTGTAGTGTTATCCTCGGAACGGTTACCAGTTACATACCTCGATAAAGTAATCAGCTGATATTAGTTGAGACGGACCATCAACAAGGTGACTGACGGAATGAGATCATATAGGATGGATGGTTATAGAGAGAAGATAGATTTAGTAAATCCTCAACCAGTGCACTGAGAGCAACACCAATACCATCGTTCAATTAAGTCCAGAGCTGGCTGCCAGTGGTGGGTTAGATTCTGGTGTATGGAAAATGACTTTTGAATAGGTAGTTGATGCTAGGAAAGAGCCATTACTTACCTAGACAGTTAGAATAATGGACCTTGAGAACGCGAGAATGGATAGATCAAGTATGAAATTCAAACTTTCCTTCTCTTCGTCTCCTCCAAAGAAGTCAAGATATCAGCAACAAAAATGTAAAAGAAAGTCACGGATGCCATCCATCCATCCATCCATCCATCATATATCTCAACTCAAGCCAAGTTATTCCAACTACGTCAAAGTACCCAACCCTTCAACAACCCAAGCAAAAAGCAAAAGAAAGAAAGAGCGAGAGGGCATTATGTACTATCAACAGTTTCGATATCATCTGATAATTTTAAGCAAGAGCGTACTAGATAAGATTACGACCCAAAAGGGAAGGAAGAGACATCTATACCCTCCAAACACACCCATCTACTCACCTTAACCTCACAATTGAACTAATACAGTACAGTAGAGGACTTTATTTTTATCTCTATTTCTACATTGCGTTTTAGTTTAGTTTTCCTTTTAGATCACTAGTACCTAGGTAGATAGAGGAGAAATGATGAGAACACTAACTAGGTACTTACTCACTTGAGTTTGGCGACTTGAGTAGAGTACAGCGTACTTGTGCCTTTTCATATAGATACTCAGTTTATGCATCACATCACGTCACATCCCATCCCATCATCACACAATATACACACCGGCTCTGAAAAATACTATTTATTATTCATATTCATATTCATATCTCCCCTTAATCTCTCCTCAATCTCTCACATCACCTTGATATTTTACACCCTTTACAGACCCAATCCCCTACCCTCAAACTCCATTCATTCTGTACATATACAATGTTGCCTACTCCTACAAACCAAAGGCAATATAAGTCATGCGATCATAAGAAGGAAAATCCCCAAACACATTTCAGATTTGATCCGACTCCCCAAACTCGCTTCGTGAAATATGGAAAAATATAAAAACGCGCGCATGCATACAAACTGTGTGTACCATTTCCATCTATCCTCCTCTGGCCACCTGAACATAACAGATCCTGGGGTATCTTATCCTATCCTTTCATAGCATATCCAATGCATTCATATCGAATACCACTTTCCCCTTCTCCTCCCCTCATCCTACCTCCTTAGCACTTCTCAGCTCCCTTTAAACACCTCTAAACATCCTCACAATCAAAAACCACATCGCGCCGATAAATTTAAAGCAACTCAATCCGGCTACACTCCAAAGCACAACCGCCATGTAGATTGTACTCTTTGTTGTATCATCCGTACTCGTATCAATATTTTCCAGTCCAGCTGTACTCAATACCGCACTCGTGAGCGCAAAATTGCAGACCAACCAGAACAAGACGACCGAAGATCTGAACCATTTGTAATAATCTTCTTGCTTTTCCTCTGCTGAGAATTCACGTTTCTCCGGAGGTGCTTTTGATTGGATCTTGCGCATCTCAGATTCATACTGAGCGTTGAGATCACCATCGTCGGTGGGAATATTGACATCGACTTTGCCACCAGCTTTGAGGACAGCGGAAGGCAGTTTCTCGGCTTTATCATCTCCTTTGGTACCCCAAGTAATATCGTGAGTATTACAGAAAGCGTAAACATTGAGAATGTTGATATACGTTGGTGTGAGAAGAAGGTATTGAATAAAAGATGTGAACATGTGCCATGGGTCGAAGAATAAGAAGGAAGAAATGAACCAGAGCAGATAGGTCGAGGCGAGAGAGATGATTAGAGTATAGAAGATTTGATTCTTGATGATATCTGTCCAGTTGAATTCGTTTTTGGCAAGCTGAGTTTCTATCGACTTGACCGTGATGAAAATTGAAGCGAACATCAGGTATCTATTTCAATTAGTAAGAGAAAGCAAATCGAATCAAGAATCACTCACATCATGATAATAATCCAGAAATAGACCATAGACATGTAAACTTTGTTCGTTCCTTGAGGCCGATTACCCAAAGCCAGAATAAAACAGGTCAAAAGCGTGAATAAATAAAGCCATTCGAAGACAACACCAAGAATCACACCGACATTTCCGAGTAAGTCAGAGTTTCCGAGAGAAGTAGTTAGGATATGAAAGACCAAGAAGAAGTTACCAAGAGCGAACCAAGCGAAGATCATGTTGATAGTTTGATATGTGAATTCAATCAAGAACATAATTTTCCGCAAGAAGCTGTGATCACTTCGGAAAATTTGATAGAAATGAGCAAGAGCATAGATAGCGGCGAAGAAACTTCCGTTAAGCCATCTTCGACGTTGCAAAATCAGTTCGGCCATCGTATCTGGTACATCAGTTTCTCCAGTAGCAGACTTGACGTATTGCAAGATCCAGTGACAGTTCCTCTTCGATACCAACTCGAAACACAGAATACGATCCTCAGCAAGGTACATATTGGCAGTGAAGATACCAGCGTTGGCTCCATGCATTTTCTCTCCTGCAAAGTACTTCTCGAGCGGTCCATTACCAGTTTTGTCGTTTTGCAACGCAACATAACGATATGCAGAGAAAGCACCAGGCAACACTGAAATGAACCCGAATGCCGACTCCAGAGGTTTATCAAGAATGTTACTCATTTTGTACTCAAAATTCTGGGTAGCAACCAGAGGGTTGAGCAGATTCTTTCCTCCTGGACCCAACATAGCTTTGATTTCACCACAAGCTCCTGCACAAGTAGGTTCCAAATCAAAAGCTTTCCAGAGATGATAAATCGAGTCCTTTCCTGGCTTCGTACCAGCATCAATGAGTACACAAATATTGGGATCGAGTACCCGACCAAAGGCTTGGAAAAACCATCTATGCGAATTAATCTTTTTCTGATTCTTTTCCTTCAAACAGAAAAGCAGTTGGATAGGTTGCTGTTTCGGTGTGAGTGTGACGATATCCTTCTTCAGAGCAATGCCAACTTGCGTCGTATATTCGTAGATATGTGCTGTCACGTCCTTGCCATTAACTTGTTGCTTCGCAATTCCATCTTGGTACACTCCCAAAGCAGCCAACACAGCTCTAGTTCTTGGATTGATCTTTGCACGTCCATCACTGACAACGCACACTACGATCTTCTTCCAAGCATCCTTTCCCCATGTTTTACTATCCTTGCGAGTGCACATATATTCAACGTTCTTGAATACTCCATGCATTGTTCGGGCAAACAATACATCATCTTCATTATACATAGTCACAACAATGAAGAGTTCTGTATGCCGAGGCTTCGCAAAGAGTTTCTGTCGCAATGTAAAACGCTCCTCAAAAAACTCACTGGGATCGCATGTTGCTGCTGAGTATCTCATATGCGTAAATTCATCTCTCTCGGGAGGTGGTGCATGATTGACTTGACTTAAAAGCTTAGGAGGAATTGGACAATCAAGTACGAGATTTCCATTAAACAACTGGACTTCCTTTACTGTCTTGTATCTTCTTAAAGCAGGTATAGGTGTCGAAGATGGAGAGTGTCCAGCTCCGTCATAACCTTTGTACTCTGCACCACTAGCTGTGTGTGGATCTGGCCCGTAAGGTTCATGCGACTGTAGAATTGGTTGATGGTCATCATCGTCATTGTAACCGTAGGAGTCTTGCCCTTGGGGATAAGTTTGTGAAGGATGTTCTTCATGAGGAGATGGTTGGTATGGAGGTTGATAATAAGCATCTTGATGCGCGTTAGGATCTAAAGAGTATCCCGAGTCGTAACTTTGACTGAGATTTAGGGGCATGCGCTGATGGTATTGACTTTGATCTATATGCTCGACGGAGTACTGTAGAATTCATGTCAGATAAAGCTCCATCTCTTCGCAGGCACATCAATCCTAAGAACTCACAGATGGCTGAGGCTGTAATTGATCACTTGGTGTTCCAATTCTGTGTCCCCCAGGACCCATAGGTATCTCCAGATTGGGAACACCAGGACCGGGAGATCCAATAGGTTGTCTTCCATATGGCGCATCTTCTAGTTGGTACCCTTGAGGGCGCGGCGAGTTGTGTCGGTTATTCATATCGTAATAATCGTCCTGGCCTTGGCCCGCCGGATCTGTGTGGGTCGAAAATTAGAAACGTTTGCTGTAAGTAAACAAAAGTGTAGATATTGCAGATGATTTGTTGATAGGAAGAAAAAGTGCTTCTGTCCTAGCAGAGGGGAAATTGAATGTATCAAGTAATTCTGCGACCCATCAGGAAATCCCCTTTGCGCAGTATAGTTTACTTGACTGTGGCTTCGCTTTTGCTATGCGCCGCAGAATGGATACACTGGTCGACGTGAATGGTCTTCAAGACAATAATGTGATTTGATTCAAACTTTACATTCACTTCACTGCCATCACAATGCGAAACGCGGATAAAGTGTGCTAGGGAAGACGGAGAAGAGATTTGGTAAATTGGATAGGAGGACATACCTAATCGATTATAGGACATGGTATCGTTGTATGAGATTACCGTCCTATTGTGATCTGTGGGGTGAAGGGATGCGTAGGAGCGAGGTGAATTTCCTTGCGAGGGGGCTCGGTTTGGGAATATCTTTCGATCCAAGGCTTCTTCCGTACTAGATTGTAAGATTGACTACAAGGTTCTAGTGGCTGTATGTTGATGGGTCAGGTTAGAGTCAATAATTCCCATGCCTATCCTTCTTTCCTTTCCGGCCTGAACACTAGGATATGGTAGACCGTGAAGCAGAAGCAGGAGTCGAGAAAAGGATGACAATTATTTTGTTAGGTGGTTTGGGTGGTTTGGGTGGTTGAACCTGAGTGAGAAGGAAAAGTCTCTTGTGACAAGTGGTTTCACCTTGAGGAGGGCCGCGCATTAAAAGGATGTTAGAAATTCGGTAGGGATTGTAAACAAAGTGGATGCAAAAGATGGTTGCCAAGGCAAAAATAATCCCTGGAGATCCTACTATTTCGAATACAGAGTACTGGTATCTTGTGTATATCTTTCTTGTGTATATCTTGCGTGTTAGGTACCTTATTAGTGATTAACCTAGGACCTAGGACCTAGGTACCAGGCACCTATTGTAGTACTTGGAGTGACTGTTTTCCGTGTTTCGAGTTCAACAGATAGCGGATTAAGTTTCGAGTTTGGATAGCACGGAGCAGTTTTCCCCCAAGAAATGACGGTGACGCCGGGCAAACACCTGGTAAGTGGAAGGTCAAGTTGGCTTGTGAGTCGTGAAAAGAGTGAGTGTTGATGAAATAAAGATCGACAATCATTACAATTTAAAAGCACCCAAACTTTATCATAATGTTTATTTACTCTATTGTGTATAGAGAGGATACCTGGGTAGGTTCAAAGGATCTCAAACAATCAAATACAACTAACCACCTTTTAACTACTAGCTACCACTCGAGTACATTTTAAACTTCTAACTTTTCCACTAGACGGCGGAATCTATGTTTGAAAGTCTAATTCCTAGCGGCTTATTGGAAGGATTCTTGTATCACCACTCAAAAACACTCACACGTCTCAAAAATAGAAACCTCACTAAAAGCATACTAGCTTAACCTTACCCACTCGCTCACTGCTGCAAGGCAAACCGCAGCAAGACTTCAATCCTCCCTTTAACCAATCAACATCGTCTTATTTTTCATACATACTCCGTACACAGTATAGCGCTCGAACTTTGAACACACAGATGCGGCTGTGCAAAGTGCAAGACCTACCACCGCCGGCACTGAACAGGTGTGAGAAGTCCCTTCGACCGCATACCGTACTTCTGCCTTGAAAACCCCAGGTAGAGGCTGAGTTTGTACATGCGTAAGAATGGCATAGAACTTCCCGTTGCGACCTGATATTCATGCTCTGCTCCGAATGAACCTCGCCGTGATAATATATGACGAGATAAATCAATCACGAGTTCAACTTCGAGCCTTATATATCGTGGCTGAGATGCTGAAGATTCGTGTTCGCACACGGACCTACCTACAGTACCTATCTGTGAAAGAGTGATTACAGGCTAATTATCGGTAAGGTGTGAGTTTAATCAGATATGGATAATGGAACAGCGGGGAGGATGGAAGAGGCTGAGATATTGTGGTGGCCCGAGGGCTTTTAGGATGTGCCAGGTCGAATGGAAGCAGTTATCCAACCTAATGGGAAGTTTACACCTTATTAAACTATATAGTTGATAATACTAGGGAGTGCGCGAGTCGATGAGAATTACCAGAACAACGTGCCCAGTAGAGAAAGCCAGTGTAACACTAAGTATTTAGCCCCAGATACCTTCGTACTCTTAGCTGCTGGGAATCATTGCAACCACGAATTATGGTAACGCATATGCAGTTACCGTTCAGCTGGCGAATGTTGGCAGTGCATCTTTATCCAAACCTCATTACTACTTGTTTGCCATTTCTGCTACTGTACTCCGTAAAAATCCCGTGGGACATTTATGGTGGGGTCGTGCCAGCGTTTATAACAACCTTTGTGTGCATACCATGCCATGCCAATGTCATATTCGTACTTGATATCCATTTTAGGACATTTATTCGAGAAAAATATATATGGATCCCCATGTTCATAGAAATACTCGTATTCTTACCGACATTTCGATATTGACTTGCAATTGAGAAACATCAACCTGCTTTTACTAATAAATAAACGTTTCTTATGCATGTCATTATGACAAAGCTTCACAAAACATCAATTTTGATCACCACCACCAATAGATGATAGGATTCTAAGAATGATCTAACTCATGGGTATTCATATAATCGTGACCTCTATCTTTCTAACCATCTATATCTATCTTGATAACATCAACATCTCTACTTCTCAACATCGGGAAAGGTAGCCTTTAAGAAATTCTTAGAAAACCTCGTACACTGTTCATAAGCAGCCTTGAATCCATCATTTCCACCATAATATGGATCATCAACCTCCTCGGGCTTAGAACCTCCAGCATACTCTCCAAACAACATAACCTTTGCTTTACCCTCAGTTCTCCTCCCTAAGGATGAAAGATCTTCAAGGTTCTCACTATCCATGGCAAAGATATAATCAAAGTTCTTGAAATCATTGAGAGAAACCTAGAATACAAATGAATACATGAGCTTCAAGAAGCTACAGGAAGTATCAAAATACCTTTCGAGCCTTATGCTTATAGTCACTAATTCCATTCTCCTTAAGGGTGGCCATAGTACGGGAATCTGGGGCAGATCCAGTATGATAGGCTGCAGTTCCTACATCGATAAATCAGTATCAAAATATGTGAATGGAACTTTAGTCGTGATGAATATTAACATACCACAAGAGTCGACATTAGATATCAAGGATGCGTAAGGGCCCTTGGAAGTCATGGAACGGAAGACTCCCTCAGCCATCGTCGAACGACAGATGTTCCCAAGGCAGACAAACAAAACCGATATCTTTTCCGTTGACATTTTTCGTAGTTTATTGAATTTTTGGTAGTAAGCCTTGTTAACTCTTACTTGTTCCTGACTTGTGTTGGGTAAGATATCTCGATTAAGCTTAAAGAAAGAATCTGATTTTGGTGATGATCTGCAGCTCCGACAGGTTGGAACTTTGAAAGTTGGAACCCGATACGGATTTTCCGATCCCGACATCTTTCTCAACTCAATTGTCACGCCTTTATTTGAATAATTTTCACCAACGACCCATTCTATTCTCCAGTCATCAATGAGATGTAACGGAAACTTAGAATTTTTCTTGGCAGATCAGATCGTTCATCTACAGACTGGATACGTTCTTCGCACATCTTCTTTTTCATTTCCGCGCAGAATGCCAATCAATGGTATCCATCAATCAGATGCATTCATTCTGATGGCCAAGGCTGATAAATAAAATGTCCAATGACAACAGTGGGATACATGCATACATTCAAGGAATAAACATCGTCCGCCGTCGGGACAAGGCGGGATATATCCGAATCAGGATGGTGATAAGTCGCACAACTTGACATCGGTGACTGAGTGTGGTGAATACAAACATATTCGGACAGTTGCCGAACGCGAGCCAAGTTAAATTTCAATTGATCAAGTAACGGGATATCGTTTCAATTCAGGAATCATCATACACTCTTTGCATTTCAATAATTCTTGTTGTGTGTTTGACGAGGTAGGATATCGATACAACGAGAGAATGATAAGATGCAGTTTTCAATATTATAGTTGACGAGGATGGGATTCAAGGAATTTTACTACCTTACAGCTTAATTGAATCTTTGATAGTAGCAGGTAGCACCATTTGACCAAGATATTTCGCCTGATAGCACCTGCCTCTTTTGTAACATATCCTTCATAACCTCATCTTGGCTTACATTAGGTGAATGAGATAACAATCGATTAATCCTACCCCTCTTCTGTTGAGCCGAATGGGAAGGAAATCAATATAGTACGACTGACTACAAAAGCCAACTTATTCCCATGTTCTTGTATTCTCCAAGTTTCACTTCAACACCTTTAATCTCCCAGGTGTCCCCTTATTGATACGTCTTCGTAGATCCTTCAAGGACTCAAACTTGTGAGTGATCACTATCATCATACCGTCAAACTCTCCAATATAGCTAACGAATCGACCTTTGCAGATCAAGATGAAGTTCTCTCGTGTGCTTTCTGGCTTGGCAATATGTAGCTTAGCTGCATGTGAGTCTTCCCTGGAGCTATTGGAATCTCTTCGTGAGATCCCACAAGGTTGGATTCAACTCGAAAGACCTAGTCCACTCAAGACAATCAAACTTCGAATCGCTTTAGAACAACCAGATCATGAGCTTTTCGAACAGAAACTTTATGCTGTTTCATCTCCTGATCACGTTGAATATGGCCAACATTTTGACCGTGAGGAACTCAAGAGATTCATCAAGCCAGCTGATGAAACTACTCATGCCGTTCTTTCCTGGCTAGAGGAATCTGGTATCTCGGAATCGAATATCCAAAATGACGGGGAGTGGATAAATTTCCGAACTTCAATTTCACAAGCGGAACAGATGTTGAATACTACCTTCCATTACTACGTTCATGAAGACATGAAGAACAATAAGCAAATTCGGACGTTGGAATACTCAGTCCCACAAGAGATCTCCAATCACGTTACAATGATTCAACCAACAACCAGATTTGGCCAAATTAAAGCACAAAGGAGCCAAATGTTTCGTGAGGATTTTTCAGCTCTTGCTTTGCCATCGCTTGATGCTACTGCCTGCAATGTTACAATTACTCCTCAATGTCTCCGAGATCTTTACAACATCGGTAATTATACAGCTAAGGCCAACCCCGAGTCACGTCTAGGTGTTGCTGGATACTTGAGTCAATGGGCAAAATATGATGGTCTAGAGGCTTTCTTGGAGAAATATGCTCCATATGCTATTGGCCAGAACTTCTCTTACGCTCTCATTAATGGAGGATTGGATACACAAAACTCAACACTCGATGATGGAGAAGCGAATTTGGATATGCAGTATGCTGCTTCCATAGGCTTCAAAACTAATATCACCTATTACAGTACAGGTGGACGAGGGCAGTTAATTCCGGATCTTGATCAGCCAACATTAGACAATAACCAAAATGAACCATACTTGGATTACCTCAACTATATTTTAGGTCTACCAAATAACCAACTACCACAAACAATCACAACCTCATATGGCGAAGACGAACAATCCGTACCAGAAGCTTATTCCAAAACTGTCTGTAAAATGTTCGGTCAGCTAGGTTTAAGAGGTGTATCTATCCTATTTTCCTCCGGTGATACCGGTGTAGGCTCTGCGTGCCAAACGAACGATGGAAAGAACACAACACGTTTCTTACCAATTTTCCCAGCAGCTTGTCCTTATGTCACCTCAGTAGGAGGAACACGATATGTCGAGCCAGAAGCCGCAGTTTCTTTCTCATCAGGTGGATTTAGTGATAGATGGCCAAGACCTTCATATCAAGATGATGCCATTAAGGGTTATTTGAAAATTTTGGGAGATAGGTGGAAGGGTCTTTACAACCGAAATGGTAGAGGATTTCCCGATGTTGCAGCTCAAGGTGTTAGGTTCCATGTTGTGTTAGTATTTTCGAATCCTCTGACAAGTCAGTTTTTGGTACTAACAAAAGATCTCAGGGATGTTAACTCCATCACCGGCGTCGCAGAAGATCAACTACTTTCTGGCACCAGGTAACTATCTCCTATTTCCATCTTCTTTACTCTTTCAATCCCGCCTGCTTCACTTCCCTTCCCCACACAAAACTAACCTCAATTTAGTGCCTCCTCCCCAGCTTTCGCAGCAGTAATCTCCCTCCTCAACAACGCCCGTCTAAACGCCGGTCGTAAACCCCTCGGGTTCCTCAACCCTTGGCTCTATTCCATCGGTAAACAAGGACTCAACGACATTGTAAACGGTGGTAGCACGGGTTGCACAGGTAAGGATATTTACTCTGGATTGCCTGCGCCATTTGTCCCATATGCTAGTTGGAATGCTACGAAAGGATGGGATCCGGTTACTGGGCTTGGAACCCCGGATTTCGCGAAGCTTTTGAAGTTAGTTGAGAGGTATTAGAGGGCAGGAATTGATATTGTTGATTTGTAGGAGGGGATAGCATTGGGTGGATAGGATAGGTAGGATAATAAGATCAATAACATAATTGAAAGAAAGAAGATGGGAAGGAGCTAGGATAGGAATTAATAATGATTACCTATAATATCAAATCTTACACATTAATAGAACACGGTGCACGTGGTAGTCTTGCATCAAATAACTCAACATCAAGATGATTCTTTGTAGTATAATACAAAGCTCTTCATTGAGGCTAACATTATATCATCCTCGTGAAATCTTAATCTCAATCTCAATCTTATATTATAATACATTATTGATATGTTATAATCATAAACTAAAATAACTTTCAATTATCAAGTTATTGTAAGAGTCGCACACAGCAAAGAATCAATTAGTCTTAAATAGCACCAAAGCTTTTCATTGTTCTTTCTAGATTAGATAAACCGTCTCTTTTATAGATCGACGAAGAAATAATCTCGGATCGAATACAATCCGATACATGAACACCAATAAAAGGTTTTCGCAAAGGCTTTACAAACTAATAGCTCGGCGTTTCGTCAGCTGTACGCTGGTGTGATGAGTGAAGGACCATAGCGTGTAATGGTTACAGGTTTTCCACCTATACCCTAGGAGCATCCGTGATAGTTATTTTATTATATAATTTATTCTATCAAATTACAAAAATTAATTATAATTCAGATTTCTTATTTTATTTATCTTTTTGTTTTTTTTTTAAATAAAAATCTCTATAAAGATATAAAATATAAAACATAAATAAAATAAAATGAGTTTGTAATCATATATTTATTTTTGAATATTTTCATTTTGAGTTTTGGATTCTTCATTCTTGATTCTTGGTAATAGTTTGATAGTTTGATAATTAAATAAGAAAGGGAGAGAGAGGAGAAGAGAGAGCGGGAGTGGGGGAGAGGTATTACAGTGGGGGTAGGTCTCTAGCTAATATGATGATATTCTATAAAGGAGGAAAGAAGGTGCTAGGAGGCACACTGACTATATAGGATGTGGAAGTTGTATGCCTATATAGGCTAACCAGAACGGGTTATGAAACCGTGACGAGAGGGTTGATAGGTTTTGTAGTATATTATAATAAGATTTTATAAGATCAAATAGTTTTTATAAATTTAAATATTTATTATTTTATTATTATTATAATATTATAATACTTCTTTTTTATATATAATATCTTTAATTATAATATTTTAATATTATATAAACTATAGTTATTATCTGTTTAATCTATTATTTATAATATGAGATGATTATAAAATTGTACGGGGGTATATATACCTCTGTACAGCTGTGAAAAATATACCTGGTGTTTTGATTATAAGTAGATATTGAATTGTAAGATTAACTTGTTCATGGGTGAGTTGTTTGTTTTTTGAAGGGGATGAGGTGGGTGGATCGGCGTGCGGTGGGGTATTTAGAGCTAAAGTTCATCTTGACTATGGTCTTTTTATTATGCTCAAAACATTCCTATGCTATGATATAACCAGACCCTCTTTTTCATCTCTTCCCTAAAGATTTACATAATCTCCTCCTCCTTCTATCCATTCCGTCACATCCCCCGCTCCTTCCCACCTCTAAACCCCGAAACAAAAACAAAAATGTCTGAGGTTACCTTAATTCCCTCTCCATCCTCCCAGGCACTACATACACCCTCAAACCCCTCAAACCCCACCCCCACCCATCTAATCCTCCTAACCTGTCACTCAATATACGTCTCCGGGGACCCCACCTACCCAACCTCCTGGCTCCTCGCTCCCTTTCAAAAAGCAGGAAACGAACACCTTACATTCCTCAACCACATTACCCTCGCCTCCTCCCTCCTATCATCCGATCCTAATGCTCTCCTCGTAATATCTGGTGGTTCTACCAGGAAAGAAGTATGTAAGAGTGAAGCGAGGGGGTATTTTGAGGTGGGGAAAGAAAGGGGGCTATGGAGTGAGGAGGGATTTGAAGGAAGAATCATTTTGGAGGAGAAAGCTCTAGATAGTTATGGGAATTTGTTGAGGGGGTTGATTGCTTTTGGAGGGGGCTGGGAGATGGCCTGGGAAGGTGACGGTGGTTAGTCATGGGTTTAAGGGGAGAGGTTTTGGGGCTGCATTGTAAGGCTTTGAGGATTGGTTATCGAGGGAATGGGGATGAGGGATGAGGGGGATGGAGAAAAGGAAGAGAAGGAAGTTGGAAGGAGGGGGGTGGATGGAATGGATGGAAATGGAATGGAGGGAAGGAGTGGAAAGGGAAAGGGAAGAAAGAGGGAAGGATGGAAGAAAAGAGTGGAAGATGGTTGGAGGGAAGAGAGGGAATGGTAGGGAAGAGGTTATTTTGAGGGTAGATATGCCTTGGGAGAGTGAGAGGTAGATGGGATTGGAAAACTGGATTGGAAAGACTTTGAAGGGTTAGGAAGTTTTTAGTTTTAGATTGAATAATGGGTTTATTTTTCGAGGTGAAGAGGTTATGAAATTCCTTAAGGCGTACTGGTGAGGGGTACGGAGGGTGATAAATATACGGGAGAAGAATGTAAGAGAGGACCAGAAGGAGCTTAGGGAAAAACAGAAGAATAAAGATGGCATCTAAAACCCCCAGATATGCAATTTTCAGCACATCACATTTTCCAACAAAATATAAGGTAATTTCTCAAAGTAAAAATCGTTTTCCCCCCAAACCTTTATATAGTATATATAATAAAACTTCAGTCGACTTAAACACCAACTAGTATACCAATACCAACGTAAGACACAACAGGAAAGTAAATAGCCAACGATATAATTTTATTATAAGATAAGATCATACATCTAAAAATTAATCACAACTGGTTGATTATTCCGAGGAAATAAAATAATTCCCCTAGCTTCCAAGACGCAAGATTTACAATGAAGAAAACAAGGTATTGAAACAGACAAATGATGGATGGATCGATGTAATCTTAAGAGAGGAAGTCAACTGAGAGAAGAGTAGAGTAGAGTGGAAGGGAATCTTTTTTTTGTAGTGTGTATATAGGGAATATATATGAGTAGTGTGTATAAGTCTATAAGATGGAAAAGATGGAAAAGATGGAAAAGATGGAAAGGATGGAAAGGATGGAAAGGATGGAAAGGATGGAAAGGTAAGAAGGAATGTAAAGTTTTCTGAATATTATAAGACATTGCGTGAGAGGGAAATAGAATGATATTTGTTTTGGAGGGAGGCGGGTGGAAGGGGATTTTGGGATTTGGGATGGATGTGGGAAATGGATATTATGAGGATCTTTTTAGTTGGGATGGGGGAATGGTGACATGAGATGAGGTGTGGTGTGGTTGGTGTAGTGAGTATAAGGATAGTTGTTATGAATGGATGAATGGACGGAAGTAAAGAGAGATGACATGGAAGGATAGGAGGGATAGGGAGGTAGTAAGGAAGATGAAAGAAATGAGGGAGAGAATTACAATTAATATTGTCAGTAGTATAGAAACTAATATTACACACTTTAATAAATATCCAAATACCATACACCCCACTATAATGGGCATTATAAGAATCCACATCATATATTACTCCTATCCCCCCAACTATATCATCTTATAACTCCAGATCTTCATCGAATTATCTCCACTAGCACTCGCGAAGCAACCTCCCCTTGGGCTCGCCGCAACGCTGATGATGGAATTCTTGTGACCTTGTAATGTGAGCTGCGATTCGCCCGTTTCTACATTCCAGAACTGGATTTCATTGTCCTTGGAGCCGGAGAGAATCCATTTCCCATCGGGTGTAAAAGTGGCAGAGAGAGCGAATTTCTGATTCATGTTATTACAAGAAAGAAAGAGCTAGGAAGATTATTTACCTTGTGGCCCTCGAAGGTTTTGATACAGCGACTACTTTCAGAAGTGTTATTAGGATGTTCGCCTTTTCGAGGAGCAAGCTCCCACATCTTGGTCGTTTTATCTAAACTAGCGGATACGAGATGTTTGTTGTTGGGCGCAAAAGCAACAGAGAATACAGCATCCTTATGACCCTTAAAAAGTACGACCAAGTCTCCAGAAACAGCATCCCAAATACGAATAAGGTTATCCAGACAACCAGCAGCAACGTACTTGGCATCTGGAGAAATAGCAACAGATGCAATGCCATCCTCACTTTGCAATACCAAAGTTTCTGAACTGGTTTCAATATCCCAAAGTCTGGCAGTTCTATCACCACTGCCAGAAGCAATGGTACGACCATCGCAAGCAAGGTCGAGCGAATAAATGTCTTGCTCATGACCAGCGAGGATACTTTTAATACTTCTAGAAGCAATATCCCAAATCTATGATCGTCAGTAATGACATCTAGACGTCGACATTATTTCTCACTCTAATCAACTTATCTTCCATGGCAGTAGCAAGATATCTTCCATCGGGGCTAAAGCAAACACTTCTAACATAATTACTATCAACTGCAGGATTATCATCTTGCAATCGGAAATAACCAATTTCCTGTCCAGTAGTAACATCGAAGGCCTGTGCAACTCGATTGCTGCCAGTAGCAACATATTTTCCGTCATGGCCGAACCTAACACTGCAAACGACATCTTCGTGTAGAATATCGTGCAAGAGCTCAATGTCAAGCACACGGGGAATTTCTGGGTTAAAGTTGGCAGAGCACCCTGACCCAAGCTTCTTTTGGTGTTCCCACAGACTTTTAAGCCAGAGACGGAGTCTCGTCTGGTAATCAATATTAATGGCGGCTTGAGAATTCTCCTTCTCCAAGACAGGTTCCTTCCTTCAACCGCATTGCCATTTCCCATTGAAAAATCGGTGCAGGTCCGTCTGTAGTATTATTAAGCAGGGAATTGTGGAATGATATCATGTGACCGATTCAGAATAAAAAAGTCCAATAATATGATCAAATATTGGGCCTATAAGTGGTTGATATTTTGATCGTCGACCTTGCCCTATTAACGGAATGATCCTACCTTGTTAATAAGGGAAAGATCGCTCAAAATGGAGAGCAAGGACATCGAAATCAGACAGCTTTTTGTTTTGCTTGATTTTTATACAGAAAACACATATAAAATGCAAACACCACCCACCTCCTTTTCATCTTTCCTGTCTAGTGCTCAGAATCCGATGAAATTTGTGGCATGTGAAGACGCATATATCATAATTAGACATCAGTTTAATAGTTATCTTTTCGATCAACTAACAGGCGGTTATTGGGCTCGAATTTATGAACCCATTATTGACAATTTGGGCTGGGTTTTCCAAAAAGGGTACGGTCAACCACCCATCGACTACACTGGCTTAGGATCAAGCCGGTGTAAGAGATCAGAGCTATTAAGAGGGTGTTCTGAAATACTATCATAACGGTTCAAGAGCTGGCTTAAGTTTTTTGGATTTATTTCGAGCTCAAGATGCTCTAAATCTTCAGAACATTAGCAGGTTCAAACGAAATTCAATGCTTTTATTCCACTTGTATTCAAGTGAATCAGTGCTGTATCTCTTTCAATTGCTTCCGGAATTATAAGACTTTGTCCAGGGACTGCTGGATATTTAAGAACTGGGACCAGGGAAGTAAGTGTTCATGGAATCCGGGGTGAACATCATTATTATTGGCCCTTGGGTTGTCATAAGGCTTTGTTAAAGGCTTTTGCAATTGACTGAGACAGTCCACTTGCTGAACAAGTGCTTCTGTGCGGCAGAGTCACACATTTCCGAAAGACTATATCGAAGGAGGTGATCTATCGGAAATTCGTGAGCGTACCTGTGTAGTCCATGGTAGCCTTTGATAATGCGATTTTCTGTCCCAAAATCCTTTAATGAAGGCAATATGAGGAGATACCTACTAGGCAATAAATACGAAACACACGAGAAAGCCATGTCAAAATGAGCGTGAGATTCTTGTAGGTAAGGTTCACTACCGGGGTGTAAAATATATCTTTCATTCACACGTTAATATTGCAAATAACTGCCCTCGCAGAACGGGAAATACATACTACTTTGCCGAGAAATGAACAAAATCAATGGTATCCGACGGCCCTTGCTCAATCAATGGCTTTCATTGGTCTAAAAACGTGAACGGATAACTTCGTAGTATCGTCAAGGACAGTACTTCCCGGGTAGAAGACCAATTCATCTTGCAATTCAAAGGGTTTGAGCTTGCGGTAATAACATGCCATCCGCTTCAGAATTCTGATAGATGTCCGGCGGTTGAAATCGTTTGACTCTTTGATGCCTAGTAGGATTCTTCCGTATCTTCATTCTTCCGTCAGCAGAACCATACAGAGAAGTCATCTTTAATAGCCACGCTTCATCAAGGCCTTCTGGCAGACTCTGTGTAGCTTCTAATAGCTCCCTTACTTTTGGGTCGACTACGGTGCTTACCAGCCGCTTTATTCACAACTATTTTCCGACCTCGTCGATGACGGCGGGGTCAAACCTTTCTCAGAGTTTCATTAGTTCCTCATGGGCATGTAGTCGAATATCGAGGTCTGTACGCAAGCATTTTTTGCTTGCTTGCACCAGTGGTATGCATTGAGGTTCTGTAATCGGGCATCAAATGGTGTCTTTTTGAAATAACTCAGCCCCCGAAGGCTTTCCTGCCTGTTCATTCTTGTCAAAGCCGGACAGCGACAAAGTTCAATCTCATTATTCCTCTGGAAACACTATATACGTTGCCACGAAGAATTTTATCAAACGTGAACTCAACTCTATGGCATATATTCAGCCGCCTAGACTTTTCAAGCGACAACGAATCGTTGGAGATGAATCGTCAGTCAAAGACGTTGAGGATATCCCATTGTCGCCATCCATTATTGAACTGGACATGATTTCAGTTTCCGATACGTTAAACACGGATGTCTTTCAGGACAATGGAAAACTTTGCATTGAATGGTGCAGATTCTGATTCTGCCACTTTACTAACAGACAAATCTAGGTGCGAAATCGAGAAGCAGGGAGGATATGCTGGGATAAGATGCTTTTGGTGAGATATAACAAAGTTATGTGACTGACGGAGAACAGTTGCTTCAATCAGCACACCAGGTGTCAATTGATCCAATCAACTTGGATTAACCACCTGCACAGGCTCCAAGAGCGTTGTATCCAACGACGATGAAACCATGGATCCCCCTCCACCAGCTCAGGGGGATGGATCGACATTCAGTACCAACTATAAGCGAATTGCCCGTACCAAATTTCCACGAATTAAACCGGGAGAAGAAGTCTGTTTTGGGAAGGTTAAAAACTTTAGCGTGTTCACTCATTAATTAAGGTTCTGAATTCAATATTTATAGGTATCAAATATCCCGCCACGTCAGATAGTACTCAGTAACTAAGTATGTACGACCTTCGGAAATTCATTCACAGCTAGTCCAATCAAATCAACTGCTTCGATTGGATACATGCTAGAGAGTTGGGGAAATAGATAAAAGAAATCTTCCAATATCTTCCACGCCCTCAAAGACATGAATCTCGCATCGAACCAATCCTACTGTGCTGTAGAGATTCAAGACGAGAAAACGAGAGGGAAGGTTGTCGATGATGAAAAGGAAAACAGCCGACTAAAGATTTTCCTCTGTGTCATATTCTACGGAGTTATCGAAGCTTTTGAAGACGTTGACGAATTCTTTCAGGAGTGTCAGATGTAACCTTACCTCTAAGACCCGTTCCACTGCGATCGTGATGTGAAATATATGAATCTACACATGCTTCACAGCCAAGAAGAGCCAGTCACCACAGCATCAACCACTTACGAGAGTATCACTGGTCTTGCTGGGAATGTCAACCCTCAGATTGATCTATTCGCAGTTTTGAGAAACGAAGATAACATTGAAGAAGTGGAGGCCCCGATGGCGATAGAAACGACTTTCTTCCCGCAAGATCTTCCCTGAATTTTGCAGGTTCTTGATAATTTTACAAAGACGCTAAAAGCAAGCACTCAAATTTATGTCGCGAAGAGAATCGGGGTGGGATTTGGTTCCTCAAGAAGCGATATCTGGTCCAGGGAGGGTTCACTGTATGTTATGCACCTCATCAAGTTCGTCGAATACTAACTTCATCATAGATATTTTAATACTGTCAACAGAGAAACGCAATTAACACCTCCCCCAGATTTTAGAGGAGGACTTTTGGCTGATGAAATGGGACTTGGGAAAGCCCTCGCCATGATAGCACTAATTGCTCTCAACCCAATAGAGCCTGAGATAAAGACCGAAAATGTTCTAGTAATTTCACGAGGATCTATCAAAACAACTCTAATTATTGCCCCGCTTAGTTGTAAGTTCTCTGTCATTTGAAGGGTTCAGGCAAATCTGACTTGTATAGTATTAGAGCATTAGCACGGAAAGTTAGAAGAGTTAGTTGATCGCTTTCTATTATGACAACTGCTGATTTTAGTAGGCATTTGCGGCCTGGTACATTGACATTGTATATTTACCACGACCCAGTTAAACCCTCAATTGATGTGCTTTCAGGATATGACATTGTCCTGACAACTTACGAAACAATTGCAGCACAAATAAATAAATTCCATAAGTCCAATTCAGTAGAAGAGATAATCTATTCTGTTACATGTCATCGAGTGATTCAAGATGAAGGTACGTAAGCGAGAGTCCGCCACTAATGTTATGCTTCTAACTGCCAGCAGCACATATAATTCGGAATAGACGCACTTCAAGAGCAAAATCAGTCTGCACTCTCCCACGGTCAAATCTTAAATGCTGGAATCACTACGAATCCGAGTTCTGCGCCGACAAAACGAAAAGCTCTTCTTCAAAATCTAAGGGACTTCAAAACGGAGAAAAGGTATGTTAACTGCCACAACTGACCAATTCAATAGCTTTTCTAATAGTGGTCTGCCCCAGTGCCATCTTTCGTACTGGACCTTTACACTTGATCTCATCGAATGTGTGCTGAATAGTGTCTCCATTTGCTTCACAAGGGTTGATGGGAAATTTTCCCCTGACAAAGAACAGATGCTATTCGAAGCTTTCAAACAACAAATCACGTTCGTGTCATCCTAGTTTCTATTACTTGTGGTGGAGTTGGGTAAGTCTACAGCTTGAAATGTCAAGCATTTTTGAAATTAACACTCAATAGATTGGAGCTCACAGCCGCATCCCGTGCATACTTGATGGAGCCACAATGGAATCCGCAAATGGAAGAACAGGCATTATGTCGCGTATATCGCCTCGGACAGAAGAAGGATGTAACAACAATACGATATAGAATACTGGATTCATTTGAAGAAGTGCTGTTCTAGTTGGTGCTTGTCGTAGAGCTGTTGCTGACTTATTTATAGAACGTTGTCACGATCCAGGATTGGAAGAAGGAGTTGGCAAATTTGACATTTTCGAATGCAAAACTATCAGAGAAAGATGTTGAGGCCGGCCGACTTCAATATCTGCGTGCTGCCTTGAAATGAATAAAGATCTTTTCACATAGCACCGATAAAATGTGTCTTAGCAACTACTGTTGCAATACCACAGTAGAAATTTCCAAATATACTCGAGCAAACCTTTATCAGGGGTAGATCACAATTTGGCGGCTCAAAACTGGTCCTCGCAGAGCGTAACTTATGCACCGTTGCAAAAACGGACAAGGTGATTCAAGTATACTAAAAGATCTCAATAATGCTTTAATTATTGGAGTGCCCAGTAGAGGTTGCACTCATTTAATCTGGGGACTATCCATTCTGGTTTGTACGGTCTTAACCAAGAGCTCTGAGCTGTCCGAGACTATTGTGGTAATACTAGTAATCTTGCCAGAATATAGGAGATTCATGAGAGGGGAGTGTAGAAAAAGAGAAGGAAGAATGGGAGAAAATGATTTGGAATAGAAATAAGATTGCTATAAAGATACAAGAAAATGGAAGTTGATTTTGGTACATTCAATTTTCCATCTACCAACTTATAACTAATCCCCTCCATCATTCATTCAATTTATTGGTTATATACCTATACCGCAAGTCTTACCATTAGCTGGAGACGAGGAGGGGGGTGGGGGGTTAGAGAGTGAATAGAAGAGGTACAAGTGCAAGTTTGATAGTTTTGTTGCACATCTCATTTCTCGTGGAAATTCCCTAATTACCACAGAAAATAAAGCATAAGTGGATTGATAGTTTTTGTTGCATATCTCAATTCTCATGGTAATTCCCCAATTACCACAAAAAGCAGAACAAGCACAAATGAAATATCGATACTTTTGTTGCACATCTCAATTCTCGTGGAAATTCCCCAATTCCTCAATCACCATAGAAAACGCAACATACATACATCCGATCCAATACAAGTAATCTTACCATCTTCAACCAAACTCCAACCAACCATCCACCGACAACAAAATAACACAAACCACGTAATATACGATGTATTTACGAGTTAAAAAATACTTTTTATTTCGTTTCATTCGTTGTATAGATATAATAGGTATAGTACTCACTACCACACCAACAATAACCTACTTCTATCAATCCATCCACCCACCACCCACCACCCAACATCCGACATCAAACCCAAACCCCCAAAACCAAACAAGAAAATACCTAAATATCAAACACAACAGAATAAAATAAAATCTCACAATTACAACAGCAACAGCAATCTTAATGCACAAAAAAAAGAACAAAATCATCAGGTAAGCTACCTATCTACCTAGCTAGTATTTCTTCGCTAGTGTATATAAGACTGACTTTTATATGCTTGGGGAGCTAGCTAGGTTGATAGCTAGGTTTGTGTTCTAATCTACTTTGTAGTAGTATTAGTAGTAGTATTAGTATATTGCTCCCATGCCACTTGATGCTTGATGCTAGATGTTATGTGCACCATGCAAGAGATGAAGGAAGTTGTGAATAACAGAGCAGAATAGGATAGGATAGGATAGGATAGAAGAATATGAGGATAAGACAAGGTGATAATAAACGGATAATACTTAAGAGGAGGTAATCAATCACTGGATAGTAAGATTTGAAACGAGAAAGAAATGATGGAAAACACATATTCCATTCAGTACATTTCGCTGTACTAATATTTTCCTCTCTCCCCCTAATATACCATTTCATACACTTTTAAAATGTGATTTTCTCTCCTTTCATGCCATCTAATTGGTACACCTACGAAGATTCAGCACCCAAAATCTTTAGTTCCCCACTCAAAAACTCTTCCGCATTAACCAACTCCGTACTTCCATAAACCACCCTTCTCTTCCCAATTCCACTACCTCCACCCTCCTTATTTACCCTCCTCGCCCACTCCTGCAAATTACCATACTCATCCATACTACCTCCACCAACTGTAAAAACAATCGCCTCAGTAAACCCTTGTCTGCGCATTCCAAAACTTGGGGTGATACCAGGCCCTGCTAGACCACCTGGCATTTCATTCCTTCTGCTCGCGCTAGCTGGAGGTACGGTACCTCTTGCATTTGCCGATCTAGGATCAAAGTAGAGATAATCTTCCGTTTTTGCGATAGCGGAGCTAGAAGCTGATGAAGGATCCATGATAGATTCTGTAATTTTTGTAACAGTAAGGTCGCGATTTGCGGGGAGGAAATTCTTCACTCCAGAAATGATATTATCAAAATTGCTAGTGATACCAGTTTCTTTGAGGGACGTTGTGAGGCGGGAGGAAATGGAAGAAAGCCCACGGAAAAGATCACCGGATGTGCTTGGTGGTTGGGAAGCGGGTGTAGGGGCCGTGGTGAGCATGGTCATACGGGTTGTGGTACGAACTCTGAGGCAATCGTTAGTTGAATCACCTGAATAGTACAAGGGTGAGAAACGTACTGTTTGACATATGATAGAGATGTAGTATCAGCACCTGCCGTTTTCAATGACTCTTCAAATTTGTCCATCTCTGCTCTTGTAATTTCTTGCTCGGTACTTAAGTACCATATGATGAACAATCTCAATTTATCCGTCGGTTCTTTGCCTTTATCCGCATCATTTATCACCTCAAGCATTTGTGCTTTCGTTTGCTTCATAATGTTTTCCTCCATTTGATAAAAGTTGTCCAATTGTCGATCCTTTATGCCAGTCAGAAGTCCAGCTAATATATTCATATGCATATCTAGCACAGCTTTTCGTTCTCTCAATTCTGGAAGTAAGGTAATGGCGACTTTCAAATGTTGTGCTGAAGCACTCGTATCATTTTGAAGATCTTCTATGGAAGAAGCTCCAGTCTTCTTCGTTATATCATTTGCATCGGCCTTATATCGCATCAATTCTGCATCAATATCCTCCGCTACCTGTGGAAATGGTACAGCAGAATTCTTCGCCCAGAAGAAATCATTTGCATTTAAATCGTAAGCCTTCTTAGTTGTACCCTTTGCTGGATTCTCCTCATCAATTGGCGTCTCGACAGTAATTCGATTTAATTTCATTTTTAGAACATCGTGTACGAGTGATTGATATGTCCAAGAATGCGAAAGCATAGGTATTAAATCAACATTTCGATCAAGGATAATAAGAACAGGTCGCGAAGAAGGCGCAGTGGTAGACTGTCGATTGCTTGGGGCAGAGAATAGATTGTCTTTCGAATTGAGGATGTGATCTCGTAATTTTCGATCGAGCTTAGCAGAAATCATTTCTGCGGCTGCACCAGGAGGACATCTAATTATTGGCATGGCCCCTTTTTGAACGTTAGTTAAATGTGAATATACAAATACTAAAGATCTTACCCATTGTGACCATAACACTGAAAAGTCCACTGACAATCCTATCAACCACATTGTCCAATTCTTCATCCTTTGTCTTTGCGCTGTTCAATGCCCAATAGGTATTCTCTTTTCTCATACCAAGACTGAATAAATCTGGTTCGCCCACAATGAAATTAAGGTACTGATCATAGAATTGAGCAATATTTTCTGATGTTCCAGCTTCTGCCGTTTGTTTTGCGAAGTCTTCTAGTAATGCGCGGGGTATCGAGGAGAGAAAGTTGATGTAGGCAGGGGAATAGAGACCTCTCGTGAGATCACTGGTGATGCCCCTTAGGTTTGCTTCAGTAGGTTCGACTAAATATAATACTGGGACATCTGGAATAGGATGACGATTTGCTGATATATGCCTAATTTCATCAGTACTTCTGAAGTAACATCTAAGCTCTTGTTTCCCCGCGCATGAACATACATATGCATTGTAACTCCCCAGGCTCTTAAATCACTGACCCGTAGTACACTGCTTATAACATCTCGTCCTAAGTCATCAAAGACCAAGACTTTCCATATTGGCTCCCCATCTTCATTTAGAATTGGTACTGATGGGACAGCAATTCCAGTATGTGAAGTTTGATCGTGGGCATTCGCAGATTCGGGAGATTCATGATTCAAATTTAGCATGCGCTCAATTGATCCTGTAACCAGATTGTTAGTACCGAACGATGCTGAAGAACAGGAAGATTTGGGATATATTTACATACTGATCTGACGATCCCGGAGCGAGTTATGAGAAGTTGCCATCTTTGTTGTTGTTGATTTTAGAAGGCTGAATTTCAGCCAAAGTACCTAGAATATATCATGTAATATCAGATCAGACTGACAAGCGCAATAATAGAAATAGATGAAGGTCAGGATGGAGTGAAGTGTTAATTAAATCCTTCGACTCATTCGACTTCTTGTCCAGGACACATTTGCGACTTTTGCGATAGCTCTACCCCAAATCTTAGGTTTCCCGTTGGGTTTCCCGTTTTCGAGTGAAATAACTAATAACCCATGGACCACCAGACCACCGGACCCTACCACCTACCACCTACCACCACCGCAGTTGGGTGAATGACTAAGATGTTCTAGCGTCATTAAAATAGTACAAGTTCTTACCACATACACAGCGAAACGACCGACTGGCAGGCGAACTAACCTAAAGGGCCTTCCCTTTCTTCAAATTAATAGGCCATTTCATTCCCTTGGATTTTCTGTTCCTTAATTTAATCAACAACACAACAACAACACCGCCATCAACCAATTTCGTCTTTTCGTACTCTTTTGACCTTCTTTAAATTCCCCAACTATACAGCTCTTCAACAACTCAACAGCTCAACACGTCAACACGTCAACTCTTCCCCCAATTTTCATCATCAAACTGCCCATTTACAAGTTCTCTTTGATTGTTTATTATGGCGGCGACTTCTAATCAGAACATATGATCGTACAAATTAATTACCTATTGAAAACAAAAGTGACCGGATTTGAAAAGAAACAGGCTGCTGGTTCGCTCCTAAGAGCATAACTTTAGAGAAGAAAACAAAAGAAAAGGAAAGGGAACTGGAAGGATCTGAGAGCGCAAAGCAGCAAGAAACAAAAGGGAAAAAGAGGAAAAGAGAAAAAGGGTACGGTAACACCTTGAATACACGCACAACAAATTTGATAAGCCATGCCATTGAAGCTGGCAAAATTATCTACAATTACACTTTTACCCCCTTCCCCTACCAAAAAATAGTATTGCCATCTCCAAGAATCCTCAATCTGCTTAGACATAAAGCTTTTACGCTTTTGCTTTCGCATATAGAGGTCGAAAGGGACTGCATTATCAACGTGCAAGGTTGAGATATCATAAGTTGCCCATATCGTATAGCACAGTGAAAAGAAGAAAGATCCTTTCCATACGAAAGATCTTTTCTCTATATCATTGCTGCAGAGAGGGTTTACTCATACGTCTAGAACCTGGCTGTACTGGACTATATTGTACTGTGCTGCCGCTGTTGTACTTCTTTTTAACGATAGTATCTCTTGGCTGTCTGGCTCCTGGTGTTTAAAAAAAGTGTGTGATGGTACAGCTGAATGTACTCAAACAGAGGGTACTTTCACGGGAACATCACACACTGGTAAATGACCCAGAGGCTAAGTGTGATTGATAACTGTCGATTTCATACTTCATCTAACTCACTCATCATTTACAATACAAATTGTGATGATTAAGTGAGTGAGGGAAGTGTATTATCAGAAGGATTCATTCATTCATTCATCCACTCGTCAATTACCCTCAATTACCTACCACTATCTTTGAAAAAAAAAATTCTTTCAGCAGATCATCACAAATTACAAGAGAGTGCAAAGAATGCAAGCAACATCATCATCCGTGGCTTTTGCATACTATACACAGAAATACACACCAGAACATCCAATATTTTCCTTTACTTTCCTTTGGTCACATTTTCACTTTACGCCAGCCATCAAAAGATCGGAATCCTTTCATCTTACTTATTCATTGGGGTTGCTTGATCAAAAATCTTTTGTTACTTAATAGCTAATTCATATTTTCGTTTAGCTCACCAATAAGACCCGTATCAAATCATCCACTTTACCTTAAATCGAATAGTCGATAATTCCAGATTTGGTCTTGTCCCTTTCCAGACACACCACGCTCTTTTTTCAGACACACCCTGAACCGAGCCGATCCGAAAAGTTTTGATCTCACTTTACCCGCATTAGGTATTAGGCGCATTTTACCGAGTCGTTAGGTCATTTTTCCAACCTCCGACTTTCACTAGTTCACGTGACTAGTTATTTAGTTCCTCGGTCTAAGATGGACGGTGATAATCATGGCTATATACCAGATGATGTCGACTTCGATGGTTTATTGAATAATGCTCCTGTTTGGCCCAATACAGCAGAACAGTACGGATTCCAGCAGCAGCAAACTCAAACTCAGCAGCAACAACAGCAGCAGCACATACAAGCAGATCCATATGCTAGATATTCTACCAATCAACCTTCTTATGGACAGCAGTATGATCTCTCTCATCAACATTCATATAATCCTCTGTCGTACTCGACCAATCCTGCATATTCTGCCCAGTACCAACATGCTGGACCATCAGATTTGTTCGGTCCTCCTTCTTACAACCTCGATACTTCCATGCAAGAATCAAGCTCATACCATGGAGCTCAAAGCTCTTTCCCATATCAACAAAATACTACCCAACATCCCACAATTTCCCCTCAAACTCTTCAGTACAATAGCTTACTGGCTCAACAGCAATTGAATAGTGGGATCCCGTCGGCTGCGTTTCAACGATCAAATAGTGGAATCAGCAGTAAACCTGATTATAACTATGGCCGAAGGACACATAGTAATGATAACCATTTCTTCAATCAACCTCAGAATGGTATTGTGCCGCAAAAAATGAGCCAGAGCTTATCCAACAATACCGTCCAGTATCCTTCTGTTGCAGCAGATCTTTGTCCAAAGGAGGAGGTTAAGCAACATGTCCCGCTTGAAGAGAAATACCCCGTCGCGGCACTCACTGCTGCTGCACCTCCTCGTCAACGAGAAATAGCCCCCGAATACAAACTTGCCGCTCCGGCACCGAACCCACTTCGGATCACTCATCCAGATCTTGTTGCGAACAATACCTCTTCAAGACCTCGGTTCTCGTATGCTCCATTCGTTTCATGGGAAGATACGTCTATACAAGTTCCTCCTGGGCTAAAAAGTCAGTGCACCTGGATTGCCCTCATTTGATATGAAATTTTGCTAACAACTGTTCTCTAGATACCATTCCAAAGTATCACCCGAGGAAATCAAGAAGTGGAAAAGAGCTTGTAGTGGGGCTAAATAAATCAAGTGAGTATCGTTGGACAGATTTGTGTACCTCAATATTAATATCTCGGCCAGAAACTTTAACGCCAGCAAAAATTTCACAGAAAATTCGCGTCCCAAGGGAAAAGAAAACACACGTTAGCACCTACAAAGGCACTAGCAGATCAGCGTTTGATAAAGATTTCAATGTGCGTGCCGATGGTACAAGCACACCAAATAAGTCTCCTGCAACATCCACGGAATCAAGCTCTTCTGAGGAAGAATCAAGTTCGGAAGAAGAATCTGAATATGAAGACGATGAAGAAGAAGAGTTGCCACCGCCAATAGATATCAGTACCGTAAGTACACATCTCTCTTCCCGGCAATTCTTGATTGCGGCCTTTATTGTGTGAATGACATGCAAGCGCCCTTGCCGCTCTATATCATGATATTTAAGGCGTTCTATGTGAACTGATTCAATGCATCATAATGAGTTATGTTAGCCTGCTCGCATACCTCTTTTGACATTGATAACCTGCCATCCGTGTCTGATGCCTCTGAAAAGCCACTAAAACGAATACTAACGATAATCAATACAGGTTCGTGAACTCAAGCGTCCCGATGATATGCCTAATGCTGCCCGATGGGATGCCATAGGAATCATCTGGAAGGATCCCAATTCCAATCCAAGTGCGGCTGCTATTACAAGTGCTATGAACGATTATGCCAATACGATTATTGCGCTTCGAACCCAAATCAAGGACACTGCTGCAAAGATCGAAGAAGCGACCATATCCAAGGCTCCCGAAGCACAAATACGAAAACTCAAGACGCTTCGTTCCGAACAAACCGATGCCCTTTATCAAACAATTGAGGCGGCAAACAAGCTTGGCTACGGTCCAATTGTTGAGAATCTTGGTGGTCATCAAAAGTTAGTAAGTGGTCTAACAGCCACACTCATTGAATGTACGAAAACAGAGGACTATCTTGGTAAACTTCCACGGGCTGTATTCGCTTTACTTGCCAAATTTCAAACACTCACAGAAGACTTAATTAAGAAGAGTAAATTTGATGCTCTTGCAAGGCGTTGGAATAAGAAAGGAGATCAAGAAATCAAGGATTACATTAAGATTATAATAGAGAGCACAATCGACGCAAAGGAAAGAGCTTCTAAGATAGAGCAGACAACGTCTAGCGTTGAAGACACCAAGAAGAAGCTTGAAAAGATAGAACAAATTAAATCTCGAGCTGCTGAAACCATAAAGCCCACAGCGACTAATCAAAGTTCGAAGAGACCTCATGAAGGAGATAACACCAATAGCAAACCAAATAAGAAGTTCGCTACTGATGTTTCCGGTACCCCCACTTCGACATCAAAATTACCCCCAATACCCAAGAGATCAAATGCCAATCTTCTTGGCATTTCTTCGAAACCAACTCCAAAGCCTACTCCGAAGGTTGCTCCACCCAAGAAAAAGGAGCCATCCCCACCAATATCATCCAGACTAGGAGATATCTTAGCCAGCATTGAAAAGCCACCTGAGCCACCAAAGAAGGCCGCGCCAGCGGCTGGACCTCCAGAGACCCCAGAGGAAAAGAAGAGACGTGAGCGAAAAGAAAGTCGACGACATCTCAGAGTTAAATTCAAGCCAGATGATGAGCTTGAGCAAATTCGTTTGTTTAAACATGAAGTGGCAGAAGATGAGGGACGACAAGATAACATGTTGAGAGATGCACATAATAATCATTCTGAAGGTATGATGCATAAGCAACGTGTTAAGGTTACAGATGATGAAGATGATGAACCTATGTCTGCTACGATTGAAGAACGACCTTATCCTAATCTGGTTGAGGTCGACCTCTCCAACCTTGATAAGAACACTACTTATGGTCCAAGTTACATCACCAGAGGCGGAAATATCAAGTTTGTTACCCCAGAGCAGCAAGTACAAGAGCGACGAGAGGCCAACGAGTTACTTGTTATCTATAATGACCCTTCGGAAATTCCACCGTCTGCGAAAGAACCATCTTCTGCAAATAACGCCGCTACAACCATGGCAAAACAATTGAAGTATCCAAGTGCTCCTTGGTTGATACAAAGACTGCATGATATTCACCAGTATGGTCCAGATTATGCACGTACTCTCGCGATTAGTCGTCTTGAAGAAAGAAAGTACAAAGAAATGCGAGACAATCAAGCCCTTGGTTTCACACAAAATGCTTCAAGCTCAAATGATGTTTCTTCAACTTTACAACAACTTGGTGGAGTACCACAATCTAACGCCATCATGGACGCAGCATGGGATAACTTGCAACGTATTGTCGCGACATTGAAAGGAAAGCCATACCCAGCTATCGAACCACCTGAATGGATGAACGAAGCTCAAAAGAAGGACTGGTGGGATGGTTATAATAAGGATCACCCTAATGCTGCGGAAGAGAGGTTTCTTGCTCAAATGCAAGCACCTCATGCACCTCAAGCACCACCAATGGTACCTGCTATGCCAACTCCCCAAATGCAGAGTTATCAACCACAAATGAGTCAGCCGGTTTTGAATTATCAAGCACCTGTTCCAGACGTCAACCAACAAGTTCAACAGTACCTTGCTGGTTTGACTGGTAATAATAATATGGGTGGTGGTGATAATACTTCATCAGCTCCTCAACAATTCGATTTCAGCGCTTGGTCCAACAATCCTGCACTCCAAAGCTACGCACCATCCCTTCCCAACGACAGTTCCTCATCACGACAATGGGCATCCGGTTATCAAAACGCTGAGAATCGGGAATCTCGAGGAGGAAAGAACAACCTTTTCAATGATAACTGGAAGCGAAAAAAGGGTTCGGAATGGAAGAAAGATTCAAAGTGGGAACCTTTAGATGAAAATGGAAATTACAAGGGCAAAAAACAACCATGCAAGTTTTGGGGTGAGGGAAAATGCGCTAAGGGTGCTGCTTGTACTTATTCGCATGAACCTGAGGACCAGGGAATGGGTGGAGGTAATGGACGCGATCGTTACTGAGTTGCGATTCGATTTGCATATGAACGTGGATATATTTGTCTTTTGCAAGAATTGCATGGTCTGCATGGCATTGAAGGCGTTCCGCATGAGATAAAGAGGATAAGATATGTAATTTTCTTTCTTTTTCGAGAAGATTCGAGTTTCCGACTTCGGTACACACCAATACTTGATTGCATCAATACAGCCGTGTTGTACGGTACACTCGTTTCGCATTTTTCGATGACTTGAGTGGGTGGCATGGGCAGAGAGTTGTACTTTTACGAATACCTTTGAAATAAACAGGCTGGCTACTTTTATGGTAAAGACCATAATGAGACCTTGGTCTTGCTCTTTTCACTTTTTTTGTTTGCCATTTGAGGGTTTTAGCTTGGGCTGAACTTGGGCTTAGGCTTGGGCTTTTCGTCTCACTCGCTCACTCACTCATTTGCTCATGTGGATGGGTGTGGAATGGAAGTGAGAAGGGTGGGATTGGATCGAGATGGATGTGTACAAGAGGGTTTGTTTTGTAATATTAGTGGACTTGATGTATGGATGGGGTTGGATGGGGTTTATGCGGGGCAGGTATAAATAGATGGATGGAAAGGAAGAGTGAGGGAGAGGGAGAGGGAGTGGGACTAAAATATCATGGAAAATGAAAATTGGAAGATGGGAGATGGGCATGGTTGTGTGGACTTGATAGAGCATGTTGAGGGTGGGTTGGGATGGGATGGAGATGAGATGAGATGATGGATGGCATAGAACAGGCTAGTGGGCGGAAGAAGTGTATTATACCTATATCAATACCAATAGCAATACTAGTAGCGATTAATGATTTGAATTATATGTGTTTGTATGTATATATATGAACATGTGCCAAGGTATAATAACATAACATTTTATCCACAGAGTAAATATTTGTTGTTTTTTCTCGAGGAGAGAATAGAGTAAAGAGAGCAATAAGAAGTGAAGGAAAAAGAAAAGAAAAGTTAATATTACTCATTGATGAACTTGTAATTAACTATATAAATTATAAATCTAATTTTATATTAATCTTATAATATATTAATATCATTTATTAAATTAAGTATATAATTATTATTATTGATTTCTTAACTTTAGTGTATATTTGATTATATATATTATAATAAATATATTATTTTTTTTTTTTCTTTTCTTCTTTGAGAAATAATTATAAAGTGAATGAAAATATATTTATATTTTATATAATATATTAAAAAGATAATTAAAATACTAATTTGAAAATAAAGAAAATAATAAAAAGATAAATAAATGAATAAATATAAATGAATTCAAATTTTTAGAACTATATAATTCATTATATAAAATCATCTTTTTATTTTTTTTAATTAAGTTTATGAAGAATATATTGATTGATTATAAATTAGTGTGAGGTTGAGGTTAGAGTTTGAATTGGGATTGAGATCAAATTTGTTCTTTTTTAGAGTTGTAAATCTTAATTGTTGTGTATATATGTAGTATAATGGGAGGAGTGCTGGGGAAGAAATATTTGAGTAGCTAGGTTGTTATTTTAAGTAGTAATTAAGTACTAAGTAGACTATCTATCTGTCTATGGATATATATCATATCGGTATAGAAACCGAGATGAGGAATACTGTCAAAGACGAGTTATAGAGAATAGAGAGGTAGAATATTGGGAATTGGAGTTTTGTAATACAATTCTATGATTGGCATGTAGGTGTACTTGAGGTGAATAGACGCTAATTAGCTAGGAAGATTCCAATTCGAAATTTACATCTATCTTATTAAGTAGGTAGTTTGAGTTTGAACTGATGGATTAGCTGATGATGAATGATTCATGAATGGCCATGGGTGAATGGGGTGGAAAAGTAAGGGTTAGTAAGTGTAATTACTATGCAATTCTTATATTGTTCTATTTTGGATTGTATTTAGAGGATGAGATGATGAGATTATGGTTGAGATTGGAAATTCGAATATGATGTGTGAGATATGAGATTTACCCGTCAATTTCTATATTAAGGGGAGAAGTCGGGAGTGAGAGGAACGGGTGAGAGGGAAAGAGGAGAGGGAATGCGGTTTACTTGCACTCTGCTGATGTTATTTTTCTCTTGGAGGGATTTGTTTTGACTATTTATCTCCCGACTTTTCTTTGGGAAGTTATGCTATGGTAAGATTGTAGGTTAAAAAGATTATATGATTAGAAAAGTAAATACACGAGTGAGTGAGAGATGGAAGGTTAGGGTTAAAGTTATGGTTACGTTTAATATATTGAGAGTAAAGTAGGATTGTCTACTTGAAGCGAAAAGAAAAAGACTTGGGGAAGTTGAAGGGTAGGGAAATGTGGGATACGGGGAGCTCGAGTTTGGTGGCTTTTCTGCTGGGTTGCATATAGCTTTGTATGGCGATGAGATGACCACTGTTTATTTGTTCTTTGATCAACTGATTCGGTTCTTGATAGTGGAAAAGTGGGAAAGTTCTTGGATATGTGACGTGAGAATGTGAAAAGGGGCTGCGAAGGTATGAATGGATCTTGACGGTGAAGATAATCCAAATAGGTATGCATAGATAGATAGATAACTTGGAGACTAATTGAAGGATTAATACTCGGTAAGAAACTTGTGGCGAAAGGATTGCGTGGATCGCTTTGGATTCGAATCTCCATGATCGCGATATAGTACACCTGGGTAGGTAAAAGGGGGGCGAGAGTGTGAACAGTTGGATTAGATAGTCATCTGGATGTGCATGTGAGGCTGTGTATGAAGAAATGGGGATGAGTGAGTGCGACGATATATTTGTGGTTCGATTTAAGGGTCAATTGATGCTTGGCTTGGAGAATGTGATATGGAGATATGTCTTGCTCAAGCTGAATCTGGGAGATTTTCCTCTGGAAATAATAAATTTTGGGTATTTGGTCATATTTTGCGTTAACTATATTGACTTCAATGATAATTACTGGTTCCAAAATATAAATGATTCTATCCCTAACTCAACAGCGACTATCTATACACTGATCTGATAATACTCATACGTATGGTTCCCTCCACATCCTTTTCAACATTCCTTTCATCCTCCCATACCCACACCTACTAACTTCCCATCCCCACTTCCTCGCCATCAAATCCCAAATCCCCGAACCTAAAATTTAAATTCTAATTATCAAACGCAAAACGTAAGTAAGAACACAAGTGCAACCCCCAACAGCCCTATTCCTCGAAAATTTATAGCTGATTGGTGCAATATGGCTTGTTTGTGTGAGACTGAGTTTACTGGGATGAATTTGGTGGCTTGAGCTGAAACGTAGATTGCCGGGTGAAGATTGTGCAATTTGGGTATTTGGAATGTAATCAGGAGATGCAACCGTGATAATGATTATGATGATGGGTTTGTGTAAGTAGATGGGGTCACCGGTGGGCGGTCTAGGATGGTATTGGGGATGCATCATGCATGGATGAAATGGGTGAAATGGGGATGTTATATTAATGTAAGAGGGTAGAGGTAAGAGGATGCAACGAGTAGGAGAGAAAGGCAAAGGAAGTTTGGTTCCGGTGGCTATGGGCTGAGCGTTGAGAGTAGATAGAAGCAGGAGTTAGTAGGCTAGTATGGAGTGAAAGACGGCTGGCTGAGATTTGAGAGGGATACTAGGATGCTAGGTGTTGGAATACTATATAAGGAATGAGGGGTAAGTCTTGGTGAGATAGGGTGGTGGGATGGGATATGAGGAATGTTCTGATATGATGTGGGTGTGATGTGATTTTGAGCCTGTGCGCAAGTGAAAAATTGATGAAATGGACGGTAGAGCCGGTGAGGCGTCCGGTAGTATATGTAGTTGTGTTTTTTAAGCATTCTTGTAGGCATGGCTTCGCTGTGAATGTGGCCTATTCGGTAATAAAATGGATAGATCAGATGCGAATCATGGGATCTAGATGATGAGACTTGGCAGAAAGAGAGCACAGTAATCACTTTCAGTTAAGTTGAAGAAAAGATTTTGTGATTCTCGCGAACTTGGCTCTGATGATATGTCATAGTTTAGAGATTCATTATAGATTAGTGCCACAAGTTCCGGTGAGCAACTCGCAAGAATTCGAAGTGGAATACAAGTTTTAAGGCACTGAACGAGTGAGACATATATCCATGAAGACTGATATCCCAACATATCGCCATCACCATCGCTGATCCCAAGACCAGCTTATGAATATCTAAGACGGATGGTAAGATCTTCTGAACCATCCAATGGAAAGATATCCGGTGTTAATGTATACGCATGCGTATGCGTATATGTTAGTTATGCTCTCGGCTTATGTAGGATGATTTCTGCGGATGTTCAATCAAATCATGCCATAGATCTCGATCAGCAACGACATAATCCGCAAGATGGTGGTTGATCAGGAGGATCTCTAGCTTCTCCGAGAACGGCAACAACATAGGAGGTGGTGCGGTTGAAAGATGACATGTGAAGAATTTCAAGCTTATACGGTATATGAACAGGCTTTATGGCTTAATACTTCACACACTTGGGCGACGGGAATTCTGATCAGAGCCGACCGTTTACAAGTTTGAGATGTAAATTATTAATAAAACCTGGTAAAATGGGGTAGATATCTTGAAATGCCGGACTGTTTGCAAGGAAACAAGCGAGTTGTGCTATTTATGGATGTCCGGGAGATCTACTTTGTAAGGCAAACGAAGGCAAAACTTGAAAAGCGGCCTCGGATTTGCGGAACTACGGGAAGGGAGCTGTAATGTGGGGCTGTATGCATATGAGGTTTGCGAACTATTGAAGGTTTGAGGATATACGAAATTATTACGAGCGGTGAAGAAACTGATCAAGCGTGAGGATTTGTAGGGTTACAGTTGTATCCATGTACTACCATTCCTATCATTTTGGTATGTATCGAAAACAATCCCGAGAAGTATATATGAATGATGAGGGACTTGCTTGTGAGATGAGCATGTGCAAAATTGGGGGCGATAAACAAGTATATGATGTGGTTTTGAGTGCGTCTAAAGGAACCAAGTACTATGTAGCCTCCGACTATTGGATGACTAGAAAACGAGCAGTCAGTCGCTCAAGGTTGTGAGACTTCCATGCGAACCCCTTTCCCAGCTATTAAATGGCGATAATCGTGTGAAGAAAGCTTGGTAACATGTATGTCGTAGAATTGGGATGATCGAAATATATGCGCCATGAGGCATACATCTGTTGAGTTCATTGGGATATGTAGTGCTTAGGAGCTGGTTTTGATTGATCAGAAGAATGACAGCAAGTTCGGATAGAATTATCAGTGGTGCAATTTAAAGAAGAAATCCTAAAATGATTAGAACTGCACCATATTTGATCATTGGGCATTATTAGTACCAGTGAGACGAATCATGCTCGAGGGAAGCTCTCCTATGTTCAGGATACAACAAAGTAAAAATGGGTCATAAGGTCGCTTGCTAGATTGCTCCCTGCTCTCTGAGTAGTTCATGCATCATAGCAACGGAGAATGCCATCAAGATCTATTATCTAGTCTTTTGAACTAATGTTTTGTGGCAAAGGTGTCTTCGTGAAGGAAATAAGGAAAAGGGTCGAAAGCTGAGTCCTTGGCTCTAGAGTGTAGCATTTGGGAAACTCACTTCCATACCGGTATTAACTCGAAGTCATGATCCATGTCGTCATTTTATCTGCTTTTCAAGGTAGCAAACTACTTGAAGTAGCAGGTAGATTCATTCGGCTTAGGTGAGAGGCATTTGTTGTACATTGATGGTTTAGCCAAATGCTCCTCCGTAAGCTTCTACAAGGCGTAAAGAACAAGGAGTCGGGGTGGAGTGAGGTAGCGAGACCTATCCACTCGCGGCTTAGATGGAAGTCCACATCATCTCAAGAGTTGAAAAGAGACTTTGGATGAATAGCCACACGCTATCGATCATACTGTAGATCCAACAACGGCATTGTGCGATGATATCAACCCAATTGGTAGGATACCCTGGCAGGTTCAAGCTTTCAGAGATAAATAGAGTTGTGTTGAAATGTGATGGAATTTAGTTAATGACCAAGGCAGTAGAAACTTTCCACCCAGCCAATGAAATACTCCGACTTTTAGTCCGGACCCAAGAGTGCTGTAGAAGGTACTATATCTGAAGTGACAGTGTATATGCATCCAGCAGATATATCGAGGGGCTTTGTCTGGAAAAGATGCATTTGACAAGGAATACATGCTTTTCTCGAAATCATAAATTGTTTATCTCGAGTTCCGGTTATTGCATGTACCGTGCTACTGTCAATAACCTTGAGATGACATGACACAACACTTGACGGCATGATTTCTGATTCCAACCGCACTCTAAAAGCCACCCTATTCCGGTATTCGGAGCATGAAGCTTTGAGACATACAGTAAAATAAAATGCCTAGGAATTATCTACCGCGAATTGTGAATACCTCTACACAGAGTTGAGAGGCTCATGTAGATGTTGTGAAGGTATTGCAAATGTTTTTCAAATGATACCGTTGGAGTATTAGACTTTGACAGGAGGTGAAGGTACACGGTACACGGAATCCCATAGTGTAACCTTCCTAACACCTTAAGTTTCCCCTCCTTGTACCGCATGAGAGAGATTTCTTACCGGGCGACCAGGGTAGCACATAGCCCGAAAAGAATCAACCAATCGCTCTTGGAGCATATGCAGATATACCTGAGGAGTGTTTGCATCCATGTGCTGACAACAAGACCGGAGGTCCACGGATAGGTGTAGGTGAGTAAACATGTGAAGAATACTTCGGATGAAAAGTATTAAGAATGAATGAACCGATCTACTTCAGGGTATGTTGAATAGGGTGGGATCTGAATGGGATCTCAACGCCCAATATAGAAGCACGGGCATTTAATTTGTTTGACCTCCTCAATTGTTCCATCTCACGTCAGAGAATTTATCGTAATCACGAATCAAATGGGGTCAAACTTACAATGAATCTGAAGTTTTGGATGTACACAGCCACTCTACTAGTGCTAAGCCCTTTTCGGTAGCTACCTAGATAGTAGATAGATACTAGATACTGTATCATTTTCAGCAGTAGCATTGTTCAGATACAATACAGAAACTGTGTTGTGTTGCACGAGCCGAAGCACCTAGGGACTAGCCTTACACGGCGTAGAGTAGGTGTGCTTATTTGTCGGATGGCATGCTCTTAGAGTTAGTTTTGTGCTATAATATAACTTCTAACGAGGAGACAATGTGAAAAACAGCATGAGATGTTGTCGTCTCGGTATTTTTGTTTTGCTCTCTCCAACTCCTCAACAAGTTAACTCCTTGGAGATCTCTTCCAGGGCAGGGATCGATCGTATTATAAGCTACAAGCTGCAGACGGGTAGACTAACTCGCTAACTTGTCTGTAAAGAGGAAGGGATAATCACTAAACATTAACATGCGTAGGGTTTGTCTACTTGGATGAAAAAGATTCGAGACTCAAATACTATATTTGGGAAGATATTTAGATTAATTTGCTATAAACGGCTCGGAATATTATAAATGGAAAACTATAATGAAATTAGTTCCCTATCACAGTTTAGCGGACAAAACGAGCGTCTGCTAGCCCGACCTAAATTTGGGTGATGCACCCATTTTTACCATCCCAGTAGAAGATGAAACAAAAGCTCGGCCACTTAATCATGAGTTTGGACCAATTGTAATTAATTAACGGCAAGATACAGACTAGGCTAGACTTTAACCTACAATTTGCAAAAATTATCTTTCTTCTCTTTCTTTTTACACCTCTCACTAACAAACTTCACTCATTTCACACTCCTACATCTAGACCATTTCATGCCCCCTTCATCCACCACCCCATGGATACATATACCATATATTCTCCGGGAGCGATCCATTTAGAACTTCATTCATATTGAGTGACGGCATGGTACCACTATCTGACGACGCATATTTTTATCTCAAATTTCAATTCTCAACATGTAGTGTACCAAGTAGAAAGAAGAAAACTAATGAAAATTGTCATGGATCCCAGCCACCTTCGATAAGTATGTACAGAATATGTAATGTACGTACTTTACGGAGTACTTTCATGTATACAGAACAAATGCTTTTCTCCGTAGCATTTGTGTTGTTGATGGATGTGTTGGCAAGCAACAGCACAAACCTTAACAAAGCAGAAGCACGAGCTGAACACAGCGAGAATAGGATATCCATCTGATTTGAGATAGGATTGGATATGCGTCTTATGAACATATTGTAGAAAACCATTTCACTTGCCGTAAGTACTTTGGCCATGCAAATAACCCTTTTGCAGCTGTCATCGGTGGTTCCACAGCATAGTCACGATGGCAAGACAACTTATTCATAGGTCAGCCTCATGTGCATTCTCCCCTTACAGCTCTTTATACGAAGGTACATTTTGCTCCCGCGTGGCGGCAGGCATCGAACCAAACCTCCATGATCTATCCAACCCACCATCGTCTAGCTTATTAGCAAATTTTAGAACGACCTGCCAAAACACCCGCACATACCACACCCGAATTTGGTGTAATTTCGTCCTTTGTCATGAACGGAAGATCCACCCCCCCTCTTCAAAAAAGAAAACACATTGAGATATTCTAATTATTTTGATTCTTGTCTCCATCTGCACAAGCTTGCACCATATTTCAAGAGACCCTCCATGACCACTCACTTGCCATTCGATATTAATTTCTATTAGGCTTTAGTAGTATGAGCCGATGCACTCGGACTACCGAACTGCATCGAACTGCATCTGTCCGTGAGCTCACTGGTCAGACACCAGCCAAATTGAAACGATTGAACGAATTTCCGAAATCGAACACTAGCCTTCATATCAAACATGTCATTCTAGAACAAAGGGAAGTTTGTTTGGTGGTTCTTGACTCTTGAATCATGCAAATTCAAACAAATGTATCTTTTGATTTACGGAAACATTGGCCAAGTCAACTCCGTGAATGATTCTACTCCATATGTTCCACACTATGATTTTTCGCATCGCATCAGCTTCCCAAAGTAGCTTGTGTGGAGAGTTGGGGTCAATCGTGTGTTGTATCAATTGTGATTCACCATAACCCGGGTGAAGAAGATCCAAGTGTTCAGATGATGAACCCCATATAAAGGAAATCTCGAAACATGGCGGACCACTCTGCCACACGGCCACCATGCATGGGTCTAAAATTTCCCTACCGAGCACAAGGGCCAAGAATTCTATGGGTTCACCCATAAACAGACAAAACTCGACCAGAGAGACCCCTGGACTACTATCGACAAGGCTCCGAAGATGGGACCCAGTTCTAGTAACTTACCCAGTCAGCATGGAATAAGTGTATAACAAGAGTAAAGAGTGTGGGGAATCTCAACTTCAAACACTAGACAAAGTTCCGTTTTGCTAGTGAACTCAATGCACTCAGTGCCACTCATGCAAGTTCACCACTGCTAGCCCCCGGATTGGTTCTTCACTCCTCACTGACCTTGCTTCATATCCAACATTCAATGTCTTTGCAGTACTACTTGGGGTTATGTCGGTCGCCGCCAGTTGCAGTCTTCCTCTGTTGTTTCCTCACCAGTATCCGATCGCGCTTTCCCGAAGTAGCCCTACTTCATTCATAGTAGTCTCAATCATCGTCCTTGGCTTCGTCTTATTTTCCTGACCATTTATTCGCCTGACTTCGGAATTCATTTTGTTTGTCAACTCATCTCGACGTCAGCATATTCCGGACCTTGATATCCTCGATAAAGTGTATTGTCAACAGTTCAACAGAGACTTTAGATCAAAGGCTAAGAGTAAACACTTGAGGTATTTGACAATCGACGTCGTATTGCCTGATATATTCATTCACCGAACAAGCAGATAGCTACTGTCCAAGCTGGCATCGACGTTTCGACGAGACTTGAAGGCATAGACCATCTCATTGTTTTCTCCTGTTCTCTAGCAGATCCACAACTTGATTACATCAGGTCAGATGTTTGGACGATATTAACGATACACCAAGCTTCACAGTAGGTGTTTCGAAGGTTTCCGATGAGGTCAATGCATTGTCGGATGTCGATCTACGAATTAGCTTAGCCCTGTCAATTCGCAAGAGCATTTGGGATTGGCACCACTGCTATTTTGCAGTATCACTCTATTCAAGTCAATCTGAACTAGGAAGACTCCTTGTCAGTCAAGTCCTTTAGATCAGTACGAGGTCTGAAACAACCGACATCATTCATATACTTTATTGCCACATATCCTCGTTGACCTTCTTCTGAATTGAAAGGTCTTTCAAGTCGACAAGCCATCTTCTTATCGAATCGACAAAGAGTCTAACTGATCGAAACCCTTCTCACAAGTTTGCAAGGCATAGAAGAAAGGAGCGCCGATCGCCAGAAAGCCTACATGAAAGGAAAGGCACAGGAATAACATCCTGCAGCGCGGAGGATATATTCATTTGAAGTTCAGAGAATCTCATCCCTTTCAAGATGGACGTTACATCATTGTTGAATTCAAGCAGTGTTGCTGCTGAGCAGCAAAAGAATCAAGGAGAGAAATTCGTTCTACCATCGAGAAATCGAACTCCATGGGACGCAAATGGCTATTCACTGCCAATCAACGCATCAAATCATACGATTAATATTAAAGAATTCGGTACAGGAAATGAGTTGAGTACGGTGAACGCCATGAACCCGAAAATTCACTTCTATGATTCGCATAGGATGGATTTAGAAAAGTCACCTCATCATAAATTTTCTGATAGTCGGAGCAGTTTGTCTTCCTTTACTTCAACAACCAACTCAACTACACCCTCTTCTTCGAACCACTCCAGATTTAGTTCTTTCAGTACCATCAACAGTAGCTATCCGATTACTTCTTTGCACAGTCACTGCAAATCTTCATCGGAGAATTCTACAGATTTAAGTTGTTCTCCTTATTCCTCGATTACCCATCAAAGCAAAATCGAGTCGCGTTCTGCCCCGACCTCCCCACACGACAGGAAGATCAGCATCATGGTTTCCAGTCCAACAGAAAACCTTGATGCTTTAGCCACCTTAGCTGAGCAAGAGTCTTCTCGTTCGTCCCCTGAGAATAAAGGTGTCCGATCTCAAAGCATGGCAGCCGCACCAGGAGCTTCGCTGACTGACTCTGCTGATTCCATCAAAGAGTCGGATAGTCGACCTGATTCTCCAAGTGATGCTATGTTGATCAGACGCCCAGATCTACCACGCTTGAATACTGATGCAAGTGATAACGGCTTTGAGTCAGATCAGTAAGTTATACGCTTGATACAATTTCATCATCCTATGTTTCTTCCCATCCAATGTTGTTTATACTATCGATTTATCAGCTCAACTAACATCAACTCAGTAGTAGCAATTATTATCGCAGCGCTCAGCTTGAGTTTAATCATGGAGCCATGCATCCTACATTGCACAAGCGAAACATTTCTGCACCAATTTTGCGCCGACCAAGCCGTGTTTCAGCATCTGGTGTTGGTCCAATTCCCGAACTCACGCCACCCAACTCTACCCGTCTTGCGAACCTTCCATCACCTCTAGATGATGGAGATGAGGATGCAGAGGGCGACCCAGCTACACCACCACCAGCAGATGGGGATGCAGACACTATTCCTGAGTGTATGTACATTCCCAATTGTGACACGGGTTCGCAACCTCGCAAGGCGATCTCACACATCTTTGGTCGAAACAAGATGTGTACTAGGTTGATTCCACAATCTGTTTGGGTCCACTATTGTCGCAAGCATTATCAACGCTCCCGTTATCGTAATCCTAAGGAGTATGCCAAGCTACAATGTGATTTGGTACAACAGCAAATTCGTCGTGTATACGACTGGTCTTCACAAAACTTGCGTCGCGGTGAACCAGGTACTATCAAAGACTGGGGCATAGCTATTAGAAAGCGTGAGCAGAAGCGGTTGGATGAGCTCAAGGGTTCGGGCCGAAAGAGACGTGCTTCTACCTTGGATGATGAGGAAGAGGGCGACGAAGATGCACAGGGTCACCGTCCACCAACAGCTGTTCCAGATTGGCTTCTTCATGTCATCGGAACAGGTTATTCCACCGAAGAGATTCTGGAAATTTTCAACCGCCTCCACCAAGAAGTTCTTGAAGACCTCTTACCTTGTTTCCCAGACATTGAGATTCTTCCAAACATCACCGTCGACCAAGATGAACCAAAGTCTCCCAAGGGCTATACAAAGCGCAAGGTATCATCTGCCGGTCACAAGCGCTCCCAATCTCTTGGTGTCGGTGCTATGAAGACACAAAGCTACAGCTCTCCTGCCGGAAAAGATCGAAAAATGAGTCAACCAGTCCAATACCAGAGCCCAAATAATGGAGTTCCTGTCTACAGCGCCACCATGAAGCGTCGTCGTCCTAATCCAGGCGATGCTAATTCTCAACATATGCAATTTGCACCACTCTCAACAGATGTCGAGCGTCGTCGCATGTCATTCCAGCCTGCTTTCCCTAGCTTTGATCGAATTGATGAAAATTATCAATCACATATCGGTGACAATGACTTTGAATTCCCGAGGAGTCGTCACAGTGGTCGGTCCTCTTCTGTTTATCAATCGCCATTGGCGGCACCAGTTGCCCGTCCTTTGGGTATCCATCAAAACCAAGTGGAGACACAGATTCAACAGATGGAGACCGGTGGTGCTAGCTTCAGCATGAATGGCGGCATGGGAACGGGTATGAGCATGGGTATGCAAAGTATACTACCCAATCGTAGTCGTCCTCAACACCAACGTTCGCATTCTGATTTTGTGGTTCCTCGAACTGCAATGCAACAAAATATGATGTCTGGAACTGCTATGCAGCCAAACCTCATTTCTTCCCAGAACTTCAACAACAATATTGAATTCTCAACCCCTCAATATCAACAACCAATTTATGGTCAATTGAATGAGTCTCACCAACAACAAGGTGTTCGCCAAAACTCTTACCACATGCAGCAAGGTCGTCGTCAATTTGCTGAACAACAACACCAACAACAACAGTTTGCCCAACAGCAACAATTCCATCGACAACCTTCAGCAACTAGCAGCGTTGGCAACAGCCCTGACATAAGTTCAGTCGGTCAAACCAGTAACCCCGCTCTTCAACAAGGTTTTCAAGCCAGTCCCAGACGAACTCAAAGTTCCCAGATGCGAGGCAATCAGATGTTTGATGAGAACACCACCAGGCGTCGTAAATACGACCAAGGCAATTAATATTATAAGGCAATCGATTTTTCCAATCATTGATTTTGATTCCTTTCCGGTTTTGGGACGATTGTTTAAGGGCGCAAATGGCTTTATGATACCCATTTGCACGATTCAAGTTACTGCTTTGTTTTCTCTGTTCTGTTCTATTATGGTTCTTTCTACATCAGACTATCGCATTCAATCAACCAGCTTTTACAATCACTTGTGTGGCGATCTGATCCTTACAGCCCGATCTTGAATACTCTCCTCGAAGCTTCAATCAGACGATGAGTATACTGTTATGATTTGCGCATTCGGAAATTTCGGATTAGATGCTTCAGATTGCGTCTGATTTCTTTGATATCACTGTCACGTATTTACTTCATCGGGATGTGATTCATGAAAACATAACGTCTAATGTTCTTCGATGATATGCATCAGGTGTACTATTTCTTTTGTTTTTCTTTTTCTTTTTGGTCTGAAGTCTCGTCTTCAGATAAGCGGGTTTCTTTTTTGCGTAGTTTTAGGAGGTAGATCGATAGCATATATGGAATGGATTGGATTGGATTGAGGATGGGAAATGAATACGGGCGTTAAAAATGCATGGTGGAGTATGGATTGATTGATTGATTGATGGTTTGATGCATGCCGATGATCATGAATCGATGGATGGATCAATGATGGATTGATTGGATATCACTTTCTTTTGTTTGTTCGTCACTTTGCATGGTTCTCAGCGCGTGGATTTGTTTTCTGCTTTTTTTTTTGGGTTTTTTTTGGGGACTCGTGGCAAGCAAGCATACATATAGGAATACATACATACATATGAACATATGAATACATAGGACATAGGATATAAGATATAAGATACAACCCCTCATCAGGTAAATGATGTGTAATTAATAGATAGGTAGATAGGTAGATAGTGGAATTGAGAATTCTCGATTCATATTTTTGAGGCTTTGGACTTTGGACTTTGGGATCTTTTTTTTGTGTGAGTTAATTGTGTATAGTTGTATGAGTTTGTATTTAGTTTATATGGATGCATGGAACTTGGTGAATCAAATGAACTCTGTGAATTGGAAATGAAAAAAGATAAAAGATAAAAGAAATTAAAGATAATTACTGAATAGAATAGTGAATAAAGTTTCTAAATGGACATTAATAGATTCGGTTTTACTTTACTCTATTTCTTTAAACTTTAAAATAACCTATCTACTTTGGGTCAGGTCATCCTATGAGAAGACTGTTACACCTAAAATGGACTAATACTGTAGAACCTTGGTTTGTGAACTCAGAATGATTTAAAAGGGTTAAAAAGTAGAAAGACAGAGAAAGGGGGGAGGAAGAGGGATCTTACACTAGTTTGTTATGCTGATATATTGATATGTACTTAACAACTTCCCAACTATGTAGTTTAAATCACACCTCCACACTCAAAATTTCAAACTATATACAAGAAATAAACCTCCCTTCCTCCTATCTCCTCATTGAACATCAATCCATTCCATCTTCTTGAAGTCTTTCCTTTTCTTTTCTTTTCCCATTCTCCAAACTCAAAGACACTGCGAATAATAATCATTCTGCACCTTACACGTACACCCAGCCACACACGTCCCACTTCCCGTCCAATTCAACCCACCACATTGTGCGTACTTCGCCAAACTGCCCGCACTCCCACTTCCACTTCCACTTCCGGCAGTAGTAGTAGCAGACGAACTAGAAGCCACGGTCGTGGAAGATGTTTGAGTAATGGTCGTCGTGAGCGTAGTATGGGGAATACTAGAAGTAGTTAGAACTCCTGAATTAGAAGCTATGTTTAAATTTCCAGAAAGAGAAGAAGCGAGGGCTGCTGAAGAAGCTTTCTTCGTGCAGGGTTTTTTGGATGTGAGGAACGTGGATGGAATGGCGATGGGGAGGATAGAGGAACTGGTTATGATGGCTGAATGGGAGGTGTAGGTTCTGGAGACGGAGGAGGTGGAGAGAATTGTTGAACCGCCGGCGGTTATGTAGATGGTTGTTGGTATTATTTCGATGGAGGTGATGGCTTGCGTCGATGTGAATTCGATAATTGAAGCGCTGGGAGGGCTGGAAACTTGAGGTATGCTGGTGGTGGTGGTTCCGGGGGATACCTTTTTGGTGCAGGACTTTTTGGTTGTGGCCGAGGACGAAGCGATTATTGATGATGTTTGTTGAGCCGGAACAGCAATAGATGATGATTGAGTAACTGAAAGGACAGTAGAAGAAGAAATTGGAGCTTGAGTAGAAATAGCTTGAACTGATGTTTCACTAGAGGCTACCACACTGGAAGCTTCCACAACAGGTACTGAACTAGATGAAGCAATAGAAGAAGATTCTACTAACGTGCTTGCAGAAGAAGAACTAGAGACAACGGCTCCGCCAGGTCCAGCAACACTAGTGGTTAGTGATCCACTTTCAATGTATACACCAGAGAAATAGAAATCTTCGGTTCCGTCGGTTTGACCGCTGACGGGGAGTTCGAGAACACCCAAGTGCCAATCTGCACCATTGGATGAGGCGGATACAGAAACTGCTGGAACAGTAAGAGTGAGGGGATCAGAACCAGTGGAGTGGTAAAATTCAACAGAGCCTGCGGAGAAATCCTAGGGGTATATTAGTAAGTGAATAGAAGGGTAATAAATTCAAACATACAATGCCGTAAGCAACATTGTGCCAAACACCAGCAGTCCAGTTAGTACTCCATTTACTATTACCACTAACATCCCATCTCAAAAGCGGATCACTTGTACCCGACTCCCCACTAATCCAACCACTCTTCATCTCAGTGAAATGACTCTCAAAAAAACAAATTTGATGTTCTCTATAGATGCTTGGTGCATTGGCTTCCATATGCATCATACTGAAATGATAGTAGACCTTTCCACTTGCAATAGCTGCCTTGGTTTGTGGAATCAATTCAGTACGACGCATGTTTTGACCTTCCCAGTATGAGGTGCTGTCAAGGGTTATCTTGGCACCGAGGGATGATCCAGAATCGGCTGGGTTCTTGAAAGTGCTGTCGAGGGCAATATAGTTGGTGAAGTTACTTGTGCCGTGCTATTTCTCTATAAGATTCCATTCCAATCACTCTATCGGCTGTGGATAGAACACAAGTACTTACAATATAATTCTGATAATCACCAACGGCATTACTCCATGACCAAGCCTCTAGATCCGACATAGTTGAAGAATCGAATCGACCATCCCATAGGATCGCAGCATTTGCACTAGTCACAGACCCAACAAGGGCTGCCAGAGCCTTCTTTGAAAAATGCATTGTGAATGATTTTGATATACAGATACTTCAAGTACCTCAGTAAATATCCACTGGATATGTAAATGTTTGAAGAAGAAAGTTGAAGAGTAAAAGGTAGAAGCGAGGTTTAAAAGAATGAAACGAACTGAACAGCACAGTTCAAGAAGAAGAGAAAGGGAATTCAAACTTATTATAGAGGATCACATCTTTCTACTCACAAAGCGACTCCTTATGACGGCTTCCTAGGTAATTACTATGAAACAAATTCAACACCCGTTTTTTCGGAAACAATTGTTTGTACCTCCAATTTCCCAAATTAAAGTTATCATCAAATATGGAATCGTTAGCCGCTCAAACCAGGAATTCCCTAAGTAGGAAACTACAAAATGGCGTAAACGCCGATTTGAGTCAGATGAACAATGCAAATGATATAATTGGGGTATATAAAAGAAAATTTATGAAGAAGTTAGATAGAATTGATGGTTTTTTATGGCAGGACGGTCCGGATATGAGTTGTTGTCTCATATATAATAGATTGTTTTGTGTTCATCTGATTTGGGTAAGACTTACAATGAAGTTGGCATTTGCTTGCTTTTCTTTATGATGCGTTTATCCATGCTTGGCATTGGATAGAAGATTTGTAGAATGAGAGGGGAATCTTTTTGGGGGAGTCTCGTGTTGGATGAAGGGGGAAGTAGATGGATGAAATGAAGGACTTAGCGAAGAAGTGACTTTAGGTTAACCTACCTGTAGGCTTAACCGCTTCGCCCCCTGAAGAATTTCCCCTCTAACCCTTCACCAGCCCCCTCTCCAATGTCTACATAGTAAGCCCGATCCAACCAAGTCAACCATTAATCAATTCCCAATTACCGTTTCCCCAATTCTGCAATCGCTCTCTACCCATTACCGCTCCAAAAACACGGCGGACCGCCTGTCCGCATCCCTTTCACCAATTCATAAATTCCAACCATTCATCCCATTCATCCCATTCATCCCATCAAAAGCAATCCCTTCCTTCCATCCAAATCAATAATACTCTACCTATTAATTCTGCAGTGTGGAAATTAATCTATAGTGGAGAAAAGAATAACCATCAGATATATTAAAACAAGGATTCTTTAACGCCTTTTGAAACACGGTTTGCATAGGATGATTTTTCTTTTCCGGGCAAAGATCTTAGACGAGATTTCTTTCGATTGGACCTTCGATTTGCCCCGCAATGTTTGGATCTTTTCGCCGCTGGGAATACCGGCGTGCACGTGAAGGTTGTGAGCCACCGTGGCTTTTGTTGAGGCCAGTGTGAAGATGACCATGATAGAGTTGGGCTCTTGGAATCATATAATTTATAATGTAAAACAAAATTTTAGTTTTATATAATAATCTAATTCGCATTCTATAAAACTAATATAGTAAAGTAAATTTGAGATTCTATTGAATTAAATGATTTTGTTATTGTTTTTTAATTTTTAATTTTTAATAGTTTTGTTTTTGATGACTAATAAATATTTTGATTAATTATTATAATAAAAGTATAATAATCATATATATAATTATAATAAATAATCTAGTAAAAAGTATTATATTATATTTTATTTTAATCTAGTTCTGTTTTATATAAAGGGCCCGTCTCTAGATCATAAACATCAAAGGATATAAATGAATAAAGTCAGAGTAAAGAGAAATAATATAAAATATATTATATAATACAATATCTATAAGAGATCTTTGAAGATATAAACTTTGATATAAAGAAGTTATTATACAAGCTTAACAAGTTTACATCACTTATTTATATCAATATAACTTTAAATAAATCTGAACTCTAAATAAATTATAAGATTTTTTCAATAATCTTATATTTATATTTTTTCTTTTACTAAAATTTGAGATGAATTTATTAATATCTTTTGTCGATTCTATCAACTAAGATTATTTATATTTAAAGAGATTTCAAGTCATTTATTTATTTGAATGTTTGAATAAATGAGCACATCCACTTAAAACATACAATACATAACCGAATCAAATAGAGCAATCACTGATTAAAGAGCAGATAATATATATGAAAACTTCTTATTTCTTCGTTTTCGTTAATTTATACACGACACCAACTCTCAACTCTAATATATACAAAACAAGAACCAAAATCTTCAACCCGGCTTGTACAAAGTGTACAGTAGCTTTCATCCTCCTCTTCCACCCAATCCATGAGCGTGCTAGTCTAGTATAATCGTTTTATTTTCTCTAGATGTGCATCCACTTAAGAGGAAGCAACACATTGAGAGTACCATGAGTTTTGAACAACACAAGTACCCTCAGAGCAAGTCTTTCCACCAGTGCAGTTACCGTACAAAGGAACGGAACCAGATGAAGAAGCAGCGCTAGTAGCAACAACTGGGGCTGATGCCGAAGTAGTGGCTGGTGCAGCAACAGATGTTACGAGAGTGCTGGATTGGCTAGCTTTGCTGCACTTTGGCTTGGTGGATGTGGATGCGACGCTTTGGGCGGCGGAGGAGGATGCAGGAACTTCTGGGGCAGATGAGACAGCTTGGGGAGTGGAGACGGCTGGGCTGACGGCTTTGCTAGATGAGACAGCTGAGCTGACGGCTGGGCTGACGGCTTGGCTAGATGAGACGGCTGGGTGAGATGGAGTAGAAACAACTGCGGCGACAGGGGCGGGGGAAGAGCTGCCAGCTGGGGCTTTGAAGGTCGAACCGATAGGTCCATACTTGATGCTGGAGAATGTAACATAAGCAGATCCTGAAGCAGCCTCAACAGTAGCGGGGACACCTGAGGTGGTTGCGCAAGATCCACGGGAAACACCTGGAGTAGAAGCCTTCTTGGTGGTTGGGTAGTCACTGTCGAGCCAAAGCATGTTTACGTTGTAATCATCCCAGATGGAGAGAACAAGAACCATACCATCAGCCATCTTTTTACCCATAGCGGCCATACCACCCTTTTGGCTGAAGTAATCAGTGTCTCCGAAAGCCTTCTTTTGAGCACTGCAGAAGTCGTCGGTAATGGAGTTTCCAGAAACACCAGAGATGTCGGAGTTTGGTTGTTCATAGACAACATCGCCTTGAACATAGAAACGCTTGATCTCAGTAAGGGTTCCAGTCTCAGTTCCGTCGTCAGTAATGAATTGAGTAACGACGCTGAATGGCTTGGTGGTATCAATGGTCTTTCCGCTTCCATAGAATGTGGTGTTACCCATTCTGTATGGGTTGAAATCACATCCATCTGCATCACAGACACCAGTGTTTCCAGTACAGTCAGCACCAGTGCAAGCAGTTGGTCCGTCGACTGTGCAGGTGTGAGGAGTAAGAGCTTGGGACATAGAGTTGGCTTCCCAGACATCAAACTCAGTGCAGCATGATCCGATGTTACCAGTTCCAGAGTTGGCGCTGTTGCTATCGGGAACCCATCCTTCGTTGTTTGCCTAGTAAATTGTTAACAAGAGGTATATATGAAAGATATCAATCAAAACTTACTCCGCCGTTGACGAACTTCATGTCTTGTGGACATTGAGCATCGCAGTAACCGGTACCGTATTTGGCACCTGCTTTGTTGGTAGCGTGCTTGGACATTCCTCCGTCGGCGTCCATAGGAACGAAGTAAAGAGCACCATTGAGACCGCAAGGAAGCTTGGAAACATCGACGGTGAAGGTAAACTCGTTACCCAAAAGAGCAAACTCCTTGTAGGTGGTCTCAGAGTCCATGAGGTAGGTACGGGAACCAACATTGCTTCCAGTAACGAAGCTAAGCTTCAAAGAGTCACCACTTGAGGTGATACCATATGTTCCCGCGTAATCGGCACCATCAAAAGCACAGTTGGCGGTACATGTAGCGGCATCTGGGCAAAGAGTGGTATCCCAAGTGTTACCGGTGTAACAGTTGGTGGAGCCGGAAGTGGAGTGAAGCCATCTCCAGTTGGCATCGAGGACGATGCTGTCGGCCTCATCGGTACAGGTTCCACCGGCGGCACACTTTTGAATTGTCAAGGGAGGGTGAGTTTCGGTTTTCAAGGTTCCTACTTGTTGAGCGCCGGCGCCGAGAAGGAAGGAGAAAGTTGCAAGCACAGCTGCGGAGTACATCTTGAATGAATGTTGGATGTAAAAAAAAAGAATGTGAGTTGCGAAAGAGCGACAGGTTCAAAAGAATGTAGAGAAGTACAAGACTGTGATGAGATGAGTGAGAAAGTTTAATCATCGAGATACTTCACACCTTATATATTCTTTTCCATTCCCCCAAAGTACATGAAGTTACTTGACAAGGAGCGGATCCATACCACCTTATCCGAAATAAACTTCTTAAAATGTACCGGGGCATTGAATGGACGGAGATAATAATTCACTCGCCTTCTCCAGCTAGCCAACCGCTCGAGATTCATCAAGAAGAAAGATCCTACGATTCTTACCAGGAACGGATCAAAAGGAATGACCAGCATGATTTTTGGTAAGCAAAATTGCAAGCGAACTAATCGTAATCGTTGATGAAGTGGATAAAACTGTGAGCGAGATGACAAGGCTCGATGTGATGTTTCCAAAGAAGTCGGTTAACTTTATTTGAGTTCACTAGTATTGAGTTATGGAGTCATATTTCGACTTTGACTCCACCAAACGAGATCCTTAATCAATTTTCCAAAATGAGTCCTAAGTTTAAGTTGTTGACCCCGCAGAGAGTTTTAAACGATCGGATAAAACATGGTTGTTCTCTATGCGATCTGCTGGTGAGACCGACTGGCAAGGTCTTCCTGGAGCGGTTATGCGAAGGACGTTAGCTTTTTCCGTTTCATTTATACGGGAGTGCTACTCTATCGGACGTGCTTAGTCTACTTGCGTCCGATATCCGATGTCCCATCTGAAACAAAAAGCCGTTTCAATTTTCCCTATTGGAGAATAGACGCGCTCGCATCTTCATCCAATTTCGCTTCCCAAGGCATTTTGGGTTTGAATGGAAAAGTTGGGAGTGGCGTGGTAGATAAGTCCATCGAATGAACGAGATCCTCATAATATCTTTCAAACAAGCGGGATCAAAAATGAATAGATGAATAAATGAAAATATATTAATTGACACTATTCGGACATTGAACCATGTCTGCAATATCGAATTGGGTTGCTTTGAAGTAAATTGAGTAGATCCGATCGAGAGTTATTTTGTGTGTTGAGAACTTGAGATGGGAGTTGGTGAGTACAGTTAACCGTATTGCACGTGCTCTGAGTTGTACCGTGGTGTCACAGCTTGAGCCACAACGCCACACCCGAGCCTCACCGGTTACTTGAAGTCCGAAGATTCCTCAAAAGAGAGAGCGTCATTTTTTGGAAACTTTAGATTTTACTAGGGACTTACTTTCCTCCAGAACACATATCTTGTCATACTATTTGAGGATTCAATATTTCATTTCTATCAATAGTCCATCCGTTATATTAAACCAATCAACAACATCAGGCAAAGTGGGTCGATTCATCTGTCCGTTCCTTTTCGAGCTTCCTCTAGATTAAAGGGGAACCTGGCAATACTTACTACGAAGTTACTAGGGACTTGTGCCTAGGTAATTGTTCGGTACAGTGGTACTCCCTAAGTACTTCGTACGGAGAATGATGTAAGAATTTAAATGGTCAATCCATAGGAGCCACGTGTGGAATCGCTTGGAGTGTGACGAGACAGGGGAAGTTTGCATGACGGTGGGAGACATGGAGTCGCCTTGTAAGATCTTAGTCCGTATCTTTTCTGGCATATAACATCTGGAACTCAATTGTGAATTGGTGTCTCACACGTCATTGAGATGTATAACTAACTAAAAATCTTCACATTCACATGCCAAATGAAAGGCGTCAAGAACACCGACGAAATACTCTATATTTGGTTTGGCCAGGTCCGTCCTTGTTGGGGCAGTGTAGGCTGTGAAGCGCTGCTTGATTTCCGATTCCGAAGAAATGCCTCCTTTTGAAAGGAAATGAGATGTGTATCTCTAGTGGTATGTGCTAAGTGGAGGGTTGATTTCGGGGTACCTGCAGGCACATACATAAGAGAGCGTCAAATTCGTAAGAAAATATCCGTGGCGTATTGTGGACTTTGAAGCCGAGAGCCGAAATGGAAGATGGAAGGCGGGCGAAGGTATGTAATTTAGATTATTCGAAATCCGAGGCAAGTTGAGCCGGCTGTGATTGAAATGGCTCTGGATTCTGATCCCTGGTGGGTGGCCTAGAATTGAGTTAGGTTGAAGAATTTTGTGGTCCTTGGTAGTACAAGAGCCAATGTACCTTTAAACCTCCGTATGGGGGTGTTGAGTGAAAAGGAGAGGGTCTTCATCGTCTGGAGCTGAAAGATGATCGCCGAATAATCTACCGGGCTTCTGTTCTGCCGACGATTTGAATGCTTAGCAATTGGCTTATAATTATTGACCTCGACAACTTTCCGCTTGGAGAAGGCAATTTTCAAAGGGCTTGCCACTACTATCAAACAATCTGGATAGATCTTGAAGTTTGAACCGTATCTTTGCCCTAAACAAATGTTCTGACATCGTATTACTGTGGATAACAGTAATATGGAATCTGCCAAAAGCCGCTGGAATCGTCAAGGTTATGTGCGGTTCTGGACATTGGTTAGCTTTCTTCATTTCCGATCCTTGAATGGAATCAATGGAAGCCTACCTCGGGAAGAACTAGCATTCATTTCTAAGCTCATATTAATCTCATCTGATGGATAAGCTGCCACAATATCAAAATGGTTTTTTCTAATTGAGAAGTAAATTTTTAAATATCGGAGTGAACAGGAATACACTATTGATTGGTTGAAGATATGGTTGAGGATGCCTTTAAAAATGAATCTCGTCTCCGCGTCTCATTGTCAAGATCATGAAGTATGTCTTGCAGTGAATGGTTTCTCTACATTATGTCGTCTACTGAAGAACAAGGCATTGCCGATGGATGTGGAAAGAAGGTGCTATTGAAGACATCGATCTATATGGCACACCAAAAGTATGTTTCGTGTCGAGAAGCAGAATGGAATTTTCGACAGTGGGCGAAGGTGTCGCAAAGAAAGGGGGAGCTGTGGTAAAAAAGTAAGATGAAGCACGATTGTGAAAGTTGAGTTGAATATTGAGATTTTAAGTGTTCAAAGTTAAAAAGAGTCTTGACAGCGAGAAGGTTGGAAGGCCTCCAGAGATATTCGGTTTGTTTACCTACTTTCTTCTTTTCGATTTGTCAGTAAGCGGGAGAGAAAATAAAGACGTGGGAAACGAGATACCAAGGTGATAATTTGGAGCTGTCGGCTCAAGTCTCCAATGGTTGGGATGAGCAAAGTGAGCTTAGCTGTGTGTATACACGAGAAGTATTTGAAAAGATAAGTACCCAGGACCTTGGTGTAAAGTTTTATGTTAGCTGATTTTTGAACAAAACTGACACTCATGGGGAGTGGAACATGTTCGAAGAGGCTCTCACAGTAAACTAGACTGAACACCAATAACAAATCAAGGTTACAAGACAACATAGGGGCACAGAACGTGTATTTTATGTTTAGAGTTGTGCTCTTCTGATTGCACGCAAGCAATGTAGAGATGGACATGAATAGATTGTTACGATAATTGGTCCTTTAGCATCAATTTTTGAATCCGACACAGACATTCAATACAATCACCCCTTCCCCCGAAAGCAACTAATCGCTACTACAACTATCTCAACTCATCAAGGAAAAGTGAGCAAATGACACAAGCCACAAGCGTGTATAGGCTAGATTGAAGATCCAATTTCGAGGGTATGTCAAGACTCTATGATGATTTTTTGTCGACAGCAACGTACGTTAACAGGAAACCAGATAGGATGAACTCCTTCCTCGTCTTTCGAAACAACACAGAACGCAGAGGGAACTTCTTAATTCTCTTCCGAAACAACCAGAGCCTCATATCTTGTTTTGATTATGTATCAACGCTGTCTTTGAATTCATCTCTTGAATGCGCTCCATAGTCTCAACTGATATTGACAACTCTCCGAACCCGCGAAAAAGATTTTCGACAAATTTCTTGCGCTTTAGATGGAATGATACGATCATCCTCGCGAATTCAGAAAGCCAAGGTTGCAAGGCTCAATCCTTGGTCATTTCAGTTTTGATCTAAGCTCTGAGAGCAAATGAATCTTGCTTTGAAGGGGTCACTAGAAGCCTGGTTCAGCAGGTAGTTGACGGTTTTAGAACTTTACGTATTTTGGTGAACCGGCCTTAAGTCGAGGAAAATCATCCTAATTGACATCGACATAGGATCAATTCCACGACAAAATATTCATGAACATACATTGCGTGAAGTGTGGGAATGGAGTTTGGGTGAGGGTTAATTTGTGAGCTTGCTACACATGTCTTCCATCGCAACTCTACCTTTTTCCTCCCAAATCGAATTATGATAGTTTCTGATGATTGAATAGACCATTGGCGAACCTTGATCTGCTTGTCCAGAAGTTTCTGGCTCTTTTAAATGACACGACTCACATCATTGTATATTTGTGCAATAGGAGCCTCACTACCACGATCTACTTCCCAACCTTGAATATCATCACCAGTTATATTTAACCATTTACTTTGACCTGACGGTCCTGAGTTACTTTGCTGTCAAGCTTCAGGATCAGCATATGCACACCGTAAGAAGAATCAAAGCTGAGAACTTATTCTATCGTCCTAGTATGCTTTCCTATTTAGACTCAATGTGGTGTCATCATTACGAGGAATAATAATTCGTCCTCCCTCGAGCACTTTGCAAAATCGATCAGGAACCAGTTTCTATTCTGGGTGGAGGTTGGAGAGAGATCAACATTTGTACCTCAAATGGCTTGAACAGTTGAATAGAATAGTATTAAATATACCAAAAATGCGTAGACTTGACAAAAGATGATGGGATACAAAAGGCTATGGGGTACCAATGAATATCGAAACGCAAAAGAGTCTCTGTCGGGGCATGGGATATTCACCACTTCGAGTTCAGTGTTAAGTCTGTATTCAAAATTCAACATATGGTACGGCGCTATCACCTTGACTAGAACCTGGAAGATTTGGAGATAACGGATTTAATCATGTAATTATTGATTCAGCTGCTAAATGGTCTATCGTTTTTCCTACAATCCTCGATTTATGACACCTCCGTCATATATGTCGCAGTCCAGTCTTGATTAGCCCAGTATTATGATGGATAGACTCAGTATCCATTGATATCAAATAAGACGCTGAATGACACAAATCCCAGGAGGTAATGTGTAGTAAACTAAGTTCAGACATTGAAGAATGCCATCTCATCTCATTGTGGAAGTTAAACTCATATATGTAAAAGAACATATGAAGAAGTGCTGTGAGGTCTTTCAAGTCTAGTTACTATCCAATTATCCGGACCCGGCTTCAAAGGGTAAGATACTTAAGCCGGGCTGGCTACTGGCATTGGACTTCCCTTGCCGCGAAAACGAACCTTGGATGGAGCTTCGATCTGATATTCACGGCGGATGGCGTGAGGTAAAAGGGTTGATGTGAATATGGCTTATTGAAATGGAAAGTGGCAAGAGGACAGATGAGCCCAAAGGGATGGTCGTTGGAATGAGACTACTGGGGAATATAATTTATAATAGTGTTTAGGGAAGAGGGTGTTCGAGTTGGGTTAATTGCCCAGGTGTTGCGAGGTCTATTGAAAAAATGGATGAAGATCAATTGGGATGGAACTGTCAATTGGCTGCGCGATCCCGAAAAGCCTCGCTTCACCATTTTCGAACCAGATCTTGATCAATTCACAAACATTGAATAGTAACAGATCGCGTCCGCTCCACTTATCAGACTAGGCCCAGATATCGACAAGATGGGTCAGAAACCACATCGAGAAAGAGCTATTTTGGGCATATGTTATGAGTAAGCTGCTTCAAGATGATGGGAGGATAACATGTTTGTAAATGTAAAAAGTTGAGGTTATGTACCAAGCAGGCCACTAGATTCACGATTCAAAAAATATAGAGAGCTACCTAGGGATGTTCACAATGATGATGATTACCAACAAAAATGGAATCCTTGACCGGCACTTCTGGTGTTCCATCTCAGCACGGTCCACGGATCTCAACTCAATTTTGAATGGGGCATCACGTGACTGTCCAATGCCGAATGAGGAAGCTCCTTTCAACCAGGAGAATTGGGTCAGTTGAAAGCTTGCAAGCTCGAGGGAAGGAGTAAGACTATATCAAACGTAAATATAGCACGATGAATATAACAAATACCAATACATTTGACTCCCAGCTCACAAACATTGAAATGTGGCCTCCTTTTTAAAGGGGAAAACATGAATCAGTCTACATAGTGTCGCCTTATATCCGATTCCACCATTCCAATTCGATGTACCAATCATCCTTCGTACTATTCCGAGTATACTCCAAACGGTCAACGGTGAACTGCAAATCTGCGTGGTTGGCGTGTACATATTGACAACAACTTTGTTCGTTGTTGGCCCTGCCCAGAATGTTCTAGAGTAGGCATGAGCTGGTACAAAACGTCCCGTCTTTATGCTGGACGTGTACGGACTCATTCCATTGGAGGAGGTTGGAGACAGAGTCTTGAATTCTGGTACCGTAGATTGGATAAAATGAACAATGCACAGTGCTCTTGATGACATTGACATTAATACAGGTTAATAAATATAAATATAAATAAAGATTAGACAAAGTAAATGGTTGGCTGTGGTTAATCATCCATTCCCCGGGTTTTTGTGTGTGTGGTCGAACAGCTTGACAGCTTACTAATAACAATCTTTTATCGGTCGGTGGTTTTATCGAATCTTCCACGGAAGAAATCGAAGTGCAAGGTCCTTAAACCTATCTGGGATTTCAGCCTCTGATAAACTTTAATGCTCAAGGTTAATTCTTACACAACGAAAGAGCTATCAACCACCCCCATACCTTCTACTAATCTCAACACATACATTTCCGGTGTGCAGGTTTCGCCCTTTACAATTTGCTCTACATCAAACCATCGACCCAACACCCAGTCGCTGTCCCAGATAACTTTTTATTGAGCGCGGGCGCTACATCACAACCCCATTTTGAACGCCACTGCATGATCTGTCACGAATTCTTTCCCTTGACAAGTTTCCCAGGATCGCCTATCAACCCGTCGCAAATCCATTGAAACGTTTAATAGCTTCTCAAAATGGGTTCCCGCCAACGCAGAGATTTGGTTGTGAGAAGAAGGCGGGTTGAGGACGAGGGCGATGATGAAGGAGCTCAAGATATTCCTGAAATGGATGATGACTCTCTATCCGAAGGCTCAATAATCAGTGACGATGAAGATGTACACGAGGACGACGAACCTGTCAATGGCGACATCACAACTAATGAGGTACCTCAATCAACCAAGATGAATGGAAATAGATCAACTGGGCAGAATGGTGGACAGGCAAAAGCTAGCAATGGTACTACTGAAGCTTCAAAGTTCACAAATGAAGCCAATGATATGGAAATGATGGTGAACGGGCCCAAAACATCTGAACTGGTAGAAACTGTACAATTCGAGGACTTTCGAGAAGACGAGACGAAAGATACCCCTTCACCGGCTATTGTCACATCTACTGCTCAAATGGATCGGCCACAAGAACAACCTCATGAAAGGCGAAGGAGAGAACATGAAGAATACAAGAAAAAGAGAGATGCGGATCCTGCGTTTGTGCCAAATAGAGGAGCATTCTTTATGCACGATCATCGTCATGCTGGTCCTGCGGCGAATGGTTTTCGGCCATTTGGCAGGGGCAGAGGTGGTCGGGGCCGGCCCGGAATTGGGGGGCCGTATGCACCTATCAAGTATATCATCATCTCTTTTGTGATTTTGGATTTCTGCTAACATTTTATAGTAATACCTCACAACCTCTGGAACCGACCGATGTTCAATGGGCACACGATATGCACGAAATAATAACTGAACCCGTACCATCATCTACAAATGGAGCTTCAAATGTATCTCAAAGACCAGCACCAACCTCGAAATCTGCACCGCTCAATCGATCACTTTCCACTACGAAGCACATTGGAAATGTACAAATTCGTGTATTCTTTGCAGATATGGAAAAACCTGTTGTATTTCCTGGAATTCCAGTGAAGCAATATACGCGTCTGCCTGATCACCGACCCCCGCTTCGTCGAGATAAACCAGTTCGAATATCCCTACCTGATCATCCACCACGTTACATATTCCCTGCTGTCGATAGATCATTTATATTCATCCCAAGAGCTATGCGACCTAATCAACAAGGGTTTGGTGGGCGTGGCAGAGGTAGAGCTGGCCTTGGATCTGTGGGTAATTACTCGAGACGAACAAGTGTGTTTGGTGGAAGCATTTATGGAGGAACATACACTCCCAGTGTTGCCATGAGTCGTCGCTCGTCTCTTGCACGAGAGGTCAATCGAGAAACACTTGTCTCACCGAGTGGTTCAACGATGTCAAGGCCACAAATATCGATGGATTCATCAAGACCTGTTGTAAAATTACCACCATCGAGTCAAGCTGCACAATCTCAACAAACTCAGGCTCCTGAGTCTGGAGTAATTGATCCATCTCCACAAGCATCTTCTCTCGATAATGTTCCACGCCCTCAAACCTATCCCCTTCCTCAGAAACCAGCTCTTCGGGAAAATCGCCCAAATGCAATTCCCATGCATCAGCCTCGGCCTCAAAAGACGGTCTCTGTAGCCGACATCGAATCACCCGCATCCATGTCATTCAATCCTCCTCAGCAAACCCAACAACCATTCCATCAACAAGTTCCTGTCCAAATCAATGGAAACAGTTACTCGCACGATAATATTCAACATTCCCGACAACCATCTTACCCAAGTCAAGCTTCGACTGGTACACCATTGTCACAAATTCCAGAGAGAGCTATTCACGCACCAGCTTTTCAACCTAACCCTTACCAACAGCAAGCTTCCAACTTTTATCCCCAAACTTATCCTGTCTTGCAGCCTCCTCAAGGATATTATTACCCCCAAACCTTTAATGCACCTATGACCTCTGCGGCTGGTGCAGCTCCTTTTGTACCTACACAACAGCAGCCACAACAAACATACAACCAAGCCGCACCACAGACTACTGAGACTTCGGCGACACAAGCACCTCAAAACTTGGTTGCTCAAGAAGTCAATGGAATGGTGTACTATTATGATGCCGCACAAATTCCAGCTGTTCCAACTTTCCCTGGTGGCTATCAACAAACTCAACAGTATCCTATGCAACAAGTAGGGGGTGTAGTAGGAATGGGCGGAATGATGACACCAAGTCCAGATGGCTTTTATTATCCACAGCAACAAGGCGTAGTCTACTATACACAATAACGACCTTCTATAACTTCCTCCACCATTACCTCTATTCACGATCTGCAAGTCACATCTTTATATTCCTTTTTAATGCCTTCAGCTATCTTATTCGTATTTCCTGAAGCGTTGCTGTTTATTATCGTCTCTTGCTTATGGTTTCGATTGCGAAAAAAAGACATATCATTGTTCATTCTTCAGAAGCGGTGGCTTGACTTCTCATATCATGTTTTTGTATTAGGGATGGCAATTCAATCTTTTGATTTGGTTGGCATGGTTTTTTTTGGTTGCAGGTTAGAGCCTCTATTATGCTTTTCAGTTCTACTTTCTTGCATTTCGATCTCTGATTCGGTTTCTTCGTCTTGGTATGGTGCGTTCTCTCGATGATAATGGCCCTTATGTTTCGATTGGAACTTGAAATGACGTATGGATATCTCTTTCGGCTGGACGCATGGTAGTGGGATGGTCTTTTGCATTGGATCGAAGCTTATGTTTGCTGTTAGCGAGCGGTTGGTGTCATGGATAGTAAGAGTGAGGTGGAAGTTCGTGGTGAATTGACGTAGTAGTAGTAGTAGTAGTAGTGGTAGTGTTACATAGGGTGGATTATTGTGGATGGATGGATCGATCAGCATGTTAGCGGATCAAATGCGTCAATGGATATCTTACCATGCCGCTTATGATACATCAATGAATGACCTATTTTGATGTTACAGTATCTATTCTTGTCGTTCAGAATTCTCTATCTGATGTGTATCGTGTATGTTGGTATGAAGAATATTCTTTTAGCCCGAGTCTATGAAATGCGCATAAACACCTCAATCCACCAACGCTAATCAGTACGTCTGTATCACCCTCTTCCTCTCCACAAATTATTCATGAGTCATCCTATCCTTACCATCACATGAGTGGCATGAATGTCCCTTCTCACTTTTGTATAATAAAACAAAATAAAAATAAGAACTATCTATCTATCTACCTATCTATCTATATATCTAATCTATCATGATATGATGTGATATGACCCGATCTAATTTAATCTAATCTAATCTGATCTGATCAAGTTGTAGAGTTGTAGAGTCGGAAGGTTATATATCAATATATTAATAATTAGTATTTATGCTGGAGTAGCGGTTAATATGTGTATTTTACTTTTGATCTGATTTGTTTCTGAGAAGAGAGCTTTGCTAGAGAGTGTGGAGGAGAGATTGGATTGATTTCTGGATTGGTTTGTGGTTTGATTGGTTTCTAGGAGGAAGTTTTGGGAGGAAGTTTTGGTAAGGGATGGATGGATGAGGATGGGAGAAGGAGAGGAGAAGGAGAAGGAGATGGTGGATGAGATGGATGGATGGTGATGGTGGAGGGAATGGAATGGAAGAGAAATGAGATAAACAAGAGGAAATCGATGGGAAAGGAAGAAGAAAAAAAGAAGAAGGAAGGAATGAGAAAGGAAAAAAAAGGGAAGTAGAATAATTAAGTGAAGAAGAAGGAATATGATGTAGGGTATTTAGATGAGATTGCAAAAAGAGGATGTTTTTCTTATAATGATGAAAGGGAAGGAAAGGGAAGTAAAAGAGAAGAAAGACAAACCTGTATTTATTTATAATTGAATATTCTACAATCGAATCAAATAGTAGCGCTGAGAGTACAAATATTATAGACATTTATAAAATAAAAAGAGAAATAACTAATTAATTAATTAATAAAAAACAATTAAAGAACAAACAAGTTATTAATAAGATTATAAATTCAATATTTTATTTTCAGATTATTTTTCTTTTAAAAAATTTTGTTTTTAAAATAATAAAAAATTTAATTAACAAAAATTTTATTATATATATAAAATTCTTAATAGAATTAATAAAAAAATTTAAATTTTAAAACTTTTAGAATTTTTGGGAAGATTTATCAAAATGAAGTTTTATAATTTAATTATTAATATCTCAATCAATAAAATTATATAAAATGTCAAATTTTCAAAATCTATTAATAATTATATTATTAATCTATTATTTAAATTTAATTAATTATATCAATTCATTAAAAAGTTATTAATAGATGAGAATCATAGTTTTTGATATAAAAGATAGTTTAAAAACAAAAGTAGTTTAAAAGTAAAGTACTAGACTTATTCAGGGAGCTTTGTTTATATTAGATAGAGATTATAAAGTAATTATTAGATTGTGTGATATGTGTATTCAATGGTGTTAGGGAGGTAGAGTATAATATATATGTAAAGGGTTATAGGTTAATAACAATTAATACCTAATGAGGAATGATTCTTGTGTGAGACATGCCGGGAAATATCTAAATTTCAGTAGCTACTCAGCTAGTGACATAATATATACATTCCAACCTATTCTATCTAATAAGAAATAAAACCAAACAAATTCTCCCCAAACCTATTAATTACATTACTCCACTCCCCTCACACACCCAAACCACCATCACCATCCCTCCTCTCACCTATAATCCCGCCACCCCCAGCACCCGTCTCAACCCACTCACCCCCATCCATCCTCGCAAACGCCCTCCTAACCTCCCCCTCCCAATCACTCCACCCAACAACCACCCATTCCAACCCCCCAACAATATAAAGCGCAATACATTGACCTACCCACAAACCACTCAAACCCCACCCATGAAACGCTAACCAAATACCCAGAGGTAAAGCGCCACAATAATAACTCACGAAATTAACCACCGCACCAACATGTTGTCTACCCATTCCCCTGAGACTTCCTCCACAACTCCCGTTTAAGCCGTCTGCTATTTGGAATAATGCTACATAGGGCATGACTTCTGCTGTCAATTTGACGACTCTAATATCATCATTAAAGATCCTTGCGTAGAAATTTTTTACACTCATTAGGATAACTAAAACTATTAATCCCATTATCATACTTAACCACGCTGCTACATTTGCAGCTCTAGCTGCTCCTTTTGCATTTCTTGCTCCTAATAAGTTGCCGACTCGTGAGCTGGCTGCTACACCAATTCCAAATGGGATGGTGTTCATGACTTGATCTGTTGTCATAATGACACTTTGAGCAGCTAATGGGATAGTACCTAATCTACCAGCGGCTAAGGCGACTATTTCAAAGGCCCACCATTCGGTACCGACGTGGATGACACCAAGGAGAGCAAGACGAGAGAATGTCCCTAGATTATGAAGGGATTTTGTAGTAAAGCCGCCCCAGCATTGGTGTCCAGTTATGAAACGGGAGTAGAGGACTAAGAGAAGGAAAGAGAGCCAGTAGGAGAGACCTGTTGCGAGAGGCGCGCCGATAAGTCCGAGGTCAAATGTATGGATGAAGAGATAATTCAGGCCAGCGGAGATCGGCGAGGTTATGAGAAGAACGTAGGTGCCTGGACGCATGATTTCTACATGGTTGAGTTAGATCTCACTTCATAGAAAAGATGAAAGATGAGATTAGTAAGTACCTTGCGCTTGTAAATACTTCTTCATAGCTTCGAAGTAAATATATCCCAATCCACCTGGAATCAACGCGGTCAAGAACCTAGCACTATTCAGACAAATGTATTCTTCCTGTCCCAACAATCTAAACACCGGTGCAGAACAAGCCCACAAGATAGCAACCGGTATATAAAAAGCCGTAAGAATCAAGAAACCCCTTTGTAATAATATACCCAACTCGTGTGGATTCTTGCTTCCAGTAAATGATGATGATGCCAATGTATCTAGAGCAGTAGTCCCACCAAGCGCGATTAGCCATGCTGTAGACATGGCAAACATATAACTAAAAGCCGCAGTCGCCAAAGCTTCAGGACTTAGTCGTCCGACTATCAGGACTGATATTGTTTGAAGCGAATTCTGCAATGCATATGCGAGGATAACGGGAATGGAACCTCGTAATAGAAGGAGGAACTCGGAAATCCATCTTTTAGCTGGAGTGGTATCATCTTCTTCGATTTCGTAGGTTTCTCCTTCATTGGTTGATTGGGGAAGGAGTGAAGATTGTTCGTTTGGAGATGTGGACGTTGGTAAGGTATTGGCTGAATGTTGAAAGACTTTTGGAAGCCATGATGACTTGAAATCGTTTTGGTCGTTCATGATATATAGCCACCAGATGTGGTGTCAATATTTTTATAGAGAAAAGCAAGAGATACAGAAAATATATTGTTTATCTATTGCAACGGAAAGTATAAAATACAAAAAGGTGGATAAAGTACCTTCTGAATACCACTTACCTATTGAGTGTGAGTATGAGAGATACCACTAAACATAATTAATATCAGAATTTCCACTGATAATAAAAGATACAAAGGCAGGACATCCGGATGAGAGGAAAGGCAAGGAAAAAACGAAGTACAAATCAACCTACGCAGCACGCAGGTACATCATTACCATTGACAAATTATCGAATGTAAAAAGTACAGTACCGCATCTATGAACTGTAAAAACGGCCAGGATATCGAATCTATCAATGAATAGATTTGTCAAAGGTTACAAACTAAAGATATACAAGCAATGAAACACGGAGACGGGAGGATGCCGCTGAGGCATCTTGCAGATTCGTTCGACGCCAAAATGCATGAGGAAGCTGGTAAATAGATATTGAAGCATCATAGACATCCATAGATAGACACACAGGAAATCAAGCAAATTCGTTGGTCGACGTGAAGTTGGATAGAAAATGAGTGTCGAATGAGTAGAAGAATTCTTATCTGACCATGCAAGAAGGATTGTCATTGTTATCTTGTCGCTTCTCGTAATAGCTTCATCATAGCTTTGCACGTGATGAAATGCTGGTTACGTATTTGAAATCAAGATTCTTACTTGATATATTGACAAATGCCGCGGAAATTTATATCAGATCGAGTGATAATTTACATTGGATCCCTTGAATCCGAGATGTCATTAGATAAATATGTACTATATCCTTTGGTGAACTCCGGGCGGATATCTACATTTTGTGACTGCATTTCCAGTGACCTCGCTTGAATGGTAAGACTTACTCACGACCGTACGTTGCAACGTCCCGGGATCTACCACTGTTTATCACTATCGACACCAGTTAAGAACCCCGTTCAATCAAATTCCCTCTATTACTATTGGGAGTACACGAAAGGCTCATGCATGAACGATTGATGGCTTAAATCACGACATAATTCTTTTCCGTATCTAGATCACAAAGGTAGAGAAGGATCATTCCATTGACACATCGATTCATATATGTGAGATTCCTCATCTGACTTCAATTGTAAGATCTTACAACCTTAATGGGACATTCCCCGCCCCCAAACTTTATCTCTCTCTAACTGATTAATCCGGGGTAGAGCCAGCTCCACTCCCGATTTCTTCCAAAGATTCTGATCTTGATAAGATAGCGAATTTGTGGTACGATGTCAATTGACATTTAAACCGAGAACTTGACAGGCTTCACCTTTTTCCCACTGGCAGCTGTGCTATTCGTCCCTGTAGATTGTTGAACAGCAACGCATCCACCGAAAGGTCCTGCATTGGATGGGTTCACAATTTTAACCATACAGACGTTAGACTGGCCTGCTACTGTGCCGGTACAAGTTGTTCCAGCCGGAATGGCTACACTGAAAGGCTATCGAATTTATTAGCAGATATTGGACGATGAATGGGTGGGAATTACTTACGAAATTCTCATTGATATTAGTGGCTCTCTTCGTCAAACCAACACTTCTCAAAACTCGGTTCCATCTTGTTTGTTTGCTCTTTCTGATATTACCATTCACACCTGGAATTTGGGTAGTAACCTCGGCCTTGACGGCTTGAGAAAAATCCCCCTTTCCGGTAGTGTCGACCATGGCCGTGAGAGGCTGTTTCCAATGTTAGCGGTTGTGATTTTTGTGTCAAGGAAAATTATATACATACACCTGCACCATCAGAAGTCACTATGTGGAAAGTCCCCGAGATAGAAGCATTATCGGTACTGATTTGTGGAAGTGTGCTACCCGAAAGAGCCATCGCCTTGGTGACACCGGTCTCTGCTTGATTTCTTCCCCCAGCCTACGAACTGTCAGTCAAACTTCAACACCGGAAGTGGAAGCTATGATTTACCTCGGTTCGTCCACAATTATCATTGCCAATGTTGAAGACAGTAGTATCAACCTCTGTTTTTGAGTTTGATCCTGCGCCTGGAACAACAGCTCCTTTAATGCCCAAAGCAGTACCGTTTCCCCCAAGGTCTCCGGTAAGAACGGCAATCTTCCCGTGAGCGACCACAAGAGGACTGAGGGCGAGGAGGCCAATGAGAATAGATGGAGTGTACATGATGACAATTTGTGGAAAATTGGGACAACGTTCAAAGGTAAGGTAAAGTTTTGTTTTATAGAAAATAATGGTGTCGATAACCCGATGAAAATAGAAAGTAAAAGATAATTGAAGTGAAGAGGCACAGCCTGCTGTATTGGGAAGATGAGAAATGAGTTGAATGAAGAGTAAAATCGAAGGAATCCCTCCTCATCTTATACAAACTCAAGTATCGCTAACAACTTCAAAAGAGACTAAACAATTGTCGCCGATACCAGTCTAATCAGGGGATATCAGAAGAACACGGAAAGATACCACGGGGGCTCCTTGAACGGCCGTGAGTCTCTTACACAGTGGAGAAGGACGACGAGGGCATATCTGGAAACACGGGGCCTAGCTAGATCAAGCGGTAAAAGAAACGTACACTTTAGATGAAATATCTCTTTGTGTGAAAAGGATGAGCTTTATCCACAAAAGGCCTAACTATCGGCTTATTTTGAGACTGCTGATCGAGCATATATTCGACATACCCATACCTTGACACTGGCAAGTTGAAAATCCTTGAAGTGGAAGGGAGGAGAAAAAGTTCCATGGAATCATTTAAACAATAGAAAAATAAAGCTAACGGCCCGCTATACTGTCAAACTTTAAGTTTAAAGATTCAGCATTATGACATGCTTCTATAGACAGGCAAGCATTTACATTTGTACCTGAATTGGGCACAGATCAATCCACGAACAGAGAATTCTTCATCCCAAGATTTTGCTGGACGAAAAGAACTCCTCTATGTGCCAAATCTAATAAATTCAATAAATTTTGAAACGTTTATTGTTTTGGGAAATGATAACCGAGTAACTTTGGCTGAGAAAGATTCCGCCAAGGATAATAGAAAACCAGCATTAGAATCCTTGAAATAAAAAAATGGTACAGACGAACAATGAAATGAAATTTTATACGCCCCCGTACGATATAAAACAATTCCCTTTGCAGTCAGTACACTAGAATTTCGGTCAAAATTGACATTTACACGAAAACTTTTTCGGGAGCTGATCATTTCGGAATATCTGTCGGGAGGGAAATCTCAGAATCTGGGTATAGTTGCATTATCCGACATCTTCCGAGTATCCTAGATGAAGATCAGGTTCACAAAACGTAAAAATTACACATGGAACCGATCAAGGTTTTTGACGCCCTCATTCAAACATCCGTGCTTCAGATAATCCTAGTCCGCCTTGTAAGGGAAATGTCCAGGTTCAGCTAGACACTGATTAGTGCTCTTACAAGCTGCCGCTGTCATCACCCCGAGAGTATATGATTCTGCAGAGAATGCGAATTTTCGAAATTGGATGAACCACTATTGCGGACTTTTCTGGCATTTCTCGAAGCAAATTGGATTCTGTAACACTAGATTAACTGTAATAGTCTATCTGGTTGCCAGAGATATATGGATTTATCCCAGTTATATCACCATTGTGATAGCTCCACCAGATCTCCTCTTGTATCAGCATTGAATATGGAAAATTTTACCTGCATTAGCTACCCTCAGTTGTTGTAACTTATTATGGAGCAGGCAGTCTGACACGTTTGCAGTATGGCATATCAGTTGCCACTATATGGGTGTAGGAAAATACAGGAGGTAAGAACAATCAACTAGCAGAGAATATTTTAAGAATTGTCAAGTTAACGTTGGCGGTTGTATTGAGAAGAAGTATCAAAAATAGCAACAGAGCAACCAGGCGCCCGCATCTATCCAGTGGCACCCATGATAAGTCACCGCCGTGCTCTGCAAAAAGTAGATTTATAGGATTAAGATCTCCCTATGAATTGTTCATCAAAAAATACCTTATCCGGCAGTCAAGACCGTCAGCCGGAATGCGAGACTGTACGAGAAACAACCAACAATTTTCCTGAGGTGAAATTGATAGTTTAGCTGAATGGATCCCAAGGGGAAAGTCAGGCGGCTTGAGAGGTGGAGGTAGAGTGTCTTTTTGCGGTTATTGTAGTTTGTTGGTAGTTTGTAATGGATTTGAAGAGTGGAAGAATGGGAATCATAGCGAGATATCCTATGGGTTCAGATGTGAGTTATTGAGGTAAGTAGGCGGAAGGCGAGGAGAAAAAATTCTGATGATGGATTTTCTAGCAGGTGATGAATATGCTAATTGGCGGATATCCTTTATCTACCATCTGTGTTGGAACTTATTGGTCCCCGCGTTATTGGGTATATATTCACATCACTTCACCAAGAGGGAGAGTCAGGCATGAAAATGTTGTGTGCATGCTAAGATACAATTCTCTTTATGGTTGCGGTTACATAGGCGATGTAGAGAGTAATAAATAAAAAGGGAAATCCGGCTAAGTTCTTGTAGAAGAATCTTGAAGAAAAAGAAGTCATGAGAAAAGACACGCCACTACTAGGCTACGCAGAAATAATCCGCAACCCGGAAGTGTTCATAGATAATCTGCCCTGTAGATAATCCTTTAAATCTGCTACCTGCTTTACAGATTATTCATTCAGATTTTCCAATACCTGCTTCGCAGGCGGATTACACACGGATTATCCAGCAAAGCAATAATCCGCTCCGCGAGTACTCGTTGTGCGCGCCTAGTCACTACCGCTAACGCCCCCTGATTTAAGCTAGATCTGGCAAACGTTGTTTGGGACAATTTCTGAAAATTGGCATCTTTGTTGACGGATGGTAGATATAAGATTCATCAAGACTCTGTACGTACTAAATAGCAAGCTGATAGACTCGTGGGATCTCTTCTAAACGTTTGACGTGGATTGTCAAAGCATCATGAACGGGTCGATTGGTACGACTGCATATGAATGTCTACAATACATGCGATTTGCCACAGGTTTTTGGGTTGCAACCAAGGTATGCTTCAGTGCATCGCTCGATAAACTTGCATCTGAATTTTCGGCGTGGGAAGTAGCCATAAAGCATAATCATTGGACAGCTTGAGCCTCTAGCATCGGAAAGCTCAAGGTATCGTGCTTGGACAGACTTAGCTAATGCACATTGGTCATTCATGTTCATTTCTGCAAATCCAGGTATCAAGGGGAGCCCACATTGCTCCAAAATACTAATGGTTGTCTGTTGACCGAAAGACTTTGACTAGCAACGATGGGTGAACCGATGACAACAGATTGACATGCGAGGCGCTTGTTGGAGATAGTATATTTCTTTGAATGTTGATACTCTTCAGCAGACGTCTGAGTGAGAATAGGCGATCGATTTGGAAGCGCTGATAATTGTAAGATTGGTGATCAAGTTAGTTAGAGAAAGAATGTGAATGTATCTTACCTTTCTGGAGGAATGGTGTTTGAGACCATGGAACGAACAGTCCATCTCCGTTTGTAGATTTGATTAAACGATCCCTAGGTTTTGTAGGCACATATTTCAGAGAGAGATTTTCATGATACTCTGCGAGAACGCCATTGTATCGACCAAAAAGGCATTGTGGTGTAATACCTTGCATTCCTTTTTTTAGAGGCTTTTACGAAAGCAAAAAGAGAAGGGAGAAAAATCTTACAATCGTCACATCTGGTTAGGTGTCTGGGACCAGTGTGAACTTCAGTGATGCTGGTAAGTTTGCAAAACCAGTTTTCGAATGCTGTGCGATATTGACCATTGAGCGTGGAAGCTCTGTTGAGGAATTGGGTTTTCATTGCGCTACCAGGGGTAGGCTCGAGGTCGGCTTGGTTACGTTGACGTCTTTGGCAGGATCAAGTAACCTGAGGGGAATGCCCAATTAGAAGACGATGTTAGCTTCAACGTCAAGGAATAAATTTTCATCCTGATAGTGAATGAAAGCTCTGGATGTGCATCTTTGCTTGATGCTCGTCAATCAATTTTGCACGTACCATCGAAGGTTATCGACAATTTAAAGCTGCAATGCTGATATGATGCAAAAGGCCAAGGCTTTCAGCTGAAAAACGAACAAATGGGCATGCATAGAAGATTATGGTACTAATATCTCCAGTTTTTGATTGGACCTGTTTGATGAGATGGGCATTGGATCTTGTCCCCATGAAATGTGACCAGGAAGTTGATCTCTGCACTAGAGAATGTAAAGCATATGGATCATGAACGTTTTACAAGACAGCATCTTCCATCTTCTGAGGGAGAATGTTTCCCTTTGAGATTGTTTGCCAGGAGCAGATTCCTTTGGTGGAGGAGTGGTAGAAGGATGCTTGGGGGTGAGACTTCTTCTATTTGGACAAACAAATTCTAAAAGATATTAACACTTCATGATTTCGTCAATGGAATTGATCTTGAGCATACCTCGGCTTTTTTGTGTAAACGGGACCTGAGTCCAGGTGTCGGAGTTGAGGGTGAGGCACCATTTGGGTCACTGTGAGAATCTTGATGCTCGTTCTGGATAACATTAGGATTCGTCAATTTCTGATGGTTAGATTCATCATGAACATACCTCAGACACAGAATTGGCAATAGACTGTGGGTGAGACGGTAAAGTCTCCTGTAGGCCATCATCCGGGTTTTGATCGTCCTTGTAACTCACGTTAGAATGTAACACTTTGCGACGATTGAAAGTTTGACATACATCTTTCTGACCTCCAAGGAATTTTTGTCCTTCTTCAATCATAGAATTCAAAAGGAGGAAGAATTTATCCATTTCTGTCTGCAATGGAGAAAGGCTTTCTGAACGGCGAATAATGTCATCCACTACATTCAGCAGCCGGATGCGAGAGGGCGAGTCCTTTTATGGCAATCCAGTATTAGCATAGGCACCTGACAAAGAACTTAAATTTGAGTACGTACATTGCCATCCTGAAGAAATTGACGTGCTCGACGCGCGTATTGGATGTCTTCTTGTCGCTCAACGGCAAGCGCATGGAAAGGTTCAATGATATTGAAGATCGAAGCCAAACCATTTTTGTAATCTTCGACGTCAGGCATTTTCACTAAATCTCAGAAATATTTGTTAGCACATGGATAGCATACGACTTGGGCATTTGAATGGAGAGCCAAGAAGGCGGAGATGAAAGGCAGGGGGATGGATATGATTATGATTGTAGAGAATTTGTAATGCGGCATAGTAAGTAGATCCTTGTGAAGTGGGGTTATTCAAAACATGTCGCATCTCCAGCGCGACAGTCTCCTCGGAGTTGCTGCCGTCGCGCGATCTGAAGTAGAACCTAAAAATGATTTGACCTTTTTCCCAGCTGTCTTCTGCAGAAGATCGCAAAGAGTAAAAAGAAAAGTTATGGCTACCACTTTATTCCATATACGAATACGAATGGAATAAAGCTGATCTGTTGTTGTTGTTATTGTTTTTGTTGAAAAGAAAATTGGAATCAGGCTGGCGAGAAAAAGTAAAGTAATAAACTAGGCGACGACGTTAGGGGGAAATAAAAGATTCTAAACAGGTAGGACTGATAAAGTGACTCAGATAATCACTTCATAAATTAAGCAAAAGAGAAATCTGAAAGATGAGGAATATAACACAGAGAAAGACAAAATATCTAAGTCTTACTTTTCACTTCACAAGTTATTAAGACTACAAAAACAAGGTTTCTATAAAATTATATTATACCCATTGTAGTCTTATGATCTTCTTTAGATACCAAAGTGCTACTGAAGTGTTGAAGTCATATAAACATCATATCACTCCCACCCTTCAAAGACTTGATAAATTTCTCATATATTCTAGCGAATTATGAATAGGAGAACTTATCTCTCTAAAAAAAACTCCATTTCAACAAGAGAGAAAAGACATGACAACTTGTACATATTCTTCGATACATTTGACAACTACAAAACACTCAAAACGAAGCCCATGAAATAGCATCTTGCTCATTGAAAGCTCGAATAGCACCATATCTCTTGCGCTTACCAATAATAGTCTGAGACGAGGAGAAGCAGCAAGCAGCCCTTAAACAAAGTGTGTAGAGATGTCATTTGAAACTTCAAGGGCCCGTCCCCCGTATACTGGTGATAAAGGACGTGCTGTATATACCTCCTCTCACAATTGACACAAAGCTTACCAGTTTTGCAGATATATTGCGCCAGTTGAGCAAGGACATTGAGTACCACTGAAGGTTCTTGGTACTCGACCGGCATGATACTATGCAACCAGCAGGTCGCCGAGATAGAAGGTTCTCTTAATGAAGAGGATCCTGGAACTCATCATATACAACTTCGTGATTTCTACATATCTTTGCTTGCTCAAATTAGTTTATGTTTCCGCTGCCACATTCTTAACAAGTTGCTGTAGAAGGCGAGAAGTTTACCGCTTGTGATTACGTAAGGTCAATCCCTTATCAGAACTACGTAGCACAACTTCCTTTTCCACATGACCGAGACAGGCAATCTACTTTGCCAATCGCGTTTGCATCAGCATCAACCTTGAATCGTGGAATGAATTAACTTCAACTTTCCATTAGCTCGCAATGTGGCAGCTACTCTGTGCCTAGCATCGATAGTTGGTAACCCTATCTACCAGGTTCCCTGTTATTGGCGCGATAACAACATTGTACTTCCACCACCTCTGGTCCAACGACGAACTGATTACTGGATTGACCAATTCTTGTGATTCCGCCGTTATCGTGGAAGACTTCAATATCTCCGCAGACTGGTTGAGTCTTTGGATAAGGATACGGCTAAGCTATGTACTGTCTTATCATTCTGGGGTTTCCATGTGGCATGAGCCCATCAACCCGTGCTTTTTTTGACATCAGAAAGGCACCATTGAGATACATACTTTCTGATTAGGATAAGATTGATTTACTGAAGAGAAATCATCTGGATGTTGACCCAAGCAGAATAGGCTCATCTCCAAGTCCGGATTTATCGCTTTCCCTCCCCCTCCCCTGCTCCCGCCCGATTTGGGTCCAAACGATTGTGCCTCAGCTACAGCCAAAAAGAGTGCAACAGGCAGCATGAGTGCTCCGCGATGTCGAAGGAGAATAAAGTATCCCCACATCCGACGTCATGTTTTCTTGATTCGTGCACCGGAAAATTTAGGGACGGATGAGATTCGATAGGCAAGGTTATTACTCGGCAGTTGAACATGTTGTTTGGTTTCCCCTAACCATGACGGTTCCCCACCCCGCTAACCCTTAGCCTATCTACCTCCTCCGTCTAGACACACCGAGAACTAACCCCACGATTTATATTGCGAGGCCTTTTTACTCTGGCCAAGAGTTATCTCGTATTGTGCCGATACTATTTGGACAACAATCGCAAGCAGGATTTGATAATTTTATTAGCATTGAAAATTAGTTCGATGAAGAAAACGCTTGGTAACTCAGCTTGCTAATGATGCACTAAACTATTATTAAAATACTTGGCGCCAGTGGACCAAAATCTACCCGGGGAGATAGATAGGCACAAAGGCAATGAGTATAAAGAATCATGCTTCTCTTCTGTATTCGGTATTTCATCCTTCTATATCCGAAGAACATCATCTTCTGTTTCATCATGTTCTCACGTTTCCTTTCCGTCACTGCGCTTGCAGCATTTTCCTCTGCTTCTCCAGTCGTTTACCAACGAGACAACATCACAAACCCATATGTTTTCACCAATCCCAATGGACTTAATTTCACCCAGCTGGATCCTGCGTTGCCGAATATCACTGTTTTCGCAACCGGTATGTTACTTCCCTGGTATTCTTTTCGGGTGAGACTGTACTAATGAAGAGTATAGGTGGTACCATCGCAGGCTCTAGCAGTAGCAATACAGCAACAACAGGATATACCTCAGGTGCCGTGGGCATCCTAACCCTCCTTGAGGCAGTTCCGGAAGTCCTCGACATTGCAAACGTCGCCGGTGTTCAGATCTCCAACGTCGGTAGCCCGGATATAACTTCAAGCATTCTTCTCAATCTCTCAAAACAAATAAACGAAGTAATTTGCAAAGATGATACCATGAGCGGTGCAGTCATCACCCATGGTACTGACACCCTAGAAGAATCCGCCTTTTTCATGGACGCCACCGTCAACTGCGGTAAACCCATCATCATCGTCGGATCCATGAGACCCTCCACGGCCATTTCAGCCGACGGTCCTTTCAATCTCCTCGAAGCCGTATCTGTAGGTATTAATTCCGATGCTGTTGGTCGTGGAGCTATGGTCGTTCTCAATGATCGTATTGTTTCCGCATACTATGCTACCAAGACCAATGCAAATACAATGGATACATTCAAAGCAGTCGAGATGGGAAATTTGGGAGCACTCATATCAAATACTCCTTATTTTTTCTACCCTCCCGTTGAGCCCACCGGGAAAATCGCTTATGATATCTCGAACGTAACAGAGATTCCTCGAGTGGATATCCTGTTCTCATACCAGGATATGCAAAATGATACTCTCTATAATGCTGTTTCTAGCGGCGCCAAAGGCATTATCGTAAGTTCCCCTACTTCATCACATTCGCTATAACCATCCATCTAACCTATAATCAAGATTGCCGGTTCAGGAACAGGAAGCGTAAGTACATCTTTCGACTACGCCATCGAAGATGTAATCAACAGATTCAACATCCCCGTCATTCAAAGCACACGCGTCCAAAATGGAGAAGTGCCCGAATTTGAGAGTGAGACCGCTTTGCGTATCACATCTGGATATTTGAATCCTCAGAAATCCAGGGTTTTACTTGGTATTTTGTTGGCGTTGGATAAGAATATTACCGAGATTAAGGATGCGTTCTCGCGGAATGCTGTTTCTTAATCTCGTATGGATGAGGTTGGAAAAATAGATGTGTAATGATAATTTTATGACTTTTGTGTATTTGGATCCTTTTTTTTTTGATTGGTATGTTTAGAATATGGGATAAAGTTTTTGTTCTATTGGTTTTGATGATAGTAAGTGCTCTTTGAACAAGTAACATGATTGAGATTAAACAGCCGATTTCCCGCAAATGAGACGATGAACAAGGGAAACAAAATCCAAACAGCAAGCATCCGATTTGAACCAAACAAATGCAAAATTATTCCTATCTACTACATCCTCCAATCTCATTCTCCAACACAATCCCGCATACCTTGCTCTTTGAATTTTCCATTTCCATTTCATTTTTCCAACCCACGCCACGCCTGTTCTCCGACTCAATCTCAATCTACAACCTCTTCCTTATACATTGCCTTACTCCTTCTCAGTACCATCGGGCCTTCCAATTTATTCTCCTGAAGCTCGCTAATTCATAGGCAACCTTTATCAAGATGATCTAGTCGGCCACGTTGGGGATCGTGGTGCATGCTGCGCTCTATCATGAAGCATTCGATTATGTTCTCTTCCCTGACGATCAAGAGGTTCGAGTTCCGCACGGGCAAAGCCCCTACGGTCTCCAGCAGGATGATATATAGCACCCACGACCTTTTTATCGGGACCCGTAATACCCCTCATAAATCCCACATCATTAGGCCTATTTTCCGGCTCAAGCATCATTGCTCGCTCATGCGGTGCGATTGCCGCTTGCTGCTCGCGAGATGCTCGGCTGTAATCGAAAGATGGCTTGTTGGGTGTAGTGACCGGATACTCGTATAAAGGGACTGGTCCCGTTCTGGTTGGGTTGATTCGTCGCTGAGGTAATTCTCGGCTTTCGAAAAGAGGATATTGGTTTGGACGGTCGCCTTCTCTGTTCATGTATCTGTGTGGCATGTTGTTTACGGGGTTTCTTGGTGTAGCGGGTGGAGCTCTGGCGATTTCGGCGACTACTACTTTGTGTGTGATGTTTCCACGCGGTGTGTGGTATTGCTAAAGACAGGGTCAGATTATGGCTTATGGTTGAAGACTATTGACTTACCAGGTGATCCTTGGTGTTGTCAGAATTCCTTCTTCCGTGATCCATCTTGGGCGAGATAATCGTCTCTAAAAAGTTAAGCTTATGAGAGAGTGTACGGGAAAGCCTGACATTTGTTAGCACCATACTTTCTGTGGCATCTGAAGGATGTAACCATACTCTGGATCTATTTCAGTTACAACTGAGCGAGGGATAATTGTAATGGACTTGGAGCTGGAGATTGATTCTAGATGACAAGAGAAAGGATAGCTAATGGATAGTGTGAAGTTATCAGCCAGCTGATGATGGAAATGTGTGCGTTTAGATTTGGACGTGAGGTATCATTGTTCCTTATATCTTCACTTTTTGTACACTTGAATGCGTATTTCAGAAAGCAGGAATCCAACATGAAGCTGGCAACAAGTCGGCGCCAACATAATAGCGATGCTACTCTCAGCGAATCATCCAGTTCCAACACCACTTTCTGATACCCTCATCTCAGAGTGGAAAGGTACTCAGACAGCTGCTAACAATAATTAAGGGTCTGGCAAGTTATTCCTTTCCCTGTTGCGACTAATCTGGGACTTACAACTTATGTACCATGTCGAGGTCTCGCCCGTATTTTTGCTTCATGGCTTGACACAGCAAACGCTTTCGACGTTTCCATGCCATAATGCAACAGCATTTTCGAAATAGCCCGCAAGAATTCGGCTAAAGGCTGAATTCATTAACTATTGGAAGCTGAACAGCAAGAACCATAGCTTGAGCCCCTTATTTACCAATATACCGGTACCGCTGAGTGCTTTTGCAATTTTGAATGTGATAAAATACTCAAAAAGCATCAAGATCAAGCGCACTGCGCACTGCGGACCATCCCGGTATCATTGCGATTCTTTGGTGAGGATCAATTGCATTTCAGCGATGTAATTATTTCCATCACAGTCATCGTATTTACCAAAGTACCGGTACCGCCATGTGACTATTGGTTGCATGAGCGGGGCAGCTACTTATTTAGCGTTTCATTGATGAGAAACTTCTCTTCTCATACATGATTGGGGAGAAGTTCAGACATTTTGGCGCAATGTGGGTGGCATCGTACCAAAATGCCGGTACCGCTGTGCTTTCTTTTCGACTGTGCATTTAGTGCTGCTGGTTGTTGGTCGCTTTCATGGATCTGATGGCGTATCATTTCCCCTCGAGTTGTACTGGCAAGCGGTAACGCCATTCCCGCTCGGCTCAGTATGTAAATTTTGTTGATAAATATTTCGCAAACGATCCAGCTTTGGTAAGGGAAGAGATGGAACGTCGAAGATTAAGCGCTTGGAATAGGATGAGAAAGATGCTTATAAACACACCCCGGTTTATTGCTCCAGCCACACAACCTTAGTGATATGCAGGCGCCTGCATTTTTTGTCACCTCTATCATATAGTTACTCGCTCAGATGATAACCTGGTAAAGTGTATTTTATAAAAGTTACGATGTTCTCTTACTGTTGCATGTTCGATACGACACATTTATTAACAATTCCTCTGCAATTTGTAGCAAATTATTTTATCACCATCAACGACTGATATTTTTCTCGGCATGACTTCTAGTACTGAGAACGCAAGCTTGACTGAAGCTGCTAGTATCGAAACGCAGCAGCCATGGCTTACTTTCCTCACTGAACTTGCTTCGAAGCCAAACCGGGAAAAAATGGTATCAGATGTTGTGAACATGTTAAAAAACTTTCTCCTCTCTGACAGTGAGAATGCTGCTTCAGAAACTGCCAAGCAAATAGACAATTACACGCTCTTTGGCACCCTTACAAGAAGACATCTTAACTTTGTATTTCAAACGATATACAACCTAGCGGCACTGATACCATTCGAAGATCAAAAGCAGGAGATGTTGTTGCAGCTCATCGTTGAGCTTTTGAAAATGCCGAGGAGATCGATCACGCATCCGGATGGTAAGGTAAGTTCTCTCCATGAACAATCAGGAAGGATTGAAATGGACCGGAAGATTATATTGACATGATGATTGGTAGATGGTCGACGAAGTTCCTATATGCTATGATATTAATATGGAAATAAAGCACGATATGTGGAATGCGAGACATGGTGCGTCGACCACCCATTTAATGTTCTTTGAGCTAACACTTTGCCAGTGGATGAGTTCGATTTGGATTATAAAACTCAAGATGAATATACTCAGGGATGTATAGAGTGGATTAATCTATCTAAATTCTATGCTCGCTGTATTGCGGAAGGTCTCGATGATCATGATGATAGGGCATGCAAATTCCCAGGTTATGATATTCCTGAAGCTTTGGAGCAGCAATTCGAGTACACGCCTGGAATAGATACAGATTTCAGGGTCATGGTAGCCACGCAGTATATTATTATTGCTGGAGAGGAGATTCGGAAGGATGATATCAAATGGTGGGATGAGCATGCACCGATCTGGGAAAAGAATTTGGAGCAATTGGAGAATAGTTATGAAAATGGGTTTCTGGAAGTTGCTCCTCGTTTTGAGACACCACCTGGAGAGAAAGAACTCATTGGAACGGGAGATTTGGGTATGGATATTCTAGGATCTGTGAAGGATGCGAGAGAAAAATTGAAAGAGTTGGGAGAGAGAGCTTCCGAGCAAGAGAGCAAGAAAACTACAGACACCCCGGTTGGTAGTGAAAATCCAGCAGAGAAGAATGCAGTAGAGAAGAATGATGAGTAAATCTTCTGGGTTGATCTGGTGTGTTAAACGAAGCGGGGATAAGAAAATCTGGAGTTCAATGCTTTGGCGAAGATTTGGAGAAACACTAGCGATGACTATTCAAGTAATTTGAGCTATTTACAGAACCACCTATATGAACAATCCAGTGACACCACATGGCTATATAGCAAGTTGATGAAATAGAAGAAATATTTGCCAATCCTAAGGATCCAGGCTATCTACTCAACTCTGAATAGATGTCAATCTGTAAAGTAGTTGGAACTTCGGCCAAATCAGTGCAGTCTGACTGATTTGGGCCCAGCAATGGACTTTTCCCCAGGCAAATGCGTTCTGATACTTAATTTACAGGCACTATAAAACATCCTACACTGCACTTCTCAATCCCTCTTTCCCTACTAGCAGTTAATCGTTTCCCGTCTCGAAGTCACCTCCTTTCCTGTCTTTATAGTCACTTCCTCAAATCTTTTCAAATAAGCGATTGCCATATCTTATAATCTTGCAACACCAACATACCATCTTCTTATTCCATCGTTCCAAGTTTTATCATATTCATACATCAATATTTGAAATTTGAGCATCAGATAATGGAGCAACGACCATCACCAAGATATTGTTTCCAAACGCGCACAATCCGAAGCCGTGGCCACTTCAGTACGGCGTTCGAGCCCTACATCCCGGGCATGCCTACCATGAAAGTCCCCAATCGTGGCGCTTGTGAAACAGTGGAGCAATTCATTAACCGCTTTAACAATAACAGATATCATTGGGAACTCGGTGTGCAACAAGGGCGTTACCATTATCAGGTTCTCTCAACTACAAGGGAGAATATGGATAAAACCAGAGTTTTGAAGCCACCAAAGAATGTGGATATCAAAAAGCTCATCAGACCGAGTGATCGGTGGTTTGCAGTGAATCCTTTTAGCAGTCTAAGGAGTCTAGTAGAGAGTGGTGACTATATTAGGGCTGAGGTTTGTATGGTGTTTAACACGGGGATTTAACATTTTGCTAACGATACAAAATCATAATAGGATCTTAGTGCGGCTTTCATGAACGACCCTGTCAGTTTTCCGTTCTTCAAATCTTCAATGCGACTGACTAATAAATGACATAGGATTCCGTAGCAAAATATGTTGTTGCCCACCTCAACATGGATTCAACCATGTACTTTCTTGTCGTAGGAATGCAATCCCTGAATTCTGTTGTAAATACTAATGTTGTATTTTACAGGAGTCACCACGAAATAATTGGGGTCAGCCACTATTCCCGGCAAATGTGCCTCAGCCGAATATGCCTCAGCCGAATATGCAGCCAGTCGCCGCTCCTCCTCGCCCTTCATTAGCTATCCAAAATCAACCTCAAAATCTTCAAAGCTGTAACATACCCGACAACGATCCCAGCGTTTCCAACATATCTTTTCCAGCCCCCTTCTCCCCCGAACAGTAGCTCGCAGCTCGATACAACCTCAGAGCTACCGTCTCTAGACAATTCAGCAACCTCTGCTCCTCTTTTCAACGACGACTCTAACATTTCCAATACATCTTCACCAACCCTTTCTCCCGCAAAAAATAACTCGCAACTAGCTGTAACTTCAGAACAATCGTCTATAGAAAATCCAGTATCTCCTATTCCTCTTTTCACCAAAGAATACGATCGTTGGCTTTATTCGGTAGGATCAAATTGAAAGAAATTCTTTCTTGAATTTGACTTCCTGATCTTCTGGATCGATGCGCACTTAAAAGGAATGACTGATGGTGATGGCGATAAAAGGTAGAATGAATTGATGATGATTATGAGAAGATGACATTCTCGTAGTTCTAAGTACGACATTAGTCGAGGATAAGTTTTTGTGCCGGATAAAGTCATTGACATCAAAAGAAGAGTGGAGTAAAGTATAATGGGTTTAGACTGCGGGAAGATAATTGATGGTATAGCAATAAAAGTACTACGGGTATGGACTTATTGTTGGGTGTTAAAGTATATGCTACCCTGTGCGATTCTTTTCGATTTGGCTACGACAGCGGGTAGCAGCATGCTAGAGACCTTCTTATTCAATTGTGGACAAATGGGAAAGCGATATTATTAGTAACATCCTTTCTTTCTGCAAGGAATACCTTTAATACCTTTGCTTCCCTACTTGTGGCATATACTTCAAAATACAAATGCTTTTCCTAAGCTCTCGTTCCACCACATCTGCGGTTCAATCCTCACTGTGGAAGTCCAAATACAGAGTAGCAACAGTACCGTCAATCATCTCGCCTGGTAGAGCAACTTTTGTCAAGGGACAGCGTTCGGATCCCTCGGAAAATTATAGTGGTCAAGCATGGAAAATGATTCCAGAAGGTCAGTCATCCTCCGACTGGATTGAATGCTATCTTGCATTCTAGTCTAGATCCATAACGCTTGCTAAAATACATATTGCTAACGGCTCCTTCCTGAGCACTACATTTCATTGACAATTTGGTTCATCACTTCTGACGTTTAGGTGTCTGTATAATGGGCTGATGGTTCGTTCAGCATCTACAGAATACAGGAAAACTCGAGAGTCTAAAGCTGTCATGTCAAATGAGATGAGATGAGCGGAGAGTTTGCACAAGAAATGAACTGAAAAAGCAGAGGGCAGAGAATTCAATAAAACTGGTAGTGTTGATTATTTTTAAACCCAATGTCTCGATTGCCTGATCAGACGGTAATTTGTGTTCTTGATGGGGCTGAAATGCTTGACATTTTACCCCAGATATTATGAAGCTAAGAATACTTACCCAGACGGAGAAGCAGGCCTAACACAAGCTCAGTTCGTTAATGTCCGTCCAAGGTTCAATCTCTCTTCATCAATCTTCTTGAACTGGACATTTACCTGTCTGGCCCCAGGTCTTACCAACTCATTGATGTGTGTGTGGAGAATATCTGCCTGTGAATATACTGCATTCAATATATTGATAAGTTTGTCAAATACTGTTCCTCTCTGGCTATATATATGGTGTTATAAAGACTGCAGACAGTGAATCTGTTGTCCATGAGCAATTTGAACCACTAGACTGTTTTTTGAAGACTCTGGCGATACACTGCTGAATATTCTCGAGATAATACCGATATCTTTGATAGAATTTGGCTGCCAAAGCTTAGATTTTAGGAGTGATAATCTCAAATGAGTTGATGGGTAGCTGATGGTATTGGAAGACTTTTGACTTCAAGCTGGACTACAGGAATATCTTCCATCACTTGGGTAGATTTTGAGAAAGACAGTACCGTACTAGAGATTGATACCTTGCAGGAGAAACTGATCAGAGCTTATAGAATAAGCGCAGGAACTTAATCAACAAGATAGTGTCATCTCAAAGTAATAATAAGAATCATCAGATGAGAAGCGAAAGAACATGAAAGTGCGCCCAATGACTTCGCGCTTGCACGTCGACTCATGATCGACAAAAGGTAAATCATGGTGGTGTTGAATAATATGGAATTATTTCTGAGGATGCAGGAGCTAGCTTCACCTGGCTGTATTGATGCATCTCTTTTCTGTGAAAGTGTATTGTCGGTTACCTATACTTGTTCACTACATCGACTATCATTTATACGGCTCAATAGGCAGGTATTCACTTTCAATTTCACTCTCTTTTTCAACCACTCATTGAGGCAACCCATTCTTAATCCAACCTCTTGAAATTCCAATACTCTTCGAACACTCTTCTCAATAATTCCAGAATCAAGAACCCGACAATCTTTGTAAGACAATCACTAATTCTTTTGCGCTTTCTCTTAACCACTTTTGACCTTCCATTATCGACATCGGCTTTGCGACTCTCACCTCTGTGTTATTTCAAAACAGCCTTTCCAACAGTTGTATTCATTAACATCTTCACCATGTCGATCCAACAACTTAACACCTTTCTTAGAAATCAAGATGAATACAGTCGTCGTTTCTGGGCAGCTCCACTACCAATGTTCTTTCAATACGATTATGCCGAATCGCAACAAGTATTCAAGAATAAATATCCATCCAGCGAACTGAGATCTCTCGGTGGCCTATCAAGTTGGGAATGGTTCATTGATGGAAATAGTATGTTCAATCTGAATATCTTTCTTCTCAATTACCTCTTCTGACTTGAGACTGCAGGTTTACCTAACATCCGACTGAGATTCTATAACCAGAGATTACACGATCCGGTCGCTCCTGTATTGCCTCCTGCTACAACCATTGATCAATGCAAAATGCGTCCGCCTCCAGGTCTATTGGGCTTTGTTTATGCCATGTCAAATACAGATTTGGCAGCACTAGAACAAGAGCAAAGTTTGAAAGGCAGACAGCAATTATACCTCCCTATTGAACTTCAAACCAAGTCAGCTAACGGAACACTTACCACAAAGGTTATTTTGGCAAGTGTTTTTATGGATATGGCTAATACTCGAGATGGTTTTGTTGATTTGACAAATGAATTTACGAACTTATATTGGGTTACAGCTATCAAACGGATGTTACAAACTGGAATGCTGATGTGGTATGTCAAGACAATCGAGATGAAACTTAGAGGAATCGAAATGAGCTTCGAACCATTCTTTATCAATCACAAAGATAATCCCGTTGATGATCCACGAGCCACTCGAAAGCAAACATCGATTTCCTCTTTCGCGAGTCTTAAACAACGGCAGCAGGAAGAACAACAAAAAGAAGACCAGGAAAAGCGGAGACAAACCCCCAAACAACCCATAATCACATTCTCCCAAAAACAAAAAGATGCTATGCTTCAGCAGATCTTCCGCCATGGAAATATCCCCATGGAACAAGCTTCGAAGCTTACAGAAAAACAGAAGAATTTCGTCGTAGGTAGATATCTACGTAAACGACAATTAGTTATCCATGAAAGACAAAAGACAGAGCAGGAACAACAAAAGCGACCTCCTAATCCGAATGTTGCAATCCCCGCACAACAACAACAAAACGAACCGCACATTCAAATCCCAGACCAACAACAAAATCCCCACACAGAAGCTATCCTAAATGATGTATTCCGCAAGCAAAAAAAGGCACTGCGAGAGGAAGAGTCTAGATATAGTTCTAGCATGCCACCACCTACACAACCTACACAACCTGCACGACCTGCACGACGATCCTCACAAAGTGGCCAACTCCAAGGAGAAGCACAAAAACGCAATGAAAATACCAAATCATCACCTACCCAACTAAATTACCCTCAAAAACCCAATAATCTCAAAAAACGAGCAGCTTCGAATTCTATGTCTAGTGCGAACGGTAATGGAGCCCAGGGTGCTAAGAGACGGAATATGGGGGGAGGTGGTAAAGGTGAAGGTAGGGGGTCTACTTCTGCTTCTACTTCTGCTTCTACTTCTACTACGAATGCGAATGCGAGTGAAAGTGCTGCTGCACCAGAACCTAAGCGTAAATACGCAGGAAGAGGAAGACCGAGGAAAACCCCAATTGTGCAGCCTCTTCCTGCAGTTGAAACATCAACTGGAACTGGAACTGGAACTAGAACTGGAAATTCGCGGCATGTAAAGCAGGCTGTGGGTACTGGTGGGAAGGTACGCGCGAATGTATTGGTGTCGTCTGGGGATGGTTTGCAGGATGGATGTGTAGGTGCGAATGGGAATTTGAAGGGAAATAATAATATGTTAAACAAAACGCAACTTCTTCCGCATGTGCAACAAGCGGCGCGGATGGTGCATTATTTTCAGCCAAAGGTGGGGGTTGATTCGGCGGGGGATGGGAGGTTGCAGTAGGTAGTAGGTTAGGTTTGAGGTGATTTGAGTTGGGGGAGCAGAAGTGTGGGTGGATTGTTTTTGGGCAATATGGGAAGAAGATTTATATTGTTCGATCGACGTGGTATTCACACGAGGTTACTAGGTTACTAGGTATCGATTTCAATTTTCAACAGGATACTTCTAAGATTTACAAACTTTCTGAAATTAGTAGAAGGGAGTTTTTGTGGTCATGGTTAGGGTGTTAAATCCGGATCGAGATGCGTGTGGCCATGAGTCGGATATAGAGGCGGAATGGCCCGCAGAGAAACACTTAGACAATATAAGGTTACTTAAACAGAATTTGCAGGATCTCGAAAAGATTTTCTCTATTCCCTTCCTTGCAATATAGCTAGCTGGGAGAAAGGGGGATAGAAACATAGAGAGAAAGAGAAGCGAGTTTATAGGTTGGCAATTTCGTGGTTTTCAGGAGAGGAGAGGAGAGGAGAGGAGAGGAGAGAGAGGAGAGGAGAGAGGGAGGGAGAGAGAGAAGAGGAGAGGCAATATCTATCTATGATTTATGCGTAGGTAGGTCAATGATTAAGGGAGTTTGGATTGGGTATTTGATTTGGTATTCTGCATTTCGCAGTTCAAGATAGGTTTTAGGGTGATGAATTATGAGATTCTGATGATGGATAATACCCGCACATGTAGAAGGATATAAAGTGGCAAGTAAATAAGCGATACATGAGATGGTAATCTTAGTAGGATAATTATTTAGGGCTAGGGCTTTGGCTGTGGCTGTGGCTGTGGCTGGATAGGAATAGGGATATAGATGAGGAGATTTTTTTCTTTTCCTTTTCTTTTTGTTATTGGGAGGGGAGAAAGAAAGAAGATTGGATGGGATGGTAACCTAGCAACTTGCTATGAAATTTATGGTTATTTATTCTGTGGTTGTGAGATGTGAGTGTGAGATGTGAGATGTGAGAGGTGAGTTTTGTGTTTTGTGGATGATATAATGTGAATATTGTGAAAGGCAGATTGGTACTCGAGTACTATCTAGTAGGCAATATGCTAAATAGGTATAGAAAGATAGAATAATGAGATGAAAATATCATTAGTAATCGTTTATGAGAAGAAAAAGAAGTAAATTGATGCACAGGTATATTTTCATTACAATCCTCCAACCCATCCCAAAAAACCATTCTATAACTAAAATGTAGTTTTCTTTCCCTCACTCTCCACAATACCACCTGTCAAACGTGGTGCGTATGTTTGTCTATACTCAACCTTCTTAATAGGTCTCTCTCTTTTCTCTCCTGGAACCCTCGGTACAACAGGCTCATCATTAGCTCCAACTCTAGCACCAGGTTCCAGTTCCTCACGTGGATGTCTTTCATTAGGGTTCTTTGATCCATCCTTGCCATATCGTTTCTTATATCGCAATTGATCATCCTCCGCGAATTCCATACGTAAAGGACGTCCTTGAATCTTGTTTACCCACCATTTCCTCGTTTTGGTTTTAGGTTTCTTAGTATTTTCCGTCTTTGGTGCAGCTTCGGTTTCTGAGTCTGAGTCGGAATCGCTAGAGTCGGATGAGGATTCTTCGTCAGATAGCTCTTCTTCGATGTGAACCCAGCCTTTGACTGCACTTTGCGCTGCTGATACTTCTTCAAATACAATCCAAGCATAACCCTTGCATTTTCCTGAATCTTCAAATGTTGCTACGTGGATCTTCTCAATAGGTCCACATTTCTCGAAATGTTCCTTCAAGATCTCTTCCGTGGCATCAAAACGTAGATTACCGACAAAGATCTTTTTGCTAGGTGGTTTGCCATCGACTACAGCTTCCTTCTTTTCTGGACGACCCTCAAATGATTTATTATCCTTGATGAGAAGTCTTCGACCTGTGAGCAATTGTTCAGACAACTCAACTGCCATCTTAACCTGTTCCTCTGTTGCGAAATCCACATAAGCAAAACCCTTATTATGAACTGGCTTTCCAAATTTCTTCTCAACCTTATTTGCAGGCTTTCCATCATTAGGACCAGGCATATGAATTCGGGTAATATTTTCTTCTTCAAGATCCGACAATTCCACAAACCATTTGCGTAATTCTTCTTTTGAGACACTCCAAGGTAAATTTCCAACCCATACACCATGGCCCGAACGCTTTTCTACTTCGGCCTTCTTTTTGGCTTCAGGTTCCGGAGAGGATTCTGCGCCAGATTTAGATGGAGGAAGTGGTTTACCCTTTTTTAAACGACGGAGGGCTTTCTTGGAAGGAGGTTCCGGGAGGGTGATATCAACTTCAATTTCTTCGACGGAGGATTTGCGCTTTTTGGTGGGTGGTTCGTCTGATGTCCCATCGTTGTTTGTTTCGGCGACTTCTTCTAGAGTTTCTGCAGAATTTACCTCTGCTTCCTCTAAGGCTTCAATTGATTCCTCACTTTTCTCCTTCTTCTCCTTTTTCGAGCGCTTCTTCTTGGTTTCAGCTGTACTTATCTCATCACCACCTGTCATCTCAGTGTCGATATCCATAGATTCGGTGGAAACTGGTTGTTCGGTGATAGCACTAGACTTTCTCTTCTTGCTCTCTTTCTTTTCCTTCTTTTCCTTCTTCTCCTTTTTCTCCTTCTTATGATCCTTGATTGATTCCATAGTATCTGATTCAGCAATGTATGGCATTGTGGTTGGCAATAAATGACAATTGTTAAAATCTCCCCAGTAAAATTAATCCATCAAAATTTCTTATCGAGAAACTTTCCTCTGGGCTGCCGGTGATAAGATAACCCGGATCTAACGAGGTCTAGCATAGCCTGGCTTCCCTGCAGGAAGGCTGCATTTTAGTGGCGGCTATTTCCACCCTGAATTAATCTCGACATACGCTTAATTTCAGCCTGATGATGCTCTAAATTAATGTATGGCTTCATTCTCCGATTGTTCGAACAAACAATTTTGGTTCTGCGACATTGATCCTTTTCTTCAATCTACAACAACAGTCCGAACGACAAAATTTATTCTCGCAGTTGCTGCGGTTCTGATTCTGGGATATATCGTCGAATATGACTTCCTCAATCGATGAGGAAATCTTGGGTGAAGATGTTGAAGAGCAGGAGGGTGTTCAAAGCAGCCCTCCAGTGGCTTCCAAACCACCGCCATACAAATCTTTCCGGTACGTCATTCCTCAATTAATATTCATTCTCCGAAAGATTCACCTCAGGTCTACTTGAACCCATTACGGCCGTATATACTTCCTCAAAACCTTACCTCGTCTTTTGAATTCCACATTCCGAAGCCACCCACAATACTTCAATAGTTAGCACGTCAATCAGCTAATATGGGCGCAAATAGTAAGAAGTATCGTAAAATGCGAATAAAGTTCGATGAAGCTATGCGCCAAAGTAATTCATTATTTATGGAGGAGCAGTTGGCAGATGAAACTGCTAAGAGGTTGGCTCGAGAAAATGAGTAAGTGAAACCTTGGACCTGTTCTTTGGAAACATAGCTAATATTATGGTCTACAGTCGACTTATGGATTTACTACTTGATATCAACAACTCTGAACAAATACCTGCCAACAAGCGTATCGATTTGAGTGTCCCTGGACCTGCTCTTGCAAGCGTCCCTGCTCTTGCCACAAAAGAAGAGCTTGCGAAAGCTGCGGAACATACATCACCTGAAGGCCAAGCTATCTTTAAAGAAATTCAGGATTTATTGAAGGACCGAGATGGTACAAATACGACCGTTAAACCATCAAAATCTCTCGCGAAACTCATGGCGACTGTCCCGCATATTTCCTTGATGAACCATCACGTCTCTCCACAATCCTTGGCTGATTTCGAACCTCAGCCTGGGAGGAAGCATCCTATTGGCTATTTATCTGTCGAAGAAATTGATAATTACCTTCACGCAGTAGACGCAACAATTGGCCTTGCCCCCTCCCTCGCAACTGTCGTCTACCCTCCTACAACGCAAGATGTCACCCTCAAGAACCCCTATAGCGTTCTTAATTGGCTTCGTCGTCATGAGCCCAAAATCTTCCTTCAAGATGGTGAAGGCCCTATTGAAAAGATCAACAACAAGCCTGGTGCCTTACGTGGAGCAGGAAAACGTGCGAATATCCCCGCACCAACTCGTCTTGATTCTTTAGAAATTGTCGAAGAAGATGGCATTGGCTACGATACTACTTTAAGCGGACCATCTAGCTCTAAATTCAAACGCAAGCGAGACCCAGAGGATGATGGTGGATATACACCCAAATCTGGCAATCCAGTCAATAAGACCAAAAGGCAAAGACCATCAAAGAAAAAGTCTGATCCACCTGGCGAGCCAAGTACTTCCTCGAGTTCGAGAAAAAGTAAATCGAGAGCGAAACATTCGTCTCCTATCGACACAGGTCCAGCTCCTCATCCTTTTGGTCCAATCGACTGATTGAGGTAGAAGGTCGTTGAGCGTAGGTCTTTCATTCATAGGTTAGGGCTACTGCGACTTGCTGTGGTTTCTTCTGGGTCTTACCTTCAGAGGCAATCATACCACTTTGAAGGACTCTATTCTAATTTGGTTTGATTCGATATAATTAGATTGTATTTTTGAGGGAAGGGAAGGGTTCTTGATGATGGATATTGGTTTACGGAGTATTGAGCGGGGCGAATGGTATCTGGTTACTTCTAATGCAAAGGGTTAAGGGAGGATGCATGATTTGTACAATACTAGGAGAAGGGGAATATTGAAGAAATGCAGAGGCTTATAATTTTTTTTTGGAAGTCATAGAGGATAGTCAAGGAGTGAGCAGGGAGGAATGAAATGGATCAAAATGTTATGACAATTCGTCTTGTGAAGCTTGTGATTGATCAGGATACTCGAGAGAAGATGGTCAAATTGTCTTGCGGACGGAGAAAAGCATGTAATTAAAGTTCCTAAGATAGCATCTTATAACCAAGTCTCTCATTAAGATTATTACTCCTAATACACGAAGCAAAGATTACGCGGCGAACCATCCAGGAGGTCAGTCTCTTAGCTGCTCAATGCTATACCCAGAGATTATAGGTAATGAATTCAAGTAGTGATGTTATAGTAAGAGAAAAGGAATTGGTTCCCTGGATGTATACGTAGGGGAGGAAATTATGGATTCTTGTACTTATTTTGGCGGAGTTTAGGGAGGAGTTCAGCAGGAACTGTGTGGATTGTGTGAATTGTATGGATTGACAGCGATTATTTTGCACTTTATTTTTGGATATATCAGAACAGATTGGGAATAACTTTTAACACAGCTCTTGTACCTTTCCAATTGCAAGCCTCACAAACATCGCACGAGCTGAAGTCACCACCCCCTCCTTTCCGCCCACGTGACACAACATCCTCTTCCGGAACAAATAACCCGAAACCCTGCACGTTGCAACGGCTCCCAAAACCCAAAGTCTAGAAATCCCCTCGTCTGCCAATCCGCCATTTGGCCGCTGCTAAATAAACCGATGTGGGGTAACTTCTTCCAGCCAGGGATACACTTCCCCTCCAAGCCCACTGGTGACCTCCGTTGTCGGATAGCTCTTTTTGTTCGTAGGCGGGGCACAGCTGATGGCTCTTTTTTGGAGGTTGAGAATCTTGGGATTTGCATTTTGCCTGTTTGTGGTTGAATCTGTTTGGGTATTTTTGCGGAGGTTGTTGGGTAATTGCCGGGTTTGGTCATTAAGGCATGGATGGCATCGTATTGTTTGGTGAGGGTGAGGTGTATGTTTGGGCGATGAAAGCTTCGGGATTGAAGAGGATGGGATATGACAGGTATAAATTGTATAGATTGGTAAATGTAATCATAATTAATTGGATTGGATTTTATTATGTTATTGTTATGTTGAGATTTGGTCATCTTATTGTTCAACCTTAGATGTGACTCCGTTATCGATCATAGCTTGGATGGAAAAATTCCTTTCCATCTTTCTTCCTATCTTCCTTTTCTCTTTCTTTCTGAGATGTTATTCTACATTTCCTATACTACTTACGCGATAGAATTGATTGACTGATTGATTCAAATTCTATACTTCTGCCTTCCTCCTCTCCGAGACATATTTCTTCTTCCCCGCGGTTAAGAATCCCCCGCGCACCTCACTTCCGCGCTCCTCACTGGTCCTCGGTACAACAAGCGCATCGCATCCGACCAACCAAGCAAAGCAAGCAGCCAGTCAATTCGTTATCAAAAGCCTCGTCTGCACCTCCTCCAAAATGTCTCTCCACCGCAGCATTACCTCTTCATTCTTGCGCAGCGTTCCTCGTACCTCAATCTTCGTACCTCGATTCGGCAGCGCCATTACTCATTCGCGCACCATGGCTTCAGCTACCTCTTTCCAGAAAATCAAAGTCAAGAATCCAATTGTGGAGCTTGATGGCGATGAAATGACGAGGATTATTTGGAAGGATATTAAGGATAAATTTATTCATCCTTATCTGGATGTTGATTTGAAATATTATGATTTGGGTTTGGAGTATAGAGATGAGACGAATGATCAGGTTACTATTGATGCCGCGGAGGCTATTCAGAAGTATTCCGTTGGTGTTAAGTGTGCTACTATTACCCCGGATGAGGCTAGAGTTAAGGAATTCAATTTGAAGCAGAGTGAGTTGATTTCTTTAGTCCGTGTGGATCTGCGAGGATGAGGATGAATTAGAGAAGCTAATAAAGTGTCAACTAGTGTGGCTCTCACCTAATGGAACCATCCGTAACCATCTTGGCGGTACAGTCTTCCGCGAACCTATTGTCATTCCTCGTATTCCTCGTCTCGTTCCTGGTTGGAAGAAACCTATTATCATCGGTCGTCATGCATTCGGAGATCAATACCGCGCAAAAGATATGGTTGTTCCAGGTCCAGGTACCCTTACCATGACTTTCACACCTGAAGGCGGCGCACCCACCGAAACTGTTGTCTATAACTTTAAATCAGGAGGAGGAGTTGCTCAAACTCAATATAATACTGATGAATCCATTAGTGGATTTGCTCATGCTAGTTTCAAGTTGGCTCTTAATAAGGGATTACCTTTATATATGAGTACTAAGAATACAATTTTGAAAAAGTATGATGGAAGATTCAAGGATATCTTTCAAGAGATTTTCGACAAGGAATATAAGCCTCAATTTGATGAGAAGAAGATTTGGTATGAACATCGATTAATTGATGATATGGTTGCGCAAATGATGAAGAGCTCAGGCGGTTATGTTATGGCTTTGAAGAGTATGTTACCCCTCTTTTTTTCAAACCAGTACAATAACTAACTTTATGAACAATAGACTACGATGGAGATGTTCAATCCGATATTGTAGCTCAAGGTTTTGGTTCCCTTGGTCTCATGACCTCAGTCCTCATCACCCCTGATGGAAAAACATTTGAATCTGAAGCCGCTCATGGAACCGTCACTCGTCACTACCGCGAACATCAAAAAGGTAATCCTACCTCCACCAACCCTATCGCATCAATCTTTGCTTGGACAAGAGGTCTCGTTCAAAGAGGTACTTTAGATAATACACCCGAAGTCGTTGCTTTCGCAGAAAGTTTAGAACAAGCTTGTATAGATGTAGTTGATAAGGAGGGAATCATGACGAAGGATTTAGCATTAGCTTGTGGAAATACAGGAAAGGATGATTATGTTACTACTGGGGAGTATTTGGAAGCAGTAGAGAAGAGGATGAAGGGGCTTTTGAAGGAGAAATTGTAGATGGTTGTAAGAGATGTGGGGTATTTGATTTTAGGGAAGGTTGTAAGAGTGATGGTGGATAAGGATGAAAAAATGGTTAGACCATATATCGATTTATATCGATTCATATCGCATGGTTTTTGATGAGCGGTTGCAAAATTTGTTACTTGGTTACTTGAATTGCATTTCCTGGAGCTGTTGCCTGGCTGTGGTAGGTAGGATGGCTAGTTCTTCCTAAATATCCCTTTGATACCTATGTCGAGTTGGTGAGCGTAGGCTGGGCTGGTAAGCTAGCATGTAAGTAAGCAAGCAGGCAAGCAAGAAGGCAAGCATTAGTTTTGGCGTGTATATTTTGATTTTATTTTGGGAGGGGGGGAATGAAATGGAGAGATGAAGATGGGGTAGGGGTAGGGGTAGGAGTGCGAGTGTGGTGTTACGAGGGATGCGATCTAGATCACGTGGAAGCGGCCTGGATCCTCGAATGGTTTATAACTAGGCGTCAAGCAAAGTGTTACGATTACGGATCTTACAATAACCGTTCCTGTACTTACGAGATATGATTTGATCAATTTAATATGAGATTAAGGTGGTGTGAGGACCTAGTAAACACCAGAATTGTTATTATTGGATCCACCACAATAACAACAATAGAGTCGTATGATCAAGTGATCATATGATACTATTCCCATCGATCCCACTGATTCTATTCAGCGGAAGGAGTGGGATACGGAATACGAAGAACTATATAGCTAGGAAAGAATTCCTTTTGTAGAGCTTCATGTTCAAGATCAATCATTTAGTATACTCTACTATTAGTTACGAATTGTAATCATTGATATTACCTTAAACCTTTGCCTGATGCCTAGTTATAAACCATTCGAAGATCCAGGCCGCTTCCACGTGATCTAGATCGCATCCCTCGTAACACAAAGACTTAAAGTAATATCAATGATTGCTATTCGTAACTAATAGTAGAGTATACTAAATGATTGATCTTGAGCACAAAGCTCTACAATAAGGAATCCTTTCTAGCTATATAGATCTTCGTACCTAAAAGCCATAAAGCTTTCGAAGCTCTAATACTCCATCATATAATCCTCCAATCATATAGTTCCGTATTTGTTATTGATCCGAATCCAAGCTTAACAAGGTTTGTGCATATTTGTTCCTTACACTACTTTAATCCTATATTAAATCGTTCAAATCGTATCTTGTAAGTATACAACCGGTTGTTGTAAGATCCGTGTAGTGATTTTTGTTTTTGAGAGATTATATAATTGTTACGACCACTCACTAGATATATAAATATCAAATCTACAAGAAAAACAATTCAAAGTCTATGAAAATGAAATAGATATTCTCTTTTCTAGTATTTATTCATTTTATTTAAAAGGAAATAGAAAAATACCACCAATACATTAAATCCCTGATTAAAAAAAAGCCTTCTCCAATGATATCATCCCGTGGAATCCCATCCCATTCCATCCAATTCCAGCCCAATCCAATTTCCAACCTAATCCAATATCTCCATCAAATCATGATAAAACATGGTTGATTTATGAAGAATAATTTTTAAGCGATCTCCCCTTTCTTAGTCAACCGACTAACAACCAACTATAAATGATTTCTGATTTTCGAAGCCGAACCCGAAGCCGAAAGCCGGACCCGAAATTTCAGATGTAATCTTATTTTAGAAAATCATTTCTAATGTAGACATCAAATTAGCAACCCATCCATCTAGAAATAGAAGAAACAGGAAAAAGAAAATCACAAAATCTTCGTCTCTCCCCTCTTAGACTTACATTTAGCTGGTTGAGCAGGCGAAGGATATCCATATCCGCCATAATTACCCCCTGTGTAAGATCCTCCTGGACATCCTGGAACATCACAAATTGGTTCGTATTTGGCCGCATAGGCAGCATTGGTATATGTATATGCTTGGCTTACAGACCAATAATCACTTCCGCGGTATTGACCGACATTGGTTGCGTAGTTGCTGGCCCATTCTTCCGTGTACATGGAACAGTAGATTCCTTGTGGTTTGTTTTCGTCGCTGAGAACGTAGACGACGAATTGGTTGCAGACGGATGGGTTACCGGTGGAGGGGGGATGCTCGGCGTTGTATTTGGTTTGCGCGGTACAGGCGGCAGTGCAAGCTACGACGCCGTTGGCGAAGGTTTGAACATCATCGAAGGAGAAGAATTTATATCCCATGTATGTGTCTGTGTGGGTGACTGGGTCGAGTGGGGCATTGATTGCTCCTCCGAGGGCGACTGGGCCCGTGTAACCATCGGCTGGGGCGGGAGCAGCATCTTTATTGTAGCCATTTGATCCGGCGATAACAACGTGGAAATCCTCTATTTTGGTGTTAGTACATTTATAATTTTATTGGCCTATTGTGAGAGAAAAACTTACGTCTCCATTGTCCGACATTGGTAGCTGTAGCCGCTTGAATTTGAACACCCCACTTCACGCACTTGTAATTGGTGGTAGAAGCTGGGTTAGCGCAGGTAGCGCCCGGATCAACTGTTGGATCGCGCTCCATGTAGATATTGAATGCAATACAACCTTCTTGTTGATCACAGTAAGAAGCACAGTTAACTGTGTCGTAAGAATCCAAGGTCTTATATCCAAGGTACGAGGTAGTTTGGGAAGAACCTTGTAAATTCTTGAATGAAAGGTTATAACCTTGGGGAGTGGCAGCTACATCAGAAATAGCAGTGTATTGAGAATCGGCTAAAAAAGCTTCTGCAGTGTCTGGACTGTAAGGCTGTTTGTTAGTGAGAGTTTTTGACAGACGCTTGAATGCTATCAAGTACTTACGTTGAAGTTGGAGCAGCTCCCGCAGGTTGAGGCTCGCAAGACCGCTTTATGGTATTACGTTTGGCCGCTACTCCACTCGGAACAGCCGTGTCAGTTACTTTTGCGGCCCCTACAGAGGTTGCCGCAGCAGGTGGCTTGACGCTGACACTTTGGGAAGAAATATCAACTGGAGCATTAGAAACTGCAGCTGGTGGTAAAGTATCGATAGTACCCAAATCAATCGATTGAGGGATAGGATTTCCAAGGGCCAAAACTGCAAAGGCAGAAGTGATGATTGCGGAACGCATGTTGATGTTCAGAGGGATGATGTTTGATGTTTGAGAAGTGTGTTTGTTTGTGAGATGAAGGAGAAGGTAATGATGATGATGTCGATTTGAGGTGGAAGAGATGCTCAATCTTATACTTCATCATTCATCGCGAGCATGTCTACTCGAGATAGCTCCATATCAGCCTGGTGGGCCTATCTTGGACCAAGACTCTAAGATCGAGCGTAGGAAGTACCACTAGGTAGAACAAGCGCCACTTTCAATAGAGTGGAGGGTTGAAAATGGATACAGATGCCAGCGGTCAAAGAAGCAAGATAAACGTAGTATCTAGCCGCACATCGAGCTACTAGTCTCATAGAATACAAGAAGCTGTTCCGTTGTACCTTCGGCATGACTTTCTATATTTTGAAATACATTCCATCCCATGTTAACAAGGTTCATTGGTTGTTGTACGAGTTTCCCAAGGTATCATGTAGTCATGGAGCGGAAAAACACAACCATACGCTTACTTGTACTAACCTCATGAAGGTAGATTAATCAAAGGATTCATCCATGTGGTAAAAGTCCGAAGCGAGAAAAGGGCTGATCCACAAAATGGGGAATGAAGTTAAATCAAGGTGCAGGCCGTGCGCATGATTGGTTATCTTCAAATCCCAAGCCTGGATTTTTAGTGGTGGCTATGATTAGAGTCAAGAGTGCGTAACGCTCTGACCATTTTGGGAAGAAAAAGCTCGCATAGAATAATCACACTTCCGTAAATGGAATTTACGTTTCACAGATATGTCTTTTTCTGGTGAAGTAAACATGGAATAGCTTAGCGATGGGCGGTCCTAGCCGTAAGGAAACACATGGACTGTAGCGTTGTACGAACAGGTACCAGGAACAAGCGAACATTAATGTAAAAGCATGGCTCACACACAAAAAAGAAATATATCCTAGGCACGTACTTCAAGATAATGTTCCGAGCTAAAACACACTTGTTCGCCACTATGACCATACCAGACAAGAAGTGGAATGTTCTATGTTTACTATCGACTGTTATGAACCACCGTGGTCATTGTGAAACTTCAACTGCTTCTGTACATTTTCCGAGCTGAAATATGAGTGGGTCTTTCATGCCAAGTCGATTGAACGTGTTCGTACAACGACGTAGATACTTGTCAAGAAGTAACTTTTACATACTTTGAGCTATTGCCGCCCAAGTTTGATTGCGGGACGGGATATCTTTGATGTGATATCACGATTGTAAGCGGTGGGAAAAAGGTAAATAGGATTCGCCTCTCTGTGGAAATTGACATCAACGACTTTGAAGATAAAGCTTTTGATGTAAAAATATGTCTGGGGAAGATCAACAGACTTAGAGCCGATCACCCGCTGCAAATGTTACGTGCAATGACCCAAAGCTATGGCTCTTAGCTCATGCCCTTATATTAACCGACGACCCGTTTTCTTCTAGCGGCTCAAATAGCATCAATCGAATCAGAAACTTAGAAAAGTAATATCAAATCCTTAATATCAACCAAGGCATGGGATCGTTGTATAAAATTGCAGATTTTTCATGCCTTAACTCTCGTGATACGAAGGTCCACTACCACGCAGATACGAAAAGTCATCGATTGGATGATACGGAAGACATGTCAGGAATGAGGGGAAGAGGCTACAATCTTGACAGCTGAGGAGACTGGACAAGATCTTTTCCCGTCAACTTGGGCCATCCATTCTATGCCATGTGGTAGAAAATGCCCTGCCCTACGGGGCAGCCAAAAAAGCTTCTGGATTTACTTATCTCCTTCATTAGTGTGATTTTGCCGCTGGTTCCGCTTCATATATCCACATACAGATTATTTCAATTGATACTTTGACATCATGTTTATCCCTCAAAACAACCACTTAGTTGCGCAAACGAAGAATGGGGGTCGGGCCAAATACTGCGCCGCATATGCTGCATGAAAACAGAGGCACTTACCCTAAGTAGACTCTACATCCGCGAGCTGGCTCAGCTAGGGTATTTTTGGAGTAGGATGAATATTGAAATATGAGTAAGCTCAACGTCGGACAGACGGATTGCGGGAAACATTGGTAAGGAAAAACATTTTGTGCAGTAGTATTTACTAGCACACGTTATCATTAGGGAAATTAATATTCCCTTTGTAGTTTACCATCTTGCGGCGCGTGCTTAAAGTGGAGTGAATGGAGTGTACCAAACTTTTTGCTCGTAAAATGACATGATTCTATGAGCCGCAGCTACCAGCATGTTCATGACCCTCATGACTCTTTCTTCCATTTACCTTTCAACGCATCACGCCGAGAAAGAAAATGGAGTTTTCCGACGATGAAAATGTGGCGATGAAATAGTCAAGACATTTTCATTTTCACTAGAAAATGATCTGTCGACACATGAATTGACACTATGTTACGTATTTTGTGGCTAAGACAGATGGCGGTTTCCAGACCCCACGAAAACATCCTATATTTGATCAACCTCGGAGCTGGAGAGACCAAGCAAGGTTTTCCCCTTTTCCCAAGAAATATGGCGGCTTTCTTTTGCCTCATCATGAAGCCCAAGGTCTTGAATGTTCAAACCGAAAAGAGCAAGCTCAATTGTGCCTCAGAAAGCGGGGTGCGTAGCTCGGACGACCGAGGACAATGTAGTGGGAAATAATTGCGAGAATTGATTTCCTGCATCGGTTCGGTGAAGCCGTACAACAATCTGTCGGTATCCGAAGTATTTGGATGAGATCAAGGTCACTGCATCACTTTATTGAGATAAACCAATGGTGTACTGCATAGAGAAGCATCAGTAGACGGCGATAGAGAGAGAATGAGTGGAAGAGAAGGGCAATCACCTGGTGAAGAATTTCTCTCATGTTTTGTTCTTTATTGTTGGCGGTAGAGTAATTTTGGGTGGTGTTGAATGTTTGATGGTTAATGTTTGATAATTAATAATTGATGATTGATGGATGATTGATTGTTATTTCTTGTTGATTGTGGTTTTCATTTTCATTTTCATTTTCATTTTCATTTTCATCGTCGTTTATTTCTTCATGTTGCGACGATCATATCAAGTTTCATTCATGCTTGCATCTCAGCGCGTGAATTACGCCATGCCCACGCGTCAATGTCAGGTACCATCTTCCAACAACCCCCTTCATCTTCTCGTCTTACGCCTTATAAAAATATCAGCAACTATTTTTACCACTCATCCATATACGTCCCAAAAGCCTCAATTCTTTAAAATCTTGTCAGGAGAGGAGAGAACACGTTGAATTTTGTAGGTAAGCTTCATTTGATACTCATCTCAACATCCATACGACAAATGAGGTCAGTTGCTTCTATTTCGGGGAGAATTTCTGCTGCGAGCCGTGCCGCTCGCTCTGTCTGACATTCCTTTTCTCAAACACGTTGATTGTTGCTATCCCGATTCTCAGAAATATGTAAGTATGCGTTTGTTCAATGTTATGTTTCTTATTTCACTCTTTCCTTGAATCCCTCCTTTTCTGAGAGTTTTCCGCGCCGGCGCAATATTTCACTTCATCTGCGAAAATGCCTTCACCGAAAGTACAATCACGACCCTCATGCGACGAGGAATCTCCCCTTATCCATTCTTCGCGACCAAATTTCACTGGCACACACTCCCTGGTTCATCAAACGCATTCTCCGCGAATTATTATCTTCCTTCTTACAACGATCGTTTTTATAATTGGGTTTGGAGGATACTTAGCTTGGATACCATCGATGCGCATTTATGAGGATGTATTGTGTCGTCGATATTATGAAGAGTTACAAGGCCAAGGGGGAATAGGCTTGAGTAGTAAAATTGATGAAGCTAGATGCAAGGGTGATAAAGTTCAGGAGGAATTGAATATTTTGACTGCGGTATTGGAAACGTTGAAATCGTTACCAGGCAAGGAGGAACTCGGTGAACAAGCTGCGAGATTATAGCTGATGATATTTAGGAATGTTCATGGCTGTTCCATATGGGCTGTTGGCTGATAAGTACGACTTTTCTTTACCCCAATACTCACATTGCCAAATTTTATCATCGTCAGATTTGCAATTTTCATTGTGGAAGATGTGACCTGACCTTGACATAGAATTGGACGTAAACCAGTCTTCGCCTTGGCAATTCTTGGAATCCTCCTCTCCCTACTATTCGAAGTTTTCATAATGACCGAATGGATGATGTTACCTATTCGTGTGGTATGGTTTGCACCGTTTTTACAATTTATTGGTGGTGGTGAGAAAACAGCCGCAGCAATATTTTATGCTATTATCTCAGATGTCACTACGCAAAGCGAAAGGTATTGTTCCAAAGGAAATCATCCTTTCAGCGTCTCTTACTGACAAATAATAGAGCGAATGTATTCCTATTTGGCGCATGCGCTTCACTTTCTGCAGAACTTATTGCACCTTCTGTAGCCGCCGCAATCATGGCTCATTCTCCTTGGATATCAATATGCTGCGGAGTATCTGTCTTAACATCGGGATTGTGTCTTATTGTTTTTATACCAGAAACACTCCATCTTCAAGCCTCTCATATATCCACACTAGTCCCCGATATATCATCCTCGCAATACCTAAGCGATTCCTCGTCAGATTTCAATGAACCCTTGAAACAAAAACCTACCTTAACTCGGCACCTCACTAATTTTTACACCACTAGTCGACCACTTCTTACTATCCCAGTTCTTCTCCTCCTGCTCCCATCTATAACCCGCGTCATAGGTCAACAATCCATCGAGCTCTGTATCCGCTACATATCAACTCGTTTCTCCATCCCCCTATCCCACGCCGCCTTAATCCTTTCCCTCCGCGCCCTAATCAACATTCTCCTCCTCCTCCTCCTCATTCCCTCCCTCTCCTCCCTCCTCATAACCAAACTCTCCTTCTCAACAACCCACAAAGATCTCCTGCTAGCACGTATCTCCTCTCTCTTCCTCATCCTCGGCGCCCTCACAATCGCCATTTCCCCCTCTCTTCACCTCACCATCTTCGGTTTAATCATCTATACACTAGGAACAGGTTTTGTCTCTTTAGTTAGATCACTAATTACGGGCTTAGTGCAGCAAAAATATGTAGCGAGGATTTTTGCCTTGATTGCTGTGGTGGAAACTTCGAGTGCGTTGACTGCTGGGCCAGCGGTGGCGGGCATGTATGAATTGGGTTTGCTTTGGAGGGGGAGGTGGGACGGTTGGTTGGGTTTGCCGTTTGTGGGGTTGGCGGGGTTTGTGGGGTGGGGAGTTTGGGGTTTGGTGTGTGAGGGGTTGGGGAGGGTTAAGGACGGGGTAGAGAGGGATGAAGATTTGTAGTGATGAGGTTATGATTGGTTATGACTTTTCTTAAAAATTATTTAGAATGGGATGGAATGGGGCGGAATTTGGTGTTTGTGGTTAAGGGATCAACTTTTGTTTAGAATTTCATCATGTTATACTACTGATTATATTATAGAAATATTAGATCAAAAATCAATACAATCTTTCAATACAAAATACAAGAGTATATAATTAATTAAACGATTATAAGTCTAGTACTCTACTTCCGGGCCACCTCTAATTTGGGCCACCCTTTTACATCAAAAATCGTGATTTTCATTTATCAATAACTTTACAATTAATCGATAGGATTTAATGAAACTTGAATCGTAGATTCATTATATAATTATAACTCAATTCTGAAAATTTTAGATCTTTTGGAGTTAATTTCATTGAGATCTATAATCTTAAATTTTGTGATTTTTGATTTGTATAAGATTTATATATAAACTTACAAAATCTTTAAAATCTTGAATAACTTTTCAACAAAAAGAATTAAATATAAATTATAAATTTTTTGGGAATATTTATATCATAAATGATTAAACAAATCAATTTATTTAAAAAATATTTGACAAACATCCTTTTAATCAAAATGTTATAATTTTTAATTTTTGCAAAATTTAAAAATATTAATCAAAGTTTTTCTTTATAATTCAAAATTCAAAATTCTTATTTATTTGATTAATTATAATATAAATATTTGAAAAAGATTTATAATTTATTTTTAATAATTTTTATTGAAAGATTATTTCAAGTTTTAATAATTTTCAAATTTATATATAAATTATATATAAATTGAAAATTGTAATTTCAACTTTCAATTTCTCAATCAATAAATTTATTAAAAATCTGAAAATTTCAGAATCCATTAATAATTATATAATAAATCTATAATAAAAGTTTCAACTGATTTCATTCATTTGTTATTGAAATATTAATAACTGAAAAAGACGATTTTTTATGTAAAAGGGTGGCCGAAAACAGGGGGTGGCCGAAAAGAGGGGTACTAGACTTATTGGTTAGCACGAGGTTGTAACCCAAGTGAAGAGTGATGGAAATAAGAGTTAAGGAAATGCAAGTATACCCGCTAACTTGAGGGTGACTAACGGATACAGCAATGAAAAGTATAATAGTCAGATAACTTGCATCTATAGCAGTGTAAACGAGTAATAACACTAGGGACTTTATTAGATAGAGACAATGAAAATGCTAGCCTTAGGCAAATATCTCAAGATGAGATACTCTCTACCACAGTCCCGCAAGGAAATATGAAAAAAAAAATTGAATAATAGCAATACGAGATCTTGTTGAACTCACTGATCATTTGCTAGATTCTACTAAGTATCAGTTAACGTAGATGTATACTCTAGCTTTTCATTGTAAATCAAGTTTGAGAGAGATCTTTATGTAGGTAGGTATCTGACGAATTAATGCAAGACAGTGAAATGTGAAATGAACCGGTGTGATCATTTTTGTGCATTCACCGTACCTCAATTACTGTCTACTCTATCCGTACTAAACGCCGCATCATTTGCAAGCGTTATTTTTAAGTGAATTAACATAATTACCCTCTTGATCTAGCAGTATTCTATCACACCATTACTTAAGATCTAGAGGTCATAACCCACAGACTTTTGGAGCATACTGGATAGATGTAGAATTAAAAGCATCTAAGGAATGGGATGTAGTATTTGGTAGTGGGATACAGAATCAAAATCAAGCTTACCAAATTGGTGGTTTTTGGTGTAGATTGTATTGGTAGGAAAGGTGACTTAGTACAGAAATACCGGGAAAGAATGAGATGAATATTGTGGATATGATGAGAATGAGAATCTGAAAATAAGCATTCAATAGCAATAGCAATCTTAGTATGGAGAGAAGACAACGTGAATACTCGTGGATCTTGAGATGAACTATTAGGCGATATTATTTCCATTTCAATGCCTTACAAAAAGGGAACAGGAAGAGGCACGGGTGCAGGAGCTGTTATTATGGCTCGAGGCTGTACCACCTTTGTTTGACTGTCTTTTTACTGTATATATTGTAAAAGTGGTAGGTCGAGATACGTGCGTCCCGATAGCATGTTGTGAAGGGGAACTGGAGGAGAAAACTAATTAGATCATATTGTAATATATCATTTATAGAGAAATCGGATTTCATAATGGTTTTGGGATTGAGATTATATAAATTCAAATATATATATATAAAAAATTGATTATTATAAAAGGAAAATACAAAAGCTTTTCTTTTATATCTAATTATAAAAGGTTATATAATTGATTAGTTAAAAACCCCTATGTATCTGGTTTATAATTCCAACTTTCTCATAATATATTTGATCCCACCAGCTCATTAATATTGAGCATTTATATGTTCAACCCCGTATTATTACTCAGCAGGTACTCGGCAAAACTCTATCCACCCATTCCAAGTGAATCAACTTAAATCTTTAGATCCTACAAATATCTTGTGTAGAGATCCCATCCATTACATCTCTATTTAAGAGTCCATCATTCACAAGTTATTAAATCAAGACTTAGAGATAAGATGAGTCTTTGGCAAGCGGCTACATTACCTTTAGCAGCTATAAAGAATGTGTAGGTTGAGAGTATGGCATCAATGGAAGAAAGATGGAAGGAGCAAATGATATATCTGGATAGGCATAGGTACTATTGTTGACGTCTGACAGTGATTAGACTGATAACTGTTAGAAAAATGAGAATGACAAGCGAAGAAGGTAGTGCAAATACCAGGCTCGGAACAGTGACTTCGGACAATATCATTTACACACCAATCTCCCTGGAAAGGGAGGAATTAAGAGACAGTGATGCATAAACCACTAGTATCCTCCACCTATTTGCCTTTTTCCTAATATACCTGTCATATGCTCACCTTTCTTGCTCATTTATTATCTTCCTGTGAACTAGGTTTTGCAACACCCCTCCGGGGATCCCGACTTGGTCTTGTTTTGTTCCTCCGGTGGTTTCTTAATTCCGAAGCTCAAAACTCAAGCTTTAGGTATCCCAACTTTCCATCCAACTCCGCAGAAGGCTAAGAGATCTCATTATTCCCCGCTCGATATTAACTCATTTATCCACCGTGCATGAATTCGAAGACTAATTTATCTTTCAAGTGAGTGTGGTGAAAGAGCCACTGTCTCTTAGGTTTCTAGAGAAGATTTGTGTTAAGCATGCAGCCCAACAGCGGATAGTATACATAGTGAGGTGTTGGAACCAAGGAATTCTATTATCTATCTAGTCTCAAAGGCTCGCCGTCTGAGTCCTGCGCTGCAACAATTCTGCTTTATTTCAACTATATGGGTTGTCCATAAAGTGATTCTATGATCATGGTATCAGAAGTGAGCATGTTTATTCCCCATCAAGAAGGTCTGGAAAAAAAAATCTGTAGAAATTTTGCTAGAAGCCGGCTGTACTTACACCTGAATCAATAAACGACTCTGCGCACTCACTCCAGAAAACTGAAGTGGAGGATTCGGAGATGCTTGTTTAGTGATGCGAGAGGTATTAACTAGCGAGTGAATGCTTATGTTATATCGTGTGGTATAGGTGCATTTTGTCAGTCTTCCATTTAGCAGCCAAGCTGTAACTAACTACCTAGTGAGAGTAAATGTGTGTTATCTATGATTTATTAAATAAAGCCTTTGACACTGAGCTCGGGATATGCATACAACTATCGTCTCTAGACGGAACTGGGGATTTTAAATGGCCAGTAGTCACTTGATAATACAAACATTCCAGGGGATATATCCAAAAAGTGAGTTTGTTGACCCGGGTTTATCGATCGAGTCTGTCGGGGAAGTTGTGCCTTGGGGGGGAGGAGACAGTCCAGATCTAGGGTTTTGGCTCGAACGCAAGCGGAAGGGAGTTTCCCGAGATTCGTATCTTCAGAAAATAGAGTTAGTCATGTCCGTAAATCATCCGCATATTAGTCTCTCATTTAGAACCATTATATATGGGCTCAAATAACCCTACTAACTAGCAGATATTCCTGCCGAAGTAGAAGTAATCGCAGAATCGATGTAATCTTACTTACAAGTAGAATTACATCCAAGGATCACAGCCTCACATTAACACGCTAGCTCTTGCATATAATTTCCCCGTTCAAAAAACCTCAGGAAGAACTAAACCCGATCGTCATGATTACCTGTGCATGTCGCACAAACTTTAAAATGTTGATTTCGATTTTCTTCTGTCTAGAAGTATTTAACGGGAATTATCAAAGCAATCTAACATCGCACTTCCCAATAATCCATCAACATTACAGCCAAATACCAAAGATACCCTCTTAATCAACACCTTCGTACATATTTCCCTCTTTCCTCCCAATTCTCCTCCCAAAGATCTCAAATGCAGCACTCTTTCCATCATTTCTGTCGCGTGTCCTCTCAGATCGGGAGATTTTTTCAAAGTTATTTCCTCCAAGTACGACACGCAACGATACGTCGAAATGAAAATTATGTAATGTATAATACTTGGCAAGGTTTAAGATGGTATTTGTTGTATTAGTGGTATTTGTGCTGTGGTTGAAGAATTTCTGACCTCCTGAAATTACCGAGCGGCTTAACTTCGGGGTTTGAGGTTAATGTTGAGTAAGATGTCTTTTGGTAATTGTTTTCTTTACATCAGTACTAGTAGCTATTGTTGTCCTATGTGTTTTCGAATAGTATACTAAATTGCGGTATTATTTAACGTCTCTGGGAACGTGGGTTGATGGATGGGAAGGATTTTGAAATAACTTTTTGCTGGGATTGATATTTTTTGAGGATCTCAATGTATATATTCTCGGGGCGGTGTATTATAGCATGGTATCTTTTTGAGTTCTTTCAATTCTTTGGATACTTTTCTAAAAGATGATTCGTAGTTGAGGTTTTTTAGGGGATCTTTTCCTTAGTTTAATTATAATTTAACTTTCGACCTGTATCTTTTTCGAACAGTATGTCATAATGTGGTGTTTCTTAAGGTTTGCGAAGAGCTTTCATGCATATGTTGTAAGGATTGAGGGACTTGGTTACTTTTCTTTTGCTAAGACTTATCACTCTTTGCTATCAGGAGGTCCTTTTGTCTATGGAGTGCTATCGTGTAGTATTATTTGGGGGTTCTCGGCCCTGTGGAATGGTAGGATCTGCAAGACTTCCACGTAGCGTGGCAATCATGTTCTTTGAGGTCCTGTTATCAGAAAGCATTTGATAATGAAGGAATAACGATATATTATTCTATTAGGTCTGAATGAAATTCATATAGTACTTTTTAATCAAGATATATTATAATATATTAACCTGTAAGGCCTTCTGAGATATTTTACCTAGAAGATATTTGATAAGTTTTTAAAGATGTTATTTATAACAATACAATAGATGAGATCATAATATAATAAAGAGAGAAGTTAATGTTGGTATCACTCCGGTGATACTACTCACATAGTACTATTATAGTATGTGTTGAATGCTAATTGATTGTAACTATCTACGAAGAAGAGGCCCTATTTATATTGAAGAGGGAGGGGCTAGAACTAGCTAGTTATACGGCTCTCTTTGTGTATGGTTTCCTTTCAAGGTGAATCACATGATGTACCAACAGTTAATTAAATATCAAGATGAGACCTTTTCTATTATATATAAATTCAGATAAAATAAATATTTTAAAAGATTATAAAAGTAAAAATTATCTTTTTTATTTTATATTAATATTAATTATTATAATTATAAATAATAAATATTTAATATATATAATAAAAAATGAAATAAAATAAAACTAAAAAAATTAAATTATATAAATTAAAATTATTATAAAATCTTATATTAAAAAAGATTAATTATTAACTTTTATAATAATTCAATTATTATAAAACCTTTGAAACCATTGACCTCTTTTCAGCTAGCCGACATTCTGTATTCGGAGATCTTAATATTACAACGGTGTAACATACCCTATATCATATGATCAATTAGTTAATGGAATTATGTAACAAGTGTCACCTGATCCGAAAGCCGATCGACTTTTGGAATACGAAGGTCTATATAATCAGGATGGATTTCCTTACTGTAGAGCTTCGTACTTAAGATTAATTGTATAGTATAATCTACTATTAGTTACGAATTGTATATTATTACCATCGTTACTTAAATCCCTGCTTGACGCCTAGTTATAAACCACCTCGAGAGCCTAGAGCACTTCCACATGATCTAGACGGCAAACCTCGTAACACTTAACACACTCTCTCTTTCTTTTTCTTTTTAAATTATTACTTTTGAATAACTCTTTATTTGATCGTTTAATATAGATTTTTAATCACTATTTAACAAAATTAATATTATCAAAATCCTAATATCTCATATTCTATACAAGTCTACATATACCTGTTTATAAAATTATCACCGTCATATCATCATATATCAGCCTCATTGTGGCGTTAACTCTATCTCTATGAAACGTGCATATACAAACCGAGGTATCTGGATCCATCTCCGCATTTTGAAATCCTCTACTTTCTTTTTGATAGTTTAAAAAAGTTAAAAACGAAATTGAAGTTGATATCACTAGAAACGTCTTGTTTTCTTCTTTTCATCTCTCGATTCTCGACCTCTATTTATTATTATTCGAACTTATAGTAGTATACAAGTAGAATTTAATTCATTGTTTTGTTTTCAATTACTAACTAAGATGACGATACAAAACCCGGAGATCATTTTATATCATTACAGATCCTCGCCATTTGCTAAGAGGTGTGTTCACTGTTCATATTTCTGCTTTGACGGCCTTGGGAACTTGTGTTAATATTCGAATAGAATTGTATGGTATTTGAACCTTCGTGGAATTCCATATGCAGAATGTGTAAGTCTTCCATCGTGTATCTACTCAAGTCATGAGAATCATTAGAGGAATGACGTTAATACTCGATAATAGCTTCAAGGCATGATCATGCCCAGGCCTGATATTGAAGCTTTAGGTACCAAGTATCGTCGTATACCTATCGTCGTCATTGGTCGTAACATATACAATGATACACGATTGATTCTTAAAAAGCTTGAGAAGCTCTATCCCGATCATCCCCAAATATCAGCGTCGTCAACTTCTTCACCCGATCAAATGGCGATTGAAAAACTTCTTGAATTTTGGACTGTTGATGGTTTGTTCTCACGAGCAGCACAGTTGATACCAACGAATTTACCATTGATGAATGATCCCAAGTTCACTTCCGATCGAGAGAATTATACTGGCAGGAGCTGGAAGAAAGATAGTCTTGCTAGAGGAAGACCTGAAGCTCTGGCTGCTTTGAAAGGAGCTTTTGAATTCATGGAAAATACCTTCTTTTCAGACGATCGAGATTGGATACTTAAAACTTCAAATCCAACGTTATCGGATATTGAAGGTATGACGACATGAAGACATTGTCATGATAGTCCCATGCTAACTATGAAGTACAGCTATTTGGCCATTCCATTGGTTGAGCACAATACCTGGTGCATTACCAGAAGACTATATTTCAGGCCAACAATTCCCTAAAACGTTTGCATGGATAGCGAGGTTCGATAAGGTAACTCGATTAGCTGCAGAGAAGGTTCCAAAAGCTAGAAGGCTCCTAGGATCCGAAGCGATAAAAATAGTGTCGACATCGGACTTTGTGGAGATGGATGAGATAGTGGATGCTCTAGATCCTACCGGACTTCAAAAGGGACAGGAAGTTGAAGTCTGGCCAATTGATACTGGAATGAACAATAGGGATAAGGGGATGTTAGTAGGACTTTCATCTCAAGAGATTATCATAGAATCTCAAACGAAAGATGGAGTGAAGGTTAAAATTCATACTCCTCGTCACGGGTTTAGGATTAGGGGCATTAGTAAGGGTGGTGGTGGAGGAGGAAATGCAGCGAAACTTTGATGCCCCACAATTGAATTGGATACGGGTACTTGGGATTTTATTCGGAGATCGGAGGTTGGTCCGGCTAAGTTAATTATAGTATAGTACGGTACGGTACTACTCAGGAGGGGAAGAAAGTGCAACTCTGGCATCAAAATGAAGGTCGTTGGGAGATGAAAAGGCAAATTCGCGATTTGTGGGATGGATGATACAAGCATGGACATGAAGTAGATTACCCAACCTTATTCGATTGGACGACATCCAGTAAGCAAGTCAGTTTTCTCATTGTATTTACAGGACCTCTGTACTCAATTCTGCGCCTACGCCTCGAATATTGGATTCTGCGTTCGAAATGGCATACCGTACTTAGCCCCGACTTGCTTGCCACACGAAGATATAGGAGGAAGAGGCACTCAACACAGAACACAGCACCAATTAAATTTACTAGGTAGACTGAACTGATATCTGCGAAATGGGTAAACTGTGTATCAATAGAGACCGACATCAACAAATGTGGAATACATAAAGACCAAAGAAAAGCAAAGGGATGCCAGACTCTCGAGAGATTGACTCGAACACGACTTACTCCTGTACACCACCATAATGAGCATTGTGAGAGTAGTGAGTCGAGTGCATTGACTTTGTCTGATATGTTTGAACATCCTGTCTTGGCAAATCGATTCGTCTGGAAATATTGAAAACCTCGGCTTACGGCGTACCTTATCCCGCCTAAGGATTATTGGAATGTGGATGTAATTTCAATACTTTATCGTCTACCGTACTCTTAACCTTTTTCCCTCATTTTTTCTTTCTAATCAAGGAGATGCTGTTGACGAAAATGGGTTAGAGCTCACATCAACACAATGGATTTAACCAGAAATGCAGGTCCATGATTGGATGGAAATGGAGTGGGACATGGCTTTAAAGCCCGCGCTAATTGAAAGGCACTCTTCAAAATCAAAACAAGAGTCAGCGTCATCATCTTTCGTCATCGTTTTTTCTCCTGCACAATTATTTTCCCCCCAAAGTCACGACCGCCAAAGAGAGAGAGAGAGAGAGAGAGAACTCGAGCCCAAAAAAGAAAAAGAGCACAAACAGCCTCGAATAATCGAATAATCGGAAATCATTTAAAAACCTTATCTCGAGATAAAAATAAAAGGCAGAGCCTCATTTAAACATCTGGAGATTGGATTGTTTTCATTTGAAGAGAATTTCTTCGAGAGGTTATCGATGAAATTGATAATTAATAGCTACCTACCCAGTCAGTATCTACCTATTGAATAAAGGAATTGGGAAGTTTTCGATCGACTTGTATTAAGAGGGGACGGCTTCCTTTTCCAAGACGACCGGTCGCAATTTTTCATTTTCACGCTTTTTCGCAATCGAATCCATCGAAAAGGAAGGTTACGTCACCGCTAATTATCAAGCCTTTGAATCTTTGAAAGTTTGAAGGAAGAAAGAACGAAAGAACGAAAGAAAGAAAGAAAGAAAGAGAGAAAGAAAGGATATCGGTAGTCCATCAGATAGAATTTGGTTGATTGATTGATGATTGATTGATTGACTACTACTTATTAATCAAAAGGAAAGGAAAGGAAAGGAAGAAGCAAAGGAAGAAGAATAGTAACCTTAGGAGTCATAATTCCTAAGAGTTATTCTTTTCCCCGCGTCTTTATATCTATCTATCATCTAAAATAGGTACGTACCCTCCTTTTTAAAGATTCTGACATCATTCGAATCTTGTTTCTCATCTGAATCCACAGCCAAATCCGTCCATCCAACTTGATCAAGATAGAGGGTAGCCAAAGTCGCGAAAACACAGCAAAGCAAAGCAACAATAATAATAGCAATAGCGCAAAATCCAGAATCCAAAATCCACAATCCACAATCCAAAATCCAAAATCCAAAATCCAAAATCCAAAATCCAAAATCCAAAATCCAAAAAGCAACCCAAACCCAACCCCAACCCCAACGCAATACGACACAACACAGCACAACACACAACACACAGGCACACGCGCGCACACACATCGTACATCAAACCAACCATCTTAATTGAAGATCGATCACTTTAAACTTTCGAAATCCAATAATCATTTATATAAACGGAGTAAAGGCTGGAATTGGGAATATCTTCTCTTTTAACGGCTTGAGCCTCAAGGAATAAATCCATCTCCACATCACCACCGCAAACCAATAATTACATTCCTACAGTGCTGAGAGTACTAGGTACAGTACTGCGAACCTCAATCCAACCTAACCATCCATTTATACAGCCATACAACTACACCCTATCTACACACGCTATCTACTCTGCGGTATAAAATTTACACCACTTTCGTCATCATCGTCATCGTCGTGTAAAGGGCAATCGATACTGTAACAAATTCCATCATCTATCCAGCCAGCCACGCTATCTTGAACTCAATTCATTGCGTCGTCTGACACCTGCTACGTCTCCTTGGTGGTCATTCCTCTTTCCTTTCCCATCATGGTGTCCTTTTCACAAAAGATCGACAGTCCTATAGATGATAATTTTAAACCTTCAGGCAAGCATTCCCTTTAATTGACCCCAATCCTTTATCTCTGCTTCCATTCAACTTCATCCATCCAATTCAGTTCACTTACTTACATCCTTCTACCTCGTCATCAACAATGATATGCTATACATTAATGACTAGACAACTAACATATTTTCTTCAGCAGGCGACTCAATAATACCAGATGCCACAGTAAAGCCTGTACTGTTAGAGGCAAGTCGACCACTTCCAAATCCACCCGTGCCGTCGCGCAACGAAGTGAGCGATTATATTGCAAAACGGTGTAATAAACTTGAAGAAGAAGAAAATCCTTTCGATTCTCAATTTGGAGGTGGTCCTGCGAAACCCAATCTAGCCAAAACTCCTGGTGGTACCCTACTACCTTCGATTCAAGCTTTACAATCTGGATCCTTACCTGGTTTTAGTAATATGGAAGGATTACGGTCGGGTCCATTGAGTCCCAATATGCTCGCTGGTCCAAAAGAACCTGCCGATGATTACTTCTCCGGAGATCATAATATGATTGAGGGTCCAAGGGGTTTCACTCCAATGGAATCTGCTTTGAGGCATGAGAGGATCTTGCCATCACCAGGGAATGTTCTAAGTCCTGGCAATCCATACTCATTGAATTCAAGTTCACTCATTGGAGGAATTGCAAGTCCAGGAATTGGAATGTATAGCGGTGGAATTGTCGCAACACCTGGAACGGCCGACTTTCAGCGGACTGCTTCCGAAATTCGTCAGCGTCAAGTTGCCGCTAGTCTTAATGAGCAAAAGAGAGATATGAACATTACTTCCCAGCCCCAACAGATGAACGAAGGTAATCGTAATGACATGACGGACTATCCTGGGGGTGATTACACTGCAGCCCAGAGCCTCCACATGTTGGCTAATCAAGCTTCGGCATCATCTCGGGATTCCTCGCCACATTACAACATTGCCCTGGGCCAACCACGACAAGCACAGACCTCGACACAAAAAATGTTATTAAATCGAAATCAGCAAACTTTGAACCAACAGATGAACCCTATGAACCCTATGCAAGTCAATGGCCAAATGGCTGGTCGGCCAAACAACCCATCTATAATGAATGGTCATTCTATGGATTCGAGAGAAAGGAACAATTCCGTAAACTCAAACTCATCGAGTCCGGTGAGCAATGGCAATAGCATTGGTTATGATAATGACATGAACGGAAATGGTTCTCAGTCAATGGGCAAAAAGAGGGCAACCACAAAGCGAAAGGCAAGCGCAAACAAAACTCCACCAAAGAATAACAAAAGGACCAAGGGGGGTAGTAACGCCTCAAAGAGGGATGATGATATGAAGAATGAAGAATTTACAAATGAAGACCTAGATAACATGGATGATCAGGGTGATTTCGAAGAGAATGAAGAAAACAACAACAACAACAACAACAACAATGGCAAACCCAAGAAACCTGAAACAGATGATGAGAAACGGAAGAGTTTCCTTGAACGAAACAGGTTAGCTTTTTTCTTCATGATATATGATTCTTCATGCTAATTAATTTTCAGGGTTGCTGCTCTTAAATGTAGACAGCGTAAGAAGCAATGGCTCAACAACTTACAACAAAAAGTTGATACCTACACCAACGAAAATGAGGCTCTACAACAAAGAATCCAACAAATGGGTCACGAAATTATTCAACTTAGAACCATGCTTTTGGCTCATAAGGATACTCCGATTGGTATTCAACAAGGTATCGCGGCATTTGTTCCACAAATTTACGAAGAGATGCCACAAATGCATCAAGCTCAAAATCCATATGGTATGGCTGGAATGCAACCATCTCAAAATCCTGCCATGCAGTAATCTATGATTCATGGTTTCAAACAAATGTGTCACGCTAGGGCCTTCATGAATTCGAATTTCTTGGATTTACGAATATGCTCCTCAACACGGAAATAATTTGTATCATAGATTTCTTCTCGACTTTCTTTCATACATCATCTGGAGCTGGAATCGAAGGAAAATTCTTCTAGCTTACAGGTATGATCTTCTTCCCATTTATACATATTTTTTCTCTTACACTTAATTATTGACAGAGTCCAAATGCCGGATTCTATTCTATTCACGATTAAAATGTGCATACATGGTTGGGGTATGAAACCATACTTTCGGCGCTGGGGAGGATTGGAGGTTATTTTATTGTTTACCAGGACTGGTTTGACAAAACGTATATGCATACATGTACTCGAACTTAAAAGAGGTTTTGGTTCTGAGATATGGTTGGGTTGCGCGCATGGTAGGGCATGGTGATGGGGTATTTGGTTTATTCATTCAATTCATTCATTTTTCTTATCTTAAATATTTGAGACTTTTTTTGGTCTCCTGGAAACGAAATGGATTGGACTGGAGTTGAAGGGGAAAAAATCCACTTCGGGCGAATGGAGTTTTTTTTTCCTCGAGAGAAACAAAATTTTGAATTGAAATGATTGTAATGTTATTGAATGTTGATTGATTTTTTTGATTTTGTAACTTGTGAAACTTGTGAAAAACCTGTGTTGTGTGACTTTTTTTCTCATGGTGGGTGATTTTCAGATTTCGTTCTTTATGTACTTGAATCGCTTATTTTTTATTGACCAATCGCTAATTTAGCTCTGCGTATCTTGATATCTTGAGGAAGGAAGAAAGAGGAGATGAGGTTTGGGGGTTTTGTAGGCTATGCTATTGAGAAGGTCCGGATGTAGATGTTTTGGGGTGGGAGGTGAGTATAAGAATAAGAATAAGAATTAGTTTAGTATGAGTATGAGTATAATAGAGAAGGGGAATAGGGATGGGGAGGAGAAGGAAAGGAGAAGGGAAGGGAGGAGAGGATTGTTTGTTTTTTATTATTATTTGATATGTAAGATCTTAGATAGGTTGTAGGAGTAAGGTTTGGATAAGGTTTGGATTTGGATTTTGAGGGGAGGGGGAAGAAGGATAGAAGGGTGTGAGGGTAGGAGGGTAGAAAATATATATATATTGTGAGAAAGTTGGAATTATAGGTCAAATATATAAAGGTTTTTAATTAATCAATTATATAATCTTTTATAATTAGATATAAAAAAAGAACCTTTTGTTTTTTCTTTTTATAATAATTAACCTTTTATATATATATATTTGAACTTATATAATATCAACCCCAAAACCATTATGAACTCCGTTTTACCTATAAGTAATATATTACAATGTAATCTAATTCAGCTTTCTCTTCCAATTCCCTCCTCACAGCATGCTATCGGGACGTATGTATCTCGACCTACCATTTTTATAATATATATATATATATATATATATAAAAAGAATATAAAAATATAAAAATATAAAAATATAAAAATATAAAAATATAAAAATATAAAAATATAAAAATATAAAAATATAAAAATATAAAAATATAAAAATATAAAAATATAAAAATATAAAAATATAAAAATATAAAAGTTTAATATATATATAATATTTTATATATCTTTCAATCTATATAATTTCAATTTCAAATTTATAAAATCTATTTTCTTTATAAATGAGATATTATTATATAATTTAATTAGTTTTCCTTTTCAATTCCTCTTAGATTATATAAAGATAAATTATAAAAGATATATCTATGTTCAAGATTATATTCATAAGAACTTAAGAATATAAAGGCCCTATATGCGAATGTAAATAGACACTTAGTAGCGCCTTAGTTCGAATAAGTCTCGGGCGTATGTATGTATTTCAGTAGAAGTTTAATTGTTACAAGACTTCTTTAATAAGCTAAGCGAGGTTTATCCTCGCGATACTCGAGGGAACAATGAGCTCAGATCTGTTCGACAAAAGCTGTGTTGGAACTCAAATTAGACTACATATAGTAAATTTCTTCAAGTTTTGAAAAATTCATACGAAAGCTAAAAGGTGATAAAGTTCGAGAGGTATGTGTGCTCGGTATGGAAGGGGAAGCTTAAGGAGGTGCTCTTTCCTTAGAAAAGAGACGTGAAGAAAGTATTATTAAAGTTAAATGAGCGGATGGAAGGGAAGGAAAGGAAAGAACTACTGTCTTTTAGGTATATCTTAAATTATCTCGTTTGTTCTCAAAACCTTTCTCTCTTTGTCGTACATGAGGTACCAGAGTTCAATTCCCGGTTTCTGCAAATTCAATTCAATTCAATCCAATCCAATGCAATTCAATTCAATCAAATTCAACCCAATAAAACCCAACCCAATCATTCCTTCACCTTCTCCCGGGATGTATACCTGGATATTTGATGCTCGGAAGAACGTAGTGGACTGGTACTATATGATAACAAACAAGACATCCGAAATTTGGAATAAGAAAAGAAAACTGTCCAAAACCAAGGTCTTCTTTCTTCTGTTTCAGCTGGCAGTATTTTCTGTTTCCTGGTGGGCCACCAAGAGGTGGGCCCTCGGTAGTGACCTGGTTCCGGCCCTGATGGTTTGCCAGTCTTTCTCGTCGCTTCTGATCTTTTTGGACCTCTTGACATTGTTCTGGGATGGCCTTGATAAATTGACCTTTTCTTTCGCCATTTTCAACTCCGCCATTGCCTTCTTTTGTCTGATTAGCATGGTAAATGTGAACTTTAAGAAGAAGAAAGACAACGCGCAATAGAAAGAAGGTACTAGTGAAAGGGTCCCTTTCATTCTAGCCCTAATAGATTTCTTATTGATTGTGGTTGTTTACATACAACAAAAAACCATTGAGTCCAGTGAATAAACCCCTTGAGCGGGATGACCTAGGAGTCGCATCCGAGGGCAGCTGCATGGTGCTGTTTTGGAATTCGACCATGTTTGCACCGAGTTCCAACGGCCAAGGGACCGTTTCCCGAGCCCCTACCGAGTTCAACGTTCACAGTCGTTGTTTGGTGTAAGTATTCGAGGGACTGTCAATCATCACTAGACAGCTTCCCATATGTTCGAGCTGGGTATATCCTTGCGAACTCGAAGAAACAATGAACTCAGATCTGGTCGACCCATTAGCTGCATGGGAAGTCAAAGACGACCAGGTCGCCTCCTACAAATATCAATTCAACCTCAATCAATGCTATGTGAAGATCTGCATATAATCATTGTCAGATTTCTTCGCCTGTAGGAGATTCGGATATCATTCTCATTCAAATATCCTTTGGATAATACCATCAATCAAATATCCTCACTTTCGAAAACACAACTTATCGAAACCCCGCTCATCTGCTTGTTCAAACATTCTCCTCAAAAAACTTTCCCTAAGCAAATTCTTTGCTTTGGGCAAAGCTGGGCTTAAACAAATTCAGACTTGAGATCCACAATCAACTTTATCTCAATGTCTTAATTCGAAGCTAAGCAATCAAACCTTTGGACAAACCACTTTGCTTGCTTCGGCTGTCATCTCAATTTCAAGTTCGAAATCAAAAAATCAGAACTTTAAATCGACTAGTTTACCCTGACAGTTGCCTCAAGATCTGCAATCAAAGTTATATGGTCAAGGCTCTTGATTTATTGCTTTGCGAGAACATCATCTCTTCTTTGTTCATACTCCAATTTGATATAAAGGTTCTCTTGCCTCGAGCTCACTTGTCTCATATCTGTGTAGCTGAGGACTGTCACCCTGCAATAGAACGACCGCATAATGGCATATCATTTTCACGGAAATAATAAGTGCATCATTTACTTCTCGGTGTAGAACTCGTTCGGCTACTAGCTTGTCGGGGCACCCACTTCACTGGAACACCCTATGCATAGGAAGTAATTTCTTCAATATAATATTGGGGAGTGGAAACATACACTTCATCGCAACGATTTCTGTAATGGGACCTCATGGAAGGGAATGAACACTTCACCAAAACGATCTCTTTATTGGACCATCCTGGATTTTAAACCCCTCAGTTCATTACAACAGTCTCTGCATTGATATCTCATAGTATCAAAGGCTGAATTCACCGGAATTTTATATTTCCGTTAATTTGTTGGAGAATCAAAATACTCATTTATGGAAAACATTCTTTTCGTGGAACCTTAACATCCTCTTCGCCGGAATAATCCCTTGATTGGAATGCTTTGCATTGAAATCCCTTCCGTGGGAGCTTATTGGTCGGGATTGGAAAAGTCCTCGTTAGATCAGACGATAGAATGCTTCCTTCGATCAACCACCGAAACCCAGAATGCTCTCCGCATCAAAGCACTCGAGGACCCTGCTTGAAGACTCTATCCGTTAGGACATACTTTGAAGTAGGAATGTCTTGTTAACAGAAGATTCGCTGAAGTTATTTGAATGGTTAAATTTGAAAAGATTCCTCGACAAGAATACCCAATAGAGACGTTCGGCACATCCATACTTTGTGGAAATAGTTGCTGGTAATTGGAGTATTGTTTGCAGTAAGGGATTCTGTTCTGCTCAGAAATTCCCTAATCGCTACAATATTCGCTGGAGAAGTATTGCTAGACAATGATTAATTTGATTAATCTTCTTGGGTTCTTGGGGAAAATTTTCATCCCAAATGCTTGCAGTCACATATCCTCGACTGAAAACTCACTCGCGATTGTGTCTTTCCTTTCCCTGGTGTACTTTCTGCCATTCGGTTACTAAATTTGTTGAAAGCCTTACTTTATTGGGATTCTCTCGCCTCCAAGACGACTATCATATGTCCTATTCAAGTGTTAACGGATAATTTTCCGGTGAAGTGTTTTAACGGACTTCATGTTGTGGAATTTTCTGGACATTCAAATCAAGGTCAGCATTCCATTCGAATATACTTCGAGAACGACTCAAATATTGTAACGTCAGAACAAGAGTGAAATTTAACATAGTTTGAGAGTATTTAAGACTGCTGTCAAATGATTCGAAGGTCTGTCTTTATCCTCTTCGGAGTGGCTCTTTCACCAATTTTACCATGGTGATCATGAAGTCAAGAATCAAAATGGGTATGCAGCGGCAATAAGTTGACTATCTATTTAGCTTTTGCACTTTTGGCAACATGAAGCATCATCAAAATCAAACATATCAGATGACGCTTTATTGCTTCGCGATAGCTGCGATACCATAACACTTGCACTTGGATGTTTGAATGTTTCCAGCTACCTTCTGACCTCCGGGAAGAAAGGTTTCAAAATGCTTTTATTTCAAAAGGTAAGTATCGTATTCAAATGTTCAACTTTAGTCAAGCTCACAGGTTCAAGGGCAATCATAACGGTTACAAGGTATCAGAAGTGGTAGGATTCAATCACAGGGCTTTCCTTCCATCCAAAAGCCGCCAAAAATCGAAATCTATTGAAATACAGCCATTAGCACGTCTCGCTTGTTTGTGTTAAACCCTAATGATAGCTGGAGTCCATTGCAGAGCTAATGACTAGGCTACTGACGGGACGAGTCCCGTGATCACACACTTTTCACTTTGAAACTAATTATAAAAACCTGAGGTAACTTTATTTCGTACTTTACTCCTCGTTTTCTCGACAGCAATAACAATCACTGCATTCATTCCAACTACCAAAGGTACCGCAACAATTTTTAAGATTGCTCAGCTTGAACCGATACTAATAAAAAAATCGTGTTTCAGATTTGGTACTCGATTGGTATAATACATAGAAATACGAACAGTAATATGGCCTTTTATTGGATTTATGTGGTAGAAGCTGCCATGATACTCCATGCCTTCATGATGTTTCTCTACGGGATAGACTATGCTAAGATGTATCAACTTCCTAAAGCAGAGGATCAGATGAGAGCAAGAATACTTTGCGACTTATTGCAGACACCTCCAAGTAAACGGTTCGAGAGAATTCTGGATTTGTGCTTCTTTCTCGTCTCGAATGAAAATGAGAAAGAGATGCTTCATTTACCCAATGAAGTCCTTTCGGAAATTTATCAACATCTTGAGAAAAGAATCCGGAGGGAGCGGTTGCTTGAGGAAGAGCCTAAACGCTTTATGGTCTTGACTGAGAAGGAGTTTAAGCGGTATAAGTCTTCTGAAAGCTCTTGGGATAGTGGAAGCACTGAGGAAATCTTAAAATCTTGGGATATCCCGACGGTGGAACGGCCCATGGGACTCGAGAAGGAGATCGAGAGAGTTCAGAAGCGTATTAAGGACCATAAAAATTCCAAGGAAGACACGGATAAGGAAGGCGTGGGGGAAATGTTGAGTGGAGAAGCTTCGCTTACGAGGATGGAGATGTCGGATAATGTTGATCTTGAAAAGGGACTTTGAATGGAATGGGGATTTATGACATGGGCTTCATTATTATGAAGACTGGTCGCTTAAAGAGAGCAGCATATACAAATTCGAAATTCAACCTATCCAAGTTACGAAGTAGATTGACAATAAGCAGTTGTTTCAATGTATGAAAGTTTGAGTCTTTAAACACAGTAATCTATTCATTTAACAAATCTTTCTAAGTGGTACATAATTCATACCACTCTTGATGAAATAATACATAAAATGGCAAAGATGTGGAAATACTTCGAATTTTAGGTGGGTGTAGCTCAGGAATTTAGGCATAAGCTCAAGGTCAGTTTGAAGCTTGATTTTAGTTTGAGGTGGAGATATCGTCATCCACTGTAAGATACTTTATAATCTGTAGTTGAAATGTAAAAGGACTCAAGACATCCTATTGCTTTGGAGCACCTTCCGATCTGAAGACAGCAAATATACCTGCTCGCATTGCTGCATTGGTTATCAGCACGTATTCCTTCTTTGTCACTTGGTCACGCGTATTCCCGTTTGAAAATGGACGGGTCAACCAGTTAGCGCTTGCCCGTTGTGGCGAAGTTACCAGCATATGCATTCATTATGGAATTGAGCCAAGTGAAACATCCTACCATTGGAACCTGCCACTCTATCTCCAAAATAGCTATAGCTATGGCTTTAGCCGAGTAGCAAAATTGTAGATGACTTTGTTAACTTTGCTGAGGTGCTCTGCTCTTCTCCTGTTATGGCGACAACGTATCCTGCTGGTATACGCTTACGAATCAGTCTCCTTCTGGTAAGCTGGGAAATCAACTGTCTGGCAATGGCGATTTCTTTCAAAAACAGTAGAGACTACAAGATCTGCCTTATCAATTCGACTCAAGAAATCGAGACGGCCGAGCGCGCTTGGGATTTTCTCGAAGGCTTGTTCGTAAAATCTAATTTCCATCAATGAGGAATTCTAGTAGTTTCGAATGATTTTTCCGGATTACTTCTCCCGGACTTTACAGATAAGGAGAAAAATATGATTAATGGCATCAGTGATGTACTTGTACACTGCCGAATTCTACTTTGATCAGTACTCATTCTTACTACTGTTTTGCACTGTCCTAATATTTGCCATAATTGCAAAGTATAGTTATCTGACATCAATCAAATAGCTCCCGAGCGGCAATCGATATCTGTGTACAGAATAGCAACAAGTCTTAACGGTCCCTTTGCACTGGTTCAACCTACAATAATCCAGCCTCGGCTAACGGATGGGTGGTTGGCACCGCAGCAGATTCTTTGTCACCCTGGCTGCACAACACAGAGTGGGTGCCTGCCTTTCTCCACTACAACGCCGACGAATGGAAGCAGAAAGGCGGAATCACGATGATCGAATTTGGTTCTGCAGAGCCTTTCGAAGGTGCTAAGATAAACAAGGCTGACATCGTTTTCGATCACAAAGAGTACGTCGAAGGATTTTAACTGCACTCAATGTAGACGAGTGTTTGGCTTGGCCGATCCTCGATAATCTGGAATGGTGTACGGGGTATGGGAGCAAGTTTTGGATACATCGAGTTTCACTCATTGTCAGCAGAAAGAAAGTTACACTGACCGGTACTAGATACGTCAATTACACGGGGCAAAGAGATGATACCAGGCAATCTTCTTCGAGCTTGTGAATATGTTCAAGGTTTATACGCAAGGTCCTGCAGTGCCACATTGTTTATCTTGATATTGTAGGGCGCCCACAGGCTGTCTTTCCTTGCTGGCTTCCCACATTTTCAAGGTCTAAATATCCGTGAGAGATGTGAGGCGGCAAGGTCAAGGAGCCCATGAGGAAGGAAATCGTGCGAGGAAGCGATCTGGGGAACAACGTACTGCCGCACATATAGGGTTGGGCACTCTACGTAAAATAGAGCATTGCTACACGTAAAGTGTAATCACGATTAGTATTGTTATCATTCATTTTATTTTTTGTATAAAATTTTGAATCAGTATAGATTTTTGAAGTTATTTATATATTTGTTTTAATGTAGATAAGGATTAGAAAATGATAATTTATTAAATATAAAAATTGGGATGATAATAATTGGATAAATTAAGAATGATGATTGCCTTTATAAATAATAACAAATCATTTATATATAAAATAACCTTATAAAAACTAAGTATATTATAATCACATAAGCCGTATTATTACGAAATATAAAGCGAGCTACTTTATTACGTTTTGTTCAACCCTACACACATGCCATCTGGAGGGTACACTGCTGAAGCCTAGAATGGTTAATGCTGTGTAGGATTTAATAGTTTAAGGACGAATAGACTCCAATATGCACCCATGGGTGGATTGATATAATCAAAGTATAAGTGTAGTTGTCGAGGCTGAGGGAGTTGAGATGGAAGGCGATGGGACCCGATTCTCTAAGTTATGCACCCGGTGCGCGATCCCGAAAGCGCGTCGAGTTGCTGCGTAGTACTACGTAAGGTCACCGGGTTAGCGATGGTGAAAATGAACAAACGTATCATCGAGATGAAAATAATCATCTATCATCTCTTGAATTATATGGAGGTGGCGGGGCAGTAAGCTACTGTAGTGTTCGGAATTAGAATTGGAGCAATGAGAACCGGCGGAATACGAAATGTGGGACCCGAACCCGAGGTGCGTCAAGATGCGAAGCCAAATTGGTGGGGCAGTTTCCAAATGCGATGCCCTTTAGGGGCTAGTGGCTTTATGGCATCAAGGGTCAATGTAACTTTTAACCCATTTTCTGAGAAAGCTCAAGGTTCCGAGACACAGCCTCGACAGCTACGAATCGCTCCGAACTGATGTGAGTCATGGATATCTTCAATAGAAGAATGAGCAGAATTCTCTGCGCTGCAAGCATTCGATATCACATCAAGAATCGACATCTCATCCCATCAACGGTTTAATCTAAGAGAGAACACTTCGACTAAAGGTCCTGCCGCGGACGCCGACCAAGTTTGACCACCCGCCTCTGCTCCAAGGTTAGATATAAGTTCTTCACGTGCACTCGAAGTCAAACTCTCTTACCTACACTGCTTCATCCGCTCAGACATCACATCAATCCAGGCTTGCGTCGGTCGCAGGTTGTGAGGTCGTTACAAGCTATTCACCATGAAGAAGGGAAAAGGTGAAGAGAAGCATGATTACCAAAAGAGTGCACAGGCACCACCAGATACGTTTGGCGATAGCGAAGGGATTATTGCCAATGGCAGCTGGCACGAAGCCGACAATGCTTCACATGCTTCAGAAGACTTCGATTGGGAGAAGCCGCCAGCCTACGAGTTCCATGGGTCTGGTCCAAACATCGAGACGAGTGTTGTTACTCAAGGTAAAGAAAAGTTCTCTGTTCCAAGATTTTGATTTAGTCAATAGGTTGGGGCACACTGTCCATTACTGACTTTGACCTCTTTCCAGATGATGGGAGAGTTGCCATAAATTTCTTCGCCACTGAGAAGGTACCCATTCCAATTCCAGCAGAGCCGAAACCTTATACCGCACCCAATATTGCTAACTCCAAATCACCGTTTCTGAACATCGTGATTCAAATCGTCGGTAGCAGAGGTGAGTTGTATTGTTGTCTCTATACTAATTACATATCCGTGGCTAAATCTTCATAGGCGACATTCAACCATTCATAGCTTTGGGAAGCGCATTACGAACATCAGGGCACCATGTGAGAATTGCAACCCACGATGTTTTCCGAGATTTTGTCAAAGCGACCGGCTTGGAGTTTTTTCCTATTGGTGGAGACCCGGCATCCCTTATGGCCGTAGGTGAAGTTTGTCTATGCCTCTCTTTTCTATACTAATATTTCACAGTACATGGTCAAAAATCCAGGAATAATTCCAAAGTTCGAAACAATAATGAGCGGTGAGATCTCAGATAAACGCAAGATGGTATATACTATGCTTGACGGCTGCTGGAGATCCTGCATCGAGCCAGATCCGGAAACAAATATACCGTTTGTTGCGGAAGCAATAATCGCCAACCCACCAAGTTTTGCCCATGTGCATTGTGCAGAAGCTTTGGGCATTCCTCTACATTTAATGTTTACGATGCCTTGGAGCCCTACAAGGTCATTTCCTCATCCTTTGGCCAATATTGAACGGTCAGATGCGGATTTACGGGCTACGAATTACTTGTCCTATGCGCTTGTTGATATCATGACTTGGCAGGGGTAAGACACATTTGCTAGGAACTGATGTCGGAAGGTGTGCTAATGAGCGTTTAGGCTTTCCGATGTTATAAACCTGTGGCGCAAAAAGTCACTGAGCCTCGAACGTATACCAATGGCAATGGGCCCTCTACTTTGCGACACCCTTCAAATTCCCTTCACCTACTGTTGGTCACCTGCATTTGTCCCAAAGCCAGCTGATTGGCCAAATTATATTGGTAAGACACATTCTATCGTGCTATTAAAAGACTAACGCAATCAAGACGTGTGCGGTTTCTTCTTCAGAGAAGAACTAGATTATACCCCAGATGCGGAATTAGACAATTTCTTGAGAAGTGGTCCACCGCCTGTATATATTGGTTTTGGTAGCATTGTTATTGATAGCCCAGAGAAGTTAACCAATATCCTGATCGAAGCTGTTCAAGCTTGCGGGACAAGAGCAATCATCTCCCGTGGCTGGAGTAAGCTGGGTTCTGGCCTAAACGAGCATGCCAACCCAGACATTCTTTTTCTAGGCGATTGCCCTCACGGTGAGATTCATATGCGCCTTTTCAGGATTGAAGGACTTGAACTGACGGCTCTCTTTAAGAATGGCTGTTCAAGCACGTATCTTGCGTTGTACATCACGGTGGTGCTGGGACCACAGCATGCGGTCTCCTCAACGGACGCCCAACAGCCATTGTCCCATTTTTTGGCGAGTAAGTTACATTCTGTCCTTCATGCGCCTCTATAATTCCCAGATTCTTGTCGTCAATGCTATGGAATGATATGCTAAGCTGATAATTGATCCCGATTAGCCAAGCATTCTGGGGACAAATGATCGCCGCAGCAGGTGCAGGACCACTTCCTATCCATCACAAATCCCTCAACCAAGGAAATCTCACCCAAGCTATTCAGTACTGTTTAACACCCGCAGCAATGAGCGCAGCCGCCGAAATTTCACAGAGAATGAGACAAGAAAGTGGTGTTCAGATGGCGGTACAATCCTTCCACACAAATCTCCCAGTAGATACCCTCCGCTGCGATATTCTTTCCAATCAAGCTGCTGTATGGCAATACAGTAGCAAGAGCAAAAAGGGACCAAAGAAGACAATCAAACTATCCGATGAAGCTGCTTTCATACTTGTAGAGCACAAGAAGATTGACCCAAAGTTTTTGAAGCTGTATGCCTGATCTTCCTCACGAATTAATCCCATCCTAATTAAGCTCACGCTCTAATCAAACACAAGCTACCAACCCAAACCAATCTCGATCAAAAATCTCCGCTGGGATCCAGTATCAGCCGGAACCCAGGTTCTTCTCAGCACTATGACTGATTTCACCGTCGGCTTCAGCAAGATCTTCACCGGGCCTGCGAAGGCATTTCAAAGCAAAGAGAACGGCGGAGGCGGTAGAGAAGCAGCGAAGACTTTCGGAAAGGGGTTTGGAAAGATGGTGGGTGTTCTTCCGAAAGCTACACTGGTAGATTTCCCTTTAGCTTTGACGGAGGGTCTTCATCATATGCCTAGGTTATATGGTGATGAGGTAAGGGATCATGGCAAGGTTAAGGATTGGAAAAGTGGTGGTGTTGTAGCTGGAAAGGTAGTTCTGATTCTTCTTCTTTAATTCCCTTGGTATAGTGCTTGACTCTTTGGAGCTAACAATTTCTTTGCAGAATTTCGGCTACGGATTCATGGACGGCCTGTCTGGCACAATTACCAAGCCCTACAAAGGCGCCAAAGAAGGCGGCTGGGCCGGTTTCGGAAAAGGAGTAGCGAAAGGCGCAATGGGGTTAGTTACTGGGCCTGGATCTGGCATGTTTGGTCTCTTTGCGTATTCCTTTCTAGGAATGTATAAATCCATTGCTGCCTCTTCGCTGTCGCCGACTGAAAGGAAGATTATATTGGCGAGACAAGTGTATGGGAGTTATATGGCGAGGGAGAGAGATGGAGAGGAAGAGGGAGGGAGGGGCGATGAGGGGGAGGGAGGGTGCTGGCGGGGTGGGAGAGATTGAAAGTTAGTGAGTGAGTTTGAGATTGTAGGAAAAGAGCAGGAAACTGGGAGAATGGGAACTTGCTGTACTTGTGTAAGCAGCTCTTAGTGGGCTTGCGACTGTAGTAGTCAATGGAGTATAGAATGTCGAATCCCGAGTCGCTGGCCATGAAGTATTAATAGCTAAGTGTGCTGTTTTGCTGGGGTATGATATAGCTGCTGTTGGCTTGTCGCTAGTATGATCGATTCCTGGGGAACTGTCATAGGGGTTCCGTTGAGGATAAATGATGCTTTGATAAATGTTCCATCCCGGGGTATTTCGCTTCAAGTGACTGAGGCCTCAATATCAAAATTGCAATCTAGAAATGAACCATCATTTACACTAAAGCTAGGTGATGAGATTATATGAATCTATAAACACTCTCGGTTTTGATAAGACTAATTATATGTGTAGTGTGGTTAAAAGTAGTAGAGAACACGCGCTGCAAACATCCCATTGTGAAGAGTCCGCTGATTGACGTCTTTGATGAATAGTAATATCGACATAGAAGATAGGATAAGCATTAAAGGTGTCAAACAAGAAAATACGAATTTGAAAGATACAGTGTATGTATCAATATTTGAGCCAGCGAGGGCTGGAAAATAAAGGTCTATAAGCTCAAGCCATTGGAATGTAATACTAAGATATTTCAGTGCAGCAGGGTAGGAGAGAAAGTCATAGAGAAATCGTCCCGTCGAAGGAAAGTGGGAGAAAAAGAAGAGAGGGAGGCAAAAGGGGAGCTTTGATTTGTGTGTTCAATTCTTATCTAACATGCATCGTAAGGTGCATACGGAGTTGCGTGATTTATCAGAATTTTAATTCGGAAGTGAAGTGCTAGAATGGTAATATCACCTCACTGTCTTTCGACTAAGGTAAGACTCCCTAAATAGCAACATTGTCGACTATTGTAAAATCAAAGTTTATTAATGCTCTCATTTCCACCTTCCCGTTTCTCTTATTGTGAGAAAGTTGGAATTATAAGCCAAATATATAAAGGTTTTTAACCAATCAATTATATAATCTTCTATAATTAGATATAAAAAAAGAGCTTTTGTTTTTTCTTTTAAAAATAATCAATTTTCTATATATATACATTTGAACCTATATAACATCAACTTTAAAACTATTGTGAATTTTGTTTTCTTTATAAATAACATATTACAATATAATCTAATTCAGCTTTCTCTTCCAATTCCCTCCTCACAACATACTATCGGGACACACGTATCTCGACCTACCACTTTTACATTATACTTCCTATTTCATGGATTATTCCTCATGATTTCCTTTTTCTTTTATTCCTTATTTTATTCTGTATTTATATCACTACAAAAAATATTAGATAGTAACTAGTTGGGATACTTGTACTCACTCCTATCCTCCTATTTTCTCACAGCTTAGAATCATTATTTTTTTCACCACCTTGTTATATTATCCCCTTAATCGATGAGTGATTAGATATGAGATTCCTCTCGCTAAATCCCCTATTAGCGAGTTCTAGGTCAGCCAGCACCAATACAAAGTGTAGCATTTGGTGTATTATATCTTTCCACCAACTTTTGCTTCGTGAGAATATTTTGAGAGACCCTCACTAATAATAGAATTCCAAACATGCACATACATGAATAAGTATGAAGCTTACAGCTCCTTCACAGTATTCTTTTCCTTATTGTAAGACTTACAATCCTAGTGTCTTTGAATGTAAAGTTCATTAATCATCCCTTAATTCATTACTAGTGAAATCTGGTAATGTAGGATTTTGTAATAAATTGAATATCTAAACACCTTCAACTTTAGCAAGGCCTCGACAGATCTTGAGTGATGGAAATATAATTTCCAAAAAAGGAAAAAAAAGCATAGCTATTTCTCCAGCTTGAAGCACGCCCTAGAGGTTCTATATTCACTCCTCGCAATCTGATTCTTTAGGTCCACTGGCCATAATATGATGCCATAATTCCAAAAAAAACCCCCCAAAAAAGAAGAAAAAAACCCCCCGGAATGAAGATGTATAAAAGGATTCAAGTATCAATTATCAAAATAGTACAGTGTACACTCAAGAAAGGAGCTCATCTCGAGGTGGCGCAAAGGATATTTGCGGTTATGACCATCCGAAGTTCTTGATGATGTCCTGGGGAAAGGAAACTAGTAGTTTTAATATCTTTTTAGAATACGGTAGCTTGTCTTTTAAGAATGTATCCTTGTTTTCATTATCATTAGGTCCTCAGAATTTTTGTTTAAAGTGAGATATATATATTTGGCAATGAGGAGAGATCCATGACAGTGATATTGAGCCGGGCTCAAGTCCATGATAAGATTTGAAGAAGTTTGATTATTTATACTAAGATCTTACTTTTTTAAATGAAATATGAAATAATGTTGGAAAATGTCTCTCTGGGAGTAGTGGACCCTAGCACTCTCCCGTCATCTAAGGTCAACATTGCTTACCCTGAAGGAATTCGTGACAGAAGATCGTTTTATACCAGACTATTTGACGTTTCCCTTATTATCCTCGACCCAACGAACTATAGCTAATGAGGCGGAGCATGATTAGGAGCAAATTGGTGAATATAATCAATCCTCCTTCCATATCCTGCTCTCACTTTCATACTCCTACCTTTCGGAATCACAAGCTAGCTAGGAAAAATCCCACAAATCACTATAAATACACACTATATCTGTGGATGAATGAGAACTTCAAAATAATCCTTCCAGTCTAAGGAGAAAAGTCAGGAGATATAGCAGATGTGTAGATGAGAGGGAATTCTCCATTTCCTTCTTTTTCAGATGCAGAAACTCAAAGATTACTCGAGTACCTAGCTTCTTGAATCTTTAACTGGTGAATATGATGTGGGATTGTGCTATCAATGCTATCAGTGCCATCGCAAATCGTAACTCTTGTCATTGTTCCTCATTCTTATCGTCTCTACTCATCGTTACAATAACTCTCACTATGACCAAAGTCTTCCATCACAGTAGACAGAAAACAAACCAGCTTTTGACAACCAGATAGAACGATATCGCTCACGTTATCTTCGTAATGTGCAATGGCATTCGACTAGAAGGCCATACAAGTGTCCCCAGATATTTTCGTGTGCAATGAAAGCATTCCTGGCTCAAGGTCTTATTGGTTATTATCGAGGGGCTACTCTATTTAAGGTTAGGTACGATCCTGTAGATTATATACAAAGCAGGTGCCTATAAGTTAGGGCCATTACAGTCTAACAGTATGACGTCTACAGAATTAGTATTTATACAACTCTAACATCAAAACAAAGCGGGACAACGCTCACAAGAAAAAAAGTGAATGTAACTCCAAGTTATAATCTTGATATTGTAATCTTAGATCAAACGGAGTCCCATAATGGGAAATCATGAGCTATACACTCCACTTAGTTACTCACAATCACAAAATAACGCATCATCTCAACCCTCATAAATTCACCCAATTCACCTATTTCACCCTTCTCCCGCATACATATTTCAACCCACCCACAAACTACCACAAACAAGTCTTATAAAAGCTCTTAGTCATTCTAGACAAATCTAACTAATAATAACATCTAGGAGAAGCTTGAACGACACTAGTAATAGCCCTGAATTTAGATATTGCTAATTATCACCAGAAATGGTAGAAATATACCTTAATATCTATCAAGGGATCAGTGATCATTGATCTCTGATCATTATATTAAAAGTTTAGTAGATATCTGTTATTGGATTTAAAGTACAATGTAAGATTAATATAGATTCTTCTCATCAGATTATAATCTAAATAATTATTTAGATAATTGATGCTATATAGATTGTGCTGGATAATAGCAACAATTCTAAAAAAATAACAGTTATAAGATCTTACTGTCAGATGTAGATTATTTAATATCAACTCACATTCTCATCATTCCGACACTCAAATCATATCAAAAAGCCACCTCAAAATCAAAATAACAAAATACGTAAAACTATATAGACACTCATCATATAGATTCTCCTCGTTGCAATCAGCCCATTTATTCAATCCTAGTTGTATAGAAGAGATGAATAGGAAATCACTTGTGGTTTATATATCCACAGTCTAATTGTTTATTTTCATTTAGATAATATTATTAATTATATCTCCCGAGGAAAAAAACTTTTAGAATAATTCAGCAGTTTTCAAAAAGAAAAGGAGAAATACATAAGTGAATAATCAACTTATAAGACCCTACCCCTCCCTAATCCCCGCTTGATTAGAATAAAATTTCCATCACGGTGCTACTTAAGAGGTACCTAGTATAGATATTAAGGGCTCAGAAAAACCAATAAACCATCTATATTACAGTCTAGACTTCAAGCATCAGTCTGTACAATACAGATCCCACCCTCCTGATAATGCAGCCAGGAATAAATTCGAAAGTGATCTCTCATAACAGATAATTTCTACATATTTTTTTCCAGCCTAACATTTCAGACCTTTGTTCTTGTCTCCGGAACCATAGTACTGTTGTCATAAAGTCATCCTCATCGTCATCGTTATTCACATTCCTGGCCACGTCGTCATTTGCATATGCATCTGCAAATATCTCAACCAACCGCACTCCAGTTACCCAAATAAAATCCTAGAATTCTCTGCCTTCCACCATTTTCCAAATACATCTTGAGTGGTTGATGGAATGTTCTTTGCTACCAGGCGCTTGCGAACATAGCGCCAGGCTGTATATTCTCTCAAAGACACTTACTATTCCCTTTATAAGCTCAAAGATGGAAAATTGGGCGTGAAAAGAACGGAAGCAAAGGGAGTGATGGCTCGTGTTGAATCTCTCCAATTTTTGAAAAGAACGGAACATTTCCTGGACGACAGCTGCAGCACTGATGGGATGTTTGAGAATAAGTACACGCCACAGCACCATTGGATTTGTTTGTATACCTAAAGTCTTGCGTTCAAGCTGATAGATTTATGTATACTACATGAATGGTATAGACACATTGTTTGTTATCAGATACATTTTCTTGATCATTAAAACCATAATCTTATGAAACCATTGAAACTTCTAAACTCCTCTCCATTGCCATCTAAAACTTTCCATAATTCCCAGGTGTTGTTCAAGAAATGTAGAACTCCGAAGGCCGGGTTTCTTGCCTACACCGATATAAATAAAATGACCTGACCGGGTACCCCAGATTATGTCAGATAATTGAAGTAGATCGTGCTTTACAGTTGAACATCTTGTACTAATGAGCAGTAGAATCCAAACTCGATGACTGTATTAATCCCAATCATTCCAACTTGCAATGATTTTCACATTCAACCACTCATTCCAAAGCGACTGTCTTTGGTTTCCATACTGCCCAACTAAAAGAGATCATAAATTTTATAGAAGCAGCGAGCCAAAGGGCAGCGGGTAAACCAGCAGAAGTTTGACTTATCCAACCCCCTGTAATTCCACCGGAAAGAATAGCAAGAACAGCTCCTGCTCTTCTATTCCTCTTGATGTTGTCCCACGCAAGTAACTTTGGATCCGAGGCAAGGTCACAGTAGACACTGGTCAAAACCGTTGTAGGTACTTCATTGAAGCCAAGAATTCTTGATGTAACAATTTGACCGCCAGACTGAAATGCCAGGAATGCCAGTGGTATTAATTCGACAAAATTGACTTTATCCTCGAGATCAAGCAAGGCGATTGGTTCTGGAACCACATTTGTTTGTACCAACAGAGCGGCTATTATTATGCAAATTCCTTGAAATAGGAAGGAGATAGCTAATATTCCGCGACTTTTTCCAGCACCGAAATGTCGAGTTTGGGCGAAGAAGAGACAGCCGCAGAGGAAAAAGAATATCGAAATTATGGATTTGACCCAGCCGAATGGACGAGTGGTAGTTTGCGCAGAGGCACCAAGAGCCAGAAAGATGGTATTTCCTAATCGAAAGTAAAGCGTTAGCGATGGTGAATACCGTGTAGATTTCATCAATAATGCCTACCAGTTTGCATAGAAACAAAACAAGACCAAGTACTGTAAGCACTACTGTCGCAGATGCCGGCCACGAGAGCACATGCTATTATTGGAATATCGGCGTGAACGAGAGTAATCTCTTCACTGAGATGGGATTTCGCTCTAGCAAATAGAGAAACATGAGGCTCTTGAATTAAATCGTTTTCAGATATATTGAACGAAGGAAGAAGAAGCCTTGTTGTTGGGAGAGAACTTTGAGCTTCGGTGCTCGATTCTCTGACTGAAGAAGTGTTGGTCATAGTGAGTCGGAATATTTCACCCCGAGTAAGGAAGGTTAAGGTTAGCCTTTATTGGTTGACGAAATGATGAATTATTATTGACTGAATGAATGAGCGATAAATGCTCGAGGATAAGGCGATCTTTAAAGCACGATTATAACATGAATGTACAGAATATATGAATATATGAATATACGCTCGAGGAGACACGAGTCAGAGATGTCTACAATTAATATTGTGAAACAGGAATTCAACGAGGGAATGAGGAGCTGATAATTTGATCATGACCTTCAAGAGAAGAGCTCGAGGTATGATCACAAGATGTCTTTGGAAAGAATCTTTGACTTCTATATATAATTCTCAGAACCTGTATTATATTTAGATTTTAATTTACAAATTCAGTTACCAAACTATAAATCATGAATTCTAATATATATTATATGATTATAATGATCAGAATTTTAAATTCCTATTTTTTATAAGAGATTTTTAATAAAAAAATACTATTCAGGAATTCAGACTAATAGAAAGTCAAGAATTTTAAATTGATATTCAAACTCTAATCCAGGAATGAAGTCAACAATATAAGATTTTATATATATATACATACAAACATCGAGAACTTGCTTCTAAAAACGGACGTCATACGAGATGAACGCTTGGATGAATAAATTAACCTTATCGATGATTAGATATTAATCACCGGCATTATCTAGATATCATTCCGGTCCCTTGGATTTGAGTCCTGAGTGGATTCAGAAAAGATGGGAATTTTTCAGTTTCGCATATGGACCAATCAAGAAAGTGACATGCTTAATAATCCATTTGATGAAAAGGCTCAACGCGGCTTTGAGATAATCCGGAGGCTAAACCGAAAATAGTAAGGGGCTTTTGAGTTTTTTTAAAGGGTCACTAGTACATTCTGATTAAGTGGGGATTTGCGATTACGCTCCACCCACCAAAAAATTCCATTATCTTTATCTTTTTTTTTCCTTCACCTCCTTCTTCTTCTTCACCCTCCCATCAAATCCTACATCTCCAATCCTCATCTTAGCCACACGCGGCCAAGATATACTTACTTACAAGAAAGGTATTCAACTCTTCTTGTTTCCTCATTTGTTGTCCTTTTAAGACTTCCCCTTCTGCTCGGTCAGAAAATCTCCACTCCAAACCGTCAATCTTTTTCGAATTGCGACCAGTTCCAGGTTACTTTTCGACCCAAAGAACACATTTTCGCTTTTCTTTTTTGCAAAGACTTTTTTTGGTTTCTCACGAACCAAAATCTTCACCACCATATTGAAACAGAATTACATTGATTAATTGAATCATTTAATCGCATACATTAATATTACAACTTTCGAAAGCGTTTCCAGGCATAAATAATGCCACATCTCGAATCCCCAACTCACGAGATGCCTACAATGATTTCAAAGACACCAAACGGTGTCGCCCCAACACAAGCTGAAATTTCCAGTATTCTCGAAAGCATTTTCGAAGCCAAAACTTCCGCTGCATCAGTGGATGCATCTTATGCTCTCTGCGATCTCCTTCTCAACTCGGTCGGTTTTCGGGGACTTCAGGAGTATGGTATCTTAGCACAGATCAAGAAAGCTGCGGGCGATAAGAAGAGTGGAACTAGAAGAGAAAGTGCTCAAAATCTTTTGGGTGCTCTCTTTGAACGCTTACCGCCTAAGCAAAGGATCTCGGAGGTTGTCTTCCTTTTGCAAGATGACAGCACGGTACCATGTGCACTCGACGCTCTTGCAGATAAGGGTGCTGTCGTCCGCGACGCTGCCCAATATGCCCTCGATGCATTATTCTCCAACCTGAACGCTGAAGCTCTCGTCATCGGTCTCCTTCCAATCCTCGTCACATATCTTGCCAAGCGCACCGGAAAATGGCAAGGAACAGTCGCCGCCTACAAGTTGATACAAAAGATGGCAGACAAGGCACAAATGTCCATCGGTGGTACCAAGGAAGAAGCTGATGAGAAGGATTTGTTAAGAGAGATCATGGGCATAAAGCTAGCACAGTTGATTCCCCTTGTCGAGGCTGGTATGCACGACTTGAAGTCGGAGGTTGAGAAGCAATCCGTCATTACCATGACTTCTATGACCACTCTTCTTTCCAACGACGATGTTGCTCCAAGAATCCCACTTTTGATCGAAACTATGCAAAAGCCAGGAAAAGAGACCCTTCAAAAGGCCATTCACGCTTTGTCGCAAACCACATTCGTTGCTATTGTAACATCTCCCGTCCTCGCTCTCCTCACACCTCTTCTCGAAAGATCCCTTAATGATCGCTCTACTGCACAAGAAGTCCTGAGACAAACGGTTGTCGTCGCTGAGAACTTGACAAAGTTGGTTCATGATCCCGTTGAGGCTCGTACTTTCTTGCCAAAGTTACAACCTGGTGTGAAAGGTGTTCAAGAACGTGCATCTTTGCCAGAGGTTAGAGAAATGGCTGGTCGTGCCATGAAAGTCATGGACAAGGCCATGAGTGATGATGCCGGCAACGTTGCCAATGGCATAAGCCTAAACACTAAAGTCACAGCCGATGAGGTTTCCAAGGTCCTCGAATCCGAAATTAAGAAGGCTGGTGGAATCGCTGGTGACTTGGATATTTTCAAGCTTGCCAAGCCATATATGTGTGATATGGTCGTTGAGAATGTCAACCATCGTCTAACTGATCGCATCGCCTCCAACATCACACCTTACCTTGAGCAAATCATGAAAGAATCAGGATCTGCAGCCACTGTTGGTGACGCTGTTCAGCAGTTCTACGTCGAGGAAGACCACCGAAAGTTCGGAGAACCAGTAAAAGAGGATGATGGCGAAGTTGAAATCGTCAACACCGACTTTTCTTTGGCATATGGAGGTATGCTTTTGCTCAACCACACCAACTTGCGCCTTCTCAAGGGTCACAGATACGGTCTTTGTGGTCGTAACGGTGCTGGAAAATCGACACTCATGCGTGCCATTGCAAACGGTAAACTCGAAGGTTTCCCAAGTCAAGATGTTCTCCGAACATGCTTTGTCGAACACAACCAAGGAGAGGACGCTGATATTAGCATTTTGGAATTCGTCGCAAAGGATCCAGAGATTGCCAAGGAAGGCCGTGAACGTATCTCCGAAGTTTTGACTGAGGTCGGCTTCACTGCTGGTCCAGAAGGTCGCCAATCCGAGAAGGTTGGATCACTTTCAGGAGGTTGGAAGATGAAGCTTGCTTTGGCTAGAGCTATGTTGATGAAGGCTGACGTCCTTCTTCTTGACGAACCTACCAATCATTTGGATGTTGCCAACGTTAAATGGTTACAAGAATACTTGAAAGCTCACACTGAGATCACCAGTTTGATTGTTTCTCACGATTCTGGATTTTTGGATGAAGTTTGTACCGATATCTACCATTACGAACCAGGAAAGAAGCTCGCTGTTTACAAGGGTAACCTTGCTGCTTTCGTAAAGCAAAAGCCTGAAGCGAAGAGTTACTACACCCTTTCTGACTCTCTTGTCAAATTCAAGTTCCCTCCTCCTGGTATACTCAGTGGTGTCAAATCCCGGACCAAAGCCATTCTTAGAATGAGCAACTGCTCATACACTTATCCTGGCGCCACCAAGCCATCTCTCTTCGATGTTTCCTGTCAATTGACTTTGTCTTCCAGAACCGCCATCATCGGAGGTAATGGTGCCGGAAAGTCTACTTTGATTAAACTGCTCACCGGTGAAACTGTTCCAACTGTTGGTACTGTAGACAAACATCCTAACTTGCGTATCGGATACATTAAACAACACGCTTTGGAGCACGTTGAGATGCATTTGGAGAAGACTCCAAATCAATACCTCCAATGGCGTTATGCTAACGGAGACGATCGTGAAGTCCACATGAAGCAAACACGTATCTTGTCCGATGAGGACAAGGCTCAAATGGAAAAGTTGGTTGATCTTGGTGATGGATCGGGTGGAAAGCGTATCGAAGCTATTATGGGTCGTCAAAAGTGGAAGAAGACTTTCCAATATGAGATCAAGTGGATCGGATTGTTGCCAAAGTACAACTCTCAAATCTCTAGGGAAACTTTGATCTCTCTTGGATTCAATAAATTGATCCAAGAATTTGACGATCACGAAGCATCTCGTGAAGGTCTCGGTTTCCGCGAGCTTACTCCAACTGCCATCTCCCAACATTTCGAGGACCTTGGACTCGACCCGGAAATCGCCAATCACAACGAGATCTCTGGTCTATCAGGAGGACAAAAAGTCAAGGTCGTCATTGCAGGAGCTATGTGGAACAATCCTCATCTTTTGGTTCTTGACGAACCTACCAATTTCTTGGATCGTGATTCTTTGGGAGGTCTCGCTGTCGCTATTCGTGACTACAAGGGTGGTGTGGTCATGATTTCTCACAATGAAGAATTCGTTGGTGCTCTTTGCCCTGAACAATGGCATGTCGTTGCTGGCCGTGTTATCCATAAGGGAACCATGGCTATCTCAGCTGATCGTTTTGAGGATAGCAGACCATCAAGTGGCTTCAACAGCAGCGTTGCAAGTGCTGCAACTAGTGCGAATGCCAGTGCTGTTAACAGTGGAGTGGAAGATAATGGAGATTTGGGTTTCAAGGCGAAGAAGAAGAAGAAGAAGACTAAGAAGGAGTTGAAGGATCAGGAATCTAGAAGAAGACTCAGAATTATTCAATGGTTAGTAGAATCCCATTCTTCTATTATTATTTTACATCATACTAACTAATTTTATAGGTACAACATGCCAAAGGGTACTCCAGCGCCAGTAGACACAGACGACGAGTCTTAGGGAGAGTCACATGGCAAACTTTGTTTCTTGCATATATGTTGATATTTGATTAGAAAGTGGTGGTCTTGTCTTTTTAGAAAGGGTTTATTTCTGGATTGGACTCGTATATATAGCATGACTCTGCAGTGTTCATGTCATGCTCTCATGAATACGGTCACATCAAAAGAATGGCGTTATGCGTAAATTATAGACGGGTTGGATGGGATCTTGTTGATGTTTTCATGATAGTTATGATTATGTCGAGACAATATATTTTGTCCAGTACTTAATCATATAGATGGGGGATGGTTGCTGATGGCGTTGATACTAGACGCGGTGAACTATATAGACAATCAATAAAATTGTTCGTTAGATACATAAATGTGTTTTAGTAATGAGATCTTATGTTTTCCATGGCCTCATGAAAGTTTTTGATATATGCATTGAATTTAATAGGTTACTTTACTAGGTTACTTTACTTAGGCAAAGAAGTCAAGTCAATTTCTATTATGGCTTTGGCATTTTCATCAAGTGATGCAGGGGCAAGAACAAAATTACACGTTAGATTATGTCATATGGTGTTAGTATTACTTGTATGTGTGGCCATAAGGTTAGGTTAGTTACCTCGGGGTATAAAATAGGCCGATTAGACAGACAGATAGACGAATAGATAGAATAAATAGAATAAATAGATCTCAAGAAATCTATTTTAAATTACCTAGGTGGTTCGACAGATAAATTAGAGCAATTGGCAAGCAAGCAAGCAAGCAAGTAAGTAAGAATTTGGATATGTACGGCGTAGTTCATCTGAACTTTTTCTTCTTTCCTCCCTTTTCTTCTTTGGTTGATGGATTGATCGGCTGGTTGTTTTCGTGTATGTGTGTGTGTGTGTGTACTAGCCAAGGTTAAGATGTGATGTGGTGTGGTGTGGTGCTGAACGTTATATGCAGATGCTAATCAAGGTCTAATGCATTGATTACATTGCATTGCAACCTTGAAAAATTTATATACATGGTGATAAGGCTATCTATTTATTGTGGGCGGTTTTATTAATGGGCTGTGTAGTTGTTTGCTTGTTTGTATATATGTATGTATGTATGTATATATGTATTATTGAGTGAGTTGAGGATAAGATTACGCGAAAATGTCCTGTATGCGATATGGCAAAAGTGGTATAGTTAGCTAGTTGTGGAAGAAAGGGGTATCCTAATTATAAAGCTACAATCGTGCATAAGGAGATGGAAGAGATGATGTGGTAAGATACGTACTCTGTAGGTTATTATGTAAAGTAAAGACGGAATTCCATATTTGAAAATGAGGGGTAAGGTTATTTATTGTAAGGTTAATCTTGAATTGAAAATCTGATTCTCCGCCCCCGGTCCGCCCCCAATCCTCGCCAATTTTGGTCATCGCATCTCCAAGTGCTTATTCCATGCATATAAGGTTACCGAATGTCACTATAGACTTAATATAGAATACATACTAAGGTGTATCAAAAGTTACAATGATTCTCCACCTTTTGTAAAAATTATTTCTTAAATATGAAGTTTGCTATTGACTTTATTTAAGAAAAAACGTAATCGCCGTCTTATAATTAATTAGCTTTTTCTCAATACGTATACATATCATTTTAATTTCGAATTCTATGTCTAGCTCTTCTACATTGGCATATTTGCAGGATGTCCCGGCACTAGAACCGCCTCCTGGTGTTACTTCTAATCTGTCGCATCTGGAGGATAAAGGCTATATTCTTATCATTGTTTGTTCTTTGCTTCTTGTTCTTATGATTTTATGTTTTTCCGCTCGTGTGTATGTTCGGTTTACGAGTAAGACTTATGTTTGGGGTGATGGTAAGATGCTTTTTGAACTAGATTGCTTGGCTTGGGATTCGGGAATGTTGCTAATATTATTGATTGAGTTACTTGTTTGTTTGCTATTGTTAGTAAGAGTCTATAACTTGTGGTAGAGCTTCGTTGTCTAACTTGCTGCTTGAAAAGATTTTCGCAATAGCTTATTACATTGCGTCAATCATAGGTCAGTACAGATACCAAATGTCCCCAGGGTACCTACTAATGGCACAATATTAGGTGTTGTGAAAGGTCCCGTAGGCAAGCATCAGTGGGATATCACCATTGGAGATGTGACGAGCGATGATTTCATCATAGTACGTGTTTGACTAGTCTTTTGTTACTGGGCCTAGCCAACTAGCAATAGGCCGTTGCATTCCTCAGCAATCTTTTATTTTCCCCAACTCTCCTTCTTACGAAAGTCACATTATTCGCCCTCTACCTGGAATTATTCCATCCCTTTAAATGGTTAAAGATATGTGTATACATCGGAGTCATCACAACAACCATGTTCTATCTTGCAACAGGAGCTCTAATGACAGTATGGAGTTCTCCTAGTCATGGACAAACTTGGAAAGCGCATCTTTTTACAATGGAACAACAATATGCTCAAATCTACGCGTCGCCTTTTGCGGCAGTTGGTTTGGCTATTGATTTGTATCCTCTTATTCTTCCATTGAAGGCCGTATATGATCTTTACTTGCCGCTTAGACGCAAGTTCGAAGTAGGAGTTGTTTTCTTGACTGGTATTTTGTATGCACCCTGTTCAAACTTCCACTATTATAGCCTAGTTTCCGAAACAAATCCTGACAATTACTCCTACAGTGCTTATATCGCTTCTACCCTCAGTGTCTATTATCGATTCATCAATAAGTAGAGCAACACTAAAGACACAACATGGAGCCTACAAAATGTCATTATTTTCTCGTAAGCCATATACATAAACTTCCCTATCATTTTTAACTCATCAATTAACTCTAAACAGCTTAGCCGAAATGTTCATCGGAGTAATCGTCTCCTGCATGCCCGCAACCTGGAACTTCCTACCTCACAACCACAAATTCCTCGCCCTAAAATCATCCTTATCCTTCAAATCCCCAAGACTCTGGAGTAATTATAAAACCTCATCCAAAAATCAAAGTACCAAAGATTCCCCAGCCAAATCACTGTCGGAGAGAGTCGACTCTTTACATCGAAAGGAATGTAATGATTCCAAAATAGAAGCTTCTTCCTCCTTAAAAGAATATCAAAAGGAGGAAAGTTTTCCGCAGATGAAATTGGAGTTTTCGCCTTTTGGGAGTGTAGAGACGTATATTCGGTCGGATTAGGAGAATTAATCTTGTGAGGGATGATCGGATCCATCTTCAACGGGATATTTGGCAGACGGGGTCATAATTAGTCGGTAATGGCAGTTTTGTTTGTACTAGGGTTGGGCAAAGGGTAGTGTAATCTGGGGTAATCGGAGGTGGTAAGTGTTCTGGAAACTATTCATTGTATATTAAATGAAATTATATCAAAATTGATTATTTTTAATCTTTTTTAGATCTTTATTATCTTTATGAAAAATAAAAAATAATTAAATAATTTTATATTTATATAAAGATAATCAATTGAAATTTAATAAAAATTTAATAAATTATTTTTATTTTAAAACTATATATATACACATATAAGTATCACAGTGATAAATAGGTTTTTAATTAATATGATGATATTCTACAAAGAGAAAAAGAAGATACTAGAAGGAGTATAGACTATATAAAGTGAGAAAGCTATATACACTCATATAGACTAATCAGAACGGGTTGAACCTGTAACAATAAGAAATTAAACAAAGACTAAGAAAATTTGTTTATTTTATTTATATAAAGAAATTTTAAAATTTTTGAATATTTGTAACTTTTTAATTAAAATATATTTATAAATAATTTATCATATTTTAAAACTTTGATTAATTTGATTCAATATTAAAAAAATTATTTAATATTTATTTTTATTTTATAAAAAAAATTATTTTTTATAAAGATTCTATTATGAATTTGAGTTAATATATAATAAATAAGTTTTAGAATTCTTATCAGATAAAATATTTCTATTGATATTACTTTAGATGATATTATTTATATAATATTATTATGAGTTTATTTGTGATTTAGTCTTGATTATTATATTATATAAAAAGATTTTTATATCAAAAGAAGATATTATAATTTCCTTATAGGTACAGCTCTATATAAGGTTAATTATATAACTATATTTATAGTTTCTTTGATTTTCAATTCTTATATTAAAAGATATATATTCAACTGTGATTAAAGATAATCAATTTGAATTTAATATAATATTTATAATTTTCTATAATATATTATAAGATAATTTATATTCTTGGTGAAATCTTGTTCTTTTATAGATTAAGATATAATATAGTATTATATATATATAATAATAATTTAAAAATTTGTAAAGTTAATTATTAATTGTTTAAGATATATAGAAATATAAAATGTAATGTGAATTATTAAAGTAAATTTATATTTGATAATCTTCAATCAAATTATTTTAAATAGAGAGATATAATATATATATATTGTGAGAAAGTTGGAATTATAGGCCAAATACATAAAGGTTTTAGCTAGTCAATCATATGACCTTCTGTAGTTAGATATAAAAGAAGAACCTTTTGTCTTTTCTTTTTACAATAATCAACCTTCTATATATATACATTTGAACCCATATAGTATCAACCCCAAAACCATTGTGAACCCCGTTTTACCTATAAGTGATGTATTACAATATAATCTAATTCAGCTTTCTCTTCCAATTCCCTCCTCACAGTATGCTATCGGGACGCACATATCTCGACCTACCACTTTTACAATATAAATTAAAAGTTTTCGAAAAAAATACAAATTATAGATTTTGTGTTATAGTTTTCTAATCTATGTATCAGAATTCCGTTGATCAGAATGTTTCGGTATACACCATTCCCAACAGTTATATTCAAGATCCTAAGATCTACTCAATGCCCTGCCAAGCCGCAGGATCATAAGGTTCCCATTCATCTTCATCATCATTCTTCTGCCAGTACTCCTGTCTTCTTTCTGGCCGTCTCGCTCTTTCTCTTCCCATTTCTCTTGCCCCACCGCCTCCCCTCCGACCTACATCCACCGCATCCCTAACCCTCATCATAAACCGATCTCTCACCGCCGCAAAATCCTCCCTCGCACGCGTTAACCTCTCATCCGCCCGCTCCCTCTGCTCAATCATTTCCACAAGCGGTAAACCTTCCCTCTGAAGCACTGCATACGCTTCATTCAATAAAGGCGTTACGGAATCTTGCATCACAAGCGCATGTTCTATAGCATAGAAATCTCTGGATTCAGCTGCTGCTCGGAGTTGTGTGAAAGCGGCTTGGATTTGGCGTTCGGCAGCGTGGTGTCGTTCGTTGGCGTGGTAGGATCGCTGAGCTTGCGATATGATGTTGTGGTCGAGGCGCTCGATGTAGTTGAGTGTGGAGGAGTAGTTGTTGACTACGCGTTCCATGTTAGAGTCTGAGATGGAAGGTCGAGATTCCTGGTAACGTTGCCTTGGCGGGGAATAGTTTCGGCGGGGTGGGGTTGAATAGCTTCTTCTCGGTGGTGGTGGTGGGTCGTTTCTTGGCGCCGGCCTTGGAGTATTGAAGTTTCCAGGCGAAGATGGGGACATTGGTTCATACTCCATCCACAAATGAGGCTCATCATCCGAATCACCACCGTTAGCATCAGAACTAGGATAATCATTAGCACCGCCATAATCTGCTTGAGCCTGTGCCATCTGTTCCCTTTCTTCGATAGCTCTTTCTCTAGCACGATGGACACTCCTGTTGATGTTTCTGAGACGATCAGACAAGCCACCTCCTGTATTACGAATTTCTTTGCGACAGACGGGACAGGTTGACTTATCTCCATCAAGCCACTGTTGAATACAGTTACGATCGAAATAGTGATTGCATTCTGTTTTGACTGGTTCTCCGCCTTCACGTCCACCAAGGGTTTCTTGACAAATGGGGCATGTGCGTTGATCCGCTGGAAGAGAATCGACACTCACTCGTGTTAACTGTGGTGGCATCTTGAAAGTGATGAAGTATGCTATCAACTGAAACTCTTATCGAATTGATAGTCGTAGTTGCGATGGATATGTGTTGATAACTGGTGGTGAATTTTGATAGATATTTGCATATCCAAGGAACTCGATGCTTAAAAGGCCTCGAAGACATATTGTTCCCACTTTGTACCCGACCTGTTTTTGGAAAGAAAATATTTGGATCACATCTCAAACTTAGTAGTAGTGAAAAGAATATCAAATGCAAAGCGCTTGAATAATCCAGGAGACACTATGTGATGCAGCTCCAATCATTCCAGCGAACAAAGAAGAATGAAGGAGAAATTAGTTGCCAATCTATTGCTCTTCACCATTATAGAGAAAATTAAAAGCCTCACAGGCACAGTGCGGATTGCATTCATCAAAATCTTGCAGCTTCTGAATTGAGCTAATGGGTAGAAATAAGTCTGATGCTCTTGAAGTGCATGAATGAGGTATCTTCAAAGGAATCAAATAGTGAAAACCCCCTACCAGTGCAAATCCTCACTGGTTATCTGAAAGCTGTGGATGCAAAATCACCCAAAGAAAAAAGAGATGGGAAATCACATCTTTGAGCGAGACCTCTATGACAGTGGAGTAACATCTCGAATCGACAACATTGTCCTGCAAAATCGCACAAGAGAAAGTTACTTAAAAAATTTCAAGTCTTGCTCTTTGCGTATACCACAACACCGGATCATGATATCCCAGTCCCCAGAATTGTATTTATCGTAATATCGTCGAATTTCGTAATGCGTTTTGCGAAACTATGAAATTTATTGTATTTGCTCCAGTAAATCAATTACTGTCAAGTTCGAGCTATTAGATTTGGTGAAGGTCCGAAGAGATCAGAAATGTCCAAAGCTGGGTCTATGAAACCATTTTGATACTGTTGAAATCCATGATTTGTCCCGCCATGTCCATTCATATGAGGCCCAGAGGAACTTGAATGCCCAGCCAACTGCGCATCATGTTCTCGCAGTAAGGGGTCTAATGTAGATTGCATTTCTGGTGTTTCATGCTGCTCAAGTTTCATTGGCATCGGGAGCTGAGGTTCTGTAAGATGATTATGCGTATTGACTATGATTGAATCTGTGAAGGGCTCAGAGTCGGCATCAAGATCTGGTGATGATGGTTGAAGGGGAGGAGGAGGTTGTTGACGCCTCGGGTTTTCGAGACGGTGAAAAGACTTTTCATGTCGTATGACGACATCCCTAGATAAGAAATTAATCAACATGATCCTCTATAGCGAATGTGATATTCGCGCATCATTAGAACATACTTTCGCGCGTATCTACGACCGCATAATCTGCAAGGGAATGGTTTCTCTTGTGTATCTAGAAGTTGAAGCTTGAATCAACAAAGGAACTAGCATGACTCGCACAGAATTGATTGTACTCACGACCACGTTCATGCCTTGAACAATGCTCACTTCTCTTAAACTGTCTCTGGCAGACGGAGCAGGTATAGATACGTGGCGTTTTTTGCACCCGGGTCGGTCTGCTACCGGGAGTATCGTGCTGTCTTGTATTCATATTGAATCGAGGGCGAGATCTATTTAGTCGATGACTGTGTAATACTGAAAACAATTCCGGGCAAGACCTTGGTAAGTGGACAAAGGTAATACCGGTAGGACAACAAGATTTGAGGTAATGGATATATCAATATCAAAGTAATATTTTAATCGGTTTGTCTATAAGCTTCAAGCTGTATTGTTGATATGTATGTCGTTGATGGGTAAGGAAGAGTGAGTTGAAGGTTTATCGGTACATCGAAAGAACGGTTGACCTTAGCGGGGTAGATAAGAGGCTAACCAATTTTAGGCAATATGTATGTTTTGGTTGGTGACTGGATCAATTTGTGTCAATCTGGCGGGGGACAAATGAATAGCAACCTTGGAAAGCACAGAACTGCACAGGACAGCACAGCACAGACTTTTTTTTAATACGATTTCACATGAAAGACGCGATGAAGTGATGAATGGTCGTATTCGGTATGGAGTTTAAAGTTGGGATGGATTTATGTATTTGTTACCATCGCATTTTTTGAATGTTCTGTCTAGATTCATGATTATGTAATGCGACACTGAAATACAAGATCTCGGCTCCCGTAGTTCTTTTCTACTTCGTACTGCTATTAGTCATATATCGAACACTGCCGTAATCGCAAAAAGTGAAGAAATAACTTGGTAAGGCCACAAGTAGACAAGTTTTTGAGAGTTCGAGCGCAAGAAACCAATGATTTCTTGGTATCTCTTCGGTAAAACTGTCGGATTTTAAAACCCAATCAAATCGATCAGAGCCAAAACACGTGCATTCCAATTACAGTCCATTCATAGGGTGTCGGAGATAGGGAGGGCATCGGTGGTAGATAATGAAATAATGCTACTGCCGAGTACCGGTACTTAAGATCTTACCTACTCCTACATACATAACCTGAAGATCTCAACAACTTGAGATGTGAAAATTCCACGAAACCTTCAAACACTTCAATTTTCTGCCTTTTCATCAGCTGGACACTTGAGGTTAACCTTATCTAGAGCGGCAAGGGATTTAAACTTTGACTCACCGGTCGTATATCGGTAGGTACTAAGTATTTCAGCCGAGCATACGGTGTAGGAAACTTCATGGTCCAGGAATCAGTTCGACAGTGAAGGTAAGAAATGCTCTAGAGACTGGAGGACGATTTAGAACTTGGCATCTTAACAGATTTCCTCGGCTTGGTTTCACACTATGAGAGAAGAAAAGCCTTTTGCTCCGCCGCTTCTGGTTACTGGGAAGTATTCATAATCCCCCCTTTATCAGTCTTGGCAGGTACGTATTTCGATACAGCTCTGGACCTAAAATACAGTGGAATTGGCAGTCAAGATTCCGTCCGCACCACGTTGTATATGTTATGCTTTACATTTCATCACTGTGCCAAGTGATGTTATCCACAAGATCGGCGAATCCGACGGGCCAATACTCATTTTACCTTAGTATAAGTATTTAGCTATGCTCTCCTTTTTGGTACCTGGCGAGATCTTTCTGTGTTTATTCCTTGGAGACGATAAGTTAAGAAATAATGTATTCAAGAAACATCATTCCAACTATGGCCATTGCCAATGGTACTTTGGCACAAGAAAGTGTATATGTTAGTAGAGAAAACTGTTAGCATTGCTCTTCAACTAATGTCTTATAGGCCTACACCGCCGACACAATTTCAACTTTGAACTTGTACAATGTCAGCAACCTTGCACCGTTTCAAATCTACAATGAATCTTTCACTTCAATACTCGGAAAGTCACCGACCATTACCAATGTTTTGAATTCTTCATTCCCTCAATTCCACGAAGCTGGTATTTTCTTCTCCGAGTCAACTCTTTTCGTCACGAGTAACCAATATGCCGCATCGACCAACTCTCCATCAACAAACAACAAAACTATCTCGATCACCCGTCTGGATAAATCTGGAGATTCATGGACGGCTACTATTGTTGAACCACAAGGAACCATTTCTCTCGCAAATGGAGGAATAAAATACAAAGATGGCCTCATCATTTGCGATCAAGGTTCTCTCACAGCAGCCGGAGGCCTAGTCTATATGAATGCCACAGCTCCATATGGAACCAAAACTCTCATCAACAACTACTACGGAGTAGAATTCAACTCACCCAATGATGTTCACGTCACGAGTGACGGAGCATTATGGTTTACGGATCCATCATACGGATCATGGCAAGGAATTCGACCACAACCTCAACTTCCTAACCAAGTCTACCGCTACATGCCAGAAACAAATGATATCCGCGTCGTCGCCGATGGAATCCAAGAACCAAATGGAATCACCTTCAGCCCAGATGAAAAAACAGCATACATTACCGACGGAACTGGTAATGCCACCGCACTAACCGCTCCAAGAGCCATCTACGCATATGATGTCATTACTCGAGGTGGTCAACCATCTCTCGCCAATAAAAGAATCTTTGCCGTCCCTCAAAAAGGTATTCCAGATGGTATCAAAACCGATGCAGCAGGAAATGTGTATGGGGGATGTGGAGACGGAATAAATGTTTGGAATGAGGGGGGAATTCTCTTGGGAAAAATTGCCGTTGCAGGTGGTTCTTCTAACTTCATCTTGGGTAACGAGGGAAATAAAACTCAAGCGTGGTTATTGAATGAGGATAAATTGTGGCAAGCTAGTTTGGGCTTGGTTAATGGGATTGGTTCTTCTAGGAATACTACACGGGTGTCTTCTCTCAGGTATTGAGATGGATATTTGTAGATATGTCTGTATATATTTGTAGCTATACCTGTAACTAGATAGATATATAAGTAAGGACTCGAAAGTATAGATGTGTAAATAAGATTACATCCAAATAAACCCGATACAATATATACTAAACAAACACCCATCAGTCAAAACGTTAATACGCACAATATCCATCTATGATATAATCAGCTACATCCCATCTATTATTCCCCTACACTAAGTACATACACCCATCAATCACGCTTATCTGCTCACATCTCCCTCTCAATCTCACATCCCACTCTACAATCCATTAGCTACCTAGATAAAGGTATCAGGGAGCCAGTAACGAATCCAATCCAAGTAGTGAATCAAGTAAAATCACCACACCCAGTCAGTCGGTCAGTCAGTCGCATAAAATCCAGTACCCTGAGCATAACCTTAAGTCCCCGTCTTAACATAACATAAAGTTTCGACATAAGGTTAGATAGATCATGGTAGAGTTACTCGATATCATTAATACCATGAACAAATTTGTTGGAGATTACTGGTATTACTACTCGAGAGTACCTAGTATATATGGAGTAGACGAATGAATGAATAGATAGATAGATAGATAGATAGTGGGGTCCTGCACCCCGCAATTTGCTCATTAACCTTTTGGTAATTTTGGTTTTGTGTTTTATACTCGAGCTACAGATTACAGCTGCAGCTATTAAGATTTGGTTAATTTAGTTAATTGGTTGCTTGGATTGCTTGGATTGTTTTACGCCGCTCTTAGCTTTACTTTTTCTTTTTTTTTTTAGGAGTGACGAGGCGCAAGGAGGGGAAAGTTTAAATTTAAATTTAGATTTGTGTTTTGTGTTTAGAGATGAGATGGGGATGATAGATGGGCTTACCCCGCGCTAATGTGATGATGATGAAATGCAATGCAATGCGTCACTAATCAAGTGACGTGCATGTGATATCACGTGATCTGATTTCGTCCTAAGGTGAGAAACGTGATTTTGTGTGGGCGTAACTTTTCGCTGTGATGTTTTGGAGTTTTATCTTTTGTGATGAATGAGAGGTTTGATTGGATGAATATAAAGGTTGTTGATGTGCTGGTGATATTGTTATTTGTAGGATAGGATAAGTTGTCCTTCAGCGAACGTGGTCAAGGTGGTTGAGAATCATAATCATTATATGGCAGTCTTTTGCTCTTTTGGCTATTTATGGAAATATTAATGTTTATATCTGTATAGCAGTCGATTGCTTGGCCGATATGCTATACCATCGCTGTTGTCATTTATGCCGTGACGACAAAATCTATGGAATATTTGGTGGCGGAAGTTTGTCATCCTGGTCTATCTATATTACAAGTTTGCACCGACAACGATTTTACAACTTTCTCAATTGAAGAGAAGGAAGAATATTCAGTCAAATCAACAGGCAGGTGCATGTATACATATCTTTTCCTCGAATCGGACAAGTCGGCACTGGATATTGAGGTGAGAGTGATCCAAGGTAAGATGATCATTCGAGCTATCCGTCCCGGAAAGAGTGTTTAATCTGTATTTGAAATTTCTTGTCTTTGTTGATTGGTTTTCGGCAAGCAAGCAGTCTACGTAGTTCACGACCGCTTTCGCGAGAGAGGGAGTAAGTGTCGGAGTGTGGTATGTGATTGTGTTTACCATTCCACCGTGCAAATAAAATTCAGTTGGAAAGGAAACAATTGCAGATTTGCATATCGGCTGCCACTTATCAAGTGTGAATTTATCTTGTTGCGTCTTTGGAATTTTCGACATGTGAATTGCGATTGATGGTATGAAGTTCTGGAGTATTCAGTCAACTTCACTGGCCCTCAATTTGCATAGTTCAGCAGCTAAATTCAACTGAGTATCCTTCAAAGAGATCTCGTGGAAGTACAAAACAGTGTCGAGCGGAGCCTTTTGGGAGAGCTCGTTTCCCAGGAAGCTATTTCCGCGATTGGCCTATGCCACAATAGCTTTGTCGACAACCTCTAATGGCCGTTGTAACTAAATCTCCGAGCTGAGAGAAAAATGTTGCTACGCCTACATACAGATCAAAATATAACTCAGATTTGACTGATTATCATCTACCATCCGCTAGATATACGTTGCCTTCGCTATTTATCGTCGGCCTTACGTATCCAGCTGAAGTTTAGAGAACTCACTCTTTAAGACTGCCTGTAAAGCAATACGCAGTGCATTTATACCCCCACAGAGATCAAATTCACAAAGTACAAGGAATTTAGCCCACTTTGCAGTGCAGGTATTGATACCGAGCTTTGCAAGAAGCCGGGATTCTATTGCGTAAATAGACTTACCTATAAGGATGAATGGGATCTGTGGAAAAAGTCACGTCAACCAGGGATTATTCGGAAAATAGTGAGAATGTTCTAGTGTCCGAATTTATGAACAATGCGCCAGAGAGCATAACGCGACCAACTCTGCCAGAGCTAATGGTAGATAAAAAGCCTCGCTCAAAAAGGCGAGGAGCCACGAACTGACTGGAATTAAAATAGCATGTAAATAAGACATTCCTTGAAGAATTTAGCCAGGTCATTCATCTCTGTACTGGAAAATCACAATATAATTGCCCTATTGGTGCGGTGCAAAACGGAAACGCCGACCTCATGTACACTGTACGCTATTTGAGGAATCGGAACGTGGTAGTAGCGTCCTCCTCGTAAAGGGCTGCGGAACTGGCACTCGCAAAGCTCTCAAAGATAGCATCTTCAAAAAGAATCGTCTACTGAAAAGATCGTCATTTATTTTCATGTCAACCTTCCTACAGTTTCTCTCCACAAGCATGGGGATCCTCCGTCAATGAATTTGGTGCTCATAGATTATGAAAACGAAAGGGAAACTGGGAGTGTTCGGCGGGCTTGGTAGTGATGTTAATTTATGTCCTGGTAAATTCTTTGCCAGAAATGAGATTTTGGCGCTTTGTTGTGAGGGTATTCAGTCTTGTGTTGTGATTACCTACTCTAAAGAGGAAAGAATCTACGAAAGTGCAGAGCTCCGCCCAGTGCTCTGGCTTGAGTGAGAGCTCTACTAGAACTAATTAGGAATATCTTCTCCTGCTGCCTAGCACTTAGGGACCACTCCTTCGTTTATCTTATGAATCTTTCTCTTGAAATGAATGGATCGCTTCCTCGATATTTAACAATCCCGCCTGAGATAGCTCATCTACCCACCACATATTCTTTACATTCTCCAACTCAGTCCAGTGAGAAACGTCCCGCTTTAAAGCCTCAATGACCCAAGCTCTCTCATCATCGGTAGCTGCCGTGCACCCAGCCATAACAAGTGTCCATAATCTCAGCTTCTTCACCCTAGCATCCCATACATTGCACTCAATCTTCAACAAGCGACGCAACTTGGCCATCAAAACTTTGGTTAATAAATGAGTCACCCCGCACCACTTCCTCGCCTGTGCTATGAAGAGAAGCCCGCCAATCCTACACAACTCTTCAGTCTTATTATGTATCTGGTTTTGAATGGTCAGGAGTTTAGATAAAATTGGGTAGATGCAGAGGCCAGCGAAGCCTTGGTCTCCCCGGAGAAGTCGCTTTTTGCTGTACGGATTCTTCTTTCCCTTCTCACGAATCATCGTCACTGCGAGAATACTCAACTGTCTCATGACATCGAGCATATTTGCCGACAAAAATAATGATATATTGGAGTATGCGCATACGCTAGAGAAATGAACTTCACCTGCGGCCTGGTATTTCGGAAGATATGGATTGGTTAAATATTGAAGTGGTGGTGGGAAAAGAGGTGCAACGTCCAAGTCACTAGCCATATTGATTTCGATCCAGAATAAAGAGAGTCGTAGTGATTGTATATGCTCAATGGTCGACAGTCCGCCCCGCAAAGCTAAAATTTTACAAAAGCCGGCACGGTGGATCTTCCAGGTCTTTGGGTTAAATAAAATTTGCTAAGAGTTTAGCAAATTTCATTCAAAATAAGATACAACAATCACGTACATCATGGCACATGAACTATTTTTAGTCAGAACCATTGGATAGAGAAATTGAGGATGATGAAAAACGCACACCAAGTATAGCTCCCAGTATCCCTTCCGATTGTTCCACCGCAAAGTTCGGCAATCTTCGATTCACGGATCTCACTGCCGACAGATGATACATCATCGCATCACGACTTTCCTTCTTATTTCCTCTTAGATAATTAATATGAAGCGAGGCATTGGCCAGCACTACATTCATTGCTGCGGGATCACTAATCGCTAGAGGAAACCAGACGTCTCTGAATGGCTGGACTCCTTGTGATGAATCCCAAACTGGATAATTGTTAATAAGCATAACAATTGAACGGAGCAAACTCACTATAATGCACCAACTCATGCTCTTGCATATTCATTTTGATTGGCCATGCTTGAAAGGGATTTACACGCCCATTCCCAAGTGGTGCCATGAGAGTTGCCCCATACCGATAATCTCGTTCTGCCCCATCTTCATTCGTGGTCGGGATTAGTGGTTGTCTCTGTGATGCACCCACAGCAACTCTTGGCACAATTTTCTTCAGACCGTTTGCCTTTTTCGGTCGATTCTGCTTCATGAATGGACGCATCACATGTTTCCGCACTAGGGTTCTCGTCTCCCTATCCTCTTTTGCCGAATGGAGAGGTGTCGATGTTATAAATGCATACTTCCCGCTTTCAGCCTGGATATTGGGTTTCATTTTGTTGAGATTCTTCAAAAGCTTGGATTTCCAAAGTTTTTATCACATCCACCACTACTGCGTAACGCTATTGTGCTTAAATCCTCAGCAACTGAGTTACCCTACATTCATGTGAAGTTGAGATCATGTCAGGACTTCAACCGGTATTCGATTGCTTCAAAAGACGATGGTAGCGGTGGAGGTGAAATCCTTCGTAAGCCGGTATTGACAAGTGCATTACAATTACAGTCTAACTGGATTTGGGCAATGGCCCCTTGCATTTCCCGGCGGCAGACCTAACCCATTACAGGCCCTAGCGAAGTGTCGGTGCATAGAAATACATCTAGCATCCTCAGAGCAAACTGCTCCGAGAAATACCCGACATCATATATCAGAGGGGACCTTTTGACTTAAAATATTGACTACCAAGCATATGATGATTTTTATTCTAATTGGAGCTGCTCTGTTGGAAATGGTTGAAACCAGCCAACGCGGAAAAGTTCTTTTTGACTGTCAGACAATTAAACACTGAGTCCTGATTACTTGGAAGAACAATCGACCATCCGCATGATTCGTCATTTTTGAAAACGACGAAGGCTTAATGCTGCAGGCCGTTTGATGTGAAAATTTGAGATTTCACGTCTATTCAAAAGCGGCCAGGAGCACTATGAAAGTCATCAATGTTAGTAAAATGGTCTAAAGAGAACAGGTTGGCTCAATCCTTACAAATTTACTGGTTGGGAATTCACATGAAGGGAATGAGTCGAGTTATCTCAAAGCAGTCGTACTCTCATGAGATCACGGAGGCATTGGAGCGAAACATGACCTATGGCGTTTTGAGTTGGTACCAACTTTTGCCATGAAATTTCAGATCTTACTCCAGCCCTAGATGCATATGAGTAATGGACTCTGACTTCTAATATATACGTTTCAAGTCTATTCACGTGACTATGGCAGATGTATTATGCTAAGTTTTGAATTCAATTGCTCTAGTTTCTAGAGCACATCCGCATTGTTCAATGGTTCGCAATGATTGGAGATTTTGGTTGTCGAATCAGGCTTGTGCTGGAGGCTGTTGGTTTTCTTATCAATCATATCCGTGCTAGGCCACCAAATTTTGTTTTAATAGCACACACGTCAGCCGCAAAGTGGGACCTTGTCTTGGGAAATAGAAACGAAACGGTATTATTTCTCTTTTAGGGAACTACAGCTGACGTCCGTCCATGCCCTGGTGCGGGTAGTCATGGTTTCAGCGGCCGCACATACACAGGTCAGCATCATTCACTATTTTAGACGATGTCTTCTTCCAACCTTGTGTATAATCTTCAATACTTGGAGGATTTGCGACATAAGGTTCAAGAACATGTCCAGTTCGTTTTGTGAATTCAGTTAGGAAAGGGGAGATCTCTAAGCGGAAGATTTCTTTGCTACAATGGTATGATCATAGGCTATTTTCACCATTTCGTGTCCCGTATAAATATTTAATGGCTCATTCACCTGGACGTCATTAAACATACGCCCAGCTCTCGATTCATCGGTCTTAGCGGTGACTGGTTCAGTGGTTTTTTTTGGGAAACATGTGAGTAACCAATTACCTTTTCTTGAGCCGAAGTAACCACTGATTTCTGCTCTTAGCAATGGAGTCAAAATTTGCCGCGGCCTTGTGACAATACGCAAGGGATGTAGATATATTTGAGTTTTTGCAGCAATATCTTCCGCTACAATGACTGGATATATGTCAAGTTACTCGTTTGCTTATACGATGTTGACAACATATTTCTAGAGCTATATACTCCATTACTACGAGAAATGCGCGGAAAAGATCTTAATCCAGCATCTGTCTAACACTATCGATGAATGGAGATGGACTAATGCTGCTGAGGCTTTGCATTCGTCTCATAGGAATAGAATGGATACGCCCCAACTTGACCCATAGTCGAGATTCATTCCGACAATGTTTGCGTCTGCAGGCTTACGCAAGGACGACTTATCGATATCATTGAAGCTTTTTGAGGTTATCATTACCTTATGGATTGAAGCATTCTACCTATATCTAATCGTGAGTCGGCCTTTCCTCCCGTTCGTCTGGTCTGCTAAGAAGCATGGTTCAGATATCAACATATGCCATCCTAAGAGCTTGTGTTCGCGCGCCCGTGTCCGAGATTCTGCATAGAGAAATTGGAGATCCGAGGCAACACTGTACGAGAATCTCGATAAATTACCTCGGTTGCACAAACTTCTGTTGAGGCCACGGAAGAGAGCGGTTCCTTTCAAAGTGAAAGTCAAGTTACTGGATCCGATTGATACATCCTTCTTGCTGCGAAAGTAGTTCTTGCCATTCTTCTGAATAATTCCAGTATCCTGCTTGCGGAGGAGACATTTCGGCGATTTGAACAAAACACAGAGGTGTTGTATCATCTGAGGTTAGAATCCTGGTCCGGGACAGAAACTTATATGGAAGAAGATTTTCAGTAGATAGATCGAGCAATGCTAATTTGGGACGGTATTTATATTTCATATTCCATGAGTTTATATGTCTATTTTCTATTCGCGCAATCTCATTCTAACGACATAATGAAAAACAAGTATTCATTAAAATTCTACATTTTCTGCAATTTTTGTCTTATTTCTCTGTGACATCAGAAGTCCCAATCTTGTAAAAGGACTTGGATCTCATTCCTATTATCCACAGGAGTTTCAGCAAACACCTAGATGAACTTCCATGTTCCATTTGATAACAAGGCTATGCATCCATCAGACCACCATGTATGGCAGGATTGGTTGGCTGGACTTCGTGAAATTATAACAGATAGTACTGTAGCTTTAAAAGTACACATTTAGTAGTACAAACACAATTGGCCGTGCTTAAAGTCTTTTGATATGATTTAGGAAGCATGCGGCACGGTATATAAGCCCCTAAAACGTTTACTGATCCAGCACATTACAATTTCCCTTTCCCTTCCAAAAACCAAAATTTTCGTTCTCAGATCTAGTTATCTTTTCAATTCGATCATTCTCACTCGATGAATCAGCTATCACTGGCCATGGTTAGTACAGTCATGCAAGATCAACCATTAGGAACCGTCTTAGTTATTAAATGCTGTGACTTTGCGGGACACCATCTCGTGAAAAGGAAGCTCTCTCGGATGATCCAACATCGGACGCTATCTCAGTCTTCAGCCGAAACTCCAGAGGAAATCGATACCAGGAAGTCTCCTATTATGCAAGTGATATGACCTTGTTCGATGATGTCAGAACACTCCGCGAAAAAACTAAACCTAGAGGTATCTTTCACGTTGCTTCTCTAGATTCATGCGCCCACCAGCCGATCCACCCAGCCATGTACCTTTTCGAAAGGTCAATGTGGAAGGTACCGCAAATCTTCTTGTATGTACTACTGCGGCGTTATCTGTCGTGGCTTTTGTTTTTACCTCTTCGCTTACGGTTTATGAATACAATGTCGACGGAGAAATTTCAATGAGGAGGAAAGGCATCTGGTTCGTAGCGGATCAGCCACAAAGGTGGATCTATATCCGGAAAGTAAAGCGGTGCAGACACTATGGTTAGGGCTGCGAATCATTCTCTTGCGGAAGAATGCCTGGTGGATGCATGTTCTCATTCACAGTCTGTATGCGTATGCCGGTTATCTATGGTGAATGTGATGAGAATCTGACACTTCTTGGTCTTTGGCTTGCAAGTTAGAGTATGTGGATTTTCCAGCTAAGTGATAATACTACGCTATTCGTGCCAATAAGTGTCAGTAATGCGGTATATAGACACATGTTAGCAGCCGAAGCTCTTCTGTTTGAAGCCAGCTCTTCAGAAGAAAAGACTAAGTCTCCGGTGAGGACTTCAACATAAATAACGATAAACTCGCTCAGTAACTTATTGGAACGGTGTTTGGTAACTAATATATATTTCATTGAGGGTAATTAAGACCTCATAACGAGGGGTGAAAGTTGGTGGTTTGTTGGTTTAGCAACTCCAAAATTTAAAGATCATAATGAGAATTATGTAGACGTTCATAACTAAATTTTGATCTTGATATCGTCATACTAGACGGTGTAAAAAAACATAAAATATCCACTTCAGGCGCCCTCTTTCCCTAACCTCAAAAAACACCCGCTCTCTTTGTTGAATATGACTCCGTACAAATAAAGATCAAGGCGGGGTATAGACCTAGGAGATCCTTGGATTTTCTGACATTGCTTCCAATGTTCAACAATTTTAACTTGTCAAATTCGGGGCTTACTAACACACATAATGACTTGGTATTTCATTAGTATGCCAAAAACCACTTTCGGAAATAATATCTTGATCGAGAATACAGGCTGCTTTATCGAAAGTCATTACACACCCTTGTCATTGATAGTGATAGAATAGCGCGTACTCCGGCACACAGAACATGAAAATGGACTATCTTCTACATTCTGCTAATGTGGTAGTACGGTTAGTGTCAATCAGTTTGAAAACGAGGTACCCTTTACTCCCTCTATCCTCTCTTCTTGGCGACTGCGAGAAGTTCGAATAGTGCTACAGTAGATATGACTATACAGCCAATTCAAACGTATGAGATGAAGAACTTAGAGAAAACTTGAGTATTATGAGACTAGTTACGTATCAACCCCCGTGGCAATTACTTTTGTCAGACGACGCGGCTCAGGATCTTTTACTAACATTCCACGGAAACAAATTGCTCTTTACGGCGCGGGCTTGCAGCAGATCTGCATTGGGCAAATAAACAACCATCATTGTACCGCCATCCAATTGATCCGCCACATCGAACCCACAGTCCGCAAAGTCATAAAAGACGGCAGCGATATATTTCCATTTCTCGAGTGTACATTACACTGGAAAAAATAGCGTAGCGAGCCGTCAAATAATCAGTAAAATAAGGCCGTTACTCTTACTACCAATCTTGTTTTGCACATACGGATGTAATATGCTGCAAGAGCAGGCCAGTAATTGCAGAGATCGACATCTGCAGGGGGGATGAAGACGTCCAGTCGAGAATAGTAGAATGGGGTAAAAGGTATGCTAGGCCGTCTTTGGGGTTTGATTTAGTGCACCATTTAGTGCACTATTATGGATAATTCCTTAAATAATTAACGGAATAGGTTATTTTTGCATTATTGAAGCCCTAATGTGATGAACCTAGTCAAAAATTTCGATTTCGACTGAACCTCACATCCACTTGGATGGATGAGCCAATCATCACAATGGGATACATTAAATCCACATTCATGCTTCAAAACAACATCGGCACAGGAAATTATAACTGCTTAGTCATGTGGACAAAAGTTTTTGGGTATTCTCATATGTACTACACTCCAAATTGTCCTTCGGTATTGCCATCGCCCATACTCTTACTACTGCTACTACCACTTTGAATAGCGCCTAGTATACCATCGATGTACGATGCACCGCTCCACTTCTGATGCGTCAATACATCCACTCCTAGCTCCTTTTCCCTTCTCTGGATCAGGTTGACGTATGCTAGCATACCATCATCTTTAAATGCCTTTGATAGTTCATTGGTGACCGTTGCAGTAGAATGAAGCCCAGCAAGTGAAATCAATTGTAGAACGAATCCATGTTTTGCAATATCCCAAATGAAGGATTTCAAGGTTTCGTCAGTGAAACCATGACCCATCCAATTAAATGAAGGAGAGAGATTGTAGACAAGTCCTTTACCTGGGTATTTGGTTCGAATTTCGCCCGAAAATTGTGCTGCATTCTTAACGTTTGGATCCCCCGTCTCAACCCATAGAAGGTCAGCGTATGGTGCATATTGAATAGCTCGTTTGGTGGCAGCTTCCATTCCAGCCTTGTGATGGTAAAAGCCTTCTCGTGTTCGAGGTATGTCAATATTGAATATGATTGGTTTATTACTGTATTTCGAAGCTAGCTGCTTTCGTCTCGTGATGGACATGTCCCGGTCTTTCCTTGTGGCTTCAAGGTATTCATTTGTGCTCGATTCAGATATACCTTGGTCCTTGAATTGCTTCACAACAGCTTCATCACATGTCATGAGTTCCGTCTTCTTGACCCACTCTGCTTCAAATATATCAATTTCGGCACCTGTAGCTCCAGACAGTTCCATTGCTTGTAAGGTCTCTGCTAAAGGTTCGATACCGTCTTCTGCGACGCCTTTAATAAATTCATGATCTCGGACATCAATGGCACTGCTGAGAAGTTTACCGCTCTCAGAGTCTGTTCGAGCGATGACTAAATTTTCCGATCCCATAACATCCCATTGAAATCTAGCAGCCACCAAACGATTGATGTGCTCACCCACGGGCACAAGAACCTTGCCAGCAAGATGTCCGCATTTTTTCCCACCATGCATTTGATCCTCAAAGTGCACAGCTGCAGCCCCGTTCTCTGCAAATAGTTTGGCAAGCTTCAATACAGCAGAAAGTCCTCCGTGTCCCGTGTCTCCATCTGCGATAATGGGCCTTAAATAGTCGGTATACGGTGTCTTTGCTCTGTCCTCCTTGCTCAATTTCCTCCTCGCATCCCATTGTTTTCGATCATGCATTGATTGCGCCTTTGCTAGTCTCTGGACTTGATTTGGTACTGTGTTGTAAGGATAATCGCCAAAATCCGGGGATACTTCATTTGTGCTTGTGAGTACAGAGGAACAAGCCCAGCCAGATATGTACAAGACTTCCTGATTAGCAGCTTGTTGAGTCATTTGTACAGGATCAATAGCACCCACTACGGATTTATTAGCATAATTTGCTGCAAGTCCGAACTCTGTGGTTGATATTTACTTGTATGTATTGGCTTCCCTTTCGCCTCCCTCTCCTTTATTAAATTGAATAACTTCCTGGCCATAACTGAACTTGGGTATGATTGTTGTTGGCTTCCTCGTTTTGATACAACATCTGCCGCGGAATATGGTCTCTTGATTCCTACATATCTTGGACTATTCCACCATGTTTCCACCTCCTTGATTTGTTGTTCGTATAATTCATCTTCGGCGGCCCCGGCCTTCTGCGACTCTGGTACAAGCTGAAATGAATCAGATGCTAAAGGTCTCGATATTGGGTCATTGAGAGCTCTCAATGCAGACATCCTACAACTTGTGGTAGATAAATGTCGAATGGTAATGATTGAACCTCTGGCAGACAAAGCTCTGCGGGGCGCTACAGAGGCGATTCTGCGAAACATTTTGAGACGATATATTTGAGGTGAAGAATCATAACAGGAAATAATTTAAATCTACTCCTACCTACGATGTTGCTGATAAATCGAAAAGACTTTATGCCATGCCGTCATCGGGGGGGAAGTAACGGTATCACCGGTATACACAACCACATACTCGGTTCCGTTCGGTTGTGTGGTTGAAATGAATTGTTATAAATTCACCCTCGGCCATAATTTGGAAACACCTTGGGCTGGTGCCGGTGCCGGTGGAACGTTCAAGCGGCTTGATTAAGGCACCCCTACACTTTCGCTAATTAAATCTATCGTGATATGATTCGTCAATCAAAGGTTCTTCTACAAGCCTGCGTTTATCCTCGGCATAAGATTGTGGATATTTCTTGATGTTGTATTGCTTTGTGAACATCATCCCTCTCGATAGAAATTTTGAAGGTTTACATCCATTCTATTTGATTGAAAAGTTACAGTTACACATCGACTGTTTATATCTTCCTCTATTTGCTGAGTGTGATCTACTCGCAAATAAGCTTCAACATCTCAATCGATTTGACTTTACCCCGCGGATCTGCCCCACGATTTACCCCATCCGAGCTCCCGAACTCAAAGTTACCGGCGTACATCCGACATTATGGCGATGAACACCAGAACGGCCTCAAAAGCATTCAGATCTTTGCGAGTATGAAGTCCTTTCTACAATGATATGTTATGCCCAATACTGATATCTTTGTAGCCAATCGGGGTTCGTACTTTGGCTGTCCCAGCCCATCGTAACTATGCTACATCATCCGAACCAGATCTCAAAACTACCTTCAAGGAATCCATTCCTGCGAAACGCGAGCTTTTGAAGAAAGTCAAGGCGAAGGGCGATAAAGTTATTGGAGAGGTTAAAATCGAGAATACAATTGGTGGAATGAGGTACGGACACATCTATAACCGCATAGCGCATCACGAAGATACTAATACTATGGCAGGGGGTTGAAAGCTATGGTATGGGAAGGTTCCGTTTTAGATGCCAATGAGGGTATTAGATTTCATGGCAGAACCATCAAGGACTGTCAAAAGGAGTTGCCGAAAGGAACAAGTGGTACAGAAATGCTCCCAGAAGCCATGTTCTGGCTACTTTTGACCGGACAGGTCCCTTCTACCTCACAAGTCAGAAAATTCTCTAGAGAACTGGCGGAGCAATCAGCGCTCCCAGATTTTGTGAACAAGATGCTCAATAACTTTCCAAAAGATCTACATCCAATGACTCAGTTCGCGATCGCTGTTTCAGCACTCTCACATACTTCCAAATTCGCCAAGGCATACGAGAAGGGAATAAACAAAGCAGATTACTGGGAGCCAACTTTCGATGACAGTATCTCCCTTTTAGCAAAACTCCCTGTGATTGCTGCCAAGATATATCAAAACTCATATAGAGGTGGTGGAGCTCTCCCTGCTGAGGTCGATCTGGAACAAGATTGGTCATATAATTTCGCAGCCATGCTCGGTAAGGGAGGAAAAGAAAATGAGAACTTCCAAGATTTGCTGAGATTATACTTGGCTCTTCATGGTGATCATGAAGGTGGAAATGTTTCAGCGCATACTACTCACTTGGTTGGAAGTGCTTTAAGTGATCCCTTCTTAAGTTACAGTGCTGGTCTGCAAGGCCTCGCTGGACCGCTTCACGGGTATGTATCAAAATGTCCTCGAGATTACAATTACTGACCGCTCATAGTCTGGCCGCACAAGAAGTCCTCAGATGGATCTTACAAATGCAAGAGCACGTAGGAACGAAATTTACCGACAAAGATGTGTCCGACTATCTATGGTCAACCCTCAAATCCGGCCGTGTGGTCCCAGGCTACGGCCATGCCGTTCTGCGCAAACCCGATCCCCGATTTGAAGCCTTAATGGAGTATGCCTCCTCCCGTCCAGAAATTGCCAAAGATCCCGTCTTCCAACTGGTCAAGAAAAACTCCGAAATCGCGCCGGAAGTGTTGAAAGAGCATGGAAAAACCAAAAATCCATACCCAAATGTAGATTCTAGCTCTGGTGTGTTGTTCCATCATTATGGTTTCCATGAGACACTTTATTATACTGCTACCTTTGGCGTTAGTAGAGGTTTGGGCCCGTTGGCGCAGTTAATTTGGGACAGAGCATTAGGATTACCAATTGAGAGACCTAAGAGTATTAATTTGGAGGGTTTACTGAAGTTGGCAGAATAGATCTAGAGGATGTTACGCCAGCAGAGCAGGTATAGAATAGATCGCATAAAAGTCTTAACTGCATGCTTTTGTTATTTTTCTTCAAACTTCCTGTTGGTGACCGCAAATACGCGTCAAGTAAACCCTTGAATACTTCCCAGCCGTGGTACAGAGCATATAGCAGCTAGTCTATCATACCTACACAGTACATGACCCCTTTCAATGGCCAAAACATAAAACTTTCAACCCTTAAATATAATGCCACAACTTTGATGCTCAATCATGCATCCTTCACACTTCCATCCTATATACCTTAACAGTAGTAGCAGATATATGATATCTCGCCATCATATACGTATTTCGAGACTAGAAGGCAGAGCCAATATACGGTCGGCCTGATCCCGAATTCGAACACTTCGGTTGTACCTCATGGCATCATTTCATCTGTTTTATATTATTTTATTGCCGTTAGAAAAGAGAAGAGATTTGTTTCAGAGGATTGGGGACTGTTAGATTACTCGTAACTACCTAGGTATTGGTTATTGATAATCATAGACGCTCGTAAAGTGAATTTGGCTGGTGAAAATGACTTATCTCTCTCTACTACCTACCTACTTACCTATAGAACTATCTGCGTATGAATTATTTTTGATAATAAAGTTCCATTTTTCGTGATTTTGGGGATTATGCGCCGTTTGTATCGTATGGGGTGTTGGTATCGTTAAATTAAACGATCTAAGGAGTAGTCTGCGAACTTCAATGTCTGGATCCCGACGGAGATGATATAACCTTAGATGAAAAGTGTGGGAATGTGAAGGAAAAGAAGAAGGAAAGGGAGAAGCTGCAGAAACAAGTGATGATCTCAATATGGTCGTTGGTTCTGTCACTCATACAAGGTGTATGTTCATTCCTTTGAACTTATAAATTGGCTAAATGATAAGCCTCATATATAGTACGAATAGAGAAGAGAATCACCGGGGGAGACTGAGAATATAGAAATGTGGAGGATGAAGATATAGACGGTGCTGAGGATAAGGATGAGGATGAGGAAAATGAAGATGCGATGAATCTGAAAACCGTATCAATTGTTCAGACGGACTCCAATTTTCAACCCTGATTGAAGTAATATGCTGACTCTGTCATATATAAATGTGTCAAACATTTCTGACGTTGGAATATTCTCAATACAACGAGTAGCGTTTCAGAATGTATTTGTTATTCATTTCACGAAAATATGTAGGTGCAATAATGAGGGTTACTAAAGCATCTTAGATAGAGCACAAAGAGTTTTCTAGCATGTTTCAGGATTACAACGGTACGTCCGTTAACACTGATACTTAGACGAAAATATCCATCCGAGCAACCCCCTTTTCCATACATTCATTTCATTCGCCCATGTCTCAACCGAGAATCTTAGCCTCATGCGGCATACATAATGTGGGGTGAAGGCCACGGTACCAGATGCCAAGAATGCAAAGTCCAGACTCAATTTGGTTGGAGTGGGATGTGTTGGCTCATGGAGGGATTTTCTTATTTGCATTTGATTTCTTGGGTTACTTGGAGCTTAATTTACGAAGCGAAAAGCCCATAGATGATGGCGATATGATTACCAGGACCGAGCTACACACTACAAATATATTGCATAAAAGCCAAGAATGGCTACGAATATGGCGTATGACCGTGCGGAGTACTCGGTTTGGAAAATAGTGTTAAGAATTGCACATATTCCTCGTGTCATATCGCATTATCCTTCAGCTTTTGATCTTCTTTCTCAAGTATTAGTAGCTTGACACGTTCAATCGTTGTTGACACCCTTTCTTTTTCGACTAACTCGTTCGTTTTTTGTTTGTCAATATACTTAGACATCCATTTATCGGAACTGTCGGGAGAAAATAATGAAGTTCTCGGTCGATAGCGTGGTATGGGGAGTGATCTCTTACGCTGCGGTTGTGAGATCCGCTTGTTCAAGTAATCTGTTAATTGATAATTATGGAAAATTCTCAAGTAATACTAATTCTTTGAGTCAATGGACAAGTGGTAAGTGACTCCTTCAAGTTTGTCATACAGAGTCTAACACGAAAAAGACGACGGAACAACCACCAATCTGAAGGCCGATGTCACAAACAAGAAAGTCACATTCACAAGCAAGGCGAACAGTTACTTTTATACCACCTTCAATTGCGAGAAAGCAACAACAGATCAATACAATGCAATTACATTTCCGGTTAAAGGTCCTGCTGGCTCTTCATTCACACTCGAACTGCAGACTTTGAGTTCTTGTACAGCGACTACGTATAAAAGTTATTACACAACTATTAAGGGAATAACTGGATCTACTCAGACTATCACAGTACAGTTAAGTGCTTTCTCTGGAGCAAACTTAAACGCAATTTCGGGGCTCTTATGGGAGTCCTTTAGTGTCAACGGTGCGTGGGAGATTGGGCAAACGAATTTGGTTTGCGCAAATGGTGCAGGAGGCTCATCGAGTGCGACCTCATCTTCCAGTACGATGTCTACGAAAGGTGCTGTTGTGACCAGTAGCTCTTCAACGTCAGTTGTTTCTGTTTCGATTACCTCTCCTCCTATCACTTTGAGTACAGTCAAACCAAGTGTTACTTCGAAAGTTCTGACCAGCAGTGTCAGTGCATCGGCTCCAGCAGGTGCCTGCACAAACTTGTTGATTGATGACTTTGCATCTCAATCTCGTTTAACGTTTTTGTTTTACAATGCCATGCTACAACCGTCTTCAGATGATGGTACCATGGCACCAGTAACAGGGAGGGTAGACACTGGCACTTCAGTAATTGTGGCTAACAATCATGTTACTTTGACACCTCGTGCGGATGGGTCTTCATACTGGTATACCATGTTTGGTTGCTTGAAAGCAACCAATACATATGGAGGAATTGGATTGAATATCAAGGCTGCAAAGGGAACAACATTGGGAATTGAAATTCAAACTTCGAAGACCTGCAATTCGAGTAATCCAACTCTCATAGACGTCTCATCTGCTGATCTGGGATGGACTTTTGATGGAACTGAAAAATTTTATACCATTCCTTTCTCCAAATTTCCAGGCCTTGACACCGATCATTTGGTTTCACTTCTATTTTCTGGTCTCAGCAAACCGATTACTCTTGGTCCAATGTCTTTATACTGTGGAAACACAGGAACCGCTTACCCAGTCCCTAGTACTGTTCCGGTCATTGAACCATCTTCAACCATTCCGGCAACCACTGGACCCTCAGCTTATGTCATTGATACTTTTGGCAATGCTGGCTCTAACAATCTCGGATTTTATCACGGAGGGGATGATACAACAACCTATAAACAATCGGGGAACAAACTTACCATCAACACTAAAGGGAATTCTGACCTTGCCTGGTACACTCAGATTTCCAATGGATGCCTTGACTTCACTCCTAATGATAATGGCTATCTCCACATCGCTTTTACTGGAAGTAACGCATTTACCATATCCCTGCAACAGCACAATCCTACTTGCAACCCAAATATTAATCCATTTCCTTTCACGTGGGATTCTGTTGAAGCATCGAGATACTCCAACTCAGCAAAGACCGACCTCTACGTTCCAATCTCTCATTTTGAAATCAACCGCAAACTAAGTGTCGGGTTTGCACTCAAAGGTTTTTACACATCCGATAATACCATCATCTCGAAGATTGAAGTCGTCAATTCGGTCCCATCAGGTTTCCTAGTCCCATCGAAACTACCCACAGCACCCCTAATCTTCTCTTGCACCCGTCCAAACTCTTTCGCTTTCGCAATCGATGACGGTGATCCACAACTCGCTCAAAAAGTCGTCTCCGCCGTCGCAGCCGCAGGTATCCACGTAACATTTTTCACCGTTGGTGCCGCCCTCCTGGACGCATCCACCAATCTCTCAACAGTCTATTCGAACATGCTAAATCTCGGTCATCAAGTAGCATATCATTCCTACACGCATCCACCAATGGAAGGACTCCCAACTCTCGCATCCATAGACTGGGAACTCAACAACGATATCGCCGCCGTCTCATCTACCCTCTCCGGCCATACATCCACTTATTTCCGACCTCCTTTTGGCACCGAAGGCGCACGTATTCGGCAACGACTCGCTGCCTTAATCCCAGGTTCAAAATTCGTAGAATGGTCCGTCGATGTACAGGATTGGTTATGGGCTCTAAGCGCCACGCCTGAAAAACAGCTCACGAATTTCCAGAGTGATGTGAATAAGGGTGGGAATCTGGTGGTTATGCATTATTTGTATCAGACGACGGTGGATTATCTACCGCAGTTTATTGAGATTGCGAAGAAAACAGGTAAGCAGTTGATGAGGGTAGATCAGTGTTTGGAGGATCCGAATGCGCCGCCTTTGTGATGGTTGGGTGGGCTGATTGCGGTTTATATGTTTGGAGTCTGGCTGCGTAGCCAAAGCAGGGAGTGGAAGATATTTCAATAGCGGATAATGATTTATGATAATTACCTCAATATCTTTGAGATTTCTTTGCTGCAATGATGTCAAATGTGCGATATAAATCCATATGCTTTCTGTGTTGAGAAATGAGTAAAGTCCAAAATAAGAGCTAACAACTAATAACTATATATTCCATGACATCGCTTGAATATCTATAGGTATGTAACAATATCTTCGAACCTTCAAGATATCTTATATCTCACATTTGTTTAATTCCTTAAAATTCCTTTGCACTTTAATTAGGCTACGCAATAGGGCCCCGCAAGGCGGATTATTGCTTTGAAGGGTAATCTGCAGATGACCTATTTGCGGGATAGGTAACTGAAGAATCTGAATAGATAAATTATAAATAATTTATAATTTATTTGTAATATTTATTTTAAATTTAAAATATTACTAGTTTTACATTGAATTATTTTAAATAATGATATATTTAAAATAAATAAATATATAATTATCATTAATTAAATTTTATAAAGAATTTTATTAAAATCAAATAAATAATTATTTAAATTCTTAAAATTCAAAATTTATATAAAAAGATAATATAAAAGAGAGTGAAAGAAATATATAATCCTGATATAAATCACATATAAAGATATCTCAATTGCGAAATAAAGTAACTTGTAAAAATTTCTCATTCTAGCGTAGTGTCTATCTATTTGATTAATCCAATCTCGTGACTATACGCTAAAATCCAAGCTAGTATCGAAAAAATGCTATCGTTCAAGGAAAATCATATTGTCGGTTGTGGCGGGGTATGGGTAAGTGAAGCTTCAATATATAACTCTGTTGTTATTCGTATTGATTGGAAATGGGGGACTATATGAATATGTAACCCCTCTTGCCGAGGCACTAGCGTCAACGCTAGCGGTTCATGTGATCAATATCTCGACACATATATCTATTTAGGGACACCAGTACCGCGAATAGCATCGACTTGTTCGCTGAGGAGGGCATTGTTGGATGGAGCGGCGAGTGGTGGACCTTCAGGAGTTACGTAGGCTTTTGTCATGCCACCGTCGACGACGAAATCCTATTGAGATTGTTAGATGTATTTTTGTGGATATGGGGGAATGATATGGGATACGGAGGGCAGTCGAAAAACAAAAGTGGGAATATATACCTGTCCATTAACAAAGCTACTCTCATCACTAGCCAAGAACAAAACGGCTTGAGCCTGCTCAATAGCCTCTCCGAATCTTCCACTTGGGAAATGAATCTCACGTCTGAGTCTTTTTGGTTGATCATCTCCTAACCAATCTTGGAGCAATGGAGTATTTAATGGTGCTGGGCACAATGCATTGAATCTGATTCCTTCTCTAGCGTGAACAATTGCCAGTTCTCTGGTCAAAGCCAAAACTGCTCCCTTGGAAGCTGTGTATGCTAATTGAGGAGTAGCAGAACCAACAAGTGCAACGACGGAAGCGGTATTGATGATAGAACCACGTGTCTTCTTATTCTTCCGCATAGAAATAATAGCGTGTTTACAACCAAACCAAACACCCTTGACATTAATAGCTTGAGTCAAGTCCCAAATCTTCTCAGGGGTATCGATAGCATCAGCATCATCAGCATGCATAATTCCAGCATTGTTGAACATGATATCGATACCACCCCAGGATTCAAGATGAGCAACGGTCTTTTCGATATCAGATTCTTTCGAGACGTCACAAACTTGAATTTCAACTTTGTGGGCCGATGGAACTAATTGCTTGAGTTTTGCGGCTGCTTTCTCGAGGGCTGGTGCGGAAATATCGGCCATGAGGACATTGGCACCCTCCTTGGCGAAGAGGATACAGGTTTCGAGACCGATTCCTCTGGGTGATGTGTTAGCATGTGAAGGGTTATCTTAGTCAATGGAGACTTTTTGGCAAAATGAAATTGTCCATGAAATCATTCTAAGATTCACTTGCATGTCGCCCCTGCAAAGCGCCAGAAAAATAATCGTGGTCACGTGAATGGCCAGCTCAAACACATCCATCACTGAGAACTCTTGATAAGGAATTGACTCTAGAATAGAGAGAAGACGGAGTACGATACTTATCGTCCTGAATCTTTGTAACCCGTATATTTCGAGTCACCGAAAATTCCATGTCATAAGGCAAAGAGAGATCAAGACTTACCCAGCAGCACCAGTAACAATAGCATTCTTACCATGCAGTCTTCCCATTTGGAAGCTGTTGATGGTGTGCAGGTTCTCTCCGTTGCCGGCCATATTGAATTATGTTGAAAAGAGAATTATGGGTAGAATACTGTGTTCTATTGAAGATATTGTCAGTAATGAGCTCCACGTTGCGTTTGATGTTTTGATGTTCTTGTACGAAGCCTGATTACCATTCCTCACAATGAGAAAAGGAAACTTACCCTTTGTTCTTGATTAAGATATTGGTATGTTGAATGTCGAGAGGAAAAAAATGAAGAATATGAAGAGACGTAATAAAGTTATTTCCAACTACTTATCCACATAGAAATAACTCGAAATGATCAGAAATAAAAAGAATTCTTATTTGTGATGACAATTCATAAAAAGACAGAGAATGTGGATGCTGATGTGTCACTGGTATCAAATACCAAGTTGGTCCGTTCTCGGTGGGATGTATCATGTATGTATGTTATCGTTTCCGAAGAAAAACCATGTGAAGAATAATGAAGAAACACGATTCAGCTTCTATATGTGGTATCCTTTTATGAAACTCACCGCTGCTTTTTTGGATGATAGAGAGATAGGGGAAAGGAAAAGGACGAAGCCGTTGGACAGTTAGATTCTACCTAAGGAAAGGCGGGGTTTCATGACCGAAAGAGGGAATTTGAGATGATCTCGGGATTTGATAATATTGAGTTACATTGGTATCCCAGATTGGGGAGATGAATGGACTCTGTAAATTGAAATATGAGATGGTTAGGTATATTATAAAGCGATACAAGTGAAGAGATCAAAGTAAAGTTTATTATAATATTATATTATATTATATTATAAAATATAAATAAAAATAAAATATAATATAATCAAAGGGTAATTTGAAAAGGGTTCATCAGTATTGACTGCATTGACATCTGTTACCCGAGTAAAAGATCAAAGTAATATCATCTTATCGCGGGGTCAAAGTGGACATGACAGATGGTCAGGACAGATGGGTCAGGTCAGATGGCCATGGTTAGACGATGACAAGACAGAATTTGGGTTGGCGGGATTGCAGGCGTGAATGGGGGTTTGAGAAGTGTGAGAAGGCAAACATCAAAACGTTGTCTGTCGTGTTACATGACATGTTTGCTAGCTGGTGTTGGTCAAACAACACTCACTTAGATAGGATGGGATAGCTACTCGAGTAGCTGCATGTCAATTATTTCAGTCATATCTCTTGCCATTTAAACTTTGACAGGGCCGTCCACCAATCCTAACACTCAACTGATGGACTACCGAGTAACTGCAACGCCAATCAAGCGTCAGGTTGTGATAAGTAGAGTAGCCCTAAGTTAAAAGCAGCATCGATTACAGCCCCTCGCTTTATCGCAAAAATTCTTATCGCAAGTCCAAGAAACCCTCCTTGCTTCACGCCGTATTGTTAGTCTTATCACTCTCAAAGGCTCCACGATTAGTTAACCTTCCTCTCAATCAAGAAGCCAGATCTCCGATATCCATACTATTATTCTGTCAATTGTTTTCAGATATCCCAAGCTTGACAATAGCTATTCCATCCTCAAGTTCTTCTCTTCACTAGACGCAAAAATGCCAGACACACCAGAATGGATAGCCTCACACAAGCAGTGGGATGAGAAAACCGCCGATAACCTCACCGCACTTCTCCAAAATGATACAAAAGTAAAGCTGGCTGGTATCGATGTCGATGGAATACTTCGAGGGAAGCTTGTCTCCAAAAAGAAGTTCCTTGGGATCGCGAAGGAGGGCTTTGGTTTCTGTTCGGTCATTTTTGGTTGGGATATGCATGATCAGACTTATTTCAAAGAATTGAAAATTAGTAATGCTGAGAATGGCTATCATGATATTATTGCGGTTCCAGATTTGACTAGCTTTAGAAGGATACCATGGGAAGATAATGTGCCTTTCTTTTTGGTTAGCTTTTATGATCCAGATACGGGAAATCCGGTGTCTGCATGCCCGAGAGGATTATTGAAGACGGCAGTGGAAAAGTTACAGGCCAATGGATTAGGTGCAATGGCTGGAGGTACGGGTAATTCTACGTCCGCATATTGGCTACAACTAACAATACGTAGCTGAGTACGAATTCTTTCAATTTAAAGCACCGCCGAGCAATCCTCACGCACCAATTTCGGAACGAAATACCTCTTCTACAGCGACCTTCCTACGAGAAAATCCAGTCGATTCATTACCCTCCTTGACCGAAGGAATGTTCGGATATAGTTTAACTAGGCCAGTTCATAACCAAGAATATTATTATGGCATATATGATGCATGCGAACAATTCAACTGTGGAATAGAAGGATGGCACACAGAGAGTGGACCTGGTGTGTTTGAGGCTGCTTTGGCATTTGGTGAAATTCAACAAATGGCAGATAAAGCAAGCTTGTTCAAGTGAGTTTGAGGTCCTACTATCATGATGGGGACGAAACACTAATTCTTGCAGGTATGTTGTAAAATCAGTAGCAACAAAATATGGCATTACTCCATCCTTTATGGCAAAACCACGACAAGGTTTACCTGGAAATAGTGGACACATGCACGTTTCAATCGTTGATAAAGACGGCAAGAATCTCTTCTTCCGAGAAACCAAAGACACAGAGGCAAAATGGAAAGATATTGAGAACCTGTCAGACATGGGTCGTCATTTCCTTGCGGGAATATTGGAAGGGCTTCCATATGTTATGCCACTACTTGCACCAAACGTCAACTCTTACAAACGTTTGGTAGAGAACTTTTGGGCTCCCGTAACAGTATCATGGGGTCTTGAACACCGTGCAGCTTCTGTTCGTTTGATTGCACCTCCAACCTCTAAACCAGGCGCCACACGTTTCGAAATTAGAGTACCTGGTGCCGACACAAATCCATTCTACGTACTAGCAGCCATCTTAGCGTTAGGATGGAGAGGAGTAGAAAAGAAATTGGAAATTAAACAACCACCTTTAGGAAAAGGTCAAGATGTAGGAGGAAAAGCGGATCCAGGGGTAAGATTAGCGAAGAATTTAAGAGAAGCTACAGAAAAATTTATGGAGAAGGATAGTATTGCGAGAGAGGTATTTGGAGATGAATTTGTGGAACATTATGGTGGAACTAGGGAACATGAAATTAGATTATGGGATGAGGCTGTTACGGATTGGGAAGTTAGAAGATATATTGAATCTGTATAATGAATTTTGGATAGATCTAGATATTTCAATATAGAATAACTATATAACCTCAAGCCTCAGGGTTTATTTCATTTATTGGCATCCATCTGATGTGTGATTCTTGCTGTAGTGTATCTTAAAAGTTGCTCTTTGGGTAGGTAGACAAGTATATAGGTAAAGCGCCTTTCAGTAATAGCTTTCGCACTCAGGTAGGGAGAAGTATCAGTGATCGTTAGTGCCCGCTTAGGTGTCTGAGCCTGTGAAGCCTATCATTATCTATACTGAGCATATGTAAATTGACAAGTTCGATAGAATTATCTATGTATGATGGTACCTTGCTCTTATATAAATAATGCTTATATTATGATTCATGGATTCATGTAGGTTAACTCTTACTGATACCTGAGAAATAATACTAGGAGGTTACTCCGCCATCGGACGTCCACGTGACGAATCAAAAGACATGCATGCTCTTATCAAGGATTATATGATTACTTAAGTACATCATTTACTGAGTCTTACAGATTCAAAGAGCCGCGGATAATCAAATTACCTACTATTCGATCAAGAGTGTAAAGTATGGTTATGGCCTCGACTGATAGTGAGGAGACTATAAATGTCCTATTTTATGGACTTGGAGCGTGAGTATATCTGGAAATAAGTGGGAGTGGGAGTTGAGCTAACTCGAAATGTTAGGATTGGCTCGGTTTATGCTTTTATTCTTAGTCGATGCCCAAATGTACGATTGACGACTGTAGCGAGATCGAATTATGATGCTGTGAGGGAAAATGTATGTTCAGTTGGATTGAACCTGTTAAAGAGTCCATGGTATGAAAACTGACACAACTCAAGGGTCTGAAACTCATCAGTGAGAATCACGGGGAACATACTTTCTACCCAGCAAATGGTATAGTTTCTATAACCTTTAATTAAGGAATATTCTAACATCTACAGTTATCAAAACACCCTCTGAAGCTCCCGGTCACTATGACTACATAGTCTGCTCCAACAAAGCCATCGACCAAGAACTCGTAGCTAAAGCTCTCGCTCCAATCATCTCCACCTCAACAAGTATAGTACTAATCCAAAACGGCGTTGGAAACGAAGAAATCTTTCAGAAACTCTATCCTCAAAATAGCATTATATCCTGCGTAGCCTGGACAGGAGCCATCCAAAAAACCCCCGGAATAGTCCATCATACCAAGAACGAAAATCTCCAACTAGGACTCTTTAGAAATGATAATATCCCAGAATCCTCATCAAGTCAACGATTAAAAATCTTTGACGATCTATTAACGACGGGGAAAACACCACATGAGGTTTTCTCTCCCGAAAGATTACAGATCGCTCGTTGGGAAAAAGTTACGTGGAACTGTGCTTGGAATTGTCTTACCACGTTAACACGAACACATACACACGAATGGTTGAATTCCTCTCCGGAAGCTATGAAAATGACACGAACTCTCATGCAGGAAGTTATAACTGTAGGAAAGAAAATGGGGGTAGGGATTAAAGATGATTTGATCGAGAGATTGATGGAGAGGATTTTAAGAATGCCCAGTATTGGTACGAGTATGTTGACTGATGCGTTGTGTGGCAGGAGATTGGAGTTGGATGTTATTTTGGGGTTTCCGGTTAAGAAGGGGAGGGAGTTGGGACTCGATATGAGGGTTTGTGAGACAGTTTATACGTTGCTTCTTGGGGTTGATGAGGGGTTGAGGGTGAGGGGTTTGGAGGGGTGAGGGTTGGGGATTTTTTGGGGTTGTGGTTGTGTGTAAATAGAGTAGAATAGAGTAGTGAAAGTAGACTAGTGGTGGAAAGTAAGACTTAGATTTACTAGAAGATGTCTTCTTTCTAAAATTTCCAGATATATATTATGGAAACTATCTACCTTTAGTAATAAATTCCAATACTTTACCTCCCCCTACAAATAATAAACACATAGATTCATTATTATCATCATTATTATCATCACACTAAACACAAATTTAACATCACAAACCTAACATCACAAACCTAACATCACAAACCTAACACCACAAACCTAATATCCCAAAATTACTTACTCATTAAACACTTATTGTAATTATATACTCAAAACTAAATAATCTCATCCCAGATCCCGAGCGCAGGGAGAAGCTCAACGTCGGCAAGTTACCCAGGCGGCCTCAGCATTCAAAAATATATATAGACCCCTCGTGGGCGGGGTGAGAAGAGGAGAAAATCTAGGGATCCGGTAAGATCTAGAAGTCCAAGTCGACTTTGAGCTGGTGCTGTTGGGTTTTGTTTATTACCTGGTGTTGGATTCTCTTGCATCAGTACTTTCCTTTTTTTTTTTTCTTGTATATAGATAGCTAGAGTAGAAAGTAGAGTTTTGACTGGAAAAAAAGATCAGAAAGAAAAAGACTTGAGAACAAAAAAGAAAAGGCCGTGGTAGCCCAAGTGCTGCTCGTCCAGAAATACCGTTTCGAGGTTGGTATTCTGGGTTCTTGTTGGAGGTCTTGAATGAGACTGTTGACTTTGCTGCTGGGAAGGATTTGGAGGCATCTGGAAGAACGTTTAGAGCTTGTGTTTGTGGTTTTTGCTGTTCGTTCAAATACGAAGGCGTTCAGGAAAATTGTTTTGGAGATTGTGTTCGTGGTATTCCTCTCCCATAATTGCAAGTCTTCTTCCCGACATTCAGAAACATGGTTCAGAGGTTGTGTTCGTCTTTCTCTCATAGGAACCATCTCTTTCGATGTCTGGAGAGGCACCGTTTCACAGGTTGTGCTCGTGGTGCTTCGTCTTTCATCGAATTTCCTTTTCTGGCAAGCAGACTCAGCTCATATTCGTACTACTTCTTCTCCGAGTCCACTTTTCTATCATTCGGAAATGTCGTTTTACGTTTTTTGTCTATAGCCATTTCTTTTTTCGTCTCTTCTCTTCTCTTCTCTTCCGGGGTTCAAACCGCCGCCTCAGATATAGCATTTTTTGGCTTTCTCTTCAGAGACTTCAAATAAGGAAGTCACTAATTGGCTAGCAATTTTACGATTACGATGGCCAATCATTTACAGCTTCTTCGTTCCAGCGCTCTTTATGCAACGATGGACAGACTTTCATAACAACCACTAATCATTGGTATTTCTTTACTTCGAGCTCGTTCGACTCTTGATGGATTGGATTTCAATGGGCACACTGACTACAACAACGAACAGCACCACGGCACTTGTTTGCCTCAAGTTCTTCATTAGATAGCTAAACCCATATTCTATATATGATTATATGAAACCTTTTAACTTTCATACTACTAAGAAATTACCAGGTAATAGTAACTTGACAACTACCAAACTTATAGATTTGGACATAAACAGCTTTGAATTCTCTGTCTTATCCGTGGCAGCATTGCTGTACTTTGATCATTGACACCTGACAAAACTGAAGGTATGAATCTCTGAACCACAACGATTTGCCTCCTTCCCATTCCCCCACAGTAATGTTATCTTTCCCGCCAAGTGCTGACTCTTGAGCGTTCCATCTCTGCATATCCATCACGCTTTTCCCGTTTCCTAAAATTGATTTGGTCATTTCAAGATAGCACTAGCATATCTATCTTAATGAACATCGATATCCATCCGCTCTGCTCTCTTTCCAAGCTGCAAGACTTTTCTAGTCCTCATGTATTTCGCCTTCTACTCCTTGGCAATCTGGGGAACTTCCTCCATAAGCCTACAGTTTTCCTTATACTTGCTTTCGCGGTTATTTTTGATCGATAACCTCGCCTTTAAGCATACTGGAGAATTTGAGCTCAGATATGTTAAGAGCTATGGACCTTGGATTATGATTGAGTGTTGGGAAGAATTTCAATCTTTCCAACCAATTCATTGTTCAAAAGAATATTTAGTATATATACATATGTATGTTGTCTGAGTACTAATCGACGACAAAGCATAACCGACAAAGCACCAAACAACCACAAAGGTCACCGTATAAAATCCCACGCACCCCTGTAAAGTTAATCTCTTATCGATTTTATCAATGAGGCCAGCTTGGTATCTTTTTCATCATATATAAATCCAATCAATCCATAAGAATTATACATTGTCAATACATTTACTTGTTTTGCAACTTATATGCTCTAGAATATATTTCCGTTACATACGCATGGTTTCTTCTAGTTTATACACCTCAATTCTTGTAGAGAAATTATCTAGCTCCTTGTGAGCGCATCTCTGGCGCAAACATGTGGTTGCCATTTGCTTTGTTGTTTTTGTGTATGCTGCAGTTGGCTGTTTGTGCTGAGGACTTTTACCAAGTATGTATTCTCTCTGTGTAGCTTCTGAAGTTTATAGTTGCAGTGGAATTGAGGGTTCGAAGAATCAATGCTAATTCTGTAGCTGCTTGGTATAGACAAACAAGCTTCAGAAAGAGATATCAAGCGCGCATATAGGCTTTTGAGCAAGAAATACCACCCCGATAAGAATCCGTATGTTTTATCTACCCCTACCATCACTACATCTACTAACCTATATTCTAGAGGTGATGAAACTGCCAAGCAAAAGTTTGTGGAAGTCGCCGAAGCCTACGAAGCTCTGTCAGTTGCAGAAACTCGCAAAATCTACGATCAATATGGACACGAAGGATTGAAACAGAGACAACAAGGAGGAGGAGGAGGACATCATGACCCATTCGACCTCTTCTCACGATTCTTTGGCGGAGGAGGACATTTCGGACAACATGGACAACGAAGAGGACCAGATATGGAAGTACGAGTAGGAATACCCCTTCGCGATTTCTACAATGGACATACCACCGAATTTCAACTCGAGAAACAAATGATTTGTGAGGAATGTGAAGGTTCAGGTTCTGCCGATGGTCAAGTCGATACTTGTAATGCATGCCATGGCCACGGAGTCCAAGTCAAGAAACATCAACTCGCGCCAGGAATCTTCCAACAAGTTCAAGTAAAATGCGATCACTGTGATGGAAAAGGGAAAACCATTAAACACAAATGTCCAGTTTGTTCAGGGTCCCGTGTCATCCGCAAAGTACAAACCCATCAACTAGTAATCGAGCGCGGAGCCCCCAAGGGTCAAACGATAAACTACGAAAACGAAGCCGATGAATCTCCCGACTGGGTTGCTGGAGATCTGCACGTCACATTGGTAGAAAAAGAAGCGAATCTCGAAGAGGACAATGAGCTGAAAGTCGATGGAACGTTTTTCCGTCGCAAAGGCGATAACTTGCATTGGCGAGAAATCCTTTCTTTAAGAGAAGCATGGATGGGAGCTTGGACTCGTAATCTCACACATCTCGACGGTCATATCGTACAATTGTCCCGCGAACGCGGTCAAGCGGTTCAACCGGGACATGTTGAACATGTTAAAGGAGAAGGAATGCCAAAATGGCACGAAGATGGCGATAGCGTGTATCACAAAACGGAATTTGGTGATTTGGTAGTGGAGTATACGGTCGTATTACCGGATCGGATGGAGAAGGGAATGGAGAAGGATTTTTGGGCATTGTGGGAGAAATGGAGGAAGAAGAATGGAGTAGATTTACAGAAGGATAGTGGAAGACCTGAGACGCCCGGTGCGGCGACGGGGAAGGATGAATTGTGATGAGTGGTTGAGGAAGGGAAGTGTGGGGGTCGGAGTGTTGGAGTTGATGGGTATTACTCAATGGATTAATTGTTGGGAGGCGAGATGTATAGATTAGATGGAATGGAATGCAAATTTGTATTGATATGAATAACGAAGATACATAAGCGAAATTTAGAAGGTTTTTCTTTTTTTTTTTGACATAATTTCTATGCATTTCTATATCAAATCACATCACACACATCATACACATACAGTCCTGGTGGTCCAACCTTTAACTATAAGCACGCACGATATTTCAATAATTAATCAATAGGTAAGCAGCGAAAAAGAAAATAAGATTGTATACAATACATATTTGGTATCTGTAACATAACATAACATAACAGAACACAACATAAACATAATATTGAAGAATCGATGCTTTCCCCTCACACACACACACACATCATATCGTATCGTTTCGTTCCGTACCGTTTCTCCTCGTATCTTTTCATATGAGATAGATACAACATGAATATCCCAAAGTGAAAGTCCAGTCTTCACTGCTCGCTTGCTCATCCATCATCCATCATACAAATAAATAAATAAATAAATAAAAAGGAGAGGAAGGAAAAAAAGAACAGAAAAGAAAGAAAGGGAAAGACAGGTAGGTATCCCAATTAAATCCCCCCAATGAAATAAATTCCTTAGAAAATGTAAATTGCTTGATCGATAAGTGTATATTAACCCCCCTCCTCTCTCTCAAAAAAAAGAAAAAAAGATAAATGCTTCATCCGCAGAAAGAAAGGTTGTAATAGTAATGGAGCGAGGGGTATAGACTGAGCTAGAGAGGACAAAAGGACGAAAGGAAGGAAGGAAAGAAGAGCGAGAGATATTAAGAATTAAACACGCGTTTGGTACCATTTCTTGCGTTCGGTGGTGGGTTGACCGTTGGTGGGTTGTTCGGCGACGGGGACATGGGGGTCGGTGGCTGTGGCGTGGGTGCGGCGGGAGCGGTGGTGCATGAATGTTCCCTGGGGGTTCGGATGTTAGGATGTGGTGTTTATGGGGGAGATGTGGGAGAATGGCTTGAAGCGGAGAAATGAGGGAAAGGAGAGTGATCGTGTGAGAAGAATGGGATTGAAAAGGGAAGGAATAGGAGCAGATTCGGAGGAAGATGAGGAACGAGGGGGACCTACTAGTATAAAAGAAGCGAGGAAGAAAAGGGAAGCCAAAAATGCAAATGCCACGTCGGCTTTCCACCTCGAGCAGCTGGAATCACCAAATCTACCAAACCAACGAAATACACTTCCGCAGTGGGAAGGCGCGATGAACTATTCATGGCAGGTTAGTTATATATCCCACTTCCTACGAGGAACGAGAAAGGGATGTGAAAAGGGGGGAGAAGCGTGGAGAGTGAAAGAATACATACATCGACCAATAACCCAAAAGCAATCATAAACATAGCGAACATTAAGAAATCGATAGGCCAATGAATAAAATTCCATGTGTGTGGTAACAAGAAAAATAAGGAGAAGAATAGGCCTAGAGCAGCAGTAACTTCGGTGTAGATGAATCTCTTCCTAGTCCATCCTGATTCAGTTCGAGCACGACTCAGATGTGCACCGGTGATACCGAGGACAATGGTACTGAATACAAGTTGGCCGAGGCGCAAAAGCAAATTGAACATATCATATCCGTTCATTTTGGTGGTGATTTTGAAGCTTTTTGGTTCGTGATTGTATTTCTAGCGGTAGGATATCTCGAGTTTCGTATTGTGAAGTTGCTGTGGATAGACGAAAGAAAGAAGAGGAAGTGAGGAAATGGTATTATGCTTAAGTTTTATATCTCCGCACACATCACACCACTTGCAAGTGATGAAAGAAAGCAAACTACGCCGACTCACATCATAACATGCAGCCTACCGACAGGCACTTGCATTCATGCCATGTTCTTGCCCAATCCCACTTCCACTACCCAGCAACCCCTTGAATGTCCGGATTGACTTCTCCGTCAATATTGTGTACGTTCATACCTCCTATTCGTGGATGGGTATGCAAATGAGAAGCTGGCTGTAATTTATGGCACATGCAGAACAGGAATTCAAGGAAACTATGAAGTCATAATAATATTACACAACTACCGATCCATCTTGAAGTCCCGGAATTGTATGCAGTACCTTGCATTTCTTCATTTTAGGGATGTGGCGTTTTGTAAAAGGTACAGGAAATGAAACGGAACGGCGTCTTTGCTCCGGTTGCTACCCTGAGGAACTGTCCTATTGGAGAATGAAGAGGAATATACGTGACAACAACACGATGAACGGTGTGTATGTGACGAAGTCTTATTCGTTGTTTAGAGCCATTTAGGAGTAGGAATATCTTCAAGATATGTTAGGAACGATGACTGTCGAAATAAACCCGGACTATGACCAGGAACTTTTTAATGAGGAGATTACTTCATATTCTTAAGAAAGATGACATGTGGTTGGTGACAGAATGAAAATGTGAGCCAGCCAAGCATTCAATGTAGGGAATAAAATGTATATCAACCTTGTCGAAATCCCATATCCAACCATCAAATCATCTCTCAAGACTTATCACGCCTAGAAATCAAAGAAGTATATATTTGGTAGACAAGTTCATCTCGACCATCGTATACGAGGGTAAGAGTTTGCTTTAAGGCCTGTCAAAATTCCATTTTAAAGGAGACGAACGACGAACTTGAAAGCTGTTGGGCAAGTTGGCAACATTGCATAAAGTTGTGGTTGGGCTTTTGTCCAGTTGAGTGAGTGTTTGTAGCGTGGCTGCATTTGTGGCTGATGGATACCAAAAATGATTTCTTGTGTAACGGTGCATGGGCTGATTGATGGCTGGATAATATAAGTATATATCTTTGGAATACTTTGTCACAAATTACCAGCTTTTGATGAGCTTCGTGTGAAGATATGTGGCGCTGTTAATGCGATGAAGAGATGCGCGAGGTGAATTAGTAGTTGAGCCTCTTCAATTGATATTGGCGGAGAGCAATGGTCAGACTTTCGAACCATCGTCTTGACGGCTTAATCAAGATAGCTTCGGTGAGATGAGTATATCTATTTACAAGTTTAACGCAATCTCATGAATACCCAGATTTAATAGTGGTTAACATCCACTCGTGGCTCCTTCACCGTCCTCGCTTCTGATTAATCAGCCGACTGCAGCAATTCATATCACCTGAAAATCTTTGAGCGATGCCAATTTCAAATAAAGGTCTTGTCTCTATTGTTAATATTTCCATGCGACAATGGGCGTCGTGAAAAGTCCCAAAGCTACCCTTCCAGTTTCTGAAGAATCGGAAATTCCTCCTATCGAAGAAAACCAACTAACCCCTGCATCCTGTGCGGAATTCCCAGAATCATTTGTTCCAGACTCGAGGAAAGATAAAAGGAAAGTGGTGAAAGGAGGTGCATTCAGTGATCGATTTTACTGTTTCTGAACGGATAGATAGAGTGATGTGACGATCTAGAAAAGTGCTGTACGTATCCTCTCATGAAATCTTCCTTGGCGCTACCACTTAAGCGTCCTTCTATAGTTCATAGAATTTGTTGGAACAGCTTGCCTTTGTTATTTATCTGCCTTTATCAGTATCGCAATTCGAAATTCTGATACTGCGCCAGTTGCGGCATATGTCGGCGTTACCAATATCTTTCTCTTGACACTATTCATATGTGCTCTTGCTCCTGGTTCCAGTGGTCATCTGAATCCGAAAATTATTGTTGCAACGATTATCACTGGACTCACTGAATTCTCGAGAGGAGTGCTATATATGATAGGTCAAGCTACTGGAGCCGCACTTGCGGGTAGCCTAATCAGAGGAAGCTTAGAGTGCAGAGAACGTTAATGTAAGTGCACTTCCTTTGATTATAGGGAGGAGAGGACAGCCAGTGGTTGTACAGATTTGTACAAAGACATCGGATAGTACCCAATTTTATACTGGTATTCCTCGTTTAACCATTCGATACAGCTGAGACAGCGACGCTATGATGCGAATGAGATCGTTTGAGGTTAAGAAAGCGGTTGTTGAATGCGTGCACCACTGGTAGACTAATAAAAGATAGGCTTGATGGAGGAGGATGTCTTCTTAAGGCGACAACCGTCAGTGAAGGGCAGGCTTATTTGATCGAGTCGGTGTTGTCATGTATTATGCTGTAAGACTCGCGCCCATCACATCCCTTTTGACTTAACTAGGCAGTATTTTATCGTTTGGCACTGCTCTTGATCCTCGACAAGCGCAACTTTTTGGCCCACGTCTTGGTCCGTTCATGGTAGGCTGTACATTAGGCCTTATATCATTTCCAGTATCAATCTTGCACCAGGATATCCAGGAGCAGGCTTAAATCCAGCAAGGCGTTTTTCGTGTGCAGTTGCCAGGGGTAACTTTGCTTGTCAGGTCAAATATGATTCCTCAAGGATATGTCATTGCTAATAATAAATCCAGATCAATGTTTGGTGGCTTGGTCCAGTAACGGGAGCTATAATCCAAAGCTCGGTGTACCATTTTGTTCCGCCATATCATACGAAAAGTAAATAGGAAGCCATTCAATGTGATGTGAGGAATTCACGGATATCATCAACTGCACACCGTGATCAGCGTAAGGAAATAGGACTTCACCAGGACAAAGGGATCTCTCAAGTAGGAGTATGTATGATCATTGACTTGTATTATCAGGATGAGATAGGATGGATCGAATTGGATAGTGGCAACTGCACATCAAATTGAAGTTTCCAAACTCAAGGCCGGTTTGCTCGTTCAAGTGACAAATGAATATAAGCTTCCTGCAATATGCATGATAGAGGGAAGCGGCGCACCCTTGGAAAGATAGTAAGTATACTTGACGACTTATATACCTAGAGGCTAGTCGTTCATGTGGCAAATGTCAATTTTCGGCAATCGCAGAACAATTTCATACCATAAATAAAAGAGATTAAAAAGTCGGAAGACCAATTTGAGTAATATATTTCGTATTTGCAATATTCTCAAGAAGTGTAAGACTTATTCAAGATGGAGGTTGGATTGATGATGAATCCCGACTAATACCGAAATATACCCACTCCATGCTCAAAACTACTACCAAATTTATCGGCCAATCAAATCACCCACGATACCAATACGGCGACCATCCGAGAACTAAAATCAATCAACATCATAGACAAATATATCCTCAATTAACAATTCGCCATTGCGCCACATCACCTCGACAATGGCTTCCAAGATAACTCCTTTCGTTTTTCGATCCGCATTCAGACCAGCAAGAATAGCTTCGCGATCACAATATCGGTCATTTGTTGCCAGCAGTAGATTATCCAGCGATACTCTCAACGTTGTATGTCTTTTAGATGAAGCTCCGATTATGCCGCATTGCAATTACTGATATTCAATCTTACAGCATCGTGATACACCCGAAAATAATGCCTCTATTCCTTTCAAATTCACACCTCAAAATGAGAAGATTGTCGAAGAAATCCTCAAGCGCTATCCCCCACAATACAAAAAGGCTGCCGTGATGCCAATTCTTGATCTCGGACAACGTCAACATGGTTTCACTAGTTTGAGTGTTATGAATGAAGTTGCTAGATTATTGGAGATGCCTCCTATGAGAGTTTATGAAGTGGCTACCTTTTATACTATGTATAACAGGAATCCAGTGGGCAAATACCATCTCCAAGTTTGTACTACGGTATGTTTCCCCCATGTTAGGTTAAGATGTGGCGTTTGGCCTTGGAGATTTAGAACTGATAATTTCCTCGACAGACTCCATGTCAATTAGGTGGATGTGGAAGTGATGCGATTGTTAAAACGATTGAGGAACATCTCGGTATCAAGCCTGGTCACACTACAAAGGATGGATTATTCACCTTTGTTGAAGTCGAATGTTTGGGTGCATGTGTGAACGCACCAATGGTACAAATCAACGATGATTTTTATGAAGATTTGACACCCGAGTCAACCGTCACATTACTCAAGGCCCTCCAAGCTAGCGCCTCGGATATTGCTAGCGCGGAAGGTGGAAAAGGTGCCATTACAGGCGACGATAAGAATGTTAAGTCTGGTGCGGAAGTAGGAGAGGATTCTGGAAATGTTTATAATAAAGGAGGTGTTAAAGTACCAAGTCCGGGACCAATGAGTGGAAGGAAAACTTGTGAGAACCTTGATGGTTTGACGAATTTGACAAGTGAGCCATGGAGTAAGGAGGTTTTCAAGCCAGAATGGCAATAAGTTATTACATTTTGTATGTGTGGTCTGGGTTGAAAATAGAGGATACAGTTGCAGATGAGGATTCGTATGTATATATCCTTGTATCATCAAATTTTTGCATTGATATGATATTCCATGATGGTTAGTGATGAACCGATGAATTTTGGAGTTTTTTCTGTGCTCATTGATTGCATTGGGCTACATAACAAGCAAGCGAGAACTAATGAAGGTGACAGTAATAACTGAAGGAGGATGGGGGCGGGGAGGTGGATGCGATATATTGCGAGAATAGAAAATACTCATCCAGGCCCCCTGGAAAATCGCTGCATCAGAGATTCCTCGAAAATCCATTCAGAACTCAATAGAATAATCAGATGTCACTCACTGACTGGTATACCTTTTCAAAGTAAGATATTACAAACGGCAGAGTAAGATCAGAATCAGACGACTGGATCGAATCAAGTCAACTTCTTCCCTCCAAATTTCCCGTTAAATTATATATAATTAATACCCTATCGTTCCTCTACCTTTATCTATCGTTTTCTACACTTCTTCAATTCCCCCAAATTCTTTGGTCAGAGTTGGAAGGTAATATCAATATAAAAAACAATATCAGTATGTTTATCTCTTTTCCAATTACTCCCTAAGCCCATCTTATGGCTCCTCAGTCCTTAGTCTCGATATCAAACTTTTCTTCTTCCTGTTTGTTTGAACTTTTCTGTTGTTACCTCAACCTCAACCCCCACCCCTTATTCCGCCCAATATCGAAGTCGAGAATTGAGAGCTGAGGACTGAGGATGTATATACGAGTATATTAACAAGATTTAGTGTTATTTTCTTTCTTGGTAGTTGGGTAGTTGCGTGGTGAATTGGGGATTGGCAATTAATAATTTGTTGATTGTATATTGGATGATGGATGGTGGATATGGGGTTATGAGTTTGAATATATTGTTTATTACCTAGGTATTTATTATTTATTATTTATAGATATGATGAGTTTTAGTGCAGTAGTTAGTACATACTCCAAAGCCGTGAATTTTACATGTTGACAGTAATAAAGGTGGGGAGAAAAGCACTACGATGAAATATTCCATGAAGTGAGGATAATAACCACAGAAAGAAAGAAGTTAAATGGCAATACTGATTCTAGCTCAGCAAAGGATGGACAAGGAAGTCATAGAGTCGTATAATAGACAAAGGGAACGATAGAACGGTATAATTAGAAATAAGTTTATTGGGTGAATTTATACTTCTTAAATCTCAGATATTCAATCTTAACTTGGGGATATGAGACTTAAGCGAAAAGGATATTGTTGAAGTGAAGTGACGATTGAGTTGAGTATAATTAAGCTCAATGATGAGGAGGTAAAAAGAATAGATTCTGGATTATATTTATACATCGGGCTGCATGTTGGTGCGGAAGTAGCGGGAAAATTACCGGGCCTATCACTAGCGTGGAATAGTTCTCACGCGCCACTTCAACTATCTATTGGACATCCCTTGAAGTTCTGTGCATGTAGGTAGAAGCTCTTAAGTTGGGAATGCGTATCCTGTTTTGTGGATTAATAAAATGATATGGTGGCGATATGAGTTATTTGTTGCCCTGTTAGATGCGGGACGTATCTAGCAAAAAACAGTTATTTTGAGGATACAATACTTTTAATATAGAGGGGAAATAATTGATTATTCCCTTACTTGAAGCGAAAAGCAGAAGCAAAAGTTGAGATGACAGACTTGATTTGGTAGTTCCAGTCGAAGAAACGGTAGATGTTCAGCTTGGCATGGAATTTGGGAAGACCTTTCACCAATGGGAACTGTGCCTGGTGAAACATTATTCTTGGAAATTTGTAGACTGTTTTGGCGGTTTGACATGTAAACTGTAGATAGCGAGGTAGAGGAGAAGGATGAAAGAGAACCAAAGGATATGTGCAAAAAAACTTCCTTTTCTTTGACAGAAAAAAATGAGACCACAAATGTCGGACCAGATTTGTAAAGCTCTCGTAGGCGGTATTATGCACCCGTTCCCGCGAGCCATACTTGATCTCCCTGAAGCACTATCTACTTTGTCAAGATAAACCCACGTGGCGAACTAAGAAATACATCTCCTGGACATTCAGAAAACCAGATAGGTGAAGATTATTCTTACAATCGTTCGATTCCTTGCCGACAGAATTTCCACTAATGATAACCTAGGAATGGATATCGGATATAATCCGCAGATAGAGCCACGGGTGTCCAACACTAGTAGCACATGTGTCGTTGCTCTATTATGTGGAGAACTGCATTTCGAGAAATTGTGCGCGCGAATCGATGATATGGTGATGAGGAAATTTCAGAGGTTCGGAAGTCCCTGACCTCAGACAGAATTTGACACGGATCGAGAGAAGAAACTTGCAATATAAGGGGTCTTGATAAGAGTTTAACTTCAAAGATCCTTCGGTGTTTCCAACAAGAAACCCGTGCTTTCAAAGTTTTGTGCAGACACTTGTCCTTGATTCAAGAGATGTGGTGGCATTGAAATATTCAAAAGGTACAACCTTGACCTCTTCAACTATCTCCTGGGTATCATCACTAAATGACACGTTCAAGAGTCAAAGCCAAATATCAATCCAGTAACTCATAGTTGCGGTATACGGATATAGAAAACGGATATAGGAACAAAACAGTAATGTCGTTGTAAAGGTGGGTGTGTTTATGAAGGTGGATGTATCAAATGGAGTCTAGAAAAGTCCACTGACCAATCATCGACCCACTGTCCAATATCATCCATCATTCTTTTCCATCTTCGTCGCCTAGTACCTCATGTAGCTGACAATACTTCCGAACTCTATAAAACCTGGGTTTTCCACTTCGGCATTTCATTACATTTTCTCTTCTTTCTCTCTTCCTCTTTTACCCCACCTTCCCATTCTCCATTTTTCATCTTCACAATGAATACCAAAGAATATATCAAGGATGTTCTCCAACATCTTTGGTTCCCCATTGAATTCATGATAGTATCCTTTACCTTTTTACCTGGCACTATTATTTCTCTTCTTACCTCAGCCAACGTTACTACCCTGAGTTCTGTGGATAGAATCAAAGATGCATGGTTTGCACGATTCTGGGCTGTTTACGGACCGCAAGTTAGGGAAAGTGCGAGTGAAAATGCTGAGCCTATGATCAAGGCAGCGAGAGGTATCGTGCTGGATATTGGACCTGGTAGCGGCGAGGTAGGAATTTTTGATTTTCTTCATGTTCGATGAGAAGACGTCCGGGGAATAATGTGATTTGCAAGTGACTGATTTCAAATAGTGGTTACATGTCTTTGATAAATCTAAAGTTACAAAGATTTATGGTGTAGAGCCAAATCGTGATCATTATGATCTGTTAAGAAGGAGAATTAAGGAGGCCGGTCTTACCGATATCTATGAAATTGCGGAGTGTGGTGTTGAAGGGTTGACCAAATGGGGAATTGAGGATGAGAGTGTTGATTCGGTTGTTACGATTTTGTGCTTATGTAGTGTTGGACAACCTGAGGAAATGATTAAAGATTTGTATAAAAAGTTGAGAAAGGGTGGTATTTGGGCGCTTTATGAACATGTGGTTAAGGAACAAGAAGGTTGGCCTTCGAAGTATCAGTGTAAGTGGGGATATATGAGTCTGATGAATGAAACTAATGTATGTATACTTAGCTTTGGTCAATATGGCTTGGCCTCACTTCTTGGGTGGATGTTCACTTAGGAGGGATACGGGGAAATCTTTGATGGAAGTGGGAAAGTGGAGCAAGGTTGATTTGAAGCATCCTGTTACTGAGCCTTCTTACGCTATCGTTCCTCATATTATGGGAACACTAGAGAAGTGATAATGATGCTTCCCAATACACTTGACGGGAAAGTTTCCATCAGGAGTCGAAGTCATGGGTATCTTTTGAGGAATATGAGTGGATGTCGAATGAGTAATGGACGGCCACATGCCATCTTAACAGAAGGGTTGGTGCTTATGAGAATATGAGAAAGTCGAGTTATCGTGCAGTAAACGGAGAGAAGTTGAGAAGCTTGTGTGGAGTGGAGGTTTGAGTTACGAGTATTTGATTGGCGAATTTGTTTTCTGAAATCTTTTTGTTGCATGTCTGAGGTCTTTCAAGGCCTCTTTTTCTATACCAGATAACACCTCTTGAAAGGCAACGGGACAACTAAAATTTCATATATATATTGAGAAGAAGCAAAACTATTAGGATATTCGGCAGACTAGGAATCTCAAATGTTGCTGCTTAGTTATTTGGTTTTGAACACAGGATTGTTGATTTTGAGGTTCTTATTAGAGTTTGACACCGATAGCTAGAAGGTTTGTTGCATATCTGAATGGATGATTTGAGTTCACGTATTTGAGACCATATTTTCGATATCTCATATCGATTTCTTGGGGCAATCTAAGCGTTTAGAATTTTCACATATATATTAAAAAGAAGCACGTCTTGCACCACAATTAAAAAATAAAAAATAATAATGTCGGCTCAATTTACAATGTAATACTTCAACGAGCACTATTTTGAGCTTCTTCAACAAGATGAAGGATTGAAAGATAACTTTGGCCTAAGGCAGAAACAAATTTTTCGAGCGAATCTCAAGCTCTCATCCCAAAACTTCTTTATCATTCACAACTTTTCAACAAGTAATTTTACTTTTTGTTAAAATTTTACGACAATAATACCAGATGCCTCTGCTTCTACTAATACATCGAACATTACACCCATATTATAGACCCTAATGGCCAATCATAATGGCTCTGCTTCTATAGCAGATGCCCCACCTCAAGATCCATATTCAATGCCTATGAGTATTAATGTCGCGGACATTGTTGAAGAAGACGAGGATGAATATGAGTATGAATACTCTAGTACAGAGAAAGAGGTACGACTTGGAAAAAGTCTCTCCAACGACCAATCTAACGTCTGTAGATATTTTATGTTACTCTCGATCTCACTACTCCAAATGTTCCTGTCAAAAGAAAGTTGGCGCAAACACATCCTCGTCGCAATGCGAAGAAATGGTTAAATCCTGGTCTTGGTAAACATCGAAGACATCTTGGTGACTCGACTACTATCGTAATTGATAAGGAAAAGCCTGCGAAAGCTAAAGGAAAAGCGAAGGGGAAGAGCGCGAAGAAACCACTTAATGTTGAAGATGATGATGAACCGGTAGAAGGTGAAGAAGTTGAAGAACCTTTGGAAGACGAAATGGCACAACCGGTATCTATATCAAAACCAGTTGAAGCCGGTAAGTCATCAACGGGAGAACAATACTCGAATTTCATCGCGGATACCAAGCGTGGAGGAGAAGCCCCAGCAACTTTCAAACCCGAAGTACAAATATTAGGTCTGCATGAAGATAATCCAGTTGTATCTTATGAGGGAAATATCTACCAATGTCGATGGGAAGAGAATATGGGAACAGAATTACTCTTCACGGCACACGATCCTCATAGTAAATTACCTATTTTACAATCCGTTTCCAATGAGGTCGATTTACTAGCTGCAAGCTCGGCACGCATAACATCTGTCAACACAAAAGTCGAGGATAAAGATCCTATGGGAGGTTCTGGTGGGAAACGTCGCAATTATTTCTGGAGGTCAGGTAATATACGTGAACTTAAGATACCAGTTGGTGTGGCAGCTTCTGAACAGAGGAAAAATCAAGCATTCTTTTTACAATCTTTGATTCAAGTTAAGGAATCAAAGCGGGAGAGAGATCACGTTACTGTAATGGCGCGAAGGAGAAATACAAATCGACAATGGAGAGCAATCATGAAGCAAAAACAAGCAGCCGAAGTAGCACAGATACGAAAAGCTATGGCGACGGGTAAAATGAATCGGGCAGATGGGCAGCAGAGATTAGATCAAATGACTAAGGATAATGAGATCTTAGCTGCTGAAGATAAATTGAGGGGTATTGGAACTGATGGGAGAAAGATACGACATGGTGGAAGGAAGAAGACTGTGAATGCAGATCAACAGATTGTGAGAAGACCTCCTGGTGGACTTACAAATTATTTGATGAATAATGCAGCTCCAGAAGATGAGGATGGAATGGATACGGGTCTTGATGGTGTAGCTGATATGACTCCACTGTCATATTCTATTGGAGAAGATGAAGATATGGAAGCGGGAGATTATGTGGATGGTGTAGAGATGAATGGTGGGGTAGAATACGAATATGGAGAAGATGGAGAAATGAATTATGAGGATGATGGTGGTTTTGAAGAAGATTATGAGATTGAATAGTAGGAGTTGTACTCGAGTAGTGCTTCGGATTTCATTTGAAGGATGAATGGAGTTTAATCGTCTGGTTAAATCACCTATTAGCTAAATGTGAAAGATGTTTCTCATCCATAACAACAGATTTGTCGCTCTGTGGCCACCATATTTCAGTTGAACATCGATCCACATCTTGATCTTTTACATCTCCTTTCCGAAATATTTTATTGATATGACATGGGACAGATATACCCAAGTTCTTCTCTTCCTTTCAATCTCAAATCACACTCTCACTCTCACTCTCACTCTCACTCTCACTCTCACTCTCACTCTCACTCTCACTCTCACTCTCACTCTCACTCTCACTCTCACTCTCTCATCGCAGACCAGACTAGACCGGACCAGACCAGACCAGGCCAGACCCAGAACATCATACCGCATCACATTGACCCTATGCTATCCTATATATCCTATCCTATCATATTCCCAATCCTAAAAACCCCTCACCAAAACCTGTGGCAACGATGGCTGATGCTAAACGGTGAACCCCACCCATTGTCGATCTGGTTTTGATCCCTGTTGTTTTTATGCTGAGTGGTGCTGTGCTGTGCTGTGCTGTGCTGTGCTGTGCTGTGACGTCATTTAGCTAGTTGGTTAGATCTTGAGTTGACTGCTGATGTGTATAGGTATTTATATAAATAAAAGAAGAACATTAATTATTTTTATTGATTCATCTATCTATCTAAGATCTTACATCAAACTTTAAGAGTATTTGAAGAAGCGCGAAAACAAACACGAATACGGACACAAACGCAGAAACGCAGAACAGAACGCAGAAGGCAAAAACAAAAAGAAAAGTAAAAATGCCTATCAATGATAAATCAGGTGTTTCGGGTGGTGTTACTTGGGTTACTAGTACTGTTGGGTGTGTTTATATTTTATATGTATTTTGTTTTATGAAGTTTTGTATCTTCTCCATCTGCTCTCTCTTGTCCTTCCTATAGCAATTTTCCTACTAGAGGGTGGTCTCTTCATCATTCTATTCGATTCCTATAGTACCTATCTCTCTTGTTCTGTTTTATTTTGTATCTTCTAATAAGTTCTCATGATTTCGATATCGATATCGATATCGATATCTTTTTTGGCATTGTTCATATTATGAGATACAGCAGGATAAGACAAAATCTAACAATAAAACAGCAACGGCATCTCAGGCCTCACAAATACAGTAGGTGGTGTAGTTGGAGCCGTAGGACGCGGCTTAGGAGAGACGGTTAATGGGGTTACGGGGAATGCTGGTTTGTTTTTCTCCTTTCTTTTTCTTGTTGGAATTCCAAATTCCAAATTACGACTTATATGTGTAAGATAAAGGAGATGATCATTAGCTGATATTAAATTGAAAATAGGTAAACCAGTAGGCGATGGGATTAAAGATGTTGGAGAGGGGATCGAGGGTGGTGCGGCGAGGGTAGCGAAGGGGGTTAAGAATGCGGGGGAGGGTCAGCATGGACCTTTGAGATAGGGGTTTTTTTCTTGGAGGGAAGTAGAGTGGATGTGATGGGTGATGGGTGATGGGGGAGGGGGAGGAAAGTAAATGAGGACAATGAATAGGTATGAGCTCGAGATGAATGTCGGATGATTAGCCTAGGAAGGGATTAGAGAATTTGATATGATATGATACCACAATTTTTCGTTGAAGAGATATACGCAGGAAAACACACGAGATATTTATATGGGGGAAGAGAAATACTATACTCGTTCGATATCTATATGTTATGCATCTCCTCCTCTCGAATAACCCTACGTCGTGACGTGAATAAACTCAATGTCATGATTGCGCCTACAAATTACCTACCTAGTAGTTTAAACTCAACACCATCGAGTCTTCGATTCCAGGTAAATATAAATATGAAATATTCCCTCCCACTATATAAACTCTCTAGAACAAAAGTATAAAAATTAACAGAACTATGAAGTGAACTATGTAACTTATGATCTTATCATTCGTCATGGCACCCCAACCTTATAAGACGCTATACACACTCGATACATAGGAATACAACACAAGACAAGCCATCGACAACAGCAAATATCTCTAAACTTCCAACCACCAACCCGTAAGATCTTAGTTCCTTCCCGATACCTTCCTTATCTGAACCTAATACCTGATATCCATTAACTCAAAATCAAAATCAAAATCAAAATCAGAATCAGAATCAGAATATGCGTAGATACCAACAGCCTTTGATATAAGATTACAATACAAGTGCAAGTACAATAACGTGAATTTTCAAAAGACCTGAACCGATAATCTAATCCAACTCCCCTCCCTACCAACCTTATCTAAACGCAGTAAAAACATCCCCATCCCATCCCATCCCATCCCGTCCCGTCCACAAAGTTCCCACCGCACCGCGCGCCAAGCACCTTATCAGTAAGGTTAACTTATCAGTTAATCAGTAATCGCTGATTTTTATTTCCCCGAGGGTTTCCGTTATCAATGTTTGAGTGAGGGATAAGGTTAGGTGAAGGTACCAGGTATGAGGTACGAGGGTAATGAGTGATGAATGACGATATGATGATATGATGAGTGATGAATGGTGGATAGGGGCGTTGTAAGATCTTACTTGTAAAAGGGAAGTGGAAGAAGGGAAATGCCAAGGAGATCGTGTAGATAGGTAGTTGGGTTCTTGGGTTCTTGGGTTCTTGGTTCTTATAGGTTTCCGAGGGTATGGGTTGGTATGGTTTGGTGGGTTTATGATAAGGATGTGTGGATTTTTGGTAATTATGATATGGTATGATATGGGGTTGAATAAGGTTACTTGATTTAATACTTGAGGAGTTAAGTCCTCAATATATAGATAGTCTAGTCTTAACTTACCATGCATAGAAAATCATTCCTTTCATATTTCTTCCACTTCCCCTAACAATCCATTCATACACAACTAGTTTCCAATAACCTAATCGAAAACCATCCCATCCCATCTCGCAGCAAAATGAGCACACCCATATTCAACACCTCAATCCCCAACGGCGGAAACCCCAAACTCATAGACATCAACGCGCAATACTCCGGTTTCGAATTCCACTACACATACATAATCTTCTGCGGCTTCATCGTCTGGCTCATCATCCCCGGAATCGGTCTTCTTTACAGTGGACTTGCACGACGAAAATCAGCTCTTACTTTACTCTTTCAATCACTTCTCGTAGTAGCAGTGACGACTTTTCAATGGATGTTTTGGGGATATTCTCTTGCGTATTCGCGTACTGCGGGTCCTTTTATTGGTGATTTGGCGAATTTCGGTTTGAAGAATGTTATGGCTGCTCCGTCGGTGGGTAGTGCGGTCATTCCGGAAATTGTGTTTTGTTTGTACCAATTACTGTTTTGTGCATGTACGGTTCAGATTGTGGTTGGTGGTGCTTTTGAGAGAGGAAGAATTATGCCGAGTTTGGTGTTTGGGTTTTGGTGGGCAACTATTGTTTATTGTCCGATTGCTTGTTGGACTTGGAATCCTAGTGGGTGGTTGTATAATGTGAGTTTTCTTAGACGGTGAGATTACCTGAAAGAGATCAAAACTAACAAAAGAAAGCTTCCTTCTTTGGATTTTGCAGGTGGTGGACCAGTTCATATTGCTTCTGGATGGTCTGCATTGGCATATGCTCTGGTATTAGGAAAACGCAAGCACACTGGCGAGAAGTCTCATGGAAGACCACATAACACTACACTTGTGTTCCTTGGTACAGTACTCATTTGGTTTGGATGGTTTGGTTTCAATGGTGGTAGTGCTTTGAATGCCTCTATTAGAGCCATGCTCGCTGCATTTAATACCAATACTGCTGCTTGCACTGGAATTCTTGGATGGGTTTTCGTCGATTATATAAAACATGGTGGAAGATTCAGTCTTGTAGGAGCTTGTGAAGGAGCAATTGCTGGACTTGTAGGAATTACTCCTGCTGCAGGATATGTTTCCGTTTGGTTGGCTGCAGTCATTGGTTTCATAACTGCAGTAGTTTGCGCATTATTACAAAACATAAATGAATGGCTTCATATTGATGAAGGAATGGATGTCTTCAAACTCCATGGTATTGGTGGGATGGTGGGAAGTATTTTGACTGGAATATTTGCTACATCTTCTGGTATGTATCCCCATCCTTGATTTCATGATACTTATACTAATCTTTAAATAGTAAGCATGCTTGATGGAGTAACTTCGGCTTCAGGTGGTATTGATGGAAATGGTATTCAAGTGGGTAAACAATTCGCAGAGATCACTGCCATTTCAGCCTACTCATTCGTAGTATCTTGCGCTCTTCTCTATATCCTGAAATTTATTCCAGGAATGCACTTGCGTGTAACAGAAGAGGCGGAGATTCAAGGCTTAGACATGGATCAATTCTTTGATGAGCAAATTGGTGATTGGGCAATATTTGATGAATTGGATCAGAGGAAAATGGTATTGGATGGGATCTCGCCAGGAACGCCACAGGTGCAAGAGGTACAAGAAAGGGTAGAACAAACTAAGCAAACTTAATTGATGAATGGAAGGGACAGTATATAGCACTATAGATAAGAATAGAACTCCGTTTGATACCTTACTATCGTGATATTGTACCTTTGATATGCATTACTGTAGCAGAGTGACACCAAGTTCGGATACCGAGTTCTATAAAAAGTACACGTATCGGCAACTGGTAAATTTGAAGGCGCCGCCAGTCATGTTTGTGAATCTGGAAACGTACTGGTGGAGGAAGTATATGCCCTTTTGTGATCCATCGTTGTATCCATCATGTTGATTGTACTTTTCGATCGAAAATCCTCGAAATAGCTACAATGAGAGCTATCGCGCCATGGAGAGTTTGAATTGTGATTCGGTTCAATTTACAAAAATCAAGGATTGTTAGGTCAACTCAACATTTTGGCCGGCCGAAATTTGTGGTTCTGTATACGTTTGAATGAGGATTCTCACAAGTTCTTTTCCATCCTTCGAAGACAACGAATACCCTTGAATGAGGTTTGAATGAGGGTCCACGACGATAAATTCCGTATATTATACCGAACTTCATTGAGGTCCAGCATTTTCCAATTCATATAAGCACCGCTCTCAAATAAGGAATTGCGACGCCCGAGATTCCGGGCGCTAAAAGAAAATGAGTAGATTGAGTGAGATGAGCCAAAAAAAAATACATTAGAGTCAACGAATTAAGGTCAAGGCCGAAAAGGACGACACTTTTCTGATCATATCTAGATCGTACCTAGATCATATAGAGGTTGCATCGCCGTGATATTTTTCTTGATATCCCATTTATGGTATTTGAAGGTCCACATGAGTTGAGAAGGCTGGGAATGGGAATCGGAATCATTCATGCCTGTGTATGTTATTGACATCAACAAAACGCCTTTGAAAAGAAGAATAATGGGGAGTTTCATTAAATGATCTGGTTGGCGCATACTCCACCAGCCAAAAATAGAGCTTTTCCCTTGATTGAGGGTCAGATTTAATCTGTTTATTAATATGTTTCTTTGCTTGGGGATATTGTTAATGGGGTGAAAATGGGGTTGACCAAAGGGTTCGTGTTTGTGTTTGTGCATCGGCTATTTGCAAACATTTTATAAGATCTTACTAATTTTGTCCCAATGAGAACTAGTGAAGCTTCGCGGAGCCCACATAACAAACATCATCAACATCAACATATGTACCCAAGCATAAAACTTCAATATGCATGAAATCCTTTCCTCCCGCACGGTGTCAGAACGCTATGGATAAAAGCTTCGTTGGGTGCGGGGCAACAATCTATACGCTCTGAGCTTGAAATCATGAAGGATCGCCGAGGATCAGCATGGCCCAGTCAGCAATTTGGCTTAATAAATAACAATGCAATGGATATCTCGACCTACCAATCATAGTCTCGGGAGTCTCCCCATCCGATGGGTTGCAGCATTATGTTAGGTCATATTATTTTCAGACAGCCTTCCAGAACTTCTTGCATTGGAACAAGGTTTAACAAGCAAGCATGATATCTGGTTGGTCAATACGAAGTTCCGGAGCAATACATAGGATGGCAGCCTTAGCCCCCCATGCTACTTGCCATATGGTTTCCCACAGATCTTGGGATGAGCGACAAGGGATGACAGAGGACAAAGGTTAGAAAATTTATATCCTGAGTGGGATGACGGTAAGCACAGACAGTTTTTGATATATTGATTGGCGTTGGCGTTTGTGTTTGGGTCGGTATATAAAGTCTGGCAAATAATCACCTTTGATTATTACTCTGACTCTTCACACCATTCTCTCTGTCCTCTCTATCTTTCCCTCCTCTCCATCCTCTCCATCCTCTACTCTTTTCCAAACCTCCTTCCTCCGATCTTCAAGCAACTGCAAACATTCAAATGGCCATCTTCAAAATCACCCCATTGCTTCTGGCTGCCGTCACAAGCTTTTTCTCCCTTGGAGCTTTTGCTGAGACAAACTCTACTTCATCTGTCACCATCAACAGTGTCACATACAAGAGTGTTGAGCATATCGACAGAGATGTGGTTGTAGTTGGTGGAGGATCCTCCGGAACTTATGCTGCAATTAGTCTACTGGACGCAGGCAAGACTGTGGCAGTCATTGATAATCAAGATCGTATGGGAGGCCATACAAATACCTATACCGATCCTAAAACTGGTCTTACTGAAGACTATGGAGTTAGTATCTTCCACAACGTCGAAATTGTCAAAAGCTATGCCGCACGTCTCAACATCACCTTGACAGCGTCTGGCACATCAACTCTATCTACCGTCTATGCAGATTTCCGAACTGGTCTTGAGAATAGCACCTACTCAACCGCCAGTTTCACCACTGGTCTTGCACTCTACATAGCACAATTGCAGAAATATCCTTATGTCGAAACTGGCTTTGAATTGCCAAACCCAGTACCTGAAGATCTTCTTCTCACCTTTGGAGACTTTGCAATCAAATACAACCTCGGCAATGACTTTCTCGGATTTTTATTCAGTTTTGCTGAAGGTCTCGGAGATCTGTTGTCAAAGCCTACTTTGTACGTTTTCAAGAGCTTTGGTATGGGAGTTATCGACTGTCTTACCACTGGCTTCTTGGGTACCGCTGCACATGACACCAGTTCGATTTACGAACACGCCCAAGCAATTATCGGTGACGACAGCATTTTCCTTAGCTCCACAATTGTGGCAGTTAATCGCAATGGTGACTGTGCCCAAGTTCTCATTAAAACACCTTCTGGATACAAGTTTATTAATGCCAAGAAATTGGTCTTCACCATTCCTCCAAAGATTGAAAACCTTTCAGGATGGGATCTCAGCACTTCAGAACGAACTCTCTTTTCACAATTCAACAACACCGGATACTACGTCGGTGTCTTTGGCAACACTGGTCTCCCAACTGGTCTCTCTGTCGTCAACGTCGCCGAAAACACCACTTACGGATACCCACCCCTACCAGCCGCTTATGCAATTAACCCCACTACCATTCCAGGCGTCTTCAACCTCTACTATGCTTCCCCAGTCTCTCTCACCGATAAGGAAGTCCGCGCCGCCATGCTTACCGAAGTCAAAAAGCTTCAAGTCTCAGGTATGACTAAGAGCAGCCCTGAGCTCCTCGCATACACCAGACATACACCTTTTGAATTATGGGTGCCGGCTGAAGCTATCGCGGCCGGTTTCTACAGCAAATTATATGCGCTTCAGGGACAGAGAAATACTTTCTATACTGGAGCTGCTTTTCATACGCATGATTCGACTTTGTTGTGGCAGTTTACTCAGACGTTGATTCCTAAGATTACTGCGTCTTTGTCGTGATGGGTTGGAGTAAGGTACTTGGTAATCTGAGAGTGTGTTCTATTTTATTGCTGAGTGGAGAATCAATAATGAAATGGATCTTAGTTTGAGGTAACAGACTGTTCTTTCTTTGCATAAATGTCTAATGAATTGATGGGTTGAATACATGAAAGTATGGATGTATGGAGGTATGGTAGTCGAAAAGAGAAAGGCAGACAGCTTGAATATATATAGATAGCATAAAGTAACAAAATGGAATGCACTTCTTTTTAATCATCTACTTGAAAGACTGATCCGTTATCAACTCGGGATTTTATGATATAGATACCTTATAGAAGACTCTTATTCACCTTCTTCATTTGAATCCATCTTTTTTTCCCTCCTAATATCAATGTAAGTATGAAAGTATCCCATTGGGATCATGTATACCCAACTGGTGGCGGGAGAAGAGGAATGGGATGGGATGTAAGTCACGTAGATATCATGTGACCTCTAATCTGATCTAGAACTATGTGCAAATTTCGCGGCGTTCATCTGGTTTTTACCATAATTTATCAACAAACTCATCAGCTCTGTCTCAACACCGCTATTGCGATATGATTTGTTGTATTATGGTGTGAAGGATATCGATTATTTACTTATTTCTTACGATCAATACTGTTTTTGAGTATTGGCGTCCAACCTTTTGATCGGAAAGGTAAAGTTAGGCTATTGTTTTTGCCCTTCGAAACCTTTCATACTGATGCTTATCGCTTGTAAGTCTTACCTGTCGTCTAGGCATTGGATGGTGAATTCTGGTGTTTGGTGCCTGGCAATGAGGTGAGAGTGATTACTTACAACGCAAGACATATTATTACTAATGTTCTTGAAAACAAGAGTCTGCTTCATTCAACGACACAGACATCGAAGTGAATCGCGTATCTGGTCATCTTAGGTTGGTATTCAATTATTTGACTGCTATCGAAATATTTCCTTTACTCCAGATGAACAACTAATTCCATCTCTTTACATCATAGGTGTTGGAAATAAGTTTCTCCCTTTCACTCTGTTTTGATTTGGGAATACCTCATCAATACTAAGCTCTAGAATCCAATTCCCAACTCTCTGTGGATATAAAGTGGTAATCTTTCCCTCCAAATCCTTAGCATTCGTTGCAACTTCGATTAAGTTTGGCCAATCTTTGATATACTGTCTCGTCTTCTCAAAATGATCCGTTCCGTACCCATCCCAAATTTGGTTATGACTTGGCACAACAATCTTTGGTTGGCAAATTCTCAATCTTATCAATGGCTCGTATCCATTCTGCTCTTAACTCCGCAGTGTTTGTTTCAATGAGATATTGGAAACATTCCCCATACATGGCATCTCCATTCACCACAAGCTCTAATGAAGGAACGTATAAAACAGTAAGTAGTATTATATGTATCAGATTGTCCGACTTCAACAGCCTGAAGCACATGATCCTCGAGATAGAGTTTTCCGTCAGAAGGTAACGGTTGGATTGTTTCATTCTGCGTAGGTATCCGATCAGGTAATTATCCCCTGCTCTTGATTGCCGAATGACGTTCAATTATACTAAAGTTTCAAGGACGGGAAACGTAGCAGACCAAAACCCGACAAATTCATCATAACTCAATTGTTGAGCTACATGTGCGATAGTTCGTTCGGTAGCTACAGCGATTATACCAAGGAAAAGTTGCTGGAGGACTGGATTGCCAAAGAAATGGTCGCCGTATAGATGTGGGTGAGAGTTTTGTTGCCAATAATTTCGGATATCCAGTCTGCTAGTGCAAATGATTTTTCAATATTAACGGGTGAGTCGATGAGAACTGCACTTGATTGGCCATATACGGGTGTGTATGATGTAGGTGAAAATGTCTAGTTATGGGGAGGATCGAAGACTGGGACCTCTGGGGCATGAAACACATTCCAGGATAGAGGGCTGGATGGATGTTGAATTGTGGTGGCAAGGGTCAATGGAGCAAGGAAAATAATAAATTGTGAGTTAGAGAACATCATTGTGCCTGTTACACAACTTTTGTTTGTCGGCGCCTCTCTTTGAGTGGATTTCCTCTAGTATAAAGTGAAAGTGTCCCTATATATGCCTCTTCTACATACCTTAATCAAGGCATCAAGGCTAACTTTCGATGCAAAACTTCATGACAACTTTGTCATATTATTTTGCACTTCATCCGCCCAATTCGGCAACCAACAACCCGAATTCTTAACTCAGATGCACATAATGCAGCTTATTCATTCGATCTTGTTGAGTAAACATAACATTCTATTCCTATTAAGGTTGAGAGCCTCAAGCGAGCTTACTCGCCAAGCATCATCCAAATTTGTGAGTTCTTCAACACAGATACATAGAGTGCATAGAAATGATCCGTAACCTATGGATATATATGGATAATATGCTCCGTGGATAATCCATTAGACCTTCTATCCACTTTATCGATTATTTATTAATATTTCAAAACAATCCACTCTATACAGATTATCCACCGAAAAAATAATCTGTAAAGCGGGTACCCATTGCGTAGCCTACAGATATACCGAGACTGTGAATAGTAATCACAGTATACGAGCATATCATCGGGTAGTTTTGCATGGACTAGGTAAGATGTATTGGCCGCAAAACCTGATGTGACTCCATCAGAGTTATCTTGTATGTCTTAAGGAAAGTTTTTCGGCTGATGTATGTTGCAAGGAAAGGATTAGGGATGGCGTGTTCATAGTGGCGATTGCACTGATGAATTTGTGGGCTTCAGTTTCTTCTTATGAATGCTCTTGAGAGGTGCTAAATGCTATCAATCAATCTTGTGGTCTTGTGGTGCCGCTAGTCTACTCCTTGCCCTTTCATAAGGCAAACGACTGTATCAACGTTCTTCTATCTAGATACTCCTCAAATCTGAAGCATCACTTTAACATACTGGGAGACCTTAACCCCTAGAAGATTCCCAGCTTCGTGGATTTTTCTATATCGATTCACAAGTAGTGAGGAGGGTGTGGGCAGCCCACCCATCCCACGTTGAATCTTCGGACTCGACCTCGCATTGCGATATTCAGATGTCAAATTATTCCTTCATCGGGAAGATTCAGTAAACTGTCAAATTCATATCCTGTTTTATGTCTTTCTCTCTTTGTATATCAACTTTTCTTAATAAATGACCTCTTGCCATCGAGAAAAGGATGAAATGTATAATACATCTGTCTGTAACATTCATATCTTTGTCCGTTAACTCGCATTACTCAAATACTGCATAGTTCACAAGGACATCTAACGCTTCCATGTATTCTCGCCTTTCTCCATCTGGTATCACTCACTCTGCAGACTCATGTGAAATATTGTCATAAAATGGAAACTTAGTAGCACCAAAATTCCATATATTCCATCTTCTGCTTGGATATGCTTAAAGGGAGTGAAGATATTATGTATAGCAATACTGGCAAATGCATCATTGGAGTTTGGATGAGAATTGTACTAAATCTCCTCAATGCTTGCAACTATCTACATGTCTTTTCAGGTATAACGAAGTCCTCCGCAAGAAAAGAGAGGTAAATTAATTATAAATAAAGTGCAAATACAGCATCTAAATAGCTCTTATAGAAAATAAAGTCTTTCTTATATAAATAACTCAACTTCTGAAAGTTTAGAAAGGTGATCTTTATTGGAGAGAATCCACGATTAGCATTTACCTCAAAAGTTCAAGGTTTATCTTTGAATAAATCCTGTTAACTTCTTAGCTCAGCTTGATAGGACCATATCTCAAGCAAACAGTTCCTTTTTTCTCGTGATGAAATTGCTAGTTTGATAATGTATAGGAATTAAAGTTCAAGTTCATGAATCATCCTACGCTTGGAGAGGATGAATTTGAATAAATATTTTTGAAAGTTATTTGTCAAGACTTCATGCTCAATTTCATTTCTTTCTTTTTTCCTTGGATAGCTGAAGCCAGCACGAAATATCCTTCATATCATATAACATCTATCAATTCAACTTGAAAAGGTACAAGAGTCGGGACCCAACCAGAGCTAAAAGTTTCTCTTTTCAGTAAAATCTGACATCAACACAGTCCTACCACACAGCAATCAACTACAATTATAACCCCCTCCCTACTTTACCCCCTCCTTCCAGCAACCACATCCCCAAAAACTATCCGACTCACTCCATCATTCACAAGCGAGCACTTCACATTCCTGCGAACAGACTCCCTCCTCAGAAACTTATGTAGTAATAATCATAATGATCTTTCCAACCGAAATCCTGTTATGAGAAGCAGTCATGTGATTTGGATAGATCTAGAGTTTGATACAGGGATGGATGGTGCTTGCTTATTCTTATGCTTATGTTAAAATGTGTTTATATGGTCGAAATGTTGGTTTTTGATGATTGGGATGGGTTGTGATATGGTTATGGAGGCGTGTTGTGGTACATAAGTGGTTACAGGTAAGATTTTAGTAAATGGATTTAGCATTTTTTCACTACAAGAATATCCTTTATGATGATAAAATGCATGCGAGGACTTAATGGCAATTGGTTTTATCTTGCAGTGCGGAGAATGTCAAGCAAGTGGTTTGAAAATACATGATCATGAGAAATATAATATTATTGGTATTATGATGCAAGCAAGCGAAAAGTATAAAAATCCACCTCAAAATCTTCTAACCCTAATTAGTTCAACAACGTCAATAAACTTTTAAAAAGATTTATTCCATCACTTCTATATTCCAGCAAGAACCTTGGTGAAGTCTTCCTGTATCCTCAAATGAAGTAAAATCTAGATCATGTTCCTCAAAGGGAAATCATTATGAAACTTGTTGGCGACAGGTATCATAGTAGGGTCTGGCATATGCTGAGGAATCAAATACCTTGAGGCTGTGCTTTTATATTCCATTATGAATTCTAGACTGCGCAAAAACAGCCCGCGGGTTGCAGATATCCATGAGTTAGCCGCCCCGCGGGTTATTCATCATATGCATGTACTGTGGGTAATTATAATCTTAAATTGCTTGCAGATCACGGAAGATTAAATAGTATCACGCTGCCCCTATCCACGATGCTAACCTGATCTAACTTGTTGATTGTGTGAGAAGCGCATAGGTTTTTGAAACGGAACTGCGTGGGTTTCTTAGCCAGAAGACTCCGAGACAGATCTCCGGTCCAGTCTATTGGATTTGTGAGAGCTGGAATGCTTTGAGGCGTGTTTCTATCTCGTGGAGGAGATAGGAATGTCTTTGATCGGTTTGATTGGTAGAGTTACATGGATCGTAAGTACCATAGTTGCTACTGTCAGCTATAGGATACTTGTTTTGTTGAGCTGAAGTTTAGTCTATTGCAATGGCATTATGATGAAGGATAGATCAGAGTCGGAGGATATTGGAAAGGCTTTTTGCATTTACATGTGCAGTAGTGATTGCTTTGCTTTCTGCAGCTCGCTATTAGCATCGGTACTGTGAGACATTGATGAGCCAAAGAGAGACAAAAGAACTACACCGGCCTTTTAAGACCCCAGTAAAGATTATTTCAACCGTCTTGGCTCATTTAATAATTCTAAACTTGAAACTTCGTCATGTATATGCCATCCATCAATGAGACTATTAACTCGAAACTTACCCGAAAGGGTTCCCTGGAACATATGTATATAGCATTTTTTTACCCATCCTATCTTCCCATGATTTGATACTTGTATAGATTGTGGCCTTGATTTGAAGAATTCAGATGTTATTAAAGTCCTTATAAACTGGACATCCATATATGCTAGCTTTCAATCTAATGAGAGTTCTATCTGAAATCGCCGCTCCCCATCCTCAGCCTCCTAACCTGCATATTTTCCTGCCACGCCACTCTATATCCTTTAACATTTCAGATTCACTCCTTGCAGCATCATGCCATACCCATCCCGGTAGTCATTTTCGGTGCGGAGCAACGCCAAGAGAAAGCCGAGTCATTAGTGCACTATAGGGATGCTAAGCGGGGTCAACGGCTCCCCCACGCCAAGCCTACCTTTACGTAGGTTTAAGGTCTAAGCTTAAAATTAAGCTTTCAATGAGGAATTTCTTGATCTACCGTCAAAAACGCCATTTTTAACTAGGAAACTATCAAGGAGGAAGTTACCCAGTAAGAAACTGACAAGTGACCTTATTTAAAAAGCAGAAAAATTCTTCTAATTCCATAGGTTACTTGTGATAGCCCACCTCAACCCACGGTGCTACATTTTCTTCTACAATTTAACATGTGACTGAAGGAATTTACCATCGGGCTAAGCATGAACAACTGAATCGGGAAAGATCTAAGACAGATTTGGATCAATCCACTTTCTTGAAGTTGTACAAGGACCAAAGACCATGGAGCTCCTCACCAATGACTTTAAGAAATTAATAAACTCCTTCTAGAGCATTTGATTTTACATAGAGTTTACACATGCACTCTTCTTATATGACCTAGTTTGTAGGTGAAAATCTTAATGTAGTTAGCTAATAAGAGGGATTATTTTTAATATTCAACTTTATGTATCGTATTAAGCATTGCCATTTTTGTTAGCGGCCTCGCTAGGCGGGTCATGATCTGCCGGGATTACTTCGCACGGCAACATTAGATACCCATTCTGTGGAAATGTATGCACCACGTTCTATAGAGGCCTAGCTTCTAAAGGTAGGGCTATTTGAAGTAACATTTACAAAGCAGTTCCTGTCAAGGAATCTGGGATTAAGCGAGCATCTTACTTGTTTGGGGAAAGACAGCTATTTCGACGCGTAAGGCTAGAGCTTTGACATTTAATCTTTTTTCCACAATCTTTTTGATTCTGAATTTCATCATTATAATCTTTGTCATTTGTCACCTGGCTATATTCTTTTTGGACTCTTGGGTTTTAGCTCTATTAGTTATTGAGTTGTCAGTTATCTAAAATTGAAGCAAGCATATTTTCGGATGTTCAAGTTTATCATTATCACCGAACATTCATGATATGACCATCCCATATTTCTTTGTAAAGCTATTTATTGACGGCCGGGCTTCGGTGCGGAGCATACCCCATCTTTTGCACTCTACCTAGTCAGAGACCAGCCGAACAAAGATATTTACCGACTGATATTTCCATACCGATACCAATACCGGTAATCAACCCATTAAACTACCGGGGCGAGACCGACCTGGCCTTGCATTGCATTAGGTGGGAGCCGTTGGAAAGAGTCGTGCATTGAAGATTTAGTGTGATTTATCATCTTTGTTTATCCTTAGAAATCACGCAAGGTGAGATACATGCTGGAGCATCAGGGTCCAAATGTGGATAGTGCAAGTGCCATCCAGAGAATGGCGAGCTTTTCGGACAAGATTATATTCTGCCTTAGTGGCATGCTCATCCTTGTCTTATTTCTTCGGACAAACATATAAGAGCTTCTCTTCTCTCTCTGTAGTGCTATTCTATTCCGCAGTAGACTAAGAGTCAAGGTCATTCTTTTCTGGTTTCGAAATCATCCTGTCTGGTTTTTTCCCACAATGTATTTCTCATCCACCCGACTCGTTGCTTTGAGCAGCATACTCGGCACCTCATTTGCTCGACTTAAGTCTGTCGAGGTTGATACTTCATCGCTCGATAAACTCTATACCGCAGCTCTTAAAGAAGATCGAAAATTGGTCGTAGCTTCAGGTGGTGATGGTAAGTAAACCTTTCCTTGACTGGCGCTGAACGCGGGAGTCTTCAACCATACAGACATTCACTGACAAGCTACAAGCCGGAGTCCAAGGTCAGGCTATAAGGGATGCCTGGGCCGCACGATTCCCCAAGATCTCGCTTGATCTCACTGTCGACCTATCTAAATACCACGACAGTCGGATTGATCGCGCACACTGGAATAATACCGACACTGTCGATATTGCCCTACTTCAAACTCTCCATGATTTCCAGCGATGGAAGGAAGAAGGTCGTTTGTTGTTTTACAAGCCACCAACTTTTGCGGATTTGTATTCGGGAGAGAAGGATCTTGACGGTGCCTTTTTGCCGGTTAGTGTTAGTAAGTATTTATCCATTCTACCTATTCCTCAGAAGTTTAGTACTGACTCCATTTTCAGATAGCTTTGGCACTTTTGTCTATGATAGCACTTATGTACCAGATTCTGAGGCCCCAACCAGCTATGCCGACCTTTTAGATCCCAAATGGAAGGGTAAAATTGTAGCGACCTATCCTAACGATGACGATGCGATCGGATTTCTCTTCTCCATCATCATTGAGAAGTATGGGTTTGAGTGGTTAGAGGGAATGGCAAACCAAGACGTCCAATGGGTCCGCGGCACTGGTACTCCTGGCTTCGTTATCCGCGATAACCATAATGGCGTCAACGCGTCCGCTTCCGGTTCGTCACCAAAAGGACGTGTTCTCACATTCACCTCTTACCCACCCGCAAATGCAACAACCGTTCACTCCGCCGTTCCAGTGGCCCCAGAGCAACACATGTCATGGAGTCAGACTATTGCGGCTTTCGCCTCTTCTAAGAGACCACAAACTGCTAAGTTGTTCTTGGCTTGGATTACAAGTGATGAGTACCAGAAGAATTCCACTACTGGATCAGTCAGAAAGAGTTTAGATATTGGTGGCAATCTGTACGAAAGTAACACTACTCAAACTATTCAATTCAGACAGTTCATGCAGGACCGCAAGAGGGTCGAGTGGTGGAAATTGCAGTATGAGACTACCTTGGGAACGGCCCAAGGTGTTGGCCCTATGATTTTGTACCCTTAGTTTCAGTCAGAAGAGATGTGGCGGGCTTAGAGGAAAAGTAATGAAGTGTTGAGTTGCGGATTGCCGAGATTTGTGGAGGCGGAGTTGATCGTGCTTGCACGTTGTATATATTCTCTTCTGACTGTCTGTGACAGTCTTTAGGCTGCACTCAGTTTCTCTATTTGAAATACATAGATTTAATAATCATTTACATCTCTTGTTATGTGCTGGAGTTCCCAAACAAGTGAAAGCAAATGGTATTGGTGCATTTCACATTGTCAGGTTTGGGGCAAAGGGTCGGGTATACCCGGGTAACCGGGGAAAACCGGTCGAAAACCCTACTGCTCGAGCTCTACGAGGTAGGGGTAACTACTTAGTGAAATGCTCTGGATGGTTGAGTGTTGTAGGATATTTAGCATGTGAGGTTATTTGACCAAAGTATATCCATCAGTGATTTCATTATCATGTAATTATAATATGATATTTACTCGACAGTACCCAGGCACCCAACGGCACTTACTGCCGAATAATTACCCTATAAAACTTCTATGAGGTAGGACACTCACCCCGTAGAGATCAAATACCTTTAGCGGCTTACAGATATCTAATCCTGATTTCACTATAAAGTTGCTTATACCACGAAGGTCACAGAAATTGTTATAAAGTCGGCGTCAAGCACGACATCAGTATTCTATGAATAGAGTCATTATGCGACTTAGGGCCCAGTTGCGCTCTATCGATGCTTGAGTTTGAGATCAAAGATATAACACTATCGGAGAAACATATAAACACCAACCATTGAACCTTCGGCTCATCATTAATTTGTAAATTCGCCTATCAAACATAGATCCAAACAGTATGATATGACATCAACTTCAGCAATCCATGTGTCAAAGAAATATCAAAGCGAAATTTTGAAGCCCTATCCCGTCCATCTCAAGATCTACCTGGAGATGCACTTCAAAACATCTCCATGCACTGGTGAGAATCTACGCCGGAGGGCGATATGCAGCTTCGAACTTCCGAAATTTTCCTGTATGGCTTTTCTGTTTCCGCTTTCGATTTTGAAATGATCCAAATAGATATTTGACCCAACTAGAAGAGTCACACTGAATGGAATCATGTTTCAACATACCATCCATGACCGGAATATTGGCTCTCAGCTTTGTGGCGGCCGTAAACATGTGCGGTAAAGCTTCGCTGTTCATAGATGCTTTAGAGGTGGGCTGGGGTACTCGTGAGGAGAAAATATGAGCTTGAAAATGCGCCAACCAATGATTGAAGGAGGCTTTTACAGTGGATGTGAAATTTAACGATTGCTGCTATAAAACTGTACTTTGGCCTGTTGGTACTCCATTCATCATTTCCAAAGCAACTTACTTGGTCTGCCATGAGATAGCTAGATGTTAGGATCTGGAGGCGCTTTTCATTCTCCTTTTCAACCTTTTCAATTCGTCTGCTTTCAATAAAACTTTGGTAGATCCTAATTTCTGTCTCTATTTCCTGTTAGAACTGACAATAAATAATTCAAAGTTTCATCTTTCGCCAGGTCTGTGACAAGATCATCTAACTCCCCACAAGCATTTTGGCATAGTTTTATGCTGTGTTCAAAAGAGCCTCCGGTAGCTTGATTTGGATACGTAACTCTTGCTTGAGTTTCGAGAATACTACGCAGAATAACCTGGTGACTTTCGATCTCTCGCATGAGAAAGGCTATATTATCCGGTGCGTCCTCGATTTGGTCCCAACAATTTTTAAGCTCGATAATACCATACGCGAGGTTCCCAGCGAGCTGTACGATACTGATACCACTGGCAATATCACCGAGGACTTCTGCCATCGTGAGAAAATTATTTCAAAATTGAGTTTGGTAGAAACAACAAAATAATTTCAATAGGCTAGACTTTCTTTTGGCGAAATAAATGTGGAAAGGCAGAGCCTTTCTATAAAATCCCACCATCAAAGCTGTCGCGAGGCTTAGTAGTCGTACAAATGCAGTCCTCTTCTAAGGACGAACTATCGTTCTTAGTAAGTATGAATTCACAGGCAGCCCTTTCATATAGTTCAATGAACACGGTGTAGCGGCCTTTTGCACACTGTTAAGTGTCAAAAAATTTTGGGAGTTCCAAGTAAATTATCATGGGATGAAATCTTTCATCCACCAAAGACAGCTGGTGCCTGTGAATGATGGGCATGATACTCAGCAAGTTTTCACGAAGCCATACATTGTGGCAAGCCCCAATATCTAACCCGTCGCAGCACCTCAGCAGGCAAGAACAAAACTGAATGCCACATTTCATGGGCTTCCAAGTTTTTCCTGGTGATTCGGTGGTTTTCCGTGAGGATGAGAAGGCTCGACGGAAAGTTTGTTGCTATTTGAATGAGGCTTCACGAAACACAAACCAATGTATTCTGTATCTGTAACCCCAAGTTTTATATATTATTCAAGTCTTGAGGCGGAGTTCAACTTCGACTAATTTTCACAAAATTCCAGTCGCCCCATGTGATCATAAACTCTCGATAATATCTATATCAGCAATATGAAATTTGAAGATGACATCGATGAATTGGTAAGTGAAATTGGAAGATATTTGCATAGTGTCGTATTAAAGAACAATTTTACTGCATTCGAGTTGTAGGTTTGCGTGATGATCGTTCGACCCGCAGAAGAAGTATACATCCTTATGTTGTGTGGCTAATACCAAAATAGCAGACTATGTAGCTAATCTTATACATCACATGTCAATCTGATGTTACCTAGGAAGTGTTACAAGAGGTAACTTGTGGCAACCTTCGCACAAAAAGCATAGTGAGAAAAGAGGAAGTGCTTGGCCAAGATGATTGATGCGGGAAGGTTTGGTAGTTAGCGGCTTAGAGGTGTATCCAATGTATGCTTTGTCTTTTGTTACACAGCCTCTGTTATAGACATTAATAATACTGCATAAGTGATAACTGGTAACGTTTCTGATCATCCATAAGGCGATAGCAAGGACAATGATCCAAGTAAATTGCTCAACGACTCAACGTAATTGGGTCCCACGTTGAACAGATGGCGACAAAATCCCTAGCCCTTGCCGAGTGGCTGAAGAACTGTCTGATAAGTTTGATAATTGAGCAGACGCTGCTAAAAGAGGCCGATAGTTGTCATTCCCATCAAGCTATGATCTGAGAAGCTGATTAAATAGGGTTGAGTGAGGTCCAACAACGACTGAATCTATCAAAGATCCATTCATATATATATCAGAAGAGAAAAGTTTTGAGCTCGGTATGAAGGCGTTAAAACCTTACGCCCCAACAAATAGGGAGAAAGAAAAAGGTTCGATTGGTAGTGAGAGCGGCATTACTTAAATTATGTGATGCTTCGAAGTAAGAAGGTGAGGGGAAAACTAGAAAGTAGCCAGACAGACATTTAATGCGGAGATAGATTCGTGGGTCTCGATGTCGAGAAAGCGCTTGCACAAATATTTAGCACGACTGCAGCTCTAAAAACATACCAAGATGTAACTCACTTGTATCAAAGGCTCGATATGATGTGAATGTATCTCGATTTGAAATTGAATGGAGGAGAAGAATACCACCCTGTAATCCAGGACTCCAGTGGTATGTCGACACGTCTAGCATAAGTCCAGCATGAGTCCTGGCACCTGTGTTTGAAACCTCCTCATCGTGCCATAAATGTTAAATACTATTGGAAGTGGTACAGTCGACTTCACGATATGAATTAGTGTAGACGCTGTCGATCTCACAATCTTTCACGAGAGAAGACGTTTCCATTCCCCTTGTAACCAAGTGACCTTAAAGACTTCTTGCCCCTACTGCTGGCACATAATGGCAACAACTCCTGTGTCGTAAGTAGAGTTATTCAAAAAATACTGCTGTTACTCGTGAAGATAAAAAGATAGGATGGATGTGAACTGGTAACTGAAGATGGATTTTTATGACACATTTCCGTTTGTTACTTCCTTATTCCTGCCTTTCACTTACATAATCACCTGACTCAAAACAGATGGCAAGCAACAAATTATTCTTCCTTCGCAACTTGTTTTCATCTCCCCAGCATCACCATTTCCACTCCTGGAATGACATACTCACTTACTTGTTCTTGTTTCTGCACCATTTTACCTATTTACGAAACACAAATCGACATTCACTCACGACACTAGCCTCATCTATTTCCTCAAGGAAGCCAAATCCCATTACTCGTGATTGCAAAGCATGCATATGTTTATCTGTCATGGAAATAAAAACGAATCATCTCGAGTTCTATTCATATCCTCGAGCCGACGTTACCCTGGACATGGACAAGCGGCGGAAGCTGGAAAGCTTCATATTTACTTATCTACCTCGTTCGCAGCTAATCAAGTGATTTGCATCGATAAGACGACATGAGAATTCACGAACCTCCTTTATGCATTATTGGTCGATGGGGATATCCCAGTGCGATATAAAAGCTATCAGGGATTAAATTAATCATACAGTATGAAAATTAGGTCGCGACGGTGATACGATAGCCTTTCCCATGGAGCAGTCTGCCCTTGGTTCAGGACTGGATTGGATCAGATAGCAGCATGACGACGTCACATCTCAAAAATCGTGCAATAAAGGGCTATCAAAACTAAAGCTTCATACCTCTTTTCTACGTACGCAAGCCCTGCCATCATGATTATTTTTATTACTCAATCGAATTGCTTATCGATATCGATCTTCATAACTCCATGTTCATGGCTTCGAAAGATGGCTTGGAGACTCCAGCATCAAGGCTGATTGTGTCGTTCCGGGGGTTTCTTATCGCTCTCACACGGTGTCCACTAGCGAGCATGCTCCCCGGATTCCTTATCTTCACATTCCACACTTCTTTTTTACCATGATGCTGCATGGCTTGCATTACGTTGTGTTCTCCATGTACGACAGCAATCGTTACTGGACTACAAGAATGAATGCATGGTGAGGCTCATGGATTGGATGATGCAGGAAGGAACCTTGATCATTTTGCGGATGGTTTCCTTATCTTGAGTGTTGATAGAAGGAGCTCGGGATTTTAATCTAAAAGAATTTCATACCCCATTTTTTTATATTCCCCAGGTCTTCTCTCCTTAAATTTCTACAATTTGTTATCACATTTATGTGCATTTTTATTGAAACATAAGTTGGACCGGATAGATAGTTTCGTCATCGAGATTTAGTGGTGTCTTTCGTCATGTCTGAGGAAACTAAATATTCCGAAAAAGAGGGGCATGATGGCCGCAAGCCGCCGTCAATATCAAAATCGGACCAGATGGCAAAGGCGGCGGATAGGTTGGGTGTCGAAGAAGGTGAAACAATATCAGCGGATGACGAACTATTAGCAACTTTGGGGTATCGAGCTGAGTTAAAACGCGAATTTTCGTACATCACTGTTTTCGGGCAAAGTTTTGGAGCTATGGGAATTGCTCCAGCAATTGCCGAGAGTATGATTTTCAGTTTAGGCAGTGCTGGGACTGTGGGAATGGTATGGACCTACTTGGTGGGATGTTTGTTGCTCATCCCAGTTGCCTTGAGCCTGGGAGAATTAGGAAGTAGCATGCCTACTTCTGGAGGTTTGTACTATGCAAGTTACAGTGTCCGTGAAAGGGAGATTGACTTGTCCTAACTATTGATAGTGGGTTGCACGTTTGACTCCACCACGACAGAGAGCATTCATGTGCTGGCTTGCGTAGGTCCTTCCGTCTGTGGTCATGTCAAAACTGCCTGCTGACAAATCCAGAGGTTATATGAACGTCTTAGGGTATATATCGATATACGCATCTACCATATATGCAGCGACCCTCATTCTTGGCGCGATATGTAGTATTAATACAGATTCCGTCTTTGTGGCTACGAAGTACCAAAACTACGGCATGTTCACGGCGACCACCTTCCTGACTTTTGCAATGACTTGTGTACCCTCACAAACACTCTCTCGTCTCAACTTGTTCTATATATTCTTGCAACTTGCTATGCTATTCGCTCTGATTATTTCACTTGCTGCTGGAACACGCTCGGAACTCAAGAATTCGGCAAGTTTCGTCTTCGCAGATTTCGAAAACACCGGTTTCTGGACGAACAATGGTTGGGCATTTATGCTCTCCTTTCTTACCCCGGTATGGGTTGTTTCTGGTTTTGAAAGCGCAGCTACTATAGCGGAAGAGGCGAGTAATGCCGCGAAAGCGGTGCCCTTCGCGATGGTCTCCTCACTAGTAATAGCCGCAATAACAGGTTGGGCAGTCATTATAACGATTGCATTTTGTATGGGGCCGGATGTGATAAGTATAGTGACATCACCTTTGGGCCAGCCTTTGGCACAGATTGCGTTCAATAGTTTGGGTAAAACTGGAAGTGTTGCGTTGTTGATATTCCTATGGATTTCGAGTGTGGCCAATTGCTCGATTTTAATGGTCGCGGCTTCGAGAGAAACTTTTGCTTTTGCTAGAGGTTAGTCGTCTTACCTTTATTCTCATAAATTTTATACCGGGGTATACAACGAAGATAAGCTAACTAGATCTCGTCCAGACCACGGTCTTCCATTTTCGTCCTACCTGAGAGTGCTCTCATCCAACAAAACCCCAGTCCGCGCTATTTCTTTCGTCGCTCTTTGTACTCTTGCAGAAGGGCTTCTCATGCTCGTCAACTCCATCGCCATAAACAGTATATTCAACCTTGCTATTATGGGTCTGTACTTCGCTTACTGCATGCCTTTGATTTCCCGACTCCTATTCCGACATTTTACACCAGGCGTTTGGTACATGGGCGATACAGTTAGTTATGTCAGTGCAATTTATTCTGTGGCATGTATGACATTTATTTTTGTCTTGCTGCTTTTTCCCAGCTACGAACATCCAAATGCACAGGAAATGAATTATGCTGTTGTGGTTTTGGGCTTTGTTTTGGTTTTTTGTGTGGTTTATTATTGGGTGCCTGGGTATGGAGGGAAGACATTTTTTAAGGGACCGGTTAGGACAATTGATGAAGTGTTGCAGAGAGAGGAGACGTCAGGGAAATAGTGTTGAAAGAGATGAAACGGAGTGCTGGGAGTGGGAGTAAGTGTAATGATGGTTGAAGTTTTCATGCTTGACTATAATCAATACATCTTTAAAGTATAGGTAGTATATGATGCCTAGCAGGGTCTTATTAATATCTATACGCAATTATCAAGGCGAAATATTTACTGAGGATTTCAATGTTTTAGAATTTTCGTCGGGAGATGTGGATTTTTAAAGCTATGGTGTCCATAATCCACCGAGTATATCATTTCGAGGCGACTGTCGGCTACAAGTTGAAAGCAATCGTTTGGACTCCGCGCTATCATTTATGGATCGGAGTCAAATCAAGGGCAGTTCGTCGATTTGCATTGACGGTAGAAATAGAGATCTCATCAATCTCACACGCTTAGTGCATGGGCAGCTAGCTGCGATCGCGACTTGGAGAAGTGTAACAGGATTCATGGCGCAAAGGCCTAGTGGCAAGTTCAAAAGAGGACGTATGTACCGCCAGCCACGGTATCAAGACCTGGATTGATGTATGCCGGTTCGCAAAATAGCGGGGATTTTGAATCAGACCTTTATAGTAACTTGAGTATCACACCCCAAATTTCTTGACTGGCGGATAGGGCGGTTGATTAATCTTCAATGATGTATGTAGATTGATAAAATAATTATCTTCGAGGTTACATGTTCATGATAGCATAGAACGCCTAGATTAAACATATAATATGATGTTACCAGTGGGACACACAGAAGTCTCATTGGGAAAACAAGTTTCGATTTTGCCCGCAAGATCATGCTGAATACGTCGATCTCGCAAAAGGAGAAACATAAATGGAAAGGCAACGTCTTGAAATAAAAGCCTATATGTACTTCTGATTTCACAAACAGGAGACTTAATTGGGGTTTTTTCTGACATTTTGAAATTTTGTGATTGAACTGTTGTGCTGGAGCTTCGATTCACCGTAGGACGGACATCCGTCTTATGATAGGGAAGATGATAGGAGAGGATGAGGAACAAACTAGTGAATACACTACTTACCATCGCTTCTAGTCTATTTTTATATTCACCATAATTTTGGCTTTATTTTGAACGACAGAAAAGCATTTGGTATGTATAAGTTTCCACAAAAATTGTTGAGGCGCGTTCCTCGGAACACTTCCTCCGCGTCTGCCTTTTATTTATCATCCAGCCTCAATAGTAACAACAAATTATCTTGACGACCTTTCTCATTCTCCAAACTGAACGTTTAGAATGGCTACACCTTCAAACAAAATGTCGGCCAACGTTACAGTTGGAGCTGAGAAAGCAAACACAGGACTGACAGCTGTCCCGAATAATCCCCATCAAGTACGCGCAAACACTATTCAACCCTTCTTACGAAAAGCAATGGAAAGTCCTATCAATATTGGAGAGATTCCAGCCAGTCTTTTCTCAGGAAAATTAGATTCCAATCATAACCTTAGCCTGCAAAATAGCCATACCTCTCGTCCTATTCTCAAATCGAATAGCAGAAACAACATCCTCATCTACCCAGGCTCTTTCAACCCACCCCATCTAGGCCACCTCGCCACAATTCGCTATTTCTCCGAGCGCCGCGACAAACTTGATATCACTGCCATGTTCATTTTCGTAGACCCTGGATCAATTGTTCAAGGAAAAAAGAAGAAATGGGGTGATATAATTCTACCACAAGAACTCCGCTACGAACTCTTCTACCGCGTTCCGGAAATCTTTCAACTGGTCGAATCTGGATGGCTTCAGCTTCTTGTAGGAGATATGGATACTCATATTAAAGTTTTACGTATGACGACTGATCTAATTTCCGAAGCTGGATTTGATGTCAAGCTGGTAGGACTTTTGGGTGGGGATAAGTTGACGGTAGAAAGTGCTCCACATTTACATCCTGGAAGCTTGCAGGAATGGGGTTCGGTTGATGAGTTCCTTATTATTAATGCAAGAAGACCCGTCGACTTTTTTGATTCAAAGAAAGAGGAGATTCCGAGGAACTTACCGGGCTGTACGGCTTGGGAGAAAGATCTGGAGGCAGAAGAGGAGAAGACGGAGCACCTCAATGAGAGTGCAGGTGTGTTGTGGATATGTAGGGCTTTGACAGTAGCTGGAAACCCCATCATCCGATTTCGTGCCTCTCAAAGCAGTGCGTCGAATGGTGTCAGTTCTACCAAGATTCGACAAATTATGGCTGAGGCTCATAATGAAGAGCTTATGGAGGAATTGAATGATAAAGTCATTAGTGCCGACTTTCTGGTAGAGTGGTTGCTGATTCAACGGAAGGCAAAGCGGGAGAGCATTGATGAAAAGGCATTTCTTTAGTCGCGTTGGGGAAGCTGGGGAGTGACAGTCTAAACACACTCACCCCGCTGATTTGCCCTTCATAGGTTGTCCAATGTGCCTGATTTTACTCGAAGTAATTCGCTCATAAATGCAAACCCACCAAGATATAAGTGCTCTTGGGTTCACAATCTTGAGTGGTTTCCGTTTTTTTGAAGATGATGACAAGTTATCCCCCTTTTCTATTTGTGACCTGTGAAATCCACAAATCTCCACTCATATTATTGTTTCTGTCTACTTTACTTATCTGCACTGCCCGGCAATATCTTAGACCCGCAAATTGCTGTACTGGGGAGGCGATAGTGTAAATAGTATCTTGCATGATCAGCCCTACCATGAACGCAGACAGTAGTATTCAGAAGTAACCTTACAACTCTGGACCCCCTACCACGCATGATTTGGCTAAAACGGTAGACAGAAAACCATTCCTTGTGCAAATCTCAGGCTCATAGTGTCACTCAGATATCACGCTGTACAAAAAGTTGTGTGGAAAATGTAGTCTCATCCTCCAAAAACCATGCATTCCTTCAGTTACCGCCAAGTTCCTATCCTTCCAAGACTTCATTCGCAACTCGGAATAAACCAGTCTTTGTAGTTACGATGGTCGGCAAAACGTTCAGAAAGTCGAGTTGAGGTTGTCGTCTTGAGATCGTATCCTGCTTTGTATTTGGCTATTCCCAAGAGATGCGAAGGTTCAATGCTAAAGTAGCAATGTTTTACAATATCACTAAGTCGTGATTGGGGCTTTGCTTATATTATTTCGAAGCAATTCATTTATCATCGAGGAAGTTTTCCAGTTATGATATCCCAATGGATAAGTGAGAGTAACTGAGGTATTCCCTGATTCATTGTCTTTGATTGTTCCGGGTGGAGCAGCAGTCTTTGAAATCCGGGCCCGCGATGCTATTTTTACGGGCTTTCCACGCTAATTATACAACATACTTAAGACTACCGCAAAAATTAATGCTGAAAATATAGGATGTTGTCCAGTATCATGCATGTAGTGCTTGCCCAGCCAGTGACACACTAAACGCTCCTGGTTCCATTTGAAATTACAGCTGAAACCCTTGAGAATAGATCACTGTTCCATTCAATGTTATTCAACATCATGCCTATTTCTATGCTCCGTAAAGTTCACTCCCCTTGCACTAAAACAGCTTCAAAAGCTGCCAAGCATCAACACTAAGAACATCAACAAAAGAGAATTCCAGTCATTGTACGATCTATTATCTCACTGCACAGAAATGCATACTGTACATTCTTTTAATCAATCCAGAGTTTTCTGTGTTCATGGACAACAGAAAATCGGCATTAACAAAGAGGTTTCAAGAAAATAAGTGCAGCAATCCATACCATAGAGTTTTGTGCTAATTGCGACAAACTCCTCGATAATAGGGACATTATAGTTGGCATCAAAAGATATGTTTTCTCGCGTGAAGCTGATGGTTGTTGGAAAGCAAGGTATAGACCTGAACTGCTCAAACTTAGACTTAAACTTCATTCTTTGTGTAGAAGTGGTTAATTTGGTAAGAATGAGATCTAGTATGAAGATTTTCAGAGTGTCAGGGAAAAACAATATTATCTGACAAAACGTGAAGTCAGTTGATCATTGGCTTTCAACCAGAATTTTTGGATTCAGACACCAGCTTTCGTGTTACTAACTGCAAATTATTCTGGCATTTGAATTATCTGAGTAATATATCGAGTCGTTGATTTTAACTTAAAATAGGTGATTTATTTTTGTAATTACAAGGAATTAGAAGTGGCATTCAAGAGCGTAGAAATGGTGCGTTATCTAGTCATCCTATAAATCCACTGAAGGGAAAATGCATATAGCGGTTTCTTAATTCGTGTTTCTTCATGAAATAAAAGATCAAGCTATAAAACTGTTGAGATATTGATCACATGAATCACTAGCGTTGACGCTAGTGCCTCGGCAAGAGAGATCATATCTCTATATAGCTCTCCACTCTCATAGTTTTAGTTCTTTATGCAAATCAATACGAATACCATTCAGGTCATATTGAAGCTTCACTTCCCCATACCCGCCACAATCGACAAAAACTTTTTGATCCTCCGCTGCACTTGTACTGCAACTGGTTGTAAGATATGTCGATCCGCCGCTACTTGAAATATTCTTATTGTGCCATCGCCCCTCCCGGTCTAGTCCTATTTCAATTTCAATTCAAAATAGCCATAAAACCAGACCGCCAAGTAGTCCGACACACCTACAAATGCCACTAGTAACAAACTACTTGTCATGCCTTTTTGCGCGGCACTCTCGTCGCCAGTTATGTGCTCCACAATGCATGCTCCTCTGCATCGATCTGTATCGCGGGCGCATTCTTTTGGAGGATTATCCAAGAAGCAAGATCCATCTTTACATATAAATCAGCTATGGTGTAATTTATGAAAGGAGGATTTTTCCATTTCTTACCGTAAGTTGGAGTGGAAATAACACTCCCAGAAGTAACGGTGACGGTATATCTCGATTTTGTGGCGGCCAGATTGTCAGCGTAGCCCGCAGGTATTTTGTAGAGACATTTGAGCACATCAGCGGGCTTCTTTGGTTTCCCTTTTCCCCCTTTGCCCCCCTTTCCCCCTCCTCTTCCTCCTCCTCCTTTTCCTTGGGCAATAGTGACGAATGTCAAAATGAGGAGGAGTTGAAGGATCATGGATTTATTGAGGTGTGGAGGGACTATAATGATAATAAGTGTAATTGGGAAGTTGAGGGAGGATTTTGTTTTGCTGTGGAAACTTTGATACTGTAAAATTGGTAGGTCGAGATACATACATCCCAATAGCACATTATAAAGGAGGATTGGAAAAGGAAGCTGATTAGATTATATCATAATATGTTATTTATAAAGAAAACAGAGTTCATAATAGTTTTAGGGTTGAGATTATATAGGTTCAAATGTATATATATAGAAGGTTGATTATTGTAAAAAGAAGAAATAAAAGCTCTTTTTTTATATCTAATTATAAGAGATCATATGATTGATTAATTAAAAACCTTTATATATATAGCTTATAATTCCAACTTTCTCACAAGGGGGTATATATATTGAAGATGATGGAGTTGATGCTTTGCAAAAATACGATTCAAGAATTGAATAATTTCGTATATGGAATAATTTGTTGTAATGTATGTTAATGTATGTTAGGTACAATGCAGAAAGAGATCGAGGTGCTTCTATATATGTGCACTGAGTGAGAAAGGCTAACTCAGTCATCTATCATGATGATGATTCATTGAATGAGAAATCGATTTAGTGGCAAGCTAATAATTGAATCACCAACACATGAATTGAGTTATATGCATAAAAGTAAATCACATTTTATTTTACTAAAGTTTGATCTAGTTTTGTAGTAAGGCTCAAAGACAGAGAGCTTTCCAAAAGTCATGTAGTAATGTTCAGTAAGTTATTAAGCTAGTCCCGAGACTTCGCTAGTTTAATAGTTCTTAAAATCTCCCTCGTGAGATCTTCCATACAAAACAATATAATCCACTGTCACCCAAACTCATAAAAGAAACAGCCTCAAAACCTGATCGAACCCGAAAATAAACAAAGCTACCTTAAATAACATATCCCTCCCCCTGTTTCTCTTTTTCAATCTATTCCTCGGTGTTGTTGAAACGGATGGGCTCAAAGTTGAGGCAGGCATTAACACCTCGACCGTGCTGGGTCGCAGTTCACACGGGGGTTCATTTTCGCACTTCCCCGGAATTCCGCCTGTCCGGAAACAACAATCGGCTACATAGTAGACTTATTAGCAACTGTAAACAAAACTGTATGATGAGCAAAATCTCACGTGTAGTTTGCGTAAAGGTTAATGATTTGGATGTCCTCGTGAGAGAACTACCAGCCCCGTTCAATAAAGATGTACCTGTGGTGATTTGAGGTGCGCCGGTCGGGGTTGTGGCCTGTGTGGCGGTAGTGAATGGTAAAGCAGCAAAGACGAAGAGGAGGATAGACTTTTTAAAGCTTGGTAAGACCATAATGACCTTTCGAAAAGTTGATAGGTGGCGTGCGATTATTCGACTCTTAAACTGGAGTATTCTGATACAAAACGGTTGTCCTATTTGTAACGGTCTGAAGGTGTATCCGGCTGAGTTTATTGCAGTGTTTGCGAGAAGTCTTAAAGGAAGCGTTGTTAGAATATAAGAAAGGAAGGGAATAGGAAACATTTTCAACACAAATAAATACAGATATTGAATTCATTCCAGCAGTAATGACTTGCCTTGGAGAACATATTCATGACTTTGTGAATCAGTGGGAGTCATGTTGCTAGGGGATCATATATTTTGTTGCACACCGATATTTATGTCCAAGAATTCAGTCATTTTTCAAATCAAAGATTAACTTTTTATTTACGAGATGAGAAAAAGAAAGAAAAGGAGAGTCTAAAAGCACTCCTTTATTGTTCCTGTGCTAAGATAATAACTTAGTTGAACTGTGAGAGGATCAATGTCATGTGCTGAATGTTTGTATAAAAATAGTATTAGGATTTGCATAATAATTGTTAGCAGGAGCTTGATCAAAGTATCCTAATATCCTGATGAACTTTATCAGAGAGTTTTTTTGTGTACAAAGTCCTCAATATGGTGTTTGTAAGATCTTAACATGCACCAAAAAGAAAACTCCAGAATAAACACTTCTATGCATCTCGCGAAATGGGATCATAATGTCTTGTCATGTAGCAGTGACTCGGAACAATGAATCATCGTCACTCGACGGATAAAATTAGAATAATGAAGTATTAAGCGGAAAATTTTATTCTCATCAAATTCCGTGTTCACGACTCCAACTCTGAAATACACTTATACAGTGACAAATTTTGCGCCATAAAGTGGTTCTATGCCGGCGATTTCGCTTGTCAAGCGACGACTAGATGTATAGCCATGCACTACACCTGGCCCTAAGCCAAACATGCGATCATCTCGTCGAACAACACAAGAATGCTTGATAATATATTCTCAACAGAGTTCCTATGAACCAATGATAAATCATCCTCACCCTTACTTCACTTTCCCCTTATAGAAGCAAGCACTCTCACTCTCTCATAGAATAATAAATGTAATCGGCCACCGTAGCCAAGATCACTCACCAGCGATCTTCACTTATCCGCCGCCCATCCTCGCTACCAATTACATGATAATGTATATTTAGATTTGAACATTTTTCCGTCAAACCAATCAAACAACTCGTTTCATTGTTATATAATCACTCAGCTTCTATGGTCCAATGGTCAGGATTCCACCCTTCCAAGGTGGAGGTCGGCGTTCGATTCGCCGTGGTTGCATTTCTCTTTTGCACTTCTCTTTTGCAATTTTTTCGTGATCTAGAGTATGTGTTTGAGTGTTTGTAGAGTTGTGATTATTGAATATTATTGATGGGATAAGGTAATAAAAGGTGTGTAATTTTCTCGGGGAGAATGAATGTTGAGAAATGTGCCTTCCCCACGACCCGCTACGCTCAGATAACCTATTCATATATTTGACAGCAAATTTGCAATACAAACTATTGGATACATTGACGGTGGAAAGTAAATGTAATTGAGAGTTCACCCAAAGTTGCGCAGACGATTCCGAGTGAAAATTTGGAAAGCAACGATTCATTCATTTGAATATCTAAGGCTCAGCGAATGTTTGAGATTTCGCAGACTAATGATCCAAACCAAGAAGAGTATTGAGCTCGTCTTGAAACCCCGGCAGAAGGTCGATCTGACCATGATAGAAGATGATTTTTGGAATCTTGTGCTTCTTGTCTTTCAGATTTCTTTTCCGAAACCCCTTCTCGAAAAGCAATTTCACCCCCTCGTAGTCAACACGACGTCGGCCATCAAAAGGCACCACTTCCTTTCCATCTCCAAAGATGATCAAATGTTCCAGGTTTCGAAAACTGAACACGTCGTAACATTCCAAAAACTCCTGTATCAAATCACCACTTTGTCTCACATACATTTGAAATAGTTCCAAGCAAGGCAGAAACAAGGTCCGAAGAGTCTGCATTAAAGCAGGACAATCCCAACATGCCACTCTTTTTTGTCCATCCCAGTTGTATGAACATTCAGAGTCATTTTCACTTGAGAAGGCCACCATGACAGAATCCAATTTCGGGTGGAATAGTATTGGATTTCCGGGGTTTGACGGGCACGGCTTTGTATAATAGAGCAACGTAGTGATTCGGCTTTCGCAATTTACGAACATAGTCGGAGGATATGGCGCGGAGTTGTGAAAGACTACCTTCTCTCTCTGCTTTCTGTTTCCGTGTTTTCCGGCAAGATAGAGACATTCCAAGGTGATCTTGACTGCTCTACCACGAAAAGTCGCCTTCCAAATCATTTGTCGAATCTCGGAAGGTAGCTTATTGAAAATGGTGAACTCTGAATCGGACTTTTTGTCGTCGGCCATCATGGTATTTCCATGTTCGACTAGGTGACCAGACATCTTGCTGAATAAAGGAAGTCTTCGAGGTTGGTTGTTTGCTATGGGAGCTAAGATCTATGGTATTTATTAGTGATCTTCCATGAAAGCGGAGGTGGAGTAAGTTATTGTACCTGATGTTTTTTGGGTTTGTGAAAAATGTTTGTGGATGGATGGATTCTTGTTGCAAGTTGTTAAGCTTCTGTGGGTTAAATTCTAAAAGGACGAAGAATAAATACCCAAGACTAAGACGAAATAGGAAAATCGCAATGATTGATCATAAATGTTGCGAATCAAATCAACGCGACCAACAGTCATCCCCACAGACTCATATATTCCAGTCGTACAGATCATTAGAGTATTAATCAAGATACATCGATGAATCATGGCCGCCAACACGAAAGGCCGGCCTATTTCCATTCCTTCCATCCAAATAGCCAGTACATCGAGTTCATATTGAAATAAACAGGACTCAGCAAGAATCGCAGTGTACTGACTTGCGGTAGATCAGCGTTTCCCCTCATCTTTCTCGATTGACTGGCATATTCATGAGCTGTAACCCGCTGCTATTACTGCTGGAGATGACTTGGACATGATCAATACGAATAATAATTCCCGCATTCAATCACATAATACCATCCTCCATATTTTCAAATGGAGCACAAAAGAGAGTCGCAAATGACTCAACCGCTCATCACATTCGCTTTCGGCTGTATACCCAATCCTTCAATGTAATATCAGTTAAAAACAGCGGACAGGATAACCATAAAATCTTACCCTTACCTCCATATTACCCACTATTTCTTTGCCCTTTGGGTTTCCTTGGGAAGTAATATATGTATCAAATGATTCGTTGAAGTATATCTTCAAGAAAAATGATATTATGGAGAACCTCAAGAGAAACGAAGATAATAATGAGGAAACTCAACATCTTCAAAAAAAAAAGACACTCCAAGTTCCCTTAGTCTGACTTACAAGAGTTTCTGTTTTTCAAATGTAAGACTTAGAAAGAAGATACAGGATATAACCACTTTATGGCCGGATGGAGAGACAATCATATTTCTGTCCCTGTTTCTGACACTAAATAGACTGTAAGTTCGGATACGTTAATATGCCGCTCATGATCAACTAGATATAATCATACACGAATAAATAATTCAAGAATCCCCGCCAAACTTCAAAGTAGCAAACCCCAAATTCTCTAGAGTTCCGAAAACAAAAGCTAAAGGTATACAAATACAAAGCCGGTTGATTATAAAAATAACATATGCATCTATAACCTAAAGTTATCTTGAAATAAAATGAACATAAAAATAAAATAAAAAATAAAATCAATCTATGAGCTATAAATTTACAAGGACTCATTTAATGGAGGTGAATATTTATTGTTATAACTCTTATTCCTGTTAAGCCCAAGTAATTATCAGCTATTTCACGTCGTATATAAGTGGTGTGATTTATGATTTATAATGATTCTATATTATATTCATAATTAAATTCACTTCAAAGTTAAAACTAGATAATTAAATAGATAAACATCTATCTTCCTTTCGATATAGAAAAAATAATAAAATTTACATGTTTTAAAGGCTCACTAGAGTGAGGGAAAACTTAAAAGGCAGAATTTAAAAGGAGGGTGTAGTTTGCATGTATGTACTATGTATGTATGATGAGCTAGCTAGCTATTCGAGCGCTGTGATTTAGTGTGATGAAGTACAGATATGTGCAGATATTGAGATAGACAAGGAATGAAAAGAAGACGGATTTCTAGAGTTGTGACTTATGAATGATATAATGGTTAGAGAACTGGAAAGTGAATAGCTGAACCAAGCAAGCGAAAAAGGCACTCTAGGTTTCGGGTATATCTTTGGACTTCAATATAACATTCTATTTCCTAGTCCTTTCCAAAACAGCACGATATCTGAACTTTCAACTCGTTCACCCTCCAACCATTTGTCTATCCCCTACCCCATACTATCCAATCTCAAATCTCAAGTACCTAGGTAGAAGTAGTAAAAACCAATTTCTCATTTCCAACGACCGTCTATCAATCAAACTCATTAGCCCAGATTCCCTAATCCCCATAAATCCAAAACACCAATATCTTTCAACCCCCTCTCAAAGAATAAAAAAAAGAAAAAACATACCTTCAAAACATTTCCAATCCCTGTAACCTGGCCCGAAGCATTTTTACCCATAACATTAGCATAATTCGATGCCATCAACTGAACTCCAGATACAAAATCTTTATTATCAAATCCACTATTTCCTTAAATCAGTAGCCGCATTTCATCATTTCCATTCATCTCGTTCTCGGAAAAACACTGAAGATTCAAAGTTTATGTGTATAGATGTGGAAGAAAACATACCAATGACCACCTCCACTCGGGGTATTATCTACCGTCTGCAAATTCCCAATCTGACTCGCCGACATACCAGCCCCCTTGGCCAATTTCTCATACGCACTAATCGCCGTCGGAATAGATCCTTGCAATGAAGTCAACTCATCTTTCGTACTTTGGTAATGTATCTTGGTATTCTGCATCAAGGTATTCGCATCCACAACAGCCACTTGCGGGGTGAGGGCACCACAATTTAAAAGAACGCCTGTTTTATACTTTGCGCCGAATGCTGGCATGAAGAATCCAGATAGGAGTAATGAACCGCCTGAGACGCCGGTGAAAAATACATTCCCCGGGTCGAATGCTACGTCTTTGGATAATTGGGTTTGGATTAGTGTGTTTACTGCCGCAGCGTGAGCGACGCCGTCAGTACGTTGGAGACCGGATCCACCTCCCCATAGCATCTTTTTATTTGGAGCGAGGACCACAACTCCCATGAGATTATTCTGGACTGCTTGATTGGGGAAATCGAAGAACGATGTGCCGCCATCACCGTGGAGAAGAACGTTAAGACCTGCTCTTCCGGTTGTGTTGGATGATGCTGTGCCGCCGGTTACTCCTGATGCTGAGGTGAACATATTTGCCGGAGCGCTGATTTTGTAACGAATTGGGAGACCACTTTTTAGTTAGTACTTTTACATGGAAATTGGGATAACGAAGAATTACTTGATCTGAACAGTTTTGTCTAAAATCATCGTTCCACCTGCGGCTTTTGATACACCACCTGTAGTTCCAGTTTTCGTCGTAGAACCTGTAGAAGATGAAGCGGTATTTTTCTTGGGTAAAGCATCAACAGGAGCAAAAAGAACGAAGAGGAGGAAAAATAGTAAATCTTTAATGAAAATCATGATGAAATTGAACCAAACGCACAGCGCTGAGAAGAGAAGAGAAATGAATGAAAGGAAATTTCGAGATAGGCTCAGCCGTAAGTTGAGAAAATGATTGGATTCGGCATCTTTTAATGTAGTATTTACTCACAACTAGTAGTAGTTCAATAACCTCTTGGGTTGAACATCAAACTACCAAGCCGATTTTCATAATAAATTTCATCCTAGAAATGTATTGTGAAGCATTCTAAGGTTTGACTTGGCGGTCATGATTGGGGTCAGAAGTTTGACTCGGGCCAAAATCTCTTGGCAACAGTGGTTGAATCCTCAATTAGAATTTTGATGGGAAAATCTGGGGTTTGAAGTTGAGACTTTAATAGAGAGAGAAGTAAAAACTCACTATTTTGTGAATCGCGATTTGGTATTCACAAGAGATTCCTTGATTGGAGGTATCATAGATGAATTCTCCACACATTGCTGAAACAAGTACTGGGTCATTGGACATCCTATCCAGAGTTTATGATAGATAGCTCGCAAAAAAAACCCTTTTGGCCATGTTCAGAAATTAACTAAATTCCTAGACTTGAAATGATCACAGTCTTGACATTCCGAGGATAGGGATTTATTGTTCATTCCACAAAAAGGATATATGTATCCTAATTTTGACGAAGTAGGAATCAATACGAAACATTTAGCGACGACATAAGGAGGTAGATATCGTCATGTTAACACAGATCAGAAAAATACAGATCTCGTTTGTTTGACATATGCGAGACGGAAAAGTCCAAATAACCCTGATGAGCCAAATTCTTCAGTCCCAGTGCCTTGATTCTGGATAGGCTTTGGATGAAATGTTGTAATCTTGTTTGAGGTGGATGGTAAATTCTCTGATGTGGTTTCCGATACTCTCGCACTGACGATAAAAGATCGTACTGAAGATGCTCCCCAACCGTGCATCGTCGGAATGTCAATGTTGAAATGGAAAAGTTCCGCAGGATGTTGGCGCTTGATGGACTGTAGTCAAACTATTTTTAGATTGCTCAACTCGGTAAGAATCAAAGTGGCTTGCAAGAGAAAGCCACTATGGGTTTGACATATTAGGTATTGTGTGGAAACATCGGGACTTTGTTGATATTTTGGAAATTCGGCCCTCGTCTCTTCTTAATTGGCCGTCGACATAGCAAATTCATCGTACTCGGAGCAAATCCACCAAATCTTCGGATCTTCTCGGCATGTCACGAGTTGAGCATGTCGGCATGTCATTCGTCTCAAATCATAGGCATGTACTCCATATGGAGCATTGTGGGTTCTGAGTGCACCGCCACCAGCTTCATAATCTACGTTACTCTTGGCACACAAACCAGCTGAAAACCCCCAGTAAATTCAAACCAAACGTCATCAGGTTTATTGGCTTAGGATATGTAAGCTTGTCGTCGTGGACTTGTGGATGAGAGATATAACTCTGGGTGGACATCTAGAAAGGAAGGACGTTGTAGAATTTCGTTTGTGCATTTCCGTCGAGTAACCTTCGTGCCTAGTACCTAGTACTTAAAGATTACCTCTAATAGGTATTGTCAAGAGTACCTAGGTAGAGAGAGATACTGTGCGGGGTATTCGAGTAGCACTGTGGATGAATGGGAAGTTTAAATCTTAACTGATTGCTTCTTGTTGATCACAAGTAAGGCATGAAAGCTAACAAATCAAATACACCCAAGTAAACGAGTAAACGAGTAAACGAGTAAACGAGTAAACGAGTAAACGAGTTAACGAGTACACTTGACATAATCTTATAGGAGAATATTCATTTCTCTTCATACAGAGTAGATGCATCGAGTCACTTCGAACCACCTTCCCACTACTCCCACTACTCCCACTACTCCCACCAATGAAAATAGTTATACCTGCAGCCCATTACCAAAGATGTTTCATACAGGCGGCTCGGCATTTGTTGTAGGGCGATACATGGATTCGAACATCTCCGTCATAATACTATACCTATTAAATATTGTCGATGGCCTATGGTAGAAGAACATCTACCACTGATTTTTTCAAGATTTTGGTTATTCAAACTCAAAGCAAAAGACTACCTTGGAAGGTTTAAGGGCCTCGTAGATAAATCTCGAATCATATATTTCACTCTAGACTCTTAATAATATTGACATGGTGGTGGTTGGTAATCAGTTATACGGTAGCTATACGGTAGCTATACGGTAGCACAATTATTGCTATTGTACCTAGTCATCGTTTGTTTTTGCGTTCAACCTCACGGATAAGATAGCCAGAACCCCAGTACTCCTGTACTCACAACAACCACTAAAGGGTCTAACTGCGCCACTTTTCTACACCTTCTTCGCTCCTTCGGCTGCAGTTATCCCCACTTCAATAACAATAACAATAACCTTAATAAGTTCCCATTCTCCAGCAGATCACGAAGAAGAAACATCAAACATTTTTCCTCACGTAGAGCTTCACTATTACGATGGTTGATGCCGGTATGGTCAAGCGAAAGGATACCACAAAAGGTCCTCCTTTACGTATATTATCTCTAGGTAAGGCAGACAACACCTCCAACCTTTCGCACATTTCATTAACATATTACAGATGGAGGTGGTGTACGAGGGTATTCTATGCTCATTATCATTCAGGAGCTTATGCACAGGACTTATGTCGAAATCGAAGGAAAAGCACCTCGACGAGATCAAATCCCAAAACCTGCCGATCATTTTGATTTGATATGTGGGACGGGAACTGGTGGTTTAATCGCGATTATGCTTGGCAGATTACGACTGGACTTGGAGACATGTAAAGAAGTCTATGTACGAATGACGAGGAAGGTTTTCGAAACGGATAAAACTATCGCGGGTATCCCGTATCGATCGACTTTATTTAAGGCTTCGAAGTTGGAGGAGGCTATTAAAGAGTGTGTACGAGAACACACTTTGTATGAAAAGGAAGGAAACGATGGGGATAGGTATGCGCCAGCATCCACCTATCCAGGAAGTCCGATTAGCCCATTTAGTCCGGCTGCGAGGGCCGAACCAAAGCGGCATTCAAGTAATGCTAGTGTCGCAAGCTTCAGTAACAGGAGCCCTAGCAGCTATCAAAACAAACCATACATCTCGTCGCGCTGGGGTAATCCTAATGCTAGATTATATGACAACCGACCAGAAAGGACCAAGACGTAAGGTTTTCCACAATCACCATATACTAAAATAGCTAACATAGAATAGTGCCGTAACAGCAGTCTATAAAGGTACTCCAAAAGGTGGGGCGCCAGCCTTACTTCGATCCTACGATTCACGAAAAGAGCCCTCACCGGAATATGATTGTAAAATTTGGGAAGCAGGACGAGCAACATCAGCTACCGGACTCGCATTCAAACCTATTCAAATCGGACAATCAGTATTTATTGACGAGGGTGCTGGCCAATTTAATCCTGCGCCTGTCGTTCTCGATGAAGCTGCAGTTAACGAATGGCCTGGACGAGATGTCGGAGTGTTTATTAGTATAGGAACAGGAAAGAGACCACCAGGAAGTGATCACAATCAACATATATGGTATGAAGGTTTCATGGGAGAATTTGCAGAAGCACGAAGGCGGTTGATATCTAAAATCGAAGGATGTGAAGCCACACATCAATACATGAAAGCAGAACATCTCAGTAAACGAGGCGTCAACATTGAAAATTATTATCGACTTAATGTGGAAATTGGTGTAGGAGAATTTGGTATGAATGAGTGGAATCGTCTCGCGGATATTAGCACCGGAACCAGAAGGTACCTAGCCAAGAACGATATCCAAAAAATGAACATCGAGGCAGCCGTGAAATTGTCAAAGATTCACAGAGCGATCCAGAGAGCAAACGGCCACATGAGATTACCATCCATGGGTAACAGAGGAGAAAGTTATAAAGACCTACCCGATGTTCCCGAAGCTAATCCTCTGGCTGTGGAACTCCCGGCCGAAGTACCTCCATTGACACCTGTTTCCAATAACGCCTGGACACCATCCCCCAGACCAAGTTACGAATCAGGACATCATGATAATCTGGAAGTTGCACCTTTGAGCGCCATTAAGAGTGATACCTTCTCTCTGATTTCCCCCTTAGACCACCATTCGCCCCATTCATCTCCTTTAAGCGGACCCAGCGATTATGATGATAGATTGACCGTTAGCTCTCCGACTCCAAGTCAATACCGCACCGCTTCTGGATCTGATAAGATCGCAATAATGAGTTTGGATGAATATCCTCGTCCAGATATTCGAATTTCAGATCCTCCACTAAGAAATCCAAGAAGAGTTTCAGGTCCACCACCAGTACCGCCGAAAACACCAATTAATGGGGAAAGACCTGGAGATGGAATGTATAGAAGACCAATTGATAATGGAAATGTGGCACCTTATCCATTGGAGGATGGACCGCCACCCATAGTTAATATGGCGAGGAAACCTAATTATGGAAGATAGAGGTTTTGAAGGGAATGGTGGAGAAATAAAATGACTCGACCTACCGATTGATTAAATGATGAATAGGATAACTGGAATTGGGAAGGAAATCGGCGTTTGGGCTTAACTCAGAAATGAGTAATTATGGATTATGATGGATGGGAGTTTGAAATCGGCTGGTTCAGATGAATTTGGGTTGTTGCGATACCTTTTTTATTTTATGCTTCTTCTATGTTTTTATGCGGGTGAATGGAATGGAAAGGAATGAGATGATAAATACCTAGTAGATGCGAGTGGATTGGGAGTGATATATCCCCAGAAAGCGATTTGGTTTTTAGTCATATGAATGTACTGATGTACTGAATAAGTATATACTAGGTACTTAGTTTTATTTACTTTTTTTTATAAAGTTATTTGATTCTTATTAGGTATTCATGGATTCTTTTTATCGTCATAGATCTATATATATAAATAAATATTGTTGTCATGATTTTTATATAATATTATTTAATACTTTTATTTTAATTTAATTTTATACTCGGGCTAGTCTTTAAAAAGAACCAGGAGCTTAATGAAGTATATTTCTATATCAAAAAAAAATTTCAAAATTTTTATAAATTCAATAAATAATTATATATATATAATTATCCTTTAATAAAAATTTTATAAAAATTTTTAAAAATTTAAGATTTAATTAATTCTACTTATATATCTAGATAGATTATCTGCTCACTGTAGTTTAAATTTACTATATATATATATATATACATATACATATACATTATCATCATGATCATGATTATGGTTATGATTATTCATTATCTATGTAATAAAATGTGAAAAAAAAAAAACCTAGTATCAGTGTCAATATCACCATTAGGAAATCCCTTTGTTCTTGAAACTACTCCTCAAAAAGACATTATATCTACAACCACATACTTCACATGCTTTCAATTTTTATAGTTACTAATACAATACGCCTTTTAATCAACATAAATTTAACACACAACAATCAATTTCAAGGCAATAAATTACTTTCTAATCCAAAGAAAGAAAAAAGAAAGAGGGAAAAAAAAACATAAAATATCCATAGCATCCATTGATCCCTTATTCTTATTCCAGTTCAAAAGGCCTTCCTTCCATCCACTTTTCCTCGAATCGCAGAATGCTCTCAAAAGTAGCACAGAAAAAATTTCATAATACGTAGACGCCATAATGCCCAATGATAAAGAAGAAAATGTTCGAATACAGCAACCCCTGCCTCATATCTCATCATCCATCGCTATTTTACACGTCCCCTTCTTAGTCTAAACTGAGTAAAGATCTAACCCATATTTCCTCCCATTTCACGCCCACTCGTAGTCGCCGTCGATGGGTTATCATTATTCCAACTCAAATATGTGTGATCACCGAGTTTTCTTGGCCTGATAAGATGCGTGACGGTAAAGAGTGCGCCGAGTAGGATACAGAGACCTCCTACAACAATGTACGCGATACCTAGGAAAGGATTCTTGCCACCCATGACAGTACGAGTTGAAATAATGATAGATTTGGTTCCGCCGTATTCGGTAACGTTGAAAACTGTAAATTGTTAAGGAAAATCCAAAAATTGAAAAATGCCCAGAGGTCTCAAACTTACGATGTATAATTTCAACTTGATATTGTCCAGTTTTCATGGTATCATCATCATTCCTTTGTACCAATTTACTGAATGTTGGCAACCCAGCCAATCTCATCCATACTTGGAATGCTTCATCGTTCTCAAGATCGGGGTGATATTCATCACTATAATTTTTTGGATATCGTTCTACCCAGTTTGGAGGAACAATGACTTCCGACCAGTTGTATTTTGTTGGACCATACAGTGCTCTATCACTACTCCATGACACATCCGAATTATTCTTCATGTGATATATCGTACCATTTGCGGAACTTCCACCCGCGACATTTTGTAGGATTGGAAATGAGAATGTATCGTTAAACACGGAATTTGGAGCTAGACCACATGGATAATATGGCTTTTCGACACCATTGTCATTTACGGTCGTGAGTGGCGTACAATCGCTAGAGTGGATAGTACTCGCTGAAACGGCTTTACCGGAAAGCTGATCGGAGTCGAAGGACTTGGCATATCGTCGATGGTTTTGATAAAAGTTGGTGAGCTTGTAGTAGAACAGAACAGGAGGTTCCATCGGGGATTTAATTGGAAATGTGAGCCGACATTGTACAGCCGGGACAGTGGCGTGCGCGACACTACCGTTGTAGTATGTTTGATTGATTTTTTGCCTACACCATTCTGGAGCAGTTCCTTCATATTCATGTGGTTTTTTGAAAAACATATCGACATTATCAGAAGGCATGAGGCTTCCGGTATCGACAGAGCTTTGGCAAATTGGCGCATCTGTATGACATGTCGAATAATCGAGTACAACTTCTTGGACCTATTCCGAAACATCAGTTATGACCTTGATCAAAACTACTATTTTAGAAATCGTGCTTTATTTACTGACCACACTACTAGCGTATAATAGCCCACCACCAATCGGCGCGAATATTATTCCAATGGCGAAGAATAATGGAAGTACGGTTTTAGGTGTGAGAATAGGTCTAGCATCGTGTCAGCTTCATCTTCGCGCAATCATTCCCAAGCGTATACTCACTGCCATGCCTTCAATCTTTGTTGTCTAAATGCTGTATCTATTGATCGCAAATAATAGTCAGTATGCCAACTTTCTAGCATCAGATCGTGGGTTCCTGACTTGCTGGCCTTCTACTCTTTGTTTTGCCTTTGTCCCCGTGTAAATGAGGATCCTGCGAGCTGATAGAGTCCTCATGTTGCATTGCTGGTGGTTGATCAGCCATCTTGAAGATGATCTGCAATCATGAGCCAAATGCTGATTAAATTTGATTTTGTGTTGCAAGTCGCAGAAGAATCCAAATGGTCGTCAAATTATGGTGGTTGTTGGAGTTGTCGTCGCGATTGATGGCGCACTTGAAGCCCGTAGTTTCCGCCGCGGCGATTTAAATTTAGCGCATTTCAGCCACAATTTGTCTGGAAAAGTTTCAGCCACAGTAAGGAGACGAACTAAAAAAAGGTTCTCTAAATCATGAGGCATTGTGAATATTCTTAAGTCATCACAGTGCATCTATTCAAAGCAGACAACATAGATGAATGTTTGTTTGGTTTCTTCATGGCTTTATTGCTATTGACGCTAGACCCATACAGTACGATGCTACGAATGCTACTCCAACCGGCTTGTGGAAAACAGTAGCCACGACAATCAAACAACGCTATAATGGTATCTTGTATATCTATACTCCTAGCAAACACCCATACCCGCCTATATGTGCTCCTTGCACCCGTCACAAATTACTTCTGGAATCATTTACTCATCTTTAAACAACCACGCACCACCCGGCCTCATGGCTTCAGCATATCTTTCAGCTACCTTTTCTCGCTCTACTTCTTTCTGTCTTCTCTTTAGTGCTTCGTCTTCTTGTGTGTTAGGAAAATCAGCCTCCCAGAATCCAGGGGGCGTACTTCTCCTTGGAACAACAGATCGGTGCTTCCCCATTGTATTCGATACCTTCCACTTTCTAGCTTGTGCTAAAACTTCCTTCCTTTCTTGTTTTCCCATGGTCCAAATCTTGTGTTTATTGTCGCCTAGGTACTCTTCTAGAAGAGTGTCTTCCTCTCCCTTTTGTGAATTTGTAGGATTTTCCCTCGCCTGGTAAAGAGCTTGCGCTAAAGCGCCAAATTGGTTTCCGCAACATTCTTCTCTAACACAGCCCGGAAGACATTGACGATCCTTGCCACGAACTACTTCTGTATATGCATAATCATAACCTTGATTGAAGTTGGGATTGATTTTGAAATGGTCTAGCCTCAACATAGTTATAGGTCGTGATCTATATGGCTCTTGTTCGGGGTCATCCGAATCAAGGTCCTGCCCCTTCCCTCTCCTAGATCTTCTCTTCGTTGTAGTTGGTGGCATAGAAACTCCCAATCTCACCTTTGGAGTAGATTTGGTAGGAGACCTAATTGATTCCCGGGATACCTTTGTTGCTCGTTTTGGAGACAGCTCGACGGATGTAGTTGAGCCTCCCCTGGAAGCTCTTATTAGTGATTGGGAAATTCCCCTCATAATGCCAGCTTGAGGACGACCTGTAGGTCTCTTGACGGTTTCATCCTCTTCGTCGCTTACAGATTCTCTTCTTTCCGGCTTCGGAGTCTCTTTCCTGGTACCACTCCGAGGACGATTGACAGTTTTGCTGCCTCCGCGTCCTTCATCGTTTACAGCCGCTCTTTTCCCCAGTTTCGCAGTAGCATCTTGCCGTTGGGCATCACGATGCTTCGGCAAGCATGGCGTATTTTCTGAAAATTCTCCTTCATCGAACGGCGACATCGTCATCTCTGTTGACAGATTGGATGGTGGGAGTATTACCGATCGTAGTTCTGGAATTGCTGATTGCGGCGTTGGATAGGCCGTTCTCTTTGTTGGTGGTGAGCTTGAAAGCAGATCACCGAGAACGTCGGTGGAATGAATACGTTCCTTTCCCACAGAAGCAGGAGATTTTGGCCGGCTAATTGACTCTCCATCTTCAAGTATTCCCTCCACTCCTCGAATCATAGCATTTGATTTTCGTTGACGTTTGGCAGGAAGCTTGGTACCTACTGTGTTTTGAAGGATACGGTTGGTACTTAGTTGTCGCAGTGGATTGCTGACTGAGCTTCTGCCTCTCTTCGTCGCTGGTGTAATCATTGGCCTCCTTGGCTGCTCAATTGTGAAAGGTGTAAGAGCTTGGTTTCTCTCATCCATACTGTCATCAAGCAACATCTCATCGTTCATTTCATTCTCAACCTCGTTCTCCACGTCCTCTACAAATGGCACAAATACTTGACGGCGCTTTCTTGGTGTAACAACCTTGTCGCCAATGTCGTCCAAATCGAGGCTTTCACTTGCATGAAGAGTCCCAGACATGATAGGGCTGCTTGAGTCAGTATGCTCGACCTTGACCTTGGGCACAGGCGTGTTATGTGATTCATGCTCGTTCCTTTTCCTCTTCCCAACCGAGCGAGCAAATATGAATTCTGGGGGATCGCTGGATGATTGCATCTTGGGTGTCTCCATGTTTGGCTCCCTTGCGATATCACTTTCCCTGTCACCAGATGGAGAGGATTCGGGATCTTGCGTAGAACTCGAATGATGAGGTTCCATTGGTAAACACAGAGTCTCCTCGAGACTAATTACACGCTGAGATTTGTACACATGCCTTGGAAGCTGGGGAGATTCATGATTCGCTTCTTCATAGTCATCTTTTTCATGTTCAAAATCATCCAGATCACATTGTCGAGTCTTATTTGCTTGGGGATCTTTTGTAGGACTCGTTAAAAGGACTTCAGATGGTGGAGCAACCAGAACGACACCTCCGGGGTCACTGCGCGAAATATTTCTAGACAATGTAACATTGCCTCCTTCCAATTCTCGTGAACCTGCCCTTAATTTCCCAGTTTCTTGCACTTCTGCATTAGATTGATCAGTTCTGTTTGTAAATGATGTATGTTGCTCGTTATTCCACACTTCCGATTGACGTGATTTCGCCTTCTTTTCCCGCAGTATTTCGGCAAGTTTATCTGCTCTTTCTTTCTGTATCGACCATTGCTCCTTGACACGCTTGTGATCATTCAAGAGTTTCTTGTAATTCAATTCCCGGCCCTCTGAAGATAGTTGCCCGTTGTCAAAGGAACTCGATCTCTCATTGTCTGTACTAGAAAGCTCAGCATCTCTTGCTCGTATGGCTGCATTGCTTAGTTCCATCGACAACTTTTTGTTTCGCTCCTCAAGATTTTCTACCCTTGAAGTTACATTCCGATACTTCTTCAGCTCCTCTGTGAGAAGCCTGTTCTCTGCCTCGAGTTTATCAGCTCGAGTAGCTGCATCTCGATTTGATCGGAGCTCCACTTTGAGTATTGAAATGTCCTCTTCCAGAAGCTTTATTTTTAAGTCCTTCTCCAGAAGCGCATTTTCCTCTGAGCGGCCCTGAGCAGCGTGTTTTTTATTGTCGGTTTCAAAGGATTTCGCTTTTGATCTTAAATTCTCTAATTCATCCTTGCGGATTATCGTATTGTCCCCATCCGCAAGTTCTGCCAGTCCAGCACGATCAGTAAACAAGCTTAATTGGTTCGTAGGGATAAGATTACCATTGCTGAGATTTTGCTCGATGTTGTTGCAGACCTTTTCCAATTGCTCAAATAATGCGCGCTTGCCAATTTTCCATTGCTCCATTTCTACCTTTTGTGGTGAATTCTGCGTTCATCACAGCTGTTCTGTGAGGTGTTAAACTGTTGAAGTGGCGCGTCGCGTCGTAGATTCACTTTGACGTCAATTTAGTTTAGTTTTGACGCGGCCGCGGGAACTCGGTTCGGCAGAAGTCAACTTCACTTCCGACACTTCCGACATTACCGAAATTTACTCCCAGCAAATAGACATCCATTATCGAAGGCACAACTCAAACAAATTCTTCATTTATTAAAAAAATACTGACGTCAAGGTAATACACCTTCGGATAGCCTTCTACACCTTATCTCAAGTATTATCGTTGTTCGACCATGTTCACCAATGTGATGTAAGGTCCTAATAAAATCCTAAGGAGAGACTGCACTGCTCCTAGTTTGAAATCTTAGTTCTCTTCCAATGCAACCATTAAACTGTTCGGATTTAGCTTGTGAGGTACGATGGGTTAGTCCCTTCCTTGGGATAACATGTACAAGCTTGTAGGTCGGGGCATCAGGTACTAGCTGTATTGCTCGCCGAAGAAACACTTTACGAGCCCTTGTTGCCAGAACCTTGATTTCTCTGGATTGCTAGCTTTAACTGAAGGAATTGGCTTATACATCATCCTAACGACCCACCAATTCCCCACTTAACCGTGTGTTTGCCGCGGTAGTTGCAATGTGTCATTGGGCTAGCTAGGCTTCAATGCTACAAACCTGGGCTTTCTGGGAGCTCTGAGCGCCTCTGATGGCAAAGAATAGAAACCAACTGAGCCAATTCATGTTGTTGGAGCTTGTGGGTAGAGTAAGTTGCAGGCATATGCAAAATTTTGGACCATGTTTTTCCAACAGAACACTGCCGTAGATATTTATGGTTTGGAGAGTGACCGAGCAAACTTACCTCTGCTTCATGGCTAGCTAGTACGTGGAGATGATAAAACCCTGGAGGTTCAAAATGGGTTTAGCCTCTCAAAAGCTACGAGACCCCTTAGTGTTTCTGTGAACCTAACACATTGAAAGGGGTTAAAAATTTATACCTCTCGGTGCAAATGCAATCAGTGGGCGCCTAGGTCATGAAGCGAGATCGGATCATTTTGAAGTTCCAAAATCAATATCTGACTCCTCCAAGCATTATATACGGTGCATATTGTAGACCAAGTTAAAGTTAGTTTGATTTCGCTACCTTTCAATATGTATTGCATCGCTTCACGTAGTTCGTGGTCCTACGTTTTCTTGGTTTATTTAATGGCTTTGATTTTTATATGATGCTTTGAATCATAGGAATTGGCATCAATGCTGCATTACCAGCTGACATACACAATTTACCTTGAAGCTTAAGGTATGTGTTGACTTCATTTTACATCCCCCTATTATATACACCCACAAAAGATAATGAAATTGTTGTCCCAGTGATTGTTTTGATTAATTGGGAGTAGATAATGATGGGGACGCTGTGAATGTTTGGCCTCCGATCATAACGGATGAAACAGGGACGACTTGGAGCAAGCTAGTTGCTACCATGACTTTCGTCGCCAGCCCGTTCGTCGTACATATCTCTTCAGCCCCAAGGAGAGGCCTAGTAGAAGATAGTGTGGAAGTAGTAGCAGACCGCGTACCGCTAATTTCAGCAGTGAGAATACTACTGCTTACTAGACTCGGCGGCGACAGATTGACAGCACAATCTGCTCCTACTTCATCAGTCCCCCATCCGCTCGCTGCAAATAAACTGCACCATTCCTGACCGCTCGTCTCATTCTTACTGATTGTGACAGCATAACATATACCATACGAGGCCTGAGTACCGCTTTCAGTCCCATTTCCTGCATTGTAGTCTAGACAAGCCTCCATACAGCCACCCAAATCTGCCACTGTGTTAGGCACCGCGAAGTGCTGAAGCATTATACTGGAATCTACATCGAAAGTTCGATTACAAAATAGTCGGAAGTTTGTGGGTTTCATATCCATGCCTGGAATAACTTGAACTATTGTATTATTTGAGCATGGGTCGGTTTGACACGGCGAATTTACGTTTGTGACCGTTAGAGTTGACTGCGATTGATTTTGCCTGGTAGCTACACGTTAATTTTAATTGCGCCAGAAATCAAAGTCTGCTTACTTCAGATCATTGTTTTTGTTCCTGCTTTTCATTCCTCCTGCAATACCACCTCCAATTCCAGCAGCAAGAAGTGCTACAGGTACCCAGAACCACAAGGCCCTCACTCCTAGTATTTCGCGGTAGTGTCTTGGGAATTGTCCATTTCCCTTCAGCTCCGCCACAATCTCTCGCTGCATTAGTGCAGCCTCATATTTCTTCTGCGCCTCCCAATCCACCTACAACCCATCCTGGTGGCTGACAGGCCTGTGATGCGACACCTCAAGACCAGCTTCGGGTGGTATGGGAATTGGTGGTTCGATCGCCCTCAGTTTCTCAGGAATTTTTAGAAAAACTGATATCATAAATTATTTTTCGAAGGGGAATCTCTACAGAGCTTTGCTTGAAGAAAATCGAAAATTTTAAGCGCAAGCAAGCGCGGAAGTAGCTGTATACAAATGGAGCATTTTCATGTGCCATGACGACTGCTCTGTTGTTGTTGTGTGACAGTATTAGCATGGAATAACAATAACGCGGGGCGCATTGAAAAATCTATTATGCTGGAAGGGTGTGCTATTCCTTTCATGCAGGTGTTTTTGGAATAATCTCGTAAATGCAACTGGATGTAAATGCAGCCACAACACGATACGAGTGGTGGAAAGAGAAATAAGGTATGGGTGATGTACCTTCTTCATGGTAACGTAGCAGCCGTTCCTTCAAGGTTGCTCTGATAAACATGATATTAATATGTTTATGGAAGGACTCGGCCGCAATCCTACAGATTTCGCCTGTCTTCTCCCGTTTTTGGTGGGTTGGAAGTCTAGTAAGTAGCCCCATTAATTTGAGATATCCGGCAGCAATTAACGTTCTTTTGGTCTTACTTCCTTCCGAATGTCAGTAATTGCACTTGAATTTACTAAATTTCTATGCTTTTAAAATCAGCAATATATGCTCCTGAAGCAATTGTGGTCGCGGTTCCTTGTAAAAGTCTGGTGTTTGTCCGAAAAGTTGCTGAGCCAAGTCCCGCCGCACGCCACCCAACTTCAAACACCAACACGAAGGATTTTATGCAGCCCTACATAAATTTGACACAACGGCCCTGATATCCGGTCCATAGATGGAGATATTGATTCCATCTTTCTAAAAGGACGGGTTTTGCGATGGTTTGTTATTTGTTTCATCCATGCAAGACCTGAATCGGACCAGAATCTAAGCGGCAATTCTGTACTTGGGAATTGCTTTGAAGATTTCCTTTCCATTCCGCCCATCTGGTTAAGAATTTTCTTAAAGGGTTGCAGCACTGTTAACCTGAGCCTATCATTTTCTCTGGCGCGGGCTGCTTGGCAACGCAAACATGACACAAAATCCAGACCTCTTCATGCAGATTAGTTGAAACTTTACGAATCATCTGAAAAGTTCAAGCAGGATCTTTCCCTGCGATGCTTTATATGCACAGTCATTTGTCCAAGGCAGTTAAGCCTTCCAACAAATTCATCAAGACAATCACATTTTGATAATCTGTAATAGGCTGGATAACACATCAAACTTGCAGTCAATGGTTTTCAAATTGGAAACAAGAAAACCTGTAAGATAGTCAAATTGTTTCGGGAAGTTAGTTGAATCCGCTGGGTAAAACTGCAAAATTTTCTGTATTGTCCCCGTCTTTTCCCAAAATTTGCGGAAAGTGTCAAAGTTAACGTGCTATACGCTACCTCTTTTGGAATCGTATTCAAATTTTCCCAATTAATATAACCTCATTCTGCAAATATGATATTTTGACTTTATTATCCTTTGCTGCAATGAAGTTTCCTACAAGTGGTAGTGCTGGTAGGACCAGTGGGGAAGAAAGCTCGGTCGCGTAATGTCGCTTCGAACCCCTGATGAAGAATATCCTCACCAAACTCATGAGATGAATTAGAAATGTTTCGTGATAGATCTTTGTTGTCTACATGATTTCTATTAACAAAAAAGAAGAAATTCTTTTAATTGTTGCTTACTGAAATTCAATTTAGTCGAATTAACCAACTAGTGAATTTTAAAATGCGTTCCAGATGAGATTTACCATAGCAGTAGCAGTAGCACGAAGAAATTTTTCGGATTTTTTGTTTTTAATGAGGGCTCAATTACTTTAGTAAGAGCAATCTCCGCAATGATGGCAATGAATGATGAATCTGAAAGATGAAAGTCTACACCGCGGAAGAGGTTGGGAGTTAAACATTTGGATCCTGGAAATAATAGTGAATATATCAGCTAAAGGCAAATTTTTCCAATTAGTAGCCCCAAAATGGCGAAGTCTAAGAGTGTAGATGAGCAACAAGGTAGAGCAGCCCGGTATTACTGGCTCATTCTCAAGCCACGATATCTTCATATATGCAACCTAAACAGGGAAAAAAATTTAAGTTGGTGAATACAAGCATTAGATAGGAGTTCCCAACACAGAATCTTTGGATGAGAAGCTCAAGAAGGATGATGTGATATATATCACTATCATGACAGCTAGCAAAAGTGTGCGGCGCTAGAAAGTGAGATGTGCAAAATTGTGGAATTCCTTTTTATTACTGGCTTATTATAGGATCTACAAAAGCCTTAGTTAAACAAGTTGACATCCAGATTTGGCTGGGTGGAGGTTCAGAGCCTCTGTCACCAATATCAACCAAGGTTTGTATATTCAAATGTACTGCTGGTAAACGGAGTAAGAACTAGCGGCTTCATTCAAGAGTAAAGAATAGCATTGATTAAATAGTCTTGGAAGAGAAATTTAATATGCTCAACACAATGGATAATCTGCGATGTACAAACATGGAGCTAAGATGTATCTCGTCGCTTGTATGATACCTGTTCTGGTGAAAATCCATAATCCGAGACTATAAGCAGCAAAAAGTGGATGCATAGCATTTAATGTAACGGCGGAAATTAATAAAAATGAAGTCTCGAAGCTGGTATTTGGAACTGATCTTAATTTAAGGATATGCAACAGAATAGTATGGCGCTTTATGAATAGATCACTTTAAACACTGGAATTTCGAACGTTAACGTGTAACCACAGAATAAAGATCGGAAAGTGGTGCGATGTTAAAGTCAAATTTGAGGTCGAAGAAAAACGAGGCGGTAGCTTGATATGAGTCGATTACCCATGTATCGATTCATTGTATCGTCCCTTCGACAGATGCTTAACTGCAGAGCTAGAAGTTCAGATATACAACAGGGCAAAGAGACAAAGACCAGGAACGAGTAATATTTCACATGCTGGTCAAAGGCTAGTATTAAATTGACTTAGAGATAAGTTATAAGCAGTGTTGAAACGACGTCTGGAGGCTCGTTCAACTTTTCCTCCCGTACTACGTCCTCAAACAAGAATAAGGAAATATCAAGAGATAACTTGTGTATTTTTATTTCATACAGACCTTCACAAGATTTAAGAAGAGTGAAACGCTGTCCTGGAATTGAGGCATAGACTTCGGAGACACGGGAATAGTAATGGACCTCATCCTCAACTTGAAGTAAGATCACGATTAGTCTCGGAACATGAGATAGGAAAAGTGGGGCAGGTAAAGCCCTCTAAGGTATGTAAGGAAGCTGGACGAGCCGGATTGATAATATTCACGTACGCGCATGAATTGAAATTTCTTCTTCCATAAAGATGAAGCTATTCGCAATTTCTAAAGTAATTTTTGAAATTACTTTGGATACCTCTGCAAAAGAATTCAATTTTCTCTCAACATAATCACCAACTATAGACTTAGCTCAAACTATCTGCATAGCCTACTTTCTATTCACCTTCAAACTTTAATGATAAAAATTAACGGAATCGTCGAAGGAAACTAGAGAAGAGCTATCTCCCGCCAGCATTCAACATATGCGCAGAACAAATAAGGCGAAAGACGAGTATAGAAATAAAGCTAAGTATTGCATTAAAGATTTCACAGTAGAAGGATTAATTGGTATAAAGCGTCGTTTTTATATGAAATAAAGTCCTTGGTCGTAGGAGTCCTTATTATTATTGAGAAGTATTCTTAAGCTTAAGCTTCTTCCACGCATCTTATCTCTTCCTCTAACCGAGGGGCAGAATTCCTTCACTGTGATACCATAATTCATCCCACCGCTTTATGACGTGGGGCATCAGAAATAGAAGCAGTGTTTGTAATATCTATTCGCTCGAGGATGTTTACCACCCATCATTCCCGTACTAGTTTATTCCCCATACTTTACAACTCGTAACGTGCTGCCTTCTCTTTAAGATTCCAGCTCTTCCATGCAAATAATCGCAAGCAAAGTTTTATCTCATAATGGCGGAAGCTTTAATTCTTTTGGACATCTCTTTCTTTTTACACACCTTCATTGTTACTAATTCTTTTATACATCTACATACGTTAATCAAAGTGATCTTTGCTTTTGATGAGTAAGAATGCCTTTAAATCTGTTAACAGATGTGCCGTATGCTGATTATACTCAAGTTTGATGTGGTTATCCTAAAAGTGGATCCGAAGTCCCAATCACAGACACTGTCCTCCGAAGCGACATACCCCTTTATTAACATCTCCCGGTGGCCTTTCACTTTGATTCATGACTCATGATAAGAAAAGTCGAAATATCCGACTTCATTATTTGAACAATGCCTCTGTCCTCTTCTTCTAATATAACTCAACACATCAGACTTTCGTACTTCAATGCATACTCCAAAACACTTTAATTCAATCTGCAATTCGCCTCTCCTCGAATATGGAATTATTTTCGACGCTTTCGGAACTTTCCACCACCGGGACCGAAATAAAAGCCAATGGCCAATAGCCAATAGCCCTCAAATCCATTTGCCCGCCAAGATGTTCCGGCTGTCACAATAACAGGGAATTTAGCTACTTAAACGCGCTATTCTCATAAAGCCTTGGCATACACCCTAAAAAAAGCGTTGGATCGATATTTCCTCTCATGATTGGCAAACCACTCTCTGAAAGACCCTAGATTCGAAAAACGTGGCTCGTAGCTCATCGAACGCTTTGAAGCAATGCTCGGTGCGCGGATGGTCATTCGCGTGATAGAACGTACAAAACTTCGAAGCTCTATGATGCTCATCCCACAAAGTGTAGACTACACAAGTGCCATAACATGGTTTGTTAGTCTTCGGGCAATAGGCTGTCCGGCAGCACAATTGATGATCTACGTACCTGTTCACCTTTTAGTGCTGATGAATACATTCGCACGAGCCTCTCATTCTTGATGCACAGTTGGGATTTCAGGGTGGCGACTCTCTTTAGCAAGAGATGTCCATAAATATCTGTACCTGGCATAATTCCTTGCGTATTTTGGGGCGCAACGAATCTTTGCAATTCGATATTGTGACGCAAGCGAAATAACGAATAGTAAGAGTCGAATTCAGAATGGGGGAAAGTCATGCATGGCAGCTATATGTTGCTGTTTATGTATGCTATGCTTTGGCATTTATTGGGGTTGCGCTGCGGTGTTATGCCAGGTATTTTATGCAGAATATTATGGGGTGGGATGATTGGCTGATGCTGGTGAGCTTGGTGTGTAAACGTCTCATCTTTCATTTCAAGGTGAATAATGATGGCTAATGAAGAGTTAAAAATAGGCTATTTATACAAGTTACATAGGTCTTGTATTGACAGGTCTACATTATGGGACCGGAAGGCATCAGCAAGACCTGAAAGAGGCCGATTTCCTCGAGGGAATCCGGGTGAGCTCTTTCCTCATCGATAGAACTGCTCCCCATATCGAAAACTTACTAATTCTATAAACAGTTTTGGTATCTCGGCGAATTGATCTACATCGTTTCAATGACCGCAATAAAGACTTCTATTGCCCTGTTCTACCTACGCATCCTCATCTCCCCGTGGCAGCGGCTCTCGGTAAAATGCATCATGTGGATAGTAATCATCTTCAGCTTTACGTATCTCTGCTGCGCGGTCGTACAATGCTGGCCTGTTAAATTTACCTGGGAACGATTTGGTACGAATTCTTCTCTGGAAACAGGGAGTTGTTTTCCGGATGCAGTTATGCTTAGTGGGACGTATTTGCATTGTATTATCAGTGCGGTGAGTGATTGGGCCTTGGCGTTGTTGCCCATTGTGATGATTTGGGGTGTGCAGATACCCGTGGGACTGAGGGTCATCGTTGGGATGATTGTGCTCTGTGGTATTATGTGAGTATTTTTCGTTCCTCATTTCCTAATTCTCTATCATTCCTTCCCAATCGTTATTTTATGATCAGCAAACTAAAACCTCATTTCCCTGCAGTGCTAGTACATCAACCTTAATCCGAATCAAGACTGTACCAAACATCAAAGAGAAGCAAGATTTTCTCTACAACACTGTCCCACTTGCTGTCTGGTCAACCGTTGAACCCGGAATCGCTATCTTTGCCGCATGTCTCGCTACACTTCGACCAGTCCTTCGTATCCTCTTCCCCAATCATATTCGAGACGTAGCAATACACAAACCACCGGAGTTGAATATCCCCACAAATCTAGCAGGAAGGATAGAATCGTCAGATGACGTGGAGTTGGGGCATAATGCCCAAATACAATCCGAGAAAAGGTCTCGAGCCTGGACAGGAGAAAGTTCGCAGACGATCAATATCCATTTTGATGATAGGGATGATGATAAAGCGAGGAGAGATACACAAATGACTTTTTATGAGGAGACTTCAGGGAACAGCTCAAGATCTGAGGGGTTAGATAAGGAAACTAGGATTTCTACCCATACTTCTCTGGGACCATGTCAACGTCTGCCGCCATTGGTCTTTACGTCAAGATCTCTCTCGCCGAGATTGAATTCGCCGTCATCACTTTCGCCTTCGCATGTCGGATTTTGTATGAGAGAAAGCCAGTATATCAGGAATTCGAAAGTGATTGAACCTACTTCACCTTTATAAAGCTATTTCGAGCCTATAAAGACCAAGTCGAGCGATAGGAGGTTATCGTGATTTTCTCGTGCTCAAATGACCGCATGATTCAAAGTGATGCTGTTCCGATGAATCAATATTTAATTTCTGGATATCAGAGATAGTATGGAGCAATGCATGAGCCTCAACCAATCGAGACATATTAGATACTATACCTGGGGGCCTGCGCAGCAGATAATCTGCCATATCATGAGAGTCAACTCAATGCAGTACACCAATCACCAATAGGGGCTCGAAGATTATACGACGATCCGGGTCTCGTCATGATAGCATACTTGAGGTCCCCTCTCCTATGTATTCCGTTAAAAAGAACAGATGGAATCAACCGGTAGGAAAATCAATCAGTCAGTCGTTATAATATCTTGTCAGGGGGCCGGGAGACAGAAATGACGAGGCACAGGTGTGGAAAGCCTCGTCAGGTTCAGGGAAGAGGACAATCGTTAGGGTTTGAAATACCCCTTGAAATTTGATAATACTGGAACATGTTATGATGAGATGGAAGACCGAGGTCAAAACGCATGAGAAGTTAGGCGGTACATCTATACACATATAAACTTTTGCGTGTAATATAAAGTAATTATAGGATTTATCAAATGCCTTGCAATCATACCCAATTTATATGTACCAAGTAGGTGGGGCAGCCAGATAAAAAGCACTTGCCTTCCTAACCTCTTCATTTTTATAAGCTGGAGGAAGATAGAGCAGTGGCTCTTTTACCTGGATTTCTGTTATGTTCAATTGGTATTCTCAAGCCTAGACCTTCTTCTCTCATCACTCCATACCACGGCCACCTTGTTGTGAAGAGACATACATAATTAACATTTCCAAAATGGGAGATCAGAGAGAGATAACACCAACATGTTTTAGGAACCTTAGGAAGATAACAGTACTTCTTTTTAGACTTTTCCAGTTTTGCAGGCAACTACTAATAACATCTGTCGAAGTACTTCCATATCAGCCTTCATGAGTGTATGATTATACCATCACTTGGCATGTATGGCGGGATAAACATTCAAACGACTAAGGAGGCTGGATTCGCAGCATGGCACGCTGGTATACATGCTTGCTTATGTGTGATGACACTTTAATTTGATACATCAAATTTTGATAGCTTTTGCTGTTTGGAGCAGCGATGTAGAGAACCTTGAACAAGATGTCAAATGCAAACAGACAAGATGAAGGGATGGATGGAAGACCAGTCAGTGTTGAAGGTCACTAGTGTCGGACAATATTCCTTCAAGCTCCGAACCCGAAGAATTCCCGAAGGTTGAACAACCTCAGACTTATTAATGACATAAGATCTTACCTGCATAACTACATATTATATCAACATGTTTTTTGACTTGCTTCTGGAAGACAACATAGCTTGCTTTGCCAAAGATAATGCCCTTTAAAGAATAGAGAACCAAATGGATGATTTCAAAGCTAGAACGAGTGTTTCTTAGTACTTGATTCTAACCACGGATGGTGAGGTGTGCCAATGATAATTCCCTCGAGTTGAAGGACGAAACATTGATTATTTGGTGCTTTTCGTTTTGTCCAGAAGAATAGAGCGGCTTGGACATTGTTACCGCAAAAGCTAAACATCTGGCAAGATCCCTATGGTGCGATAATGGCATGATCCTCTCAAGGTATCTTCCAAGTGATACCTACGTGATATATCCTACATCCAAATGGCACTATTAGAGTAGCCACCCAGGGAAACTTCAATTTGAAGCATTCATCACTAGCTGACACGGGGTGAGAAGTATCATCGATGATTGCGGTCATCGCAAGACTCTTATCCCATCACCTTCACCAAATGTCGAATTTTTTCGCTGTAATGATGCAAATCTTTGGTGAATCACCACTCTGTCAATATCCGAGGGTCATGCCCCGTTCCCTTCAAATAAAAGTTATATTTGATTCATCTCACTCTACTATTCAAAAAACCCAAAAGCCATTTAGTATCTCGAATTTAGTTTGCTGTTGAGGGATTTCGTCATTCACTCGCAGGATTCGACCATAGAATGAATATTTTCTAGGAAAAGTCTCTTATCGAAAAATCTGAGTTTTTTTTTTCACTTTGAGATAGATCTTTCCTTCAATAAAATAACTGGCTGCGACTCTGCGTCAGAAAATTTGGACTGCGCTTGCCTGTTAATTTGGTCGCTCTCTCTTCAACAAAAATTACCACCCTCGGGAAATCCAAGCCTGTTTCGAACATCATCTTTACAGTTGGAAATTTTGTCGGAAACATGCAGCGAACTCGGAGGGTAGAGTGAATCATTCTTGTTGATTGTGTGAACAGGGCTTCTTTTGAATCAGCTGCATTTTTTTAAACAAGGAAGGGATTTGTGGAGCGCGGATTTGAATCTTCGCCAACAACCTCTTGCTTCAACATCCCGGCGAAGGAATAACCTCAGTCAGCATCTCCTAACAACAAACCGGATTCGAAAAAGACCCTACCGCTGGCCGGCTTGACATCTTATATTTCTTATCATTATAAATATTCCTTGGGAACCTAAACGGAGTGTACTAGAGGCCAACCTGGACACCATTGGCGACGCAATAGCAAAATCATTGTCTTTGTCGGCATCGTATTCTCACACCCCTAAATCTTGACCGAAAATTCCTCATCTCATCTGACCTCGTCGAATAAATTTGTTTCCCGATTTCGGTCTTCTGATATTGAGACGCAAATCTAGACTACTTTTGCGGTTTGGAAGTGGATCAAGATATTCAATAGCATCTCCTGCAAACTGTCGCAGACTTTTCTGGCCAACTTAGGTCAATCTTTGCAAATTTGCCTGGACTATCACAAAGGACGTTGAGTAAGATACCTTACCCCACAGTACTGGAAGCAGCGAAGGGCAAGAAAAAACACCTTGACTTTCTGATATAACCTTTTCCATTCCATCAGTATAGGATTCGTCATTTTCGAAGAAGCAAGTACAACCGTCGCTGAATGCCAACAATAATGGCAGGAGCTCTCGATATCGAAAAGAACCTCACGGAGCTTCCTGCTCCTATTGAGGCTTTCCCTCCCACGGCCTATCTTCCTCAGGGACGAATCCGCCATGCACATCCGAGACTAATCCACGCCAACGCCTATCACCTCAACGTATACTCCTCCGCCTGCGACTTGACTGCCAAAGAATGCGATCTCGAAGCGAAAGGGCTACAAGTTATGACCGACCACGACGCAAATGCTCGACCTTCACATTTTTCAAACTGGGCCCAGGAATGGGCTTTCGTATTTACAGTCATGCTGGCGTCATCGTCTACAACCATCATCCAAGGTGTTATCCTTATCATGACCAACACGATTGGTAAAGATCTCCATGCGACAGCCTCACAGGTGACTTGGATAGCAGCTGCAGTAGGGTAATTTTCCACATAAATCTCTCATCCTCTAAGTTCACAAAGCTTGTTTAAACGCCGAGGTGCTAACAATCAAGTAGACTTGGTAGTGGTTCATTTATGCTGTTTTTCGGTAAAGTAGCCGATGAGATGGGTCGAAAGATACAACTACTTATTGGATTGCTATTCATGAGTGCCTTTTCTCTCATTGCCGCCTGGAGTCCAGGGCCCATCGAACTAATCGTCATCTGCGGTTTTCTTGGATTATGCACTGCGGTAATCGCTCCCCCAGCCCTCGGTATCCTCTTCGCCGCTTATTCGGAAGGACGTCGAAGGAATATGGCATGTGGGGCATTGGGGACTGGCAATCCGGTTGGTTTCATTTTGGGGAGTGTTTCATCAGGTCTCGCCGTCAAATACTATGGATGGAGAGCGAGTTTTATCGTCATGGCCATCTTCTTCTTCCTTATGGTTATACTTGCTTTTTGGACGGTGCCAGTAATTGCAAGAGTAGGGAATAGAGCAGAAGCAATTCGAAGATTTGATTATGCTGGCTCCCTATTCATTGTTTTAGCTGTAGCTTTAATATCCGCAGGATTGACGTAAGTATTCGATCATATATGATTTCCCCGGGGCTACCACTAATGGATCTATAGAGAAGGACCTCAAAGCGGCTGGTTATCAGTTCATGTTGTTCTTTTGCTTATATTTGGCCTATTTTTCATCCTTGGCTTCATCACCTGGGAATATTTCTACGAGAATCCTCTCCTCGATCTCTCCGTCTGGCGCAATGGCAACTTTACTCTATGTGTTATCTGTATGGGATTCGGATACATGTCTTTCATAACAAATGAATTCTGGATTGCATTATACATGCAGGATGTACAAAAGTATACGCCCCTACAAATTGCTGCTCGTATGTTACCTCAAGCGGTTGCGGGAGTGGTTTGGAGTTTTTTGGGTCAATGGCTTGTGCAAAAGGTGCATGGTACCATAGTCATGGGTATTGGCTCGGTAATGTATCTTGCGGGTGCAATTTTGTTACTGTTCATCAAAGAAGATACATCATATTGGATGTTTCTTTTCCCAGCGCTTGTAATCACAGTTATTGGTGCGGATTTCCAATTCATTGTCGCAAATGTAAGTCTTACCCCTCTCTGGCCCGCCGACCCGCCATCCTTGCACCATCTCCCCGTCTATTCCGCCCACGTCCATCAACACAACCTAACAAATATAGCTCTATGCAAATAAGCAGATGCCAACTCAAGCCTCCCTCGGTGTCGGGATTATTCAAACAGCATACAGACTCTCCATATCCATCGGTCTAGCCATCACATCCGCCGTATTCAGCACTGCCACATCCACAAAAATCAGTATCAGAGACCCAACTATGCCATATCGACGTGTCTATATCTGCTCCATCATATTCGCCGCAATCGGTCTTTCCAGCGTCCCATTTATGCGTATCAAAACACGCACAAAAGACAACACACCGCCAGATACTTATCCAACAACCGTAACATCCGAACTCACCAACAATATAATCCTAAGCCGACCTCCACATCCACCTCCACCTCCATCACAATCACACTACGACACCTTATTTCCCCAGCTCAATCTCCACCGTAGCAACCCTTTCAACATGACCGAGCGCATCTACCCCTCACACAGTGAAAGAGTAAATAATAGTAATACTCAACGCTACGATCCCGGTGGTCTCCCAAGAGCAATGACTATGAACGATATCGCACAAGGACTTCTACGACTCCCAAGATGGAGCTGGGAAAATAGACCCAAAGCAGCTTTTTGGAGGAATCGTAGGGGTAGTCAATGTCATTGGGAAAGTAGCAGTGGTGATATGTTTGAGGTGTGTAAGAAGTGTAAGGAGGAGCGGAAGATAAGGGATGAGGATGCGTGGGAGGAAATTGGTGATGAGGTGGTGGCCGGGGGTGTTGTGGAGGGTGGAACTGGAAGAGGTAGGGGTATCAGGGTGATGGATGTGGAGGTTAAGGATGAGAGGAGATTTACTGTTTAAGGGGGTTTGCATGCGAGCGGTTGGCTGCGCTGTCGATGATGATGGTACAGGTGGATGGATTTGGGGATACCCATGCGTTTTCTTTTTTATCATGGCATGGAGTTTTGCGATTTCGATTTTGATTTCGACCTCGACGGTTTGTTTGCTTTTTTGCTTGCTTGCTTGCATCATCAAATCTCATCATCATCATCAACATCATCAACATCATCATCATCAACAACAACAAATTACGTTTTGCCTGTCTGTTAACCTCAGCATTTCAACCGAAGGTCAAAGGTCGAAGGTCAAAGGTTTTTAGAACCAACCGATTCAAACAGTATCTTTCATATAAACTAGAGGGAGGAACTCCGAACTGCGCATGGACTTATCAAGGCCTTGGGATAACAACAACCTTAAAGAAATACGATCGGTGGAGAACAGAACATTGAGTGAAGGAACAAGAATACGATGAATGAATGAAAGGAAGGAAGGAAAAAAGGATGAAAAGATCATGCTATGCAAAAAAATAACATCACACTATAAAGCTATAAGGCAAGATACCTACAAAGACAAAGACAAAGACAATATAAATACAATAAATAGAGCGAGAGAGAGAAAGAAAAAGATGTGTATTGAAAGTTCGAAGAGTAGATAGTTAGTTAGAAAGTTAGAAATAGATAGATAGATAAAAGAATATCATATAATAGGATGATGCTTTTTATACATCTTATATTTCACAAGGCTTTTTTCTTTTCCCCCGTGATATTAAAGAAGGAAAAGGAGGTTTGTGAGTGGCGTGCGGTAAAGAGAAAACTGTTGTATTGAAAATTGCAACACTAGGTAGGTAATAAGAGTTGCGTTGAAGATTAGGGCATGGCAGAAAAAAGGAATGGGAAAACCCATTCAAGAGATTCCATATAAAATCTCATAATCAAATGCAATCACAACACATTCACGCTCCACCACATTAAATTCACACAATAAAAATTGCCTTCAAATATCTTAATTCATTTCTTAATCTTGTTCTTGGTCTCAAGCACTTTACTTTATCCGACCGCTCATATGCATGCTTCTCCAGTGTCCTATGACAGTGCCCACCAGATATCTTTATCCATCGATACCAATCTCCATAACTCAAGTCGTAGCCGCATGAATCATATGCTCCAGCATCTCCTTCAATCCATAAATCTCCTTTCTTTCCTTTTACATCATGGAAATTGTGTGGAGAATCTAGCATCAATCATCCTCGAAACTTCATCCTTCGCAAATAAATTAGAAAACCCGCAAATAACATGAGTGATATGACTTTTTTTTTGAATCCATCCGTGCCGATAGAAAAGTGTGATAGCAAAGGCCAAACTCTAAAACGCAGATATGAAGCAACGCAACATAAGACTCCAAAAGAGGAGTAGGTATTTTTTTTCAAAAGGAAATAGAAGAACGAAAAGGCGACAAATTTTTGTTTGTCGCATAAGTCGGTACAATTATACAAAGAGGTTGTCGCTTTCGTAATCATCGACTCAGATTACTAGCGTTCGAAAATCCCTCCGGGGTATTATCATTCCGTCGTAGCTTCTGGCTGTAGATGTGTAGAATGGTCGCCCTCAATGTAATTCATGTGCCGTGCATCAAGCACTTTAATTTATTCTTGACCGAAAGCCTTCTTTCTCAAAGGGCAATCAAGCTTCTCGTGACCCTCTTGCTTACATTCGTAGCATCGACGAGCCTCAGAAGTCTCTTGGCTGCAGTCACGGGACAAGTGACCAACCTAAAAGTTTTGTTAGTATGACGGTCGAATGAATGTTGTATGTAGAGATAGCTTACTTCACCACAGTTGTAACACTTTTGACCTTGAGTGCAGTCACGGGAAAGATGTCCGTAACCACCACAAGAGAAGCAGGTTTGGCTTCCTTGACGGGCACCGCCACCGAATCCACCACCGTAACCACCTTGGTTACCTCCGTAACCTTGGTTTCCGCCATAACCACCAGCCTCTGGGCAGTTACGTGCGATGTGGCCAATCTTGGAGCACTGTAAAATAAGAAAGTTAGAAATAGATGATATACTCTCTCAGTGAGGAACCTTACCTTGTAGCATTGTTGTCCGCCACCACCTCCGTATCCGCCACCGTATCCACCACCACGGCCAGCACCTTCAGTTGGTGGGTTGGAGCAGTCCTTGGAAATGTGTCCGGAAGTACCGCACTAAAAAGAGTGTTAAAAAGTTTCCTTCGATGAACTTTGTGAGTAGACCTACTCTGTAGCAGACCTTCTCCTTTGGTCCCTCTGGGCAATCACGGCTCAAATGACCCGGGTCTGAATATATGTCAATATGCTGTCGTATGGTTGGCATAAGAGTGATATCTTACTGTCGCAGTTGTAGCACTTGGCTGGTCCACGGCTTGGGCATTCACGGGCTTGGTGACCTTCGTTTCCGCCTAGAGTTTGTATCAGCTTGAATTCTAGAATTGAATCTATTCATCTTGGTATGTTGTGCCGAAGATGATATGCACTGGTAGCTCGAGGCAGATACTTTTTCATGCATTTTTTGTTGATGCAGAAATTTAGTTGCAGAGTTTTCAGTTGAAAGGGTAGTGCTTTTGACTCCAGTACAAAACATTATGCACAGGTTTCCGAGTAGATGATGATATCAAAATAGTATCCCAGGAAATATCCATCCTTGCAGCTATCATACTCTTGTTTTGACTCGAGTGCTGGGAAGTCGAATTTGTATCAAGACGGGAGTGTTTGTTTTGTGAAAATGAAGATAAAAGGATCTGATGCAACTCACAGGTGAAGCATCCACGTCCACCACCACCACCACCTTGTTGAGCTCCGAAAGAATCCATTACGACTGGAAAGATTTGTGATTTCTATTAGTGATTGAGCACCCGGTTAGTCTTGTTCATCTATCAAGGTAATAATTGAGGGTTAATGACGGGATTGATAGGTATATTTGAAGTGATGGATATATTTGAAGGGATTTCAAGGTCGAGGTGGGATGGAGTGGGGTTGAACAAGCAGGCAATAAACAATGCCACAGACAATAGCTTACAGATGTGATTGATGGAATGGATGAAGTTGTCTTTGGAAAATGATGATGGAGGGATTGTGAGAGATTGAAATAAAGTCACAAAGTCTCTTGCGTATTTTGAGGTTGAAGAGATTTTATTGAGTCAAAGAGTTTCTAAAGAAAAAGATGAAATCTTTGTGTAAGGTTGGAAAGCACCAAATACCAAATTCTACCTACCAAAGCTAGCTTCCCGCTTCCCTTGATGCCCCTAGTAACCTTAATTATGATATTTATTTTTTTTCTCGGCTGTAACCTTTTCAAATGTGCGCGGCGTAGGCGTAGTGGCGCTTGAGGTTTTGTGGGGCATGTAGCCTTTTAACAGGCCTGCAAGATTTGGCAAAGTTTGGGGTCAACGAATCAGAGTGGATGTTGGAATGAAATTGATCGAGGGGCTGAGAGGGGTTAGTTATGAATATGTCTGTCTGAGGATAGTGTGGAAACAATTGAATAGGGCTTTCAGTTTATTTGGCCATTTGAGAAGAGCGGTCAAAGTACGGAGCGACTTGCTTCTTCCACTGAGTACCGATCGACCGCAGTCCCCTCCGTATACTCTGTCGTAACCTTGGCTCCCTACTAGATACCGACCGCAGGACCGAGATACCACAGCTATCACAGTTATCGGTGCTCTCATCTCCATCATGTAAGGCTCCGAGGCTCAAAGAGTGCGGTACATCCATCTCCAGTGTATGTGTGTACTTTAAGGAGGGTGGTGGTAGAATCGATTCATGAATCGAATACACATCCTATCGAAAGATACCGACCGAACCTGCCGAATATTACCGATCAACAGCAGCTTGAATCCAACAGCACAACTTACACCAATTCTCAATATCGAAAGATGCCATTTCTTGAAGATTCGTCAATTGGATCAAAAACGATGCATTGTAACATATCTAGTAGTACTGCCGGATGTCTAAATATAAATCTCACTGACAGGCCTCGAATAACCTACAGCAAGATCAATTGTCCATGGTATATTATTACCTAGGCACATACTCATGTTCCAGTCAAATGGCATTCTCCATGATTCTCCTTGTTCCCTAGGTACAGATATATTAAAGACCCTTGATGATCATGACGGGCAGGTACATCTGGGGTTACGCATCACAACATATCTAATCTCTAACACAACCGGCTTCTTTTGATAGGTGCCCCGAAGCTTCGGTATCCCATCCCATTCCTGACAGCGACAAGTGTTCGTCACACTTCCCATGATAAGAAGTGCCTGACATCTTGGTCGGTACATCTTGGTCGTACATGTCAATACATTGCACTATTGGCGCCCGAGAGATACGAGTGTAAGACTGTAAGTGTAAATAGGGGAGGGATTACTTGGCGGGATATATATTCATTACCGGTATTTGCCCTATTCCTCGGGTTTTGAAGTAAAACGATGCTTATTAAGTGGTATGGTGGGGAAGGTTACGGAGTACACACTTCTTTCCCGAACAGAGGGAAGTTCGAGGATATCACGTGAACTGCGAAAGCTGTCTAACAAAACGGGATCGGTATGAAGAAGACACTAGGTGCGTACCTTTTGGGCTAACAAGTCTATTCCTCAATTTTCAAAGTCAGCGGTGCTCAATGGTATGGGGCAAGGGTTAAGGCTTACCCGTTTCCTTCACCAATTGACATAGCACAAGAGGGGTTGTTGCCGGAGAATGAATACACACGGTGGAAGGTTTCTCAGGATGAGATCGAGATGCGGTTTAATGATATCGATATCGACACATGCAGAGGATAACTACTTTTCTTTGCTATGTATCCGTAGTCGTATCAACATACCATACCAGAATAGCACCCCGAGAACGTACGGAGGGATGGTGATATGGATGGAAAGATTAGGTAATTATCTTTGAAAGACAGTCTCGTCTAGCAGCAGTTCATCTGTTCAAATTTCAAAAGTACCGAGTACAGTCAGTCAGTAAGTACCTTTGAAGTTCAACGTTCAACGTTCAACGTTCAACGTTCAACGTCCAACATTATATAAAATCCCCCAGTTTGAGCTTCGGAACCAATCAAATTCAGACAAAAATACTAATATCACGATGCATTTCACTCTATTCACTCTTCTGCCCAGTTACCTCACCTGATTTGCTAATTCGTTGGTTGTACTCCGTATTATGATTATGATCCAGGATGACCTCCTCATCTTGTTTCTTCGAATTTATTAAACATATTCAAGGGGTCGCGAGCTTTGCCCCGGCGACGCGACTGTCAACATTAATTAATTAAATATTACTGACAGTTTCCCTGAGACCTTGTGCCACATCATCTGAATTATGAATTATTTACCAAATTCAGTACAATCTCTGAACTTGATAAGCTTCACTTACAACATTCATTTCATTCCCCGTACCTATTGTCTTACTTACAACTAATACACCTAAATATTCCCTATCATTATTTCCAGAAGCAAAACACTATCAAGCCTTCATTCATACATAGATTGGCGGCTATTGAATTTCTTAAGAAACCTAAAAAAAAGAAAATAATTCCGCACTTCCTATTAACGACGTCAGACGATAACAACAATGATAACCACGATACACTGATCAACTCAACGACATCCTTTTCTCCTTCGATGACTCGACTTGAGTCTCATTATTTTATTGGACATTTGTCTATTCGACCGCAGGATTCGATCCCCTAACCAAGCAACACGTTTCGGAAATCACGGCTGTGAAAGGAGGACTTTACAGAAGGACAACCTGGACCGTTGAACATTTGCAACCATGGCGCCCGGTGGCGGAGGAAACATCAAGGTCGTTGTGCGGTGTAGGCCGTTTAACAGCAGAGGTATGCGGTGGATATGTTGTCAAACCCCATTCTCGTGTCAGTACTGATACCTCGGAATAGAGATCGAGCGCGGAGCAAAATGTATAGTGCAAATGAAAGATGCGCAAACGGTCATCACACCACCAGATGGACATGAGGCGAAAATGAGAGATGCAAAGGGTGGGAAGGGGGATACGGGGCAGAAGGTTTTCGCATTCGATCGTTCATACTGGTCTTTTGACAAGAATGATCCGAGTTACGCAGGACAAGACAATCTCCATACGGACTTGGGAAAACCACTTTTGGATAATGCCTTTCAGGGTTACAACAACTGTATCTTCGCCTATGGTCAAACGGGTTCGGGAAAATCGTACTCGATGATGGGATATGGGAAAGATGCAGGTGTTATTCCAAAGATTTGTCAGGATATGTTCGAAAGGATAGGAGAATTGCAAAAGGACAAGAATTTGAAATGCACCGTCGAAGTATCATATCTGGAAATTTACAACGAGCGAGTACGAGATCTCCTAAACCCATCGACAAAAGGCAATCTAAAAGTTCGAGAACATCCCTCTACGGGACCATATGTGGAAGACTTGGCGAAACTGGTTGTGAGCAGCTTTCAGGAGATTGAGAACTTGATGGACGAGGGAAACAAAGCCCGTACAGTCGCAGCCACAAACATGAACGAAACTTCTAGTAGAAGTCATGCTGTCTTCACTCTAACTCTGACACAGAAACGTTTGGATGTGGAGACAAAGATGGCAATGGAGAAGGTTGCGAAAATTAGTTTGGTCGATTTGGCAGGTTCCGAACGAGCAAATTCTACTGGTGCAACTGGAGCGCGATTGAAAGAAGGCGCTGAGATTAATAGATCTCTATCGACACTTGGTAGGGTAATTGCTGCGCTGGCCGACTTATCTGAAGGAAAGAAGAAGAAAGTGGGAAAGGGGAACCAAGTTCCATACCGAGACAGTGTTTTGACGTGGCTTCTGAAGGATTCTCTGGGAGGAAATAGTATGACAGCTATGATTGCAGCCATTAGTCCTGCAGATATAAATTTCGATGAAACTCTGAGTACCTTGAGATATGCCGATAGTGCAAAGAGAATCAAGAATCACGCTGTTGTGAACGAGGATGCGAATGCTCGTATGATCCGTGAGTTGAAAGAAGAATTGGCTCAGCTGCGGGATAAATTGACAGGTGGTGGTGGCGGCGCTGGAGAACTAGGTCCAGCGGATGAAGTCTACGCAGAGGGTACGCCTCTAGAGAAGCAAATGGTCACGATCGTCTCATCAGATGGTGCTGTGAAAAAAGTATCAAAAGCGGAAATTACTGAACAACTCAATCAAAGCGAGAAACTTTACTCAGATCTAAATCAGACTTGGGAGGAGAAATTACAAAAAACCGAAGAAATTCACAAAGAGCGAGAAGCGGCCCTGGAAGAATTGGGTATCAGCATCGAAAAGGGTTTTGTTGGATTACATACACCAAAGAAGATGCCCCATCTTGTGAATTTATCGGATGATCCACTTCTAGCAGAATGTCTCGTCTACAACCTCAAACCTGGAATGACTACTGTTGGCAACGTCGATTCCACTGCAGCCCAAGCTGCAGAAATTCGACTGAATGGTACTCGTGTATTACACGAGCATTGCATTTTTGAGAATGGCGTGGATAATGTGGTAACCCTTATACCGAATGAAGGCGCAGCAGTAATGGTTAATGGGCAAAGAGTCGAAAAGCCAACTCGATTGAGAAGTGGTTATAGGGTTATTATTGGTGATTTTCATATCTTCAGATTCAACAACCCGACGGAAGCTCGAGCGGAGCGTGCAGAACAGAGCCTCCTACGACATTCCGTTACTGCCAATCAATTGGAAAATATTAAAGATTGGGATAAATTCTCGCCTTCTTCTACCCCTCGACCGGCTCATGATCGGACATTCAGCAAAGCTATTTCCGACCTCGATCTTGATGGCAGTAGCCGAGCGGATTCTCCAGCGCCTGGGCGTGCTCTTTCTGATTGGTCACTGGCGAGACGCGAAGCAGCAGGGGCTATTTTGGGCACTGATCAAAAAATCGCAGGTTTATCCGACGAAGAGCTCAATGTTTTATTTGAGGATGTTCAAAGAGCAAGAGCTGAACGTGCAACCGCAAATATGGAGGATGACCTGGACTCAGTGACCTCGTATCCTATGCGAGAAAAGTACCTTTCCAATGGTACCTTGGATAATTTCTCTTTGGACACTGCACTGACCATGCCATCCACACCAAAGCAAGGAGAAGTAGAGGATAAGATGCGTGAAGTTAGAGAAGAGATGCAAGTCCACTTAGAAAGGCAAAGAGAAGAATTCCAAGAGCAACTTGAGACAGCCAAGAGCGCAAATGTCGAGGTTGAAGAGATCAAGAAGGAAAAGGTCAGGATGGAAGAGACGCTGAAGGAAGTGAAAGAGGAGATGCTCAAACAATTGGAGATCCAACGAAAAGAGTATGAGGAGAAATTGCAAGAGCTGACTCCAATCAAGTCCGGCCCAGACGGACCACCTCCACTATCAGAGAGAGAAATTGCGGTTGCGGAGAAAGTTGCAAAACATTGGCAAGGACGAAGGTACGTTCGAATGGCCGAGGCTGTATTTCAAAATGCAGCAATTCTGAAAGAAGCACAAATAATGAGTCACGAAATGGATGAGAATGTTGTTTTCCAGTTTACTGTTGTTGACATAGGGCACGCTTTATGCTCATCTTATGATATGGTTCTTAATGATATAGAGGGAGATGATTTTCAACTTGAAGATGCGACCAAGCCTTGCATCGGCGTTCGGGTTATAGATTACAGGAATAGTGTGGTTCATCTATGGAGTGTGGATAAACTTCAGGATCGAGTTCGTGTGATGCGACAAATGCATCAGTACCTTGACCGACCAGAATATCTTCAACACTTTCGACTCGATAATCCATTTATGGAAACTTGTATGCCACAGTACACACATGTCGGAGATGTAGAGGTTCCTCTCTCAGCAGTTTTTGAGAGTCGAGTTCAGGATTTTACCCTTGATGTTCTCTCGCCATTTACGATGCACGCCATTGGTATCATCAAGCTGTCGTTAGAGCCATCTTCAGCAAGAGCTCCTTCAAATACCTTGAAATTTAATGTTGTTATGCATGAAATGATCGGATTTGCTGAGCGGGAAGGAACAGAAGTTCATGGTCAATTGTTCATACCTCCAGCTTCAAATGAAAGTGGTGTTACAACAACTCAAATGATTAAGGATTTTGATGAAGGTCCAATTCGATTCGAAAGTGTTCATAGTATGAGTGTTCCGATGTTTGGGCCCACAGATGTTTCTCTTCGTGTGGCTATCTTTGCCAAAGTTTCATCAATGCATCTGGACAAACTTTTGAGTTGGGATGATATGCGAGATAATGTCCCACAGCTTAAAAAGAAGCGTAAAGGCGCTCGTATATCGGAGTCACAATTTTATTCTGAAGAAAGGCATGATGTATTTGTCAAGGTTCAAATACTGGAACTAGCAGAAAATGGTGATTATCCTCCGGTTGAAGTGATCCAAACGAGCGAGCTTGACCAAGGAACTTTTCAACTTCATCAGGGTTTACAACGTAGGATTGTTGTCAATTTGACACATAATTCAGGTGATGCTTTACCTTGGTCAGACGTCACTGGTTTACGTGTAGGAAGAATTCAACTCGTTGATCATATTGGGAAAAGTCCAGATCTCAGCTCTTCTTCTACTCCGCCTCTTTATCTTAAATTACTTTCCAAACCCATTGTTAAAGCTAACGCAAACGGCACTAGCAATGTTACCATTGTTGGAAAATGGGATTCTAGTGCCCATGAGTCTTTACTCCTTGATCGAGTCACAGCAGATAAATACAAAGTTCAGATGTCCCTTGCATGGGATGTAAGATCTGGCAAACTATCTCGTCCAATGACTTTCACCATGGATGTTTGCTCTCAGATAATGTCACGTAATTATGTTCGCTCTACATCGGTCTTTGCATCATTATTTCAAAGCGTTCGAATCGTTCATTCTATGACCGGTATTTACTCTATATCAGTTCGTCCAATGGCCGTGAAAAGAGCGGGTGATTTATGGAGGATGAATACGTCTGAAGATTATGTAAAGGGTGAAGAAGCTCTTACGAATTGGACACCTAGAGGTGTTAGCTTGGTTAAAGATTTTATCGCTGCAAGAAGAAGGAAGCGAAGGTTGGCAGAATTAGATGCAGCGCAGCCATTATTGAATCGCATTGCATCGCTACCATTGCCAAAACCAATATCGGCTCCATCAATCTCACCGATTATCGACCGAGACCCAGCTGAAATACCACTTCCAGCAAGTCCTTTGGCTACAGATGAAGAATTTCCACTGTCGATAGATGAGGCTTTCACGTCACCCATGAACGGAGATATCGCACCCACAAATGGAGACATTCAAAGCAAAGATGAGATCGTAGAAAATTTAGAAGTCCCAATAGACGCCGATTCCATTCCTCACGATGAAAGCAAAGAACAACAACCCCAAACTCAATCAGAATACAACCCTCACCAAATCGCCCTTCTCCAAAAGTTTGTTAAATTATTCCATCTGTGTCGCGACCCATCAACAACCATCCTTACACCCACTAATGTCGAACCACCTATAAATGGCTCTCCAGCTCCGTCTCTCTTACATACATCCTCTTTTACATCCAATACATCCCGGTCAATTTCTCCTCGACCATTAAACTTCTCAAATTCACTTCACCCTTCAACCGCCAATTCACGTCAAACCTCCCGAACTCGTCGAACTTCTCGATCTCGTCAAACATCTCCTGCCCCCCACGCCCATCCTAATCCTCTTATACCCCAAAATCTCGCAAATGTCTCTCAAATCAAGAAAAACCCTACTCTAATTAAGGGTGGATATCTGTTAGTCCCTTCAGCCGATAGTACAAAATGGATACGAAGGTTCGTTGAACTTCGACGTCCATACCTTCATATTCACGCAGTGAATGGCCCCAATAGCGGCGAAGAAATAAATGTCGTTGGACTACGAAATGCGCGTGTAGATCATAGTCCCGAAATCGCCAAACTACTTCGAAATTCAAGTCAGAATTCTAGTAGGACTAGTAGTCCGGGAACGGCTCAGCAGGGTAGTTGGGGTAATGGTATAGGAGGCATTTATGGAGGGAGAGCGAGGAGTGGAAGCACGAATAGTATTATGGGATATGGTGGAAGGGTTAATGGTAATGCGAATGGGGAAAGAGGAAGGGAAATTGAGGAGACCATTTTTGCAGTTTATGGGACAAATAACACGTGGTTGTTTAGGGCAAGGAATGAAAGGGAAAAGGTGGAGTGGATTTGGAAGATTGATCAGGGGTATTTTAGTAGTGGTGGTAGAGGTGGCAATGGGAATGGTGGAGGAAGAGATGATGGGAGTGGAAGTCCGGGGAGTGATGATGTAGATATGGATGGAGAGGATTATTTGGCAGATTAATCGTTTTGTTTGCCATTACTTTTTGAGGCATGGCATGGCATTGGGCGTATAAAATATGACATGAGATAAAAAGAAGAGAAGAGAAAGAAGGAGAGAAGAGAAGAGAAGAGAAAAATTAGATATCATATTGGATGGATGTCAAAATACATCATTGCACTGCACAGCAGATTAGATTAGGTCACTCACATTAGACAGTCTAGATTACACTTACACTTACACTTACACTTACACTTACTTACTTATATTACACCTACAGGATTAGGTACCATACGATACCCATGTTTCCTTTCTTAATTTTAAAAAACTTTTACATCTGTATTATTTGTTTTTATTTATAACGATGTGTCATAAGTATAATTTTGTAGTATTGTATTAGGTGAATAAACAAAGAGAGATGAGTAGATGAGCGGAAGGATGGGAAGGAAGGGAGGAATTGAACATAATTTAATTAGTCTTTAGATGGAATGATGTTTAGGGTTAGGATAGTTGCAGTTGTAGAAGAGAAATTACATATATATATATATGTGTGTGTGTGTGTGTGTGTGTGTATATGTGTATAGTTTTAACCCGTTTGAGGATGAACTTTGAAGAGGAATACAGGAATCGAAATGAAATTAAATAAAAATGAAAAAATAATATAAGAGTTCTAGAAACTTCTAATTGTATACTTTACTAAGAAATAACTGTAATCTTATTTTCAATTCTCAATTATAAATAATTCATCAAAATTCAAATTTTCAATATTTTCTATTCAAACTCAAAATTATTATCAAAATTCAAAATGAGAGTGATAATTATAAATTTTATCAAAATTGAGGTACTTTTTGTAGAGTTAGAATCTTTCAGATTAAAAGGGATGGAAAATCGTAATCTTGGATCGAACAAAATTTGGGTGTATTTCGAAATACTATAAAAAGTATTATTAAATCGAATTCATCTAGAATTATTTGTAAAGGGAAGGTAAATCAATTTTTTATAATAACAATTAAAAAGATTCGATGAATTATAAAGGAATTGATAAAAGATTGAAAGAGAAGGAAAATGATTTTTGAACAAATGAAATATATATTAAAGATTATGGTTTCGATATATATTATTCGATATAAATTATATTGATATAATTATAAATATTATATAATTTGTTTTAAGTTATTTATTTTTAGAAAATAAATAAAAAAAAGATTGGATTTTGTATATATATATTATTGATAAGAGATAATCAATATAACTTTCGAAAAACTTAAAAAGGGTGATTGAAGAAAGATTATATAATCGAACGAAAGCATTTTCGAGATTGGAAAACATAATAGGATATAAATGATTTGTAAGATTGAAAAAAAAAGATATAGGAATTATATTAAATTAATATATAGATTAAGAAGGATTTTTGTAATGATATAAAAAGTTTTTGGTTAAAATTATGAATCTTCATTAATCTTTTTGAAGAAGAATTCTAATGATAAAAAAATAAATTCAATAGTATTATCACGAAATCATTTTATAAAGTGTCACGAGGCAACAGTCAACCTGTCCTTATTATAACGATTTGGTTGAGGCAGCGGCTGTCTCAGGTTTTCGTCTGGTTGGTAATTGTAGGTTAAGGTTAATAATCATTAATTATTCATTCGAAAATAAATATATTACTAAATCAATTGGAATATAAATAAACTAATTGATAACTAAATTGAGTATAAAACTTCTAAATTATAAAACTATTCTGATTATATACTAATCCATTTCAAAAGCTTTTAGAAGTATAAACTCTTATAAACTTTTTGAAGTCTTCAAAAACATAAATTTCTTAAAGCTTTATTATATAATTAGGATTAGACTATATATCCAAACTTATTGAAAATAAAAAGATTATATAAAATAATTGTTATATAAATTTGTATACAAATTGCTTTATTTTTTAAAAAGATCTAAACTTATAAAAATAAATTGATTATTATCTTGTGATATTTTATAAAATGATTTTATAATATTATCCTTTTCTTAATTAAACATTATTCTTGATTATTTATAATTAATATATAATTTATTAATTTTTATTATCTTATATTTTGATTTTTTTCTTTATTATAAATGATTTACAATCTAATAAAATTTATTAGAAAAATAAAAAGAAATTCTATTTTATAATTGAAATTAAAAATTCTGATATTAAAATAATTCTATATATCTATTATTATATTGAAAATCTTCATTATATAAAAATTCTGAATAATTCATAAAAGATTTATTATTTCAAATATATACAATCTTATACTCTTTACAATATAGAGTAATATTTAAAAAACAATTGGAATAAAGAAATTTTTCAAATAAATAATTAAAAATCCTTAAACAAATAAAAAGAAAAACTTTATAAAGAAAAAGAAAAAATTATAATTAAAATTCTTTATTTTCGAAAATAACAAGATTATTGTAACGATCTGATCGAGGCAGCGGCTGCCTCAGGTTTTCGTATGGTTAGTAGTTGTAGGTTAAGGTTAATAATCATTAGTTATCTATTTGAAGGTGAATATGTTATTAGATCAATTGGAATATAAGTAAACTAATTGATAACTAAATTGAGTATGAAGTTCTTAAATTATGAAACTATTCTGATTATATATTAATGAATGTAAAGGAGCTTTGTGGAGTTTTAGAGCTTCAAAAAGTTTCTGGAGTTTTAGAAGCTTTTGAAGTTTCTAGGGCTTTTTATTATATGATTAGGATTAGATTATATATTCGAGTTTGTTAAAGATAGAGAGATTATATAAGATGATTATTATATAAATTTATATATAAATTGTTTTGTTTTTTGATAAGGTTTAAATTTATATAGATATATTGATTATTGTTTCTCAATATATTTTTATTTTAATTATAAATTGTAATACTATTTTTTTTTTAATTAAATATTATTCCAATTGTTTATAATTCTTTGGGTTTTATTTGATAATTAATATTTTTTCTTTTTTTATATTTTATTTATCTTTTTTCTTTTGTTATAAACAATTTTGATTCTTTTAATAATTTAATTCGAAAAAAGAAAAAGGAATATATATATTTAGTTACAATTATTGATTCTATTAATATTAAAATAATTTTTTATTTCTATTATTGGTAAGAGAATCGTTATTGTATTAAAAATCTTTTTGATAAATATTGTTTGTATTATTCGAAATGTATATGAAATTTTGTTTTATATAATACTAAATTTCGTTTGGAAGATGATTGGGATTATAAAATTCTTTAGAAGTATGATTGAGAGAGTTTTGATTGATAAATCGATAAATTGGATATTGAAATTACTGAATTTTTTGTTAAGATTGTTTGTTTTGTTAAATAAAAGATATAATTCAAAAAACGATATAATGAAATGTTATATTATAGATTTAAATATCTTGATGAATTTGATGTTTTTGAAAAAAAAAAAATGAAAAGAAAAGAATAAAAAAATTTCTGTAATTCTTTTGTTATCTTTTGATCAATTTGATTAATTTGATCAATTTAATTAATTTTATCAATTAATTCTTAATCGATTTGGTTAATTATTAATTGATTTTATTAATCTTAATGAAATTCTTATAAACAAATTCGATTCTTTCGATTTTTCTTTATAGAAAGTAACAAATTCTTTTTCCTTTTGAATAAATCTGGATTCTATTAATGAAACTTCTAGAACTTTTTTAAATATTTAATCTTTTTTTCAAATTTCTATATATTTTTGGAATCGAAATAATCTTTTTATTTTATTAAGTATTTGATTTTGTTTTTAATATATTTATAGTTTAATATCTTTTTCATTTTGTATTTGGTATTTTAATTTATAAATATGATTTCTGTTTCAGAAATTTTAGATACTTTTGAGAATATTAATTCGAATAAGGATATATAGAATATTGAATATATATTTATACTTTTCGATAATATTAATTTATAATTCAAAGATTCTTTAATTTTCTTGATTTTGAATGATTCGAGTTTTTTGTAATTCAATTTTGTATTAGATCTTTTTATTTCGATATTTTTTCAAAATAAATAAACTTTATTTTTCTTTTTTAATATTGATTTTTAATTATATTTTCAATTGTAATAGTATATATTTCTTTCGATAATGAATTTCAATTTTGTTATTATTTTTTTATAGATTTCTTTGAATCTTTTTATTTATATTATTGTAAATTGATTCTTTATTTTTATGATTTTTGATTTATAATATATAATTAATTTATATTTATAATTAGTATAATTCGGAATGATTTGTATTGCTTTTGATATTGAATTGTTGTATATGAATTATATTAAAGATAAAAGTTTTATTCAATTGTTTTATTGGTAATTTATATAATATTAGAAATAAATTTTGATAATTTGGTTTATTTTTTTGTTTTCTTTATTGATTTGTAAATGGAATATAATGGATATTTTATTTTTTATTTTTAATAATATTATTAAAACAATTCAAAATTTCGATGTAAAAAGTTTATTTTTATCAAAAAGTATTTCCTTTAATAATTTATATATTATAATAATCTTTTTTAGAAATATAAAGGTTAGTATTTTTGTAATTAATATTGTCTAATATAATACAAGTATTAAATACTTTATTAATTTATTTATTATAATGAAGAGATAATTGTATATTATTTTTATTATTAAATTTTTGGATTTTAATAATAGATTTATAAAATCCTATGATATTGATTTTTATAGTGTAAATAGTATTTCGATAGTGTTCATTTGTTTATAAGAAGTATAATAGGAAATTTTATTTTTAATATAAATATTATATTTAATAATTATTTTTTTGATTATATTATAGAATCCTGGATTTTAATATTATTTTTTGATTCTTAAATGTATTCTTTGTATTTTTTGATGTTTATAAATTAATAATATATATTATTTTATAATATATTTAAAAGTGATATTATTTGATAATCAAATTTTATTTTTTATTTGAAGTAATCTATCAATAATTATTGATAATTCTGATTATTTGATATTTTCCTTATTTTATTATATTTTTATAAATTTATCTTTTCAAATCTTTATTGATTTATTTTCTATAATAACGATTTCTATTAAATTAGAAATAAGATCTTTATTTGATAAAGATTTCAAAATCGTTGTTTTTTAATAGATTTTATTGTCTTTGTAATTTAGTAGTTTGTTTAAAATATTTGTTTTTATATTGTCTTTTTTTTTAATATATTTGATTATTAGATCAAACTTTATTAATTCCTTAATTTATTTAATTAATCTATGATTATTTAAGATCTTAA